GCTGTCAGGCTAATCTTAGCCTGGCCGGCGTTAGAACCACCAGTCATATCCCAACTAATCCAGGAATTACGAGGCGAGCACCGTACGTGAGAACCGGCTCACTCCCACGCCCCCCAGCCGCCGCCACTGCCACCACCGGCACCGGCAACGCACCGGTCCGACGGCCAGCCCGCACTCGGCGGTGCAGTGATCGCGGTGACCTTCGGTCCAACCCCATATGCAGTGCGCAGTGTGCGACCGAGTGAGTCACCTGGCGTCTGCATCCACATCACTACTACTGTTGGGCAGTGCCATTGTCATGCCACGGCGTGGCGAATTGACCACCCGGCCCGGCCAGATGGCCAGTTGCTACACACCACCGCAGGCCGCAGTATACCCCGCACAGTTCCGCATATCACAGTTCCGTATATCAATCTGGGACTGCGCGTTGGCTGCGCTTTCCCAGATGGTGGCTCATTGTTTGGATGGCCTATTGTCTGCAGTAGTGGGGCCAATTCACAGTTACCTTCTCCGCATCTTACCCCGCTCGAGCTCCGGGGGGAGGGCGACCATGACGCCCACCACCCGGCGGTAGTTGAGCGGTGTGGCGGACGCGATGGCTTCCTGTACAGTGGCAGAAAGAAGACCAGCGTGGGCCCTCGGTGTACTGGCCGAACGAAATGTCGGCGCAGTCGCCGTGTCTAGCAGCCTCGCACCGGTGTCAAGTGGCGCTTGCTGGTAGCACACACAACGCCAACACGCCACGAACTCCCCGATCACTCTTAACCAACGCGCCGCAACACCTTCCCCCCACTTGGTTCATTACCGTGCCTTCTCCTCGGCCATAGTGGGTCCATGGACGCATAATCGACAGCTCGTCATACTCTGTTTGGAGTAATGCGACCCACTGTCCAGCAGCTGTCTCTGGGTAGGCTACGCTTCTGACGCTGAGCTGCGGAAGTCAAGGATGTACAACAGACACCTAGCCCCAGTACCCGCGCACAGTCAGTGTACGCGGCAGATCGGGTATGCAAGTGTCTATGCCCGCCCCCCTGGTGGTGAACAGGACCTGGCATCTGATGGCAGAGGATGGCAGGCTTCCAGGCAGTGCCTTTTCGAGTTGCTTGACGTTGACGATAAATATGCCAAAAATATCAGAAAATCGCCGATAACACCCCTCCCCCCCCCGGTCACAACAGTCAGTCGTTGATCCTGATTACAATACATCGTGGCCGGCCTCGGGCCCACAACGAGCTCACACTCCCTGAACGTCTCCCTCTGGGCCTTCAATCTACCTTGTCTCACGAATGGCACCATGGGAAGCCCACGGAGACTACTCTCCTTCTCCTCTCCCTCGTCTGGTTTCAGCAGGGATGTGGCTAGAACCCTCCGGATGGCCAGCTAATGTACTGTCTCACGACACCACTGGGCCGGGAACGTACGAGTGAGTGTGTGGCCGATGTAACGGTGACCTTGGATATGTGGACTATGCTTTTATGGTGTGCCTCGTCAGCATTGTTGCCTGCCCCATCAGCAATTCGACAGGTACTGGTTCCATTCCTGTCCAGCATGGCGGATGACACCTACCATTTCATGGATTCAACGCGAAGATTGGAACTCAGTTCCTCATGTCATCGCTCTAGCATCTTGCAGTTATCAGTGTCCACTCACCCACCTTTCACAATGTCAAGGCAAGAGGGCAATGCTTCGCTGCGGGCACTTTCCAGCCACGGACTTGGCCATGTGGCACCGAGTGGACCACCACGGTACTCCTGTCCACCACCCTCCTATCCTCCTGCCCCCAGGCAAGGTGTACAGCGCCATGGACAAGACGTTGTGTAATGTGTCTCTATCGTGGTATCTGCATGTTACCCGCAGGACGAGGAGACATTACCAGTGTGGGGTGTTTCGAAAGTGGGACAAGTAAGTCCTGTGGCTGAAATTAACGGGAGGTGGCATGTCTATCGTCGCTGATGCGTGGACGCTCTATTGCATGGTACTCACATTGAAGCTAAAGCTTGACGTTTACCGCTGATTTGCTGCACGTCTCCTGTGCTACAGACCGCGGCCGGGAGAAGGCAAGGGCTTGCGGCCCTCGGATTCCCCAGCATACTGAGAACTTCTGAGACTGTCACGTTGGTCGGTTTGCGACAGTTGCGCTGTTCGCAAGACACGTCCGCCTGTACTCAACAGGCTAACCTTTGAGACAACCCCCTCCGCACGTAGGACTGCTGGCGGAGAGGAGGTTGTACCTGCTCATACTTGGTACTGCAAACGTGGCGTGGGAGACGACCGCGCTTCCACTTTTCCACTTTGGTGCAAATCACGTCGTTCTCAGTCAGGCTACGTCCTTGTTCATCTCGTGGAGCTTCTTGTTACCTCTCCTCGTCACCAGGCTAGAAGGTATGAGATGACAGCTTCTGGGACTTTCAGTTGATGCCGGAAAACAATGTCGTCGGCGGACGTCATGGCCATTGACAATTCCGAAACGCAAGTGTGTGTCACCTCTCCGCCTCATGTCAGATTCCCCAGGTGGGATTGACGTCAAGACGACCTCATCGGAGGTCGTGGGAACATCGACCGACAAGCCTGACTGCCCGCAGATCCCACAGACCCATCTCAGTCGAGCGCCGGGTCGATGTGGCCGGCCGGGCACACACGCAATGGAGAAAGACATAACCCATTGTAAAACCGCATGTATCTCCAAGACCAGCCCCGGACATGCTACAGAAGGTGCAGATGTGTGGATTATGTCTGCTTGGACACACACGTCAGCCTGACGTAATCCGGCATTCAGCAAACGACCTACTCAAGGACATGAAACGTCCAATACATAAACGCTAGAAAGCCGGATACGTACTGCCTGCGTCCGACATACGAGTAATCTGGCATCACCGTGACTGTTATTCATGTGCAACCAGCCCAGAATATCCAGAATTGAGCCTGCAATCATGTTATGTACTGTGCGGGGTACAGAGGACACACAAAGACGGAGGGGCTGAGCAAGATTGGGCACGTACGTTACGTGCGTTGCTGCCACCCTCTCCCCCAGTCAGAACACATGTAAACGATGTCCCACCCAGCACCGAACTGTGTCAACCAAACAATAGCTCATCTAACACACTCGTTCCTCTCCCATCACACACTCTCCTGTCGTTCACACACCATGTCCTCTATTTTTCACTGTATGGTTTTATCCCAGCTCGACTATTCACGTCCATTCAATCTTATTGTCAATGCCACACAATTCGAATCAGCCCAAGACATGCAGACGTGGAACCCACAGATTTCTCCTTTATCTCCAATATCCAAGACAGGTCGGCAGCAGAGAGCATGTCGTCACGACTCCGTGGTCTGTGTAGAATGGTCGTGGACTGTTTCGGAACGCTGCAGGGGTTATATCTGGTGAACTCTGCGACAAGTTGCATGGGTAGCGGTGGTGAGGTCTGCAGCAAGGTACTGTGAGAACATCAAATAATTGTATGCGTTGCGATCAATCTTGGGCCATCGACGTGGATGAGAGGGCGAGTGGGCAAGAGACAGAGCGGAGGTGACGAAAGGTATCTTGACGACAAGCGCACAGGAGTGCTTGTGCAGTTTGCGACACTGGTTGACAGGAACGTTTCTGGGACCTCTTCTCCTCACAAAGGCCTACACCATAGCTAGCAGCCACCGCCTCTCGTGAGCCGACCTGTTGCCCAATGCAACGTGGACATGCCTTGGGGCCCTCATCTGCCTTGTATCAGCAGTGAGTTGTGACACGCCTATCGGGGCGGTGAATGGGTGCGCATCGGTGCCACGCATACCTATTAACCTGCCAAGCCTGTGCGCCTGTGCACCCTGTCGCTTCCGCCGCCTGGGACGCTCGTGTCGGAGCCGGTGCAACAGAGGCACGCGGCGCAGATGTGGAGACTGCGAGGACACATTTGGTGCGCGGTGTGAGTGGAACAGCAGGCTTGTCGGCCGCATCAACAAAGTATGACGCTCGACGCAGCCAAAAATAGGGATCCCATCAAACGCCTCGTTGAATAAAAAAAAACATTCAATTCCCTGCCCGTGTGCGCTCTGGGCGCTTCTCACACGACCACCGATGCAGCCGAGCTCTCCGCCATCGTCAAAACAAGAGTACACTGCACCTCTCTCATGGCATCGCATGCATGGTCGCTCCGCTGGGAGATGCATGCCAAGACATGCGATGAGCACCTTGTTTCCGTCACCCCTTCGTAGACAGGTGCGACAACACGACGCAATGGCACGGTCAAAACGCTGGAACACTGCAAAGCACCGTGTCGCGCGACTGATCGCCCATGATACCCGTGATATGGTCTCGACGACGAGAAACGAATGCCCTGTCAGACTGTTCCTGTTATGACATACCACTCGACTGCGCACAAAGAGTGCACGCTGTCCGTCCGCCCATGGCTCCCCCACTCTGGCCCGCAGTCAATCTGGCCATGCTGCAAAAGCAAGTTTCGGCCGGTGCCCCTCAACCTCCTCTTGTCGCTGCTGCGGGATGCTGCTGCGTATCAGTGTTCCAGGCCAGCTCTCCGTTGCTCAGTCACTCACTCGCCAGGAAGACCCCACTGGCCAACACCATCTATAGCTGCCGACTTGTTGTTCTCACACATGCCGAAAGTAAAGGTCGCCTTATCGCGATCTCACATAGATCAATAGAACGACACGCCGCGACAGTACAGCGAGACTGGTGGTCCCCATTCTCGACTGCGGACAACCAGACTTGTTGGAACCGACCTAGGACTCTAGCCCGCAGAAAGCGCAGGCGTTCTGTCGGGCTGCACCCCCCGTCGCAGTCAACAGTCGCGCAGCCTCCTCACCGAGCACAAGCCGAGCCGCAGCTTGAGCGACGTCTCTTATAACACGATATCCTGCACCTCTTTACCTGACACATCGCCTCCCCTCCTCTCAGCCAAGACCACACATATAGCTCGCAGGTACCACCTCGTGCGCGCTCTCAAGGTCTAGAAGGGCCGGCCACGCTAGCTCACCTCCAACGATCAACAATGGCTATTCTGGACATGTCGAGATGGTGGACATCATCTTCGGGGTACATACCGCTTCGCCAGAACTCGCTCACCGACACGAGGTCTGAGGGACTACTCTCTGCCATGGCCGAGCATTCGACCAAGGTGGCGGCAGACCATGACCTCGAGTCGGGCTCACCCACACCCGTTTCAGCCTTCAAGTACATTGCGACCGGCAAGCGGCGACGACCCCTTATGCTTACAGCCCTTGCGGGTGTGTTATGCTTTTCGACCACGGCCCTTGCAGCTTTCTACACCTACAACCGTGTCATGCCCGATTTGCCTGTCGATGTGGAAGGCGACACAAAGTGGGAGTCTATCGACTTGCCAGATGAAGTCCCACCCCAGGCAACACAGTCGGGCGCAGTCGTGATAGCAAACGACCCGACCCATGTACTCGTGCCCGTCACGGACCTACCGGCGCCACCCCCACTTCTCCTGCCGCTGGACACCCGCCCTCCACTCGACGTGTTGGTACACTACTACGAGACTGGCGAGCTTCTCAACGCCGTCGACAGTGACACGCACCCATCGCCGCGGGTCGATCTCGTGTACATGTGGGTGAACGCCTCGGACCCCTTCTTCGGTCCTGCAAGGGCAGCAAAGGTAAAGGAAGAGGCAATCCCGAACCTCAAGGGCACTGAACGTCATTACCGCGACAACGGCGAGCTCCGTGGCGCTGTTCGCTCAGGTGCCCTCGCCCTCGGCAACCGTGTCAACCAGATTCACCTCGTGTCAGCTGCGTTCAGCACGGATGACGCGCCATCAGACGTCATCCCCACGCCCCCCGAGGGCGCGACTGGCTTCCGCATTGGACAAGTTCCCGAGTGGCTCGACTGGCAGAACAAGGGCAACCTCCAGTGGCACTTCCAGCCAGAGATCTTCCGTCTGCCGCGCGACACCAACGGTGCCGTCCCTCCTTCCATTCTCGACATTAACGAGGAAGAGTGGCGTGCCCTCTCTCTGCCGACGTTCAACAGTTTCCAGATTGAGAACCGCCTCGCATTCATCCAGGGCCTGGGCGAGCAGCTTGTCGTCTCCAACGACGACATGTTCATGCTCCGTCACATGGCGACGACCGATTATCACCACCCCATCCTTGGCATGATTACCCGCCTCGACCCAGGTACCACGGTCAAGCCGGTCATCGCGTCAAACCTCCTCTCGCACAGCGGCGAGTGGGGAGGTCTCCAGCACGCCAACTTCCTCATCTCTCAGCGCTTCCCCTCCCGCACACGCCAGTACATGCACCACCTCCCCAAGTCACTTACCCGTTCCCTTATGCACGAGGCCCAGGTCATGTTCGCCAAGCAGCTCACCCTGGCGTCGACCCGCACATTCCGCGAGTCCCGCCGCGGCGTCGGCGATATCGAGATGGCATGGCTGGTCACCCACCTCCAGATCGAGCGCTGGCGTGAGGGTCTGCTCTGGACATGGGCCGTCGCCCGTGTCGGTGGCCTGGACGGCAAGTGGGGTGCGGACGCCCGCGCCGAGATGCGTGCCGCCCTTGGCTTTGACGAAGACTGGAGTTCTGCCACGTCCACGACTGTGTCTGGCCAGGTCACCATCGACCACATCATCCGCTCGACTCTCAAGGACGCCCCCAAGTTGACTCAGAAGGGAGGATGGGAGGAGCCCAAGGCCACCACTTACCTTTGGTCATCCTTTGACGGTCATCTCCCCGTCAACCCTCCTTCGTCCCCGGAGGAGATCGAGGAGATTGAGAAGGCTGCCAAGGGACGCAAGGGCAAGCTGGCGCAGTTTGCCCAGAAGCTCCTTGGCCCACCTACGCAGTGCAACTTTGACATTTCCGAGTGTCTCCCCGACGAGTTTTTCAGCTCGGACACCGAGTACGATGCCACAGAGATTTTCAAGACGATCGCGTTCGCCAAGCCCCAGTGCGGCGACTGTCTCATTGGCGCCCTCGTCAACAAGTCTGGCAAGCGCGGTCTCTCGGCCTTCCTCCCTTCCAAGGACGTCAACTTCCGCCCCCCAGCGCGCGAGGCTCAGATGTGGGACCGCCCCGAGCCCATGCTTCCCCTGGTCGACAAGTGGGAGGATGCCGACTTTTCCCTCGCGAACAACGTCCGTCTCGGCCAGGACATCTGGAAGGGTGTCGAGCCATCGGCCGACGACGAGGTCAACCTGCGCAACTGGTCTGTCAAGCTCCTGTCGCGCTACAGCTACGTGTACTCGACCACTCCTGCTCGCTTCGCCATGGTCCACTCGGTCCTCCAGCTACACAAGGCTCTCAAGGAGGTCGACAACACCCCTGAGCTCGCGCTCCTGTGTGTCAACGATGACCAGCCCGATGTCGCACGTAACTCTGAGAAGGGCGTGTTCCAGGCCTGGATGAAGAAGACGCTGGGTGGCGCGAGTCGGTATGTCCGCTGGGAGAACAACGAGGCGTGGAACGAGCCGAGCAAGGAGTGAGCGCGACGACCGCCACCACTCTACCATCCACCTACAATAACCATCAATGATCTAGAACCTGGCTTCAAGCGCTGAAGCCGGGTCATTACATCTGCTTGAGGAGAGAATATCTCTGTGTGTATACGAAGACGAGAGAGAGAGAGAGGAGTATTGCAACGCATGGGGCGCCAGGTACCACCGCCACAACGAACACATTCCCCAGCATTTCATACCTGTAAGGTTGTATTTATAGCACCTCTACTACCTTTTCGCATAAACATGTGCATCCTATCGAGAGCGGTGCCGAGAAATGCAACAACATACTTTACCTTCTGTACTGCAGCAACGGAAGGCAATTGACTGCTGGGATTCTCGACCCACGTCCATGGCAGACTATCTGCTCACCGTTCTTGCTCGGCCATGCGAGCAAACGCATGCCGCTGTTCCCCTCGGGAGGTGCATGCGACAGGCTGACCTTATCTCACATACATCCTTTGCTTGCCGCCCCATCTACTGTCTTCCGAATCTACATCCCAACGACATATCTAAATCTGCACCCTCCCTCCACACCCGCTTCACTTCCAGATCAGAGCTCATCCCTCCTGCCGGCAAACTCATCATGCCCAAATTTACCCTTTGTCCGGCCCTTGTCCTTGCCACTGAAGAAGCCGAGCTTCTTCTTCTCCTTCTTCTTATCCCCCGTATCCTCTTCTTCGTCCTCGGGATACTTGACTTGGCGCGACTCGTCGTGCGAGAGTGTAATAGGGCGCATCGTCGGGCGGTCGCGGACGGGATCCCAGCTCGCCGGCGTCGGGGACGGGAGGATGGCCGAGGGTGGGTAGCTGAGAGTGTCAGCTCTGTGGCCATTGCACGGGACTTTTAAGCTGGCCAGGGGCGTTGACACGCATCCCAAATCCATCACAAAGGCCACTCACATGATACCCTCAACGGGACAAGTGTCCTTGCCCACACTTTTGCGGTGAGGCACAAACTTGCCCATGTTGCCCACCACGTTCAGTGGGTAATGCACCTCCACAAGTGTCGCGTCCTCGCAGTGCAGAGTGGGCTCGTGACCCTGTTGCGAAAGAGCCTTCTTAATGTCCGCAAGATAGTAGGTGACATCAGCTGAGGTCGTAATCTGGGTACAGGTCAGTCTCAGGGAATGGTAGGTGGCGGTGCCGTCAACGACATAGCTACTCACATCGGCGTCGGCGAGCCAGTCGGTGGTCGGGAGCGAGACGTGCAGCTCCCCCAAGGCGCGGAAGAAGCGCGACACATCGCCATCACAGATGGACGAGATGTAGCGGCCGTCTGTGTTCCACTGTACACGTCAGCTCTCCACTCCCAACAAACTGCGAATGGGGACGGAATGACACTGGGGCTGGTGGATGGTTTAGTCCATTCCAGCAGCCTCATATTCCCAGCGCTTCACCACCCAGCAACTCACCGAGCGTTCCCACACCTCCTCCACTCCCTCGCCGACTTCACTCTGAGCCCATGCGCGCTCCGCCTCATCTTCATTGAACCCCGCGCGGGCACAGCGCGACCCGATCTCCTCGTGCGTGAGCTTGGCGTTGGTCTGCTTGGTGGCCTTTGGGCGTGATCCATCACACCTGTAGCGTCAGACAGTGTTGTTTGCGCGACAAGGGGGGGGGATAGAGTGTGTTGTCTTGTACGCGACAATCTGGGAACGGTTCCATCGCAGCCTGCACGAGCTGCGAAATGGCGCGTCGCCCCGCCTCACGCTCGTACCGTGCGTGAACCAAGCAGAACACGAACACGCGCGTGAGGGCGTGAGCTCGCCGCAGCAACTCACTCTAGCACATCCACGCCAGCAATGCCCCACTGCCCGTTATCCCCGTTATCGGGCTCGAAGCGTTGCCTAAACACCAACAGGCCGGCGTGCGGGACGCAGCAGGGGTTGGCCTTGAGTGCGGCTGCCGAGCATGAGACTAGGTTTGGATCGCACTGGTCCTTGGAAGCCGAGGCCACTGCAGCCGCCATTGCAGCAGCGGGAAATAGAAGCGTAAGGGCGAGCATGTGCCGTGTGACTGAGTTGACGAGTGAAGAAGTGGTGAGTTGGAGGAGGATCTAAGTTTATGGTTGCTCGCCGAACGCGGTGTCACCTTCTTTGAATTGCCCAGAAACCCGCAGCCATCTCTCAGATCCATCATATACGTCATTGTAGCAAACAGAATAGGACAGCACATTAGCCACTTGGCCTTATCAGGAGCTTCCCAATTGCATTTGAATTGCTAATGTGACAATTAGACCGGAAGCAAATAGCCGTCGTAAGCGTGATTGCCACCGCCTGGCCACACGGGTCCAACGGCGTCGAGCGACATCGGCACTCTCTCTCCACCCTCGCCCTCTTATCACCCAACTGCCCGTCACCAACATGGCTGGCTCCGGGTCTCCTCTTCCGAGCCCCACGATCCGGTACGACGGCGAAGGAAGCCCCTACGCGTCCTCCGCCATCCTCCCTTCCCCCAACTCCAGTCCTTCCCGGAGAGTCCACCTCGCTCCTCCCGATGTCAACGCTCTCCTCCGTTCCAAGCGTCGCTGGTGGCGCCGCGGCTGTGCACTGCCAACCACCATGCCGAGGAGTGCGCGCATGGCACTCATGTGTGTTAGCGTAGCTCTCGGCGCTGTCACCGCCAACGGAGTGTATTGCTGGCCTACCTAGTGAGTACTCTATCATAGGCATGTTGGGCGTCTCTCGGGGAATCCGCGGGACCCAGCCACCGACAGTCCCCTGGAACAGGAGAAGAGATGTTACTGTTCGGCTTGGACCGAGCGACCTCAGTCGTGCAGCCGTACACTGTGCAAGGAGCCCCCGTGCGCTCAAAGTACCTCGCGTCCTTGTCGGAGGAGAGACAATGTGCATAAACGCAGTGTCGATCCCTCCTCGCGGATGCCGCTTGTTTATGCTTGACAATAGAGCTGACCATCTTCAGTGGCCCTGTCGTCTCCCAGATCCTGGCTTTGAACGGTGCACAGACGCAGACAATTATAACTGGGTAAGCGGACCGGGAACGCATCGAAGCTGACATCCAGTGGTATTCTCGGCGTGTACCTCTGCGCCGCTCCACTAGGTGCACTCGTCGACCGTTGGGGGCCACGCGCAGGCTCGCTGATAAGTGCCTTGCTTTCCGCTCTGGGCTACTTCTCATTCGCGGCCGTCCTATCAGCTGGGCCTGAGGCGGCCACGGAGCAGACATACCTTGCGCTCGCAGCGTGTTACTTTGCGATTGGTGCAGCGACCGTTGGCAGCTACTTTGCTGCTCTGACAACAGCGAGCCTGTCGTTCCCGTCCCACCCGACCCTTTCGCTTTCGTTGCCGCTTTCGCTCATCGGCCTCTCGTCGCTGTTCCTGTCGAGCTTCTCCAACCTCCCCGTGTTCATTGACAGCGAGGATGGCGAGATTGACGCAACAAAGTACATCGCGTTCCTCGGCTGCCTGGCCGTTTCCGTCAATCTCTTTGGCTCGGTGTTTATGCGCGTCACTCTCCCTGAATCGATCTTTGCCGACAGCGATAGCGAGAGCGACTATGACTCGGACGACTCGGAGGCAGACCATTACACCGCCGGCCTCTCAAGCATTGCGGACCTGTCCCAGAGTCTCCACCTCGACGAGCACACTCCACTTCTCATTGGTGGTCCCGAGGCGGCCCGTGAAGATCTGGAGGCTGAGCTGGCCGGCAAGGACGTGCACCGCTGGACGGTCGTGGGCTTGCTCCACAACGAGGGCTTCTGGGCATTCGGCCTCATCATCGCCGGCTGTATCGGTCCCTCGGAGACGCTCATGGCCAGTATTGGTTCGGTGGCCTCGTCGCTCCTCCCGCCCGACTCGCGCGCCGTCTTTGTCGATGTCATCAAGGCCTTTGCCTCTTGGTCCCCCAGCGCAACAGTCTCGACCGCCTTGAAGGACAGCTCGGCACTTGCCATTCGCAACAAGCACCTTTTTATCGTCTCCATCGCCTCAACTGTTGCTCGTCTCATCACCGGATTTACAGCTGACTGGCTCGCACCCGCGCCCATCGCTGTTCCCGCTGCGCCGAGTGACGACCCCAACGCTCCCTCCCACTATTTCGTCCAGCGCGACCCTGTCCGCCTGCGTCGCTCTGTGTTTTGCGCCCTCTGTGCCGCCTTCCTCGCCATTTGCTTTGCTTATAATGCCGCATTCCTCGAGGAGGAGTCGCAGCTGTGGATCTTGAGCGGTGGTGTAGGCCTGCTCTATGGTGCCATCTTCACCCTCACTCCAGCCATTGTGTCGACACATTTCGGTGCCACCAACTTTGGCCTCGCGTGGGGCATGGTTTCGTACTTCCCCGCTCTGGGCACCGCCATCTTCTCGTACACGTACGCCTTCCTTGCCGAGACGTCGCCGGTCCCTGGTACCGACATCGACACGCTGGCTATTGTGGACCCGTCGCAGTGCTATGGCCGTCTGTGCTTTAGCAAGTCGCTCACGGTTGCTGCCATCGGCAGCTCCATCGCTGCTGTGGGGCTGTTTATTATTGGCAAGAGGTGGAAGGTGTAGGGGAAAGAAGGAGAGAGGGGAGAGGGAAGAGGAAAGAGGGGAGAGGGAAGGGGAGGGGAGGGAGGAAGGACTTTGGAGGGAGCGAGAGAAGAGAGACAGCATCAAGGTAATCTGCACAGTTGTTCGACCCCACCCAGGCATTATTTTTAACGACCACCCATCTTCACCGACACTCAAGTCTACATTGTTATTCTTGTTTCTTGACAAACGATCAAGCCATTTGTAGACATCTGCTAGAGCATATCCCTCATGGTCCTCATGAGGACGTGCCGATCGTGACATGCATGCACACACATTAATCATTTTGAAGCTCCGCCCCAGTCAGCCAACCATCCATCCACCCTCCTTCCGTTTAAACTGTCTGTAGTGTAGGTTACTTGGCCGCAGGTTTGGCGGGTGTGTTACTCGTACTCGCCGCACCCGACTTCTTGGCCACCAGGCCCTGGAAAAAGTTGTGAAGCGCCTCGTTGCGAGCTGCGGCGGGACGCTCCGTCGTTGGCGACGTCGGCTGTGTAGGTTCCTGCAATGCATGTCAGCTGGGGTACGCTTGGAACACAGCTGGCGACTTACCCTCCTTGCAATCCGTCCAAACCGCTCTCTAACATCATCCGCACCCCCAGCTCCCTCCATCTCGGCCATGGCCCTCTCCACACCGGGCAGGCTGAGGCCACCAGTACCCATTGGCCCCACGACGCCGCCGTATCGCTCCGCGCCGCCGTCGGCAGCAGCACCGGGACCAGCACCCGAGTTTGCAGCGGTCGCTCCCACGGCGCTGGCACTGTTCGCCGCGTGCCGGAACGCAGCGCGTGCATCGCGGTTTGGATCCTTGAGGAGCACGTCGAGCTGTCGGGCCAAGAATGTCTGCTCGAGCTCGGACGTAGTTGTCACAGTGCTTGCGCTGGGCGGCTTGGGGCGCTCGGTATCGGGCACCATGGCGAACCAGAGGTCCTCGATTCCCTCGGCGTCGTCCTCGGTGTTGCCGCCCGAGAGCTTGGTCGCGCTCGACTCCCACGCCCTGCCGACACGTGCTGGGTCAAACCCATCGCGCAGGACGTTGATCTTGCCCCAACTGTCCCAGCCGGCGGGGACGAGGACGGCGTCGCGGTCGAGAACGTTGGCGCGGTGCGGGAAGGGAAACCGCGACGGGTAGGCCGCCACTGCCTCTTGCGGACCACCAGAGCCAGAGCCAGGCTGTGTCAGAGGCGGGGGCACACTGTACAACCTGTGGAAGAGGTATTCGCGCAGAAGGGTGTATGTCTGAGGCTGTGTCGGGGCCGTGTAGAACAGTGCTGCACCATAGGCGAGGCAGACGGTACGCAGCACCTGCTGGATCCAATCTGTTCTCTCTTCCCATCCACCACCCTTCATGCCCATCTCGTCGCCGACGTGGTCCATGAGGTCTGCGCGAGTGCAGACGACCACAATGGGGATGCCGGACGGGTTGAGCGTCAAAGTGCCGGGGCCGAGGGGGAGAAGAGTGCCGAGACTGTTGGCGTTATAGCCTGCGATGCTGGACGAGGGGGCGCCAGTGCCAGTGTTGGATGCTGGTGGTTCGGTGTAGTGCTGCAGGTGTGATTGCACTGAAAAAACGATCAGTTATCACCTTCGGACAAGTAAACAACTTACACCTCTCGCGCAGCTCGTCGCCGTCCGAATGACCCTTATCCGCACGCTGAGCCCACTGGTCCACCCAGGCGAGCCACGCCAAGAGCTCACGAACCATGGTACTGGGCTTTGTCCAGTCGAGAACGATCACAACTGCCGTGTTCTGCGGGGTAACGAGGTCAGTGCGCTCTCCTTTCACGGATGTAATCACGTCACAGGTAACTCACAGGCAAGGGGTGGGGAGGTAGAGACACGTCGACAAGACGCAGCAATCCCGGGTGTGATGATGGCGGGTAGAAGACGGACACGGGGGGTGCGGCGTCTACAGACTATGTCAGCACAACTCAACTGGGAGTCGACCCCTCTCCTTCCCGCGCACGTACCCTCGTCGCGGTCGGCGTGTTCGAGCACATCGTATCCAATGGCCAGGGCTGGCGGGGGAGCTTCGCGTGCGCGCCGTTTGCCCACTAGCTTGCTGAGCAAGTTACGCCTTCCTCTATGCCGTTCAGAGAGCAAGACGACATTCTTCCTCGATAACGACTTCTGTCGGTCGGCGCCTCGCAGAATCTCCGTCCACAGGTCGTCTGCGCGCGCGGGGCCGCTGCCGCTTCCAGCAGCGGCGGCGGCGGGGGTGGTCGCTGCCTGGGTCGAGCTGGATGAGGGGCCTGCTGCAGGCTGCGTCGAGGATGTGGTTCGCGAGTCTGGACGCGCTGGACGCGCGGGGGTTGTGGGGACCTGCATGTGGTGGTGTGTGAGGAAGGTTGGGAATGGGTCGTGTCAGTTGTCAACGCGTACCTCCCGCCACCGACGCGGCGCTGGCATTTTGGTCCCGCGCGCGCTATGTGGCTCAGACATCAATCGCAGCTCACGTCACAACAACAACAAAATGACAAGCGACCAGCAGCAGCTCTTTAGGTATGTACACTGTCTACACATTGCGTGTGGTGATGCATATATTCAACATCCTCGACTATAGCTTTAATCTTTGTTTTACTTTTTAGTAAGCAGCATACTCGCCCTCGTAGCCATACGACTGATCGTAGGGTGCCGGCTGCGGCCAGTAGCCTTGGGCATAATACACTCCTCCCTGCCCATCGGGGCCCATGGTACCAGCGTACGGGTTGTAGCCTTGCGGATAGTAGCCCTGGTGCATGTAACCCTCGGGGGTGACGACCTTATCGGTGTGGTCTGAGGTGGGCGACTTAGGCGTGCCCGTCTCGGCTTGGGCGATGGCGACTTTTTGAAGCATAGGCTGGGCGAAATACGGGCTGGCATACGGGTTAAGTGGCGAGCCCGAACGTCCAGCAGGAGCGTTAGGATAAAAGCCGGGACCCGAGAACGAGCTGCGCTGCTGGTGGTGGTGGTGGTGGGGAAGGTAGCCGGCTGGCTCGGGGGTGTAGGACTGGGAAGGGGGCAAGTTGCGGGCAGGGTAGAAGGAGCCAGGAGGACCAAAATTGGGAGGCATGCCGCCGTAAAACTCGCCATTGGGCACAGCGCCGGGAAGGATGACGCCAGGAGGAAGGTAGCCACTGCTCATGGATCCACTGTCGCTGGCGACGTATGGAACGGGGGATGGGTTGGAAGGGGTGAAGGAAGGTGCGAAGGTGGAAGAAGGCTCGATAGGCTGCGAAGGTGGGCGGGCTTCGACCTCGACAGCGGTAGTGTCACCTGGAAGACGGACCATAACCGCTCCAGAGTCATCGAGGAGTGCTTCGATATCAGGCTGAGTGACAGTTCCCTCTGCCATGGGCTTGGGCGCACGGTCCGGCGACGCCTCTGGTGTCGGCAACGTAGCGTGTTGATGGAACGGGCGGGGGATGGCGCCGCCGCGAGGGACGAAGAATCCACGTCCACGGCCCCTGCCTCGAGGAAGACGGTTCGTGCGGTAGTGGTCCTCGGTGGCAACATGCTCCTCGAAACCCTCGTGGCCCCACCTGCCATCAGCAGCGGGGGCACTGCGGCGCAATGGACTGTCGGTGTTGGACAGTTCCAGCTCAAGTTTGTCCATCTCGGCCATACGGTGGCCGTCGGCGAGAGGAGGGACAGCTGGTCCACGAGAATAACGCTGGCCAGGAGCAAATGGTCCAAATCCACGCCCACGGCCGCCGCGCGGTCCACCGCGGAACGAGCCACGGGGCATCATGCCTCGAGGTGCCCCGCGACCGCGCCAGAAGCTGCCTTCACCATTGCCTGCCTCGTAATGGCGCTGGTCGTGCATCCAAAAGTTGCCACCACGAGGGGCAAACTTGGCGTCGTGTGCGTGGGGCGGACGCTTGGTGTTGTCGTTGTTGTTCACTGGATCGGAAAGCGCATCGGGAGGAGAGGTCGAGGGGGGAGCCTGGGTTGGAAGGTCGTCAAGGGTGATGGCTGAGGTTGATGCGGCGAGAGATGCATCGACACTGTTGACACTCGTCTCGGTGGGGCCGCTGTTAATCGGAGCCACAGCACCAGCAGACGCATCGGCCTTGCGCTTCTCCTTGTTGTCTTTGCGCTTCGCCTTGAGACGCTCCTTCTTCTCTTTGGTGCGCGCTTCGACCCTCTGCTTCTCCTCCTCGGTGAGCTCGCGTGGAGCCCTGCCTCCTCCGCGAGCCCTACCACGCCCCGCTGCTAGCGAACCACCACGGCTGTTGCCGGGAGTTGGCGCCGACGAGGCTGTCATGAACTCGTCAAAGGTAATCTCTTCGCCCTTGTCCTCGACGTCGGCCCAGGCGGCGGGGGTTGTCGAGTTGACGTCGGGGAAGACAGACTTGGGAGCTGGTTTTCCCTTGTCCTTGGGCTTGGATGCAGGCTTGGTGTCGGTGGGCGCCTCGGATCCGTCATCAACACTGGCGGCGTCCGAGTCATCACCGTCACGGCGACGAGTCTTGCGACGGGGCTTGGTCCTGCGCTTGCTCTGCACGGCCCTTTGAGCGGTTGGGGGAGTGGGCGCAGCGGAGGAGGGTGTCTCAGAAGCGTTGTTGGTCATGATGGAACGGTGGGCAGATGGTTGTTATGGGGGCTGGGTGGCTGAGGGTTATATGTTAATGCGGGGTGGGTGGCGAAGAACGGCATCATCAGGGACTCACTTTGTTTAGGCGTACACAAACGAGGAGAAGTGAGACGGAGCTGGCTGCTACATCCGTCAGTCTCGGAGCGTTGGGGAGAACCTACCTGATGGGTGGGGTCCCTCTTTTAGGCGTGATCTATATTTTTAACGAGGCTGATGTTTATCGAGACAAGACACTTGAGCGTTGGTTGATGGAGAGAGAAGGGAGTGAGAGAGTGTGATGGGTGACCAGAGTGTTCCACCAGAGAACACTCACAACGAAACCTTAAGTGGGGGGAACATGACCACACACCCATTTCTCCCACCCGGTGTCAGTCGCCACCCAAAACCTCAAAAACAGTGCCAAAGTCTGTCGTCTCTTCGTCAGTCGACTTGTTGCCTCTCCACTCCCTCTCTCGACGAGGTCACTAGGCGCCATACCACAACCCGACTACTACGCCATCCTCGGCGTCCAGCCAGACGCGGCTGACGCCGAGATCACACGTGCATGGCGCCGCCTTGTCCTTGCCGTACGTGCGCCCCCAATAACCTTCTACTGACCGCCCAGGCTCACCCCGACAAGCGGGACAGCCCCGCCAGCCGCGAGGGAACCCCGGGTGGTAGCACATCTACTACACTGAATGGGGACAGCGTACCCGACATCGTTCTCGTGAACGAGGCGCGTGCCGTGCTTTCCGACCCCACCAGACGAGCTGCCTTTGACGCTGAACGCGCTCGCCCGTATAGCGCCCAGCCCCCTGCACCGTCCGGCCCACGAATTCGCGAGTACGTCTCGCTCGAGACCTTTACACCCCATGTCGAGGACGAGAGCAACCCGGACGCCGAACCACACCAGTACACCCTTGAGTGCCGGTGTGGACAGGAATATGTGATCACGCTGGAGGAGCTCGAAGCTGGCGTCGACGTTATTGGCTGTCCAGGATGTGGCGAGTACATTGGCGTCGAGTACGAGGAGGTCGATGAGTAGAAGGAGTAGAACACATAGATATTGTATAAACTACTACGCACACTGCTTGTGTATTCAATCCATGCGTCGCAAGCTGTCACAACACCGCACGTACTGAACACACGTACAACGTCCGTCCTCCCTCGGCGGAGGATCTTGAATGCAACGGAAGCAAATTCCAGGCCTGAGGGTGGTTGTGTTCATCTCCGTTTCGCAGCAGTTGCAACCACCGTCATTTACACCAACCATGTCCAGCACATCCACAAAGTCACAACGCGTCGCACCTCTTCTTTCAGGCGATGAGGCGAGGTATCGCCGTGAGTTTATCCACTGCGAACCCCACGCTAACAATCTAGGCCGGTATCGCGCTCTCAAGGAGCTGGTCAACGAGCTGAGTGACGTGAGTTGCAAAGTGGCCGAGGTGGGGTGTGGGAGCTACGACCTGAAGGAGAGACAGATGGCAGGAGTCCATCTGTTGTGCTTCCTATGGGTATCGTCGCTCGCACTATGTACCTTGTCTCTACCATCAGATCAGAGCTGACCACCCAGGAATCCAACCTCCTCGCCTTGCGTGTCCACGATATTCAACGTCGACTCTATGACGAGCACATGAAGGAGTACGGTCGCCCACCACCTGCCGTCCCCCTTCCCGACGACGCGAGCTGGGCCCCTTTGTGAGTGATCCTTGTGGGATATGGGAAACTGCGGCTTTGGAACGCTACCACTTCGCGTCCTTTCTCCACCTCCCCTGGCTCCGTCCTTTCACCTTCCTTGCCTTCCCTCTCACCCTCCTTCGATGTCATGAGCGACCTCCAACTGACTCTGCAGGGTCGGAAACGCCGATGCCTACCCCGACGATGCCGGGAAGCCCCTACCCCCACTTGTCGGGGAGAAGGAGGAGAAGGAGAAGAAGCCTCACGGCAACGGCAAAAAGAGCAATGGCAACGGCACCCTCTCGGCCCCCGCCTCGCCGGGACCCAAGGACGACCGGGACGACGAGGGCGACCAGGACGAGCACGACCGCAGCCGTGAAATGGACGACCAAGACGATCGTAGCCGCATCCACGATGGCCACGACATTGAGATGGACGACCACGAGCGCAGCTCGGAACACGGTGACCACTCGAGGGAGAGGAACGAGATTGTCCGCAGCAGGAGCCGCGGAGACGAGGATATGGTCGACGACTACTAGGTTTCGCCCCAACAGGCGCTGTATTGCTACGTGTATCATTCGGGTGTGAAAGAGAGATATTGATTCTTCAACTACTGACGTGCTCGTGCACAATGGGCCCATAGTACGGTGCGTGTGTATCACTGCCACCACTGGTCCGTTTACTATGCCCTTCTAGCTTATGCCTCGGTCTGTACCGTCGCTGTTTTGCGTCAGCCACCACCCTTTCGGGAGAACAACAACACTTACGCTCTCTGGTCTTTTTCCTGCCTGGGAGACGGTCATAGAGACCACGTCCCATCCACTTGACACTGCGGTAGGCGCCGACCTGGGCCATGCCACGACCACGGCTCTCGAGCGCGCGGCGGTGGGCCTTGTTCATCTCGCGCTTCTCGTCGCGGTCGATCACGCCGTCGTCCATGAAACTCTGTTGGCGCCTGGCAATCTCGCTGTCGCCCTCGACGGCCATGTACGCCTCCATGGCGTGGCGGCGGGACTGGGCGAGACGGAGCCTGTCGTGCTCGAGGTCGAGACCGGCCGAAAAGGCAATGTTGGCCCAGACGGTTCCCACAATCTCGAACGGGTGGTGTTCGCGTGTTTGGTCGTTGATGACCTGCTGACGCAGAACGTGCATGTCCGGACCGACGACGACCGGAAGTTCGATCTCGGCCTCTAGATTGTCCGTCAGGTCCTGGAGCCACAGGACGGCAATGGCGTCGGGCTTGCCGCGACCGACAAGCTGGCCAAGACCAGAACGCCCAAACTCAAACACCACCTGCGACTGGTAACGTCCATACACGGGGAGGAAGAGCTGGTCAGAGTCCCATCTGATGAGGTTGCTCTCATCGTCCACCGCAGCCTCGCGCTTCTTCATTGTCTCGGTAGACTCGTGCGTGACGACACCAAGTGACATTTCGCGCAGGTCCAGTTTCTTGGAATTCGGGTCGGGCTTGAGACGGACGTTGGACACGATGAGCGTGCCAGTCTCCCAACCACGCATGTGCGCGGGCATGGCAGTCTGGACACCGCGGAACGCGAACGAGATATTGGCCTTGCCAAAGCCTTGACCCTCGCGGAGGGGGAAGGTGCGCGTGACTGTCGAGGCATCGACGAACAGTTCAGAGAGCTGGACAGAGACAATGCCGAGGATGGGGTCGGCCTGGCGCAGGCGAGAGTCGCGGATCACGACACGGACATCTGCGGTGGTGAAATCACGAATGAAGATCTCCGTTCCAGCCTCAAAGTACGGGTTGGTCGTGTACTGCTTCACACGGGTACGGTAAACCAGGTCGTCATTGACGATGAACTCGCCATAACCTGAAGGCAAGTTTGTGGTCTGCTGGCTCGGGTCGTCGGTATCCTGTCCCGCCTCGCCTTCACGGTCGTCGCCCGATTTGCCCTCCAGATGTTGGCGCTCAAGGTTGTTGACCTGGTGCAAGACAATGGAGAGGATACCAGATGGGAACTGTGGGTCGGGGCGGGTCTTGGTGAGGTCCGGTGGGGGTGGAGGAAGGTCGGCACGGGCAGGGTTCGGGGCGGCATCGTCAGGCCTCATCTCGCGAGATGGGCCCGAGGGCTCGGTGGTCGCGTGGCGCGCCTCCTCGAGAGTGGGGTCGCGTTCAAGTGACTTGAGCAAAGCGGCCTTTTCAAAGTATCCAATCGACCAGACCAGCTTGCCGGGCATTTCGTTGGCGTCCTCAAACCCTTTGAGACCATCTTCGCGGCGGTACATCTGGTTCGGGGTCTGGATGAGTTCCTCAACAGGGACCTGCACACGGCCAACGAGGTCATCGGCGCTCAGCTTGTCGCTGTCCCAGAGCATGGCACAGAGCTCTTCCTTCTCCTTGATCTCGTCGATGGTGAGAAGGAGAAATGCAGTCTCCTCGTACACGGGGTTGAGGTCTTCAATGATGATGCGTGTAGAGTAGAGTGGACGACCGTACTTGGCATACGCGAGGACGATGTAAGGGTCCGACTTGCCATTGGAATCCTGTGCCGAAAGTCCAACACAGTAGTGAATGGTCACGACAAAGATGCCGATAGCACGAGTGTCACCGACTTGCGCTCCAGAGAGCATATCCTTGAGGTTGATGGTCATGCTCTTGGGCACCGACAGCTCAGCTGTGCCGGCCGCAATACCAGACTTGACAAAGCCGGAAATGAACGGCAGGTCAAGGATGTTGGGCAGGTGACGGGACATGGGGATAGCCGAGACTTCAACTTCCGGGACACCACAAAGTGCAAACGTGACGTTGCGAACGAAGCTTGAGGGGTCAGCAAGACGGATGATATGTCTGCACTCACGGTGGCTCGGGGATAAACTGGATGCGGAGACGAACGACGCCGTAAATCTCTTCAACCTGGATCCAGATGGGCAAGGGGATGTGGAACCAGTCGTAGGCACCGAGGAAGAACTCGACGAGCATGTGAATGTTCTTGGCACGCAGCGACGTGCCCTGTCCAGGCAAGGCCGAGTACGAGAACGCCGCCTCAAAGTTGTAATAGTCGCCAGCCTGGTCCTCTTCAAGTTCCTTGCCGGCAGTATCCTTGAGCGGGACCCCCTCGCCCTCATCAATCCAGTCAGTGCGCGGGTATCCCGGCTCGAGGGGTTGGTCGGGCAGAGCGCGGATGGACGTGATACGGAGAGGGTTTATGCCTTGGCCAATGTCGGTGATGCGCACAGCGTCGACAAAGCTCGGTAGTGATTGCTGCAGAATGTCCTCGATCATGTCGGCAACAGAAATGAACGTGACTGGGTCAATAAGGCCCCACACGAGCTTGATCAGGCCGTTCAGCCACTCGACGCTCTCCGGGAACGGAGGTGAGAAGGCTTCACCGCGTGAACGATTGAAGTCGAGACGGGACGCGTTCATTTCCTTTTCAATGTTGCGCTGCAAGAGATCGAGGAGAGAGTAGAGGCCGAACCCCACAGTGGCGTAGAGCATAGTGCGAAGGATAAACTTGATAAAGCCGCCGCCCAGGGAGAAGAACCACAGCACTACCAAGCTTCCTGCCATGGCAACTTTGACATAGTTGACACGCTGCGTGATGCCGTGGAAGGACTCGGGGATGGGCGGGGGGTATGTCTGGTACAGGATGTTGCTGCCAAGCGTACGGGGCCTCGTGCTGTCAAAGTCTGAACGGTCAGAATCAGTTGACCGGGGTAAGAACTTGCCTTTCTTGTCCACATCCTTGACAATCATCTCGGAACCAGTGATGGGGTCACGCACGCGGCGCTCGCCCTTACGCTTCTTGAACCGCTCAGTAGGCTTCTCTGGAAAAGACGTTAGCCTCTGCATAACTTCCGCAGAACGTACCCTTGCTAGAATTCATCTGCTCCATCAGACGCTGCTTTTCCGTCTCGGCGACAGACGCTTGCGGTTGACTGGCTGCCTCTTTGCGGTCTGCTGATGGTGGCTTTTGTACATCATGTGTCGCGTCGACAGTGCTAGCCCGTGAGTTGGCAGACGCAGGAGAATGGTCGTCGGAGCTCTGAGCTGATGCCTTCGCCATGGCCTCTTCACGAGCTTCCATGATACGAGCATACTCTTCCGCCTCTTGCTCGTGCTTGTCCTTGATGCCTTGCCATTGCGCGACGGTCGGCACTTTGTGCGACGCAGACCAACCTTGCCCAAAGACGCGGGGAGCTGGGGCAGCAGGGAGTGTGGGAAACTTGGGCAAATCCAGGCTTTCCTTTGCGTCTGCAGAGTCCGCTGCAGTGGAGTCTGGGGTCGTAGACGTTGGCGATTCTGAGAGTTGCTTTGAACTGATATCGATGGGGACCATTTTCGAGGGCGTCGGCGGCGCAGCGGATGATTTGGAGTCGGGTGAGGACATGTTCATGAGCGGGCGCTGCAATGCGCCCCAGTTGGTGAAGTTTGATGCGAGTGATGAGAAGAGTGGAGCCAAGAGTGACAGAGTGGAAACGAGCGTTGTGAGGACCCGACTTCGGGATCACCCACAGGCCACAGGTCCATGACCACTTTATGACGTAGGCACCTGGGGAAAGTGACGCTTCCGAAATCTCCGCAACATCGATCCGGCCGCCTAATTGTACATGGCCTCCGACGCTCTTCGCCGACAAAGGGCGAAGCTGCACTACGTACTTTGTGTGCCTCGTACACGAGACCTACACAAGAGTGATACGGCAACACTTCTTCACTTCTTCCAACTGGGGGCGAGGAGGAGCGTGCGCAGTCACCCGTTGCCTTGGCGCTTGGCGGCACCCACCCGCTGGTGGTACGCCGCACACCACTCCGCACATGCCGGCGCGAACTCCGAGGTCATGGTGTTGCGTTTCGCTGCCGCGGATGGGCTCGCGTACTGGCGTACAACGTTGTCACCGAACTGACGCAAGGATGACGCTCCCTGCAAGCCAGCTCCTGAGTGAAGCTTGCGTTAGTAGCGATCGTAAGTCTCCGCTCCAAGATCCAACGGTTCATCGCCTTGCACCAAAGTATCTATGGAGCAGTTGCCGTAGCTTCACGCAAACTAGTTCAGCGGTCGCGCAGAACAGGAGAGTCAGCAACAAGAGGCTGTGGAAACGCTCCAACCATCGAACATATCATCGGTAACTGTTTTTTTTTGCGAGACAAGAGCCGATCCTCCGCTTTGCGTCTTTTAGCGCTGGCTGCTGACAACAAACACTTTGGTGCATAACAGTGTGCATAACCTCACCAGTCGTCACCGCCGGCTCAACACAAACTTGAGGGCTTACCTGCGTTGGGTGCATCCTTATGAGCCGTGCTTAAGCTTCTGAGGCTCGTGGGTGTATTTCCTCGAAAGCCCCGCATCATGATCAACACAACCCCGACTGATACGCATCACTCGCTGCAGAATGCAGCTTGTTCCGGCACCTGGAACGGAAACCCTTCTTTGAATGTATCCCAGAATTGAGGGTATGCCCTCCAGAGTCCTTTCAATGCCCAAATAAACCTTCCAACCATGAGTCACGTAAGAGACTCTAGCCCTCGTTTTCCCACTTGAAGGAGGCGAAGTAGCACTCCAGATATCCCGCAGATGAAACCAAACAAAAAAGCCAACATTGCCAACCAATGCCCTCTGGTTATTGTTTCGCTCTAATAACCACAAATGCATACAGAAGGCTCAACTCAAGCGTGCTGACAGGTGGGGGGACGGGGCACGAGGCACAACCGTCTTTTGATCATGAACTGAGGGGGGGTTGGAAGTCGCTTAGTCGAACGAGACGCGCGAGCCCTGGCTGGCGACGATGCCACCAGTGCGGGCACCGCCGCGAGGAGCTCCACGGCCACGGCCACCGCCTGTAGAGTGTCAGCTGCTGTGACCTTGACGGAAGAGAGGTGGTGGAAGGATGGTTGAAGAACAAGTGAAGGAAGATCGCCGATGATCGGCGCTCCACTCCACTCGAACTTCTCCCAGTCCGACACTATGCTTCAACTTACCAGGTCCACCACGGCCACGGCCGCCGAAGCCCGAGTCACGTCCGCCGAACGAGCCACCACGGCCGCCACCACGGCCACCGCCTGCAGAGTCAGCACATGTTGCAAAGAAGAGGTCATTTGGGCCAAAAATGACCAAAATGACGTTGAGGCTCTTGTTCGAGACCCAACGCTTCCCAACTTACCAAAGCCACCACCACGACCACCGCCGCGACGGTCGCCGCCGAAGCCGCCCCTGCCGCCCGAGGGGTTGTCCTGGAAGTTGTTAGTCACTATTCCTCTTCCCACATTTGTGGTGAAATTTCTCACCTGCTTGGGGGGAGCGTAGTCGATACGAATGCGACGACCGGCGAGCTCCTGGCCGTTAAGGGCCTCGAGGGCAGCAGTAGCCTGGGCAACGTCGGCGAACTGGACGTAGCCGAAACCCTTGGGGGCACCGGTCTCGCGGTCGGTGGGGAGACGGACCGACTGGACGTCACCGTGCTCGCCGAAGGCCTCGTAGACGGCGTCCTCGGTGATGTCGAACGAGAGCGAACCGACCCAAAGGGTCTCGGCGGGGGGCGACTGCTTGTCGTTGAAGGCCTTGGCGCGGTTCTCGGCGGGGTTGTTCTGGCGAACGTTGGCGTAGTTGACACGGACCGAGCGGCCGTCAATCTCCTTGCCGTCGAACTTGATGGCCTCAGCCGAGGCCTCGAGGTTGGCGAACTCGACGTAGCCGAAGCCGCGCGACTTGCCGGTCTCGCGGTCAAGCATGACACGGGCACCAACGACCTCACCGCACGAAGCGAACTCCGAGGCGAGCCAGTCGTTGTCAATGTTCCACGAGAGACCACCGACGAAGACGTTGGGGGTGGCGTCACCGTCCTCGACCTTGGCCTTCTTGGCGGGGGCCTCAGCGGCGACAGCCTCGGGCTCCTCGGAGGCCTTGCGCTTGCCGTTGGAGACGGGGGCCTCCTTCTCCTCCTCCTCGTCAGACGAGTCCGAGTCCGAGTCCGACGAGGACTCCTCCTTGGCGGCAGCCTTGGGCTTCTCCTCCTCGGTCTCCGAGTCCGAAGAGTCAGAGTCCGACGACGAAGACTCCTCCTTGGCGGCGGCAGCCTTGGGCTTCTCCTCCTCGGTCTCCGAGTCAGAGTCCGACGAGTCCGAGTCCGAGGACTCCTCCTTGGCGGCAGCGGCCTTCTGGGAACGATGTCAATTTCTGCCGCCACATGTACTGCTTGTTCCGGCAACACTTACGGGCTTCTCCTCCTCCTCAGAGTCAGAGTCCGAGTCCGACGACGACTCGTCCGACGACGACTCGGGCTCGGGGGTAGGCTCCTTCTTCTTCGACTTCTTCTCCTTCTTGGACTCCTGGTAAACGCTGTCAGCTGCCATGCTCTGTGCGGCTGGGTCGAAGCAGTGAGCTCACCTTGGCGGGAGCGGCGGCGGCGGCCTTCTCCTCGACCTTCTTGGACTTCTTGTCGGCCTTGACGGGCGCGGCAACAGCGGACTTAGCAGACTTGCCCATTTTGAAGATTGGTTGGGATGGATGGATGGGGGGGGGGGGAGATGAGGACTGCTACCCAAGAACGCTCGCTCAAATTATTCATAACCGGCCTGCCCGCCGCTGGTCGTGTGGCTGGGGTCCCACTGACGCAAAAATAATCTGCAGCAGCGGAACCAATTGCGGCGTTATTGGCTTGTGGCATTTTTTCATGTAAACAAACCCAGGCCGTGTTCGCCGGCGGGCACCGCTAATGCACGTAGATTTTATTTGTTCGGTTTGGAGGGGCGGGGGTTTATTACTATTATTTTCCTAATCAGCCCTGAGACAGATATGCTTTGCACGCGTGAGGCAAAAAGGGCCACGTAAGTAGGGGACTGCTGCGACGGGGTCCGCGGGCGACACTGTCCGGCGTGCATATAGGGGGAGAGAGACGTGAGAGTTCGCAGAGGGCGGTTGTCCTCTTTGCAGCGGGCCAAGTAGCGCGTCAAGCTGATTGAGACTTGAAGAAGCTCGCGTGAGCCATTGTCGACACAAATATGATTGCTGCGACTTCACAAATCGACGACGCCAAGGACGTCACTGACGGCATTGACCCGTGCCTTGGCTTGCGGCAGTGGACCTATGACAGCAACTGCCGCAAAGAGCCGATACAGCTACTTTCGACCGCTGGTCTATCCTGTGTCTTGCACAGCGCCGCAGACGCGCTGAAAAATGCAAGAGAGTAGAAGATCGCCTAGGAAGTATATTTTGATTATCTGATTGTACGATACATTGTCTTATCAAAGTGTTATCTGAAAAGAGCGTGTTGGTGGCACAAGGAAAGGACGACGCAAACAGTCCCGACGTGACACGGCGTCAGCCAAAAAGTGGCCTCCCGGTCTGTGGCCGGCCAAAAGAGGTCTGTTACCACCGACGACCTTCGAGCAGCCGTCTCCTTGTCCTGCATGCTCTTTGGCCATTGCCGCAGTGCGACGACCACGTCTACAACATGCACACCTGCACCCTGGGGGGGGCTTGGGCCACTGCCGCTCACGTGTGGCCACTGCAGGCATAGAGTGCCGACTATCGCCTTGCACTTCCTATGGGATCCTCAGGTGAAAATTGATTCCGCTTCGGCACTGTCGGATTCACTGGCTGGTGAGGTCGGCCGTAGGAGAGACAAGATGAAGGGACTGGCTGTATCCACGCACGCACTCGATACAGCCAACCTTCGCGCTCTCCGTTCAATCCTTCGCACACATCTCTTTCTCCACTCTTCCTCACCTCTTCCTCACCCCCTCCCCCCTCCACACCATGTTCTCCCGCTCCGCTACCCGTTCCATCGCCGCCTCGGTCCGTCAGGCCCAGGTTAGTTTCCCACCACGCCCCACGCCCCCCCCGCAACACAACAGCGCGCGAGGCGCCCACCTTTTAAGGAATCGCAACTGACGTACCCCGCAGGCCGCCCGTGGCTACGCCTCGGTCACCTCTGCCTTCGCTGGCAAGAAGGACTCGGCTGTAAGTACTGCTGCTACTGCTATAGTGTTCGTCTGCTTACATGTTGGCAGGGCAACTACTCGGTCACCCTCATCCCCGGTGACGGTACGTCATGATGTTGAAGATTTGATTGTGTTGTTTTTTTCAGGTGCTAATGCTCACAGGTATCGGTCCCGAGATCGCTGAGTCGGTCAAGAAGATCTACACCTCGGCCAAGGTGAGCAGGCCCTAAACCGCTGCATGGGATGCATTTGTCGCTGACGCTTTTGCCCAGGTCCCTATCGTTTGGGAGGAGGTTGACGTTACCCCCATCCTCAAGGACGGCAAGACTGTCATCCCCGACGATGCCATCTACAGCGTGAAGAAGAACACCGTCGCCCTCAAGGGCCCCCTTGCCACCCCCAGTGCGTCTATCTAGCGTTATCGCAGAGCCTGGGAACTCCACTGACCTCGTGAACAGTCGGCAAGGGCCACGTCTCGCTCAACCTCACCCTCCGTCGCACCTTCAACCTCTTCGCCAACGTCCGCCCCTGTGTCTCGATCCAGGGCTTCAAGACCCCCTACGACAACGTCAACACTGTCCTCATCCGTGAGAACACTGAGGGCGAGTACTCGGGTATCGAGCACGTTGTCGTCGACGGTGTCGTCCAGTCGATCAAGCTTATCACCTACGAGGCTTCGGAGCGTGTTGCCCGCTACGCCTTCCACTACGCCCAGGAGTCGGGCCGCAAGCGCGTCACCGCCGTCCACAAGGCCAACATCATGAAGATGTCCGACGGCATGTTCCTCACTGCCTGCCGCGCCGTTGCCAAGGAGTACCCCGACATTGCCTACGACGAGGACCTCCTTGACCGTATCTGCCTCCGCATCACCCAGGACCCCTCCCCCTTCGCTGACCGCGTCATGGTCATGCCCAACCTTTACGGTGACATTCTCTCCGACCTGTCGGCCGGCCTCATCGGCGGTCTCGGTCTCACCCCCTCGGGTAACATTGGTCGCGACGCCTCCATCTTCGAGGCCGTCCACGGCTCCGCCCCCGACATTGCCGGCAAGGGCCTCGCCAACCCCACCGCTCTCCTCCTCTCGTCGCTCATGATGCTCCGTCACATGGGTCTCAACGAGTACGCTGCCCGCATCGAGAAGGCCACCCTCTCGACCATTGCTGAGGGCAAGGCCATCACCGGTGACCTCGGCGGCAAGGCCTCGACCTCGGCTTACACCGACGCCATCATCGCCAAGCTCTAAGAGAAAAAAAGCAGGGTTTAACGACCCTTTCTCCCTCTGATGGAGGGAGAAGGGACCTCCAGACGTCCGAAAGTGCGGCGTAGATAGGCCGATGAATAGGGCAAATATAGTGCAACGACGGCAGTAGCAGAACGACGGCAGTAGCGGAAGCGGCACTGATAAATCGCACTGATGGAAACGAGTACTGACGATGGCGTAGATAGGTTTCCAAGTGAGAGTGAGGACTGGAGGCGCACTGCGATGGATATATGCCAAGAAGCAGACAAGGCTACGGAGATCCGGGAAGATATCGGTGCCGGCGGTTAGACGCACCGCCCTAAACATGGGGAACGGAGGGGGCGTGGGCGTGGGCCGTGCGTCGACCTGAAACTACATAATAATGTCGATGACAGGTCATTAGTCCCGCTGCCACTACGTGATCCTTTGGTCATTGGGTGAGCTGGGGCCTTGTCTGGCACATTAGCCCTGTCTGGCTCCCATATCGAAGTTGGGCTTCTGCTCTGCAACGTGCTCAGACAAACTCGGTGTCGGATGTGTGTCGCAGAAACACATAGCTTGCCGAGTGTGAGCACCGCCGATCCGCCGACTGAAGAGGCAACTGGAGCGTGGTTGTGGGTGGCTGGGTGCATAGCCACACATAGCGGGTGGCATAATCGCCAGCTCGGACGCGCGCGGACGGTTTGATCGGGGCTGGTCCGTTGGGCGTTGGCGTTGGAGAACCAAGTATCATTGAGACTTGTGAATACTACCTCTCCATAGTGCGTTTTCAGATGAGTAGCCGGGGGCCGGAGGGAAGGTAATCTCCCACGCTCCTCGACGTCGACTGGCACAGCGAATTCTCCTACCCCAGTATCAGCTCCTACTGCAGTGCACAGCCCATACAGTTCACAGCCCTCAAGGTGGCATGCACAACCTACTTGTTGGTGAGTAGATGTGCCCGCTGCCTCGATTTGAGAGCTTCCTCAGAGAGATGGAACGATGTGATGTGTGCGCTCGGTCAATCCTGGTTGATCGTCCTGCCTCAGGCCGAGTACGAACGGCGGGAATATGTATCAAACGGTCAGCAAGGCGGACGGAGTTGGTTGTAAAGCAGTTGGTTGTAAAGCAGAAGGCCGACAGGAGGGAGGTTTGCCTCAAATATCCGGGAGCGGCCACCAAAAAGACACCGATGCCGTCGTTTTTGTTGGCGACAGTTCCTTCTTGGAGCTCTGATCGTTGACAGCCTTGACAGGCGGCCTTCATTGAACGCCAGATATTAACGCTCCCGGACACTAAACGTTCGGCGCCCCGGGCCATGGCAGGCTCATGCTCTGTGGGTCGTACCGCCATTGAACAGTCGAGCGATCGCATACCAAACACACTCCCCACTGAATCCACTAGCTCGAAAGAGGCCGAGGAGACGACATCCTCATCGGACGATGTGGGGCCGCTCTGGTACGGCGCCGACCAAGGCCAAGTTGCAAGCCCACAGATCCACAGATCTGCCACTGGCCACTGGCACCACTGAAAGCACAGACGGAGCGCCGACAATCGACATCATCGAGGGCTTGATTTCGATTCCCGGAGCTGAGCTCGGAGCTGAGAGCACGGCAACAATTTGGTATATCCTCCCAACCCAGCGAGCCGCCGGCTGTGAGCTCTGGCAAGACGATCTAGCCGCACGACTCTCGGTAGGTGCAGTCATTTAGTTAGTAGTCATGTAGGAAGATGATCAAGCTCCATGTGACTGCTGCGGGAACGTGTTGGAGGAAGCCGAAATTCCAAACACGGAGGAAGATCCGTTCCGGGTCTAATCTCCAAAACGACATCCATCGTCGACCCGCTGTCCTGATATCGTACCGCATTCATGGAAACATAAGGCATTGAGCCAACCGCCTCTCTCTCTCTCCACCCCCCTTCGGCCCAATCCTGCTGCCTCGCCTTCTGCAACAACTGTCCGCTCCGCTCAGTCCCTGCCGCCAAATCTGCCGAGAACAGAGTACACGCCGTCCACCCGTCCGTCCACCGCCTACGCCTGCCCCCAAAGTCGGCGCCTTTGGATTCACAGAGGTGTCCTGGCTCTCTACTTTTACTACGGATTTCCCTGCGGAGACGGATACTGCGCGGGATTCCGGCCCCGCCCCTACTTCTCAAACCGAGTCAGCTGCCGCTGCAGCCTGCAGATTGAACCAGACGTCTGGGCGTCCAGCCCCGAGGCTTGATACCGGACCTCCAGCTCCGGCCCTTTACGCCTAGCTCGAGAGTTTGGTTTGTTCGACATCTCATTGTCCCAACTCTCTCGCACCTTCTCGTTTTCTTTGGCCGCTTCTTATAATTCGGGATCTTGTTTGAAGGAAAGCGCCCCCACACAACCAGGCCTCGCCAACAGCAAACCTCAAAATAACGCAACTGCCCTCATCAACCAAGATGTCCGAGTCGGGTACTGCTGTCCCGGCGCCCAGAGAGCGCGCAGCCGCTGAGCGCCGCCTTATTTGGAAGCTCGATTTCCTGCTCATGCCTCTCCTCACCGTCACTTTGGGCTTGCAGTACTACGACAAGGCAGCGCTGGGCTCGGCGGTCGCGTTTGGTATCCTCAAAGACTTGGTGTGTCCAGATTTATCTCCACCTACCCTGGGTGCCCGGCCCTATATCCCCACATATCCCTCTCCCCCCGTCAGTGGCTGACCCCTAAGCAACTGTCAACGACGCACGATGGTGTCACTTCGACTGCCCGCTACTCGACGGCGACTGCGTGCTTCTACTATGGTTACATCGTTGCCGTCCTTCCGATGGCGCTCCTCTTTGCCCGCCTCAATTTGAGGTATGCGGCCGGTACTGTCATTGTGATCTGGGGTGTTGTTGCTATTCTCACTGTCGTCTGCACCAACTGTAAGTCCTATGTGGACGAAGAGATGAACAGTACTGACCTCTACCCCCAGACAAGGGTTTCTATGTGCAGCGCTTCTTCCTTGGACTTCTGGAGTCTGCGGTCAGCCCATGCTTTGTCGCGATCACGGCCCTCTGGTACAAGCCTCAAGAGCAGGCCACACGCCTGGGTATCTGGTACTCGGCCACGGGTATCTTCTCCATGTTCAGTGGTGCCGTCAACTACGGCCTTGGAAGCAGTGGTGATGCCCACGCGTGGAAGTACATGTACGTTTTACCAGACGCCTTAATTCATGGCTAATGTTCAGCTACTATTTCTGTGGCTCTCTCACCATTGCATGGGGCTTCATCGTTATGGCCATTCTGCCGGCTTCGCCTCTTCAACCGGGTCCCTTCTTCACCGCTTCTGAGCGCGACATCCTTGTTCGCCGCTTCGAGCAGAACCCATACGCCCGTGACAGGCAGAGCTTCAAGAAGGACCAGTGCATCGAGGCCCTCCTCGACATCCGTACCTACATTTATCTCTTCATGGCCACCATGACGTACATGTGTAACGGCGCAGTAACCGCGTTCGGTACTCTTATCATCAAGAGCATCGGCTACACTGGTCTCCAGTCTATTGCGCTTGGTATCCCCGGTGGAGCCGTTACTTGCATCACCATCTACTTCTTCACGTACCTCGCCGACAAGTACAAGAACATTCGCACTTACCTCTTCCCCCTGTCGTGTATCCCGGTGGTTGTTGGCGCTATTGTCATGTGAGTGCAGCTTCCTGGTCGCGGATGAGCCGATTGCTTACAACGCAGCTGGACTGCGCCCTGGCACCCCACCGCCGGTCCCCTCATCGGTTACTACCTCGTCGCGAGTTTCGGTGCGCCATACGTGCTGCTTCTTGCCATCGCTTCGGCCAACACTGCTGGTAAATTCGCCACGTTGATGTCGTCGGACTAAGCTTACCCTCCTCCCTCCCAGGCTCCACGAAGAAGGCCATTACCTCCGGCGCCATCTTCATCGGATACAACGTCGGCAACATTGCCGCTGCGTACACTGTGAAGGCCCAGGAAGTGCACATCAAGTACCGCAGCACGTGGATAACCGTTATCGTCTCCATGGTTGTCGCCAGCATTGCGTCCATTGTGCTCCGCTTCGTGCTCATTTCCATGAACAAGAAGCGCGAGGCGGCCGGCACGGCCGACCCTTCTCCCGAGGCTGTGCAGGCAGCTCGGGAGGACGATGAGAAGACTGTCACGGCTCAGACCCACGGCAGTGGCGCAGTGGAGGGTGAGGCGCCGCTTGTTATCGACAAGGTGGAGGAGTATGTCGATCTCACGGACAAGCAAGCACCCTTCTTCCGATACACTCTGTAACAAACAGATTATATTGGAATCTTATTATGGCATCTTAATTGCGTGGTGGCTATTGGCAGCAGGGGTCTGACTCTGCGCGTTGAACGAAGTCTCCTGAGATAGGCATTTGCACCATTCCGACCTTCTTACATTGCTGTCCCTCAGCCTCTCGCCGGTCATCCACGGTAGTCAAACACACCGTCATCGACTACCTTGAGTAAAGGGATGCATATAGGCGCTCCTGTTGGTCTCATCTAGGGCCGCTTCACACAGCTTTCGGTTACGTTACGCCTACATAGTGTGCGTTCTTACTAAGCCCTCACCCCCACCAGACGAAGCACCTGCGGCGTCTCATCTGGCTCGTGAACTGGCCTAAGACGGTTGGCCGGGTCATCGGAGCCGTCTGGGCGCTTGGGAACGGAAAGGTACTCCTCTGGGAGCACGTTCATGTTCTTGAATGATCAGCCACTGTCTATAAACGAGGGGACTCACCGGCCAGTGCGTCGTAAGCTTGCGGTCCTTAAAGACCTGAAGCTTCTTGGCCAAGACCTCATCTGAGGCCATGTTGCGAGGGCACAGACAGACATAAGCAACGAAGCGTGTCTGCGTCCCGCGCGGCGAGCAGTTCCAGTGAACGGTGCGCGAGTCCCACACTGACCTATCAGCACACCAACGCAAACCATCACTCACAGATAAGGTCACCTGGACCAGCGCAAACCTTGACCTCCTCGCACCCTTGTGCTTTGAACCATTCATAGTCTTCGTCGATGAGCCTGTACGAGTTCTCGTTTTCACCGCCATCTTGGTCAGGCCGGAAGCCCCCAATGGTGGCCAGGTGCTTTTCAATTAGACGATGCGAGCCTTTGAGGAGACACAGTCCACCATCGTTGGGACCGTTGGGGGCGAGGTTGGCAATGCCTTGGTACAACTCAAAACGGTCGGCACGGCGTGGGTTCTGGTCAATGTCTTGCAGACGTCAGGACTGTGGCTCTTTCACTTCACTCACGCGGCCACTTGCCCGTGGGCTCAATGTCGGTGCGACCGGTCTCGGCGTTGATGGGAAGAGTGATGTTAATACAATCAAACGACGAAATGAGGTCGTCTGTTCCCCAAACATCTGCGAAGGTCTGAAAAATGCCAGGATGCCTGAGGACCAGGTTAGCAAGACGCTCGCACATGGGAGTGGCTTACGACCGGATTTGCCAAACGAAGTTTTCATGGCAAGCTGCATACTGCAGGAATATGCCGTGTCTGTACGTCAGCAAACATGACAGTCTTTTGGGTAGTTACGTGTTGTCAGGCAGGTTTTGTGCCGTCCATGTTGACTTGTCGTCTCGCTTGAAGCCGTACGGGAAGGCTTCGAGCCACGACAGGGCTGCTTCCTGAAATCCATCGCAGGCAGACTGGGGGATGACACCGGGCACAACGACGTAACCGTCGCGCTCCAGGTCAACAAGGAACTGCTTCTTAGTCATGGGTGTTCTGTGGAGGCTTCGCCAGAGAACGAGGGAGGTGGTTTGCAAGGCATGGACACAACCAAAAGCTCACCATTAAGTATGTACCCGAGTCTCGGCGGATAAGTGGCAAACGCGCCGACAACCCGGCGGGTCTGCTGACGGACCAGCCAACTGCGACAACCTACCGTGCAGCCTAACCGTGCAAAACGCAAAAGCAACAGCCATCGGTGCGGGCACCCCAAGGTTGTCAGACGGGGCAACTCTGGGGTCCCGACGCAATGCAGCTCACTTTGTGGCGGTCTGGTGGTATGTCCGGGGCACGCGTGATAATTCCCTGCGGGAGTCCCGCAGGATCCACAGGTCGTGGAGAGGGGCCCACACAAGTGCGACTTGGTGGGCCGTCCTGTAGTCCAGACTGGCTTGTTGGCACAAGTGTAAACCAGCACTTCGGTTGCTGATCGGTAGCTGACAGCTTGTGAACCGTCACTGATCACTGATCACTTCACTGGTCACTGTCCCTCCGCGGATAAGGAATCGTCCCTGCAGATCCGTCAACACTGTCCGCCTATCAGCCCCTCTCTTACGCGTATATGTGTCGTTGTCCGGCATAACCCTATATAATTTCTTTATATGCCCTGCGCTATCACCCACTCCTTGTGAAGGTACTCCCAGGCCTGTCGTATCGAATGAATGTTTTTGTGCAGTTTAAGAAGAATCTGGGCCATGGCGGTGGTCTCTCTTCTGTGACCCGGCTTTTAGTACACGGGCCATGATCCATACGGTGAACCGTACACGAACCATATCCTAGTGACACCGGTGTGCGTGCTCCTGACCTTTTACAATTGACATGCTCGTTGTGACTGACCGTTGGAAGATATGCCACAGAACGCCGCGGCGTAGGTACTGGGCGCATCTCACCCAGGCACGCGTTTGGCAGATGGTCTTTGGCAGGAGACTCACCTGGCGTCGAGGTTGTCTGCAATTGGTTCAACAGCGTGCTCCGAACATGCCAAGCATGCTCTTCTGTTGCAGATGCAAGCTGTGCCGTTGAAAGACAGTGGTCTCCAACAATAGCCACTGCGAGCGACAATAGATTGACATTCCGACTCGGCTTTTTCGGTGACGTCAACGCCCCCTGTGATTGCCGGTGTCAACTGCGTCGGTCACCACATGGAGCTGTGCGGGACACGCTACTTAATTTTACATTTGCCAAATCGTCCTCGCTCCATTAATCGTTCCATCCCGTTTCACTTCCTCAGCCTTCTCGTGAGGCCATGTCCACCCTCGTCCCAGGCCCCCACGACTCTTCCGAACATGCCGCACTCGGCACGGCCGACAGCTTGCCATCCATGAACAATGGGCACCTTGCCGAAAAGTCCTTGTTTACGCGTCTGAGCACCCATCTGGCGGGCGACGTAGACTCCAAGCAGTGCAACGGCGTTAGCATCTTTGCTTGTTTCCTCACTGGGTTCTCCAGTGCCATTTCGTTTACGGTCAGTCTTGCTAGTCTGCCCTCCAACCTTGGCATGTAGCTTGGCATACATCGAGTATACTGACTCCCGCCGCAGGCATGCTACGTCTGGCCGGGATTCCAAACCGGTAACGTGGCCCAGCTCGCCATCGCCATGGCACGCAACTTTGACCCCTCGCCGACTCGCACAAATGGGTTCCAAAAGGGCGACCAGCAAGCGCTCACTGCGTTGATCTCGTTCTGGCTCGGCACCAGCCTCGGACGGATAGGCGATAGGGTCGGCAACAAGCGGCGCTCGTGGCTGGTCAGTGCCGCACTTATCCAAGTGCTGCTGGCTCTGACTAGTGCGCTTCTGGCGCACTTCTCGGGAGAAGGAGCTTATGGCATGTGAGTGAAAGGCAGGGAGGGCCCTGGTCGTCGTTGCTCTTAAACTACCACTTGTCCTTACAAACACTGACATGGGCTTCACAGTAACCGATCCACCCCCTCGTGGCGTACACCAATGGGTATGGCGGCCCTCGCCTTCCTGTCTTCATCGCTCGGCCTGCAGGCAATCGTGGGCAAGCGTATCGGCTCGCCTATGAACACGACGGTCGTCCTCACCACCACTTGGGTGGAGATCTTCAACGACCCCCAGCTGCTCAGCTTCCACGCCGTTCCCAGCAGGGACATCCGTATTGCAGGCGTCATGAGCATCCTTGTGGGTGCGTTCACCGCCCGTGCACTGCTCGGAGTGGCAGGTGGCGGTGGAACAGTCGGTGTGCTGTGCGGATTGAGGCTGTTGCAGGCCGTGTGGTGGGGTAGCATTCCTGAAAAGGCCATCATGCTGTAGTGACGTCCCGTCCCCACCCAATTACATAGACTTGTAGACTCTGAACACAATCGAGTTGCATAATCCCTGCAAATCTACTGAAAAAAGCACATCCTTGTATGTGCATTATGCGCCCCGGCCGCGACGAACAAGGTGATAAATCGCCGCAGACGCTGCGTTTTAACTGCTAATAAACCCGAGGATATGTCTAATCTTTTTACAGGAGAGCGGCGACAGCCATGGCGACCACACCAATGGCGCCACCCGAGACGGCGAGGCGCTCACCAGCCGACTTGGCCGAGGCGGTCGAGGCCGCGGACGTAGCGTGAGCAGCCGCAGACGAGGCCGAGACGGCGGCAGGCGACGACGAGTTGTCAACGGTGGTTCCAGTGTAAGTGAAGTTGGGGTTGACGTTGAGCTCGTTGACGCTGCCGGTGAGGTTGAGAGGAGTGGGCGCCGACGAGAGGCTGGCGTCAACGGCCGAGGTGTTGTAGAAGACCGAGCCGTTACCAGCGCCGGTGGCGGTCACGTCGGGGGCGAGGATGGGGATCCACATGGCAGGGTTGCAGGCACCGGGGTAAGTGCCAGTGAGGTTGAGCATGGGGATCTCGGCCTCGGTGGGGACGTAGTTGGTGTGGTTGGTGATCTCAGCCTGGAAAGCAAAGACCGAGGCAACAGTCTTGTTGGCGTCCTGGCGACCAAGCGACGGGAGGTTCCAGTTGTTCTGGACCGACGAGAGGTGCGAGTAGTGGGTGTAGAAGGTCGAGTCGTTGGTGCCCTTGAGCGACGAGGGGACGGCACCACCGAGGAGAACAGTGTAGATCTGGTTCTGGATACCGTACGACTCGTTCTCGTCAAAGGTGAGCTGGACAAGGGTACGGTTGTCGTTGAACAGAGGGTTGGAGAGGAGGGGGACAAGGAAGTACTCGAGCCACTCCGAGACAAAGTTGACGTCCGTGTCGTGAGCGTCGTTGACCATGTTGGGGGTGATCCAGACGTGCTGGGGGAGAGCCGAGGCGTTGACGTCAACGGCAAAGTCGTTGAAGTTGCGGACACGGAGGGCACGCTTGGCGTCCGAGGCAACAGTGTTGGCAATGATGTGGGGGTTGTGCTTGCGCTTGTAATAGGTGTAGTTGCCCGCAGTCGCGTTAAGGTAGTTGGTCTGGGTGTAGTCGAGGTCGTAGCCGTCGGTGGGCATGTTCTCCTGGTACGAGGCCCACGAGATGTCGCGGTCCTCGAGGAGGTCGACCAGGGTCGAAACGTTGTAGGGGAGGAACCAGGTGTCATCGTCGGCCATACCGACTGTTCGCAGCTTGTCAGCCCCCTCCTGGCGATGTACACCATTTCTCAAATCGCCACTTACAGAAGTCACCCATCATGGCCGCGACGTAGTTGGGCTCCGAAGGGTGGGTCACACCGTGGTACGAGGTGAGAAGGATACCCTCAGCAGCGAGCTTCTGGAAGGTGGACGAGGCGGCAGCCGAGGCGTAGTCGGTGTTCTCGAGCCAGATGGTGACAAAGCGGTCGTAAGCTGAGAGGTTAGCTACCATTCTGTGGCACATAACCATCAAAAAGACTTACCACTGCCGGCAACGACGGTCTGGACAGGGAGCGAGCCGTTGCTCTGGCCAACATAGTTGCTAGAAACGCAGGTCGGGCACTCGGCAGGAGCAGCAAAGGACTGAACCTGGACGGCCTGGGCGACGGGGAGGAGGGCAGCGAGGAGGGCAAGCATTGTTGCGATCTGCGAGATGTGGTAGAGGCACGAGAAGCAGCACCCGATAGGCGTGAGTGTCCTATATAGCTTTTGTGGAATCGGCGCTGGCCGCGATCAGCGAGCGGAAAAGACACCCGCGTGCTCCAAGACGAACAACCACAGGTGGGGCACACGGCCTGAACAGTAGTGTATCCTTGCTTGATCCTCGATCCATTTGCCTCGGGCCGAGCAAGGGCGTTCAGACAGTTAATCCTCGTGTGCAATGTGAGAATTCTGGTTGGTCGGAAAACAGACGTCGAAGCGACGATGGCGACGCGTGCTGACGACAAGGACAGAGCCGAAAGAGGGAGGAGACCGACCTAGCCCTAAACTGTGCCGGCCAGAGTTCACGCGGGATGGCGCAAATGGAGTCATGTATAGTGTGGAACAGGTTTCGTGGAATGAACGTGTGTCGAGCTAACGTCGCGAGATGTGGCCCAAACGAGCGCGCACGAGTGTAAGGATGTGTGACGTCAAAGTGAGGCTGAAACGGGAACATGGCCATTGGCTGAAGATGCCATGTCGCAGGTGGCCGAAGTGGGCTGGGAACTAGAAGGGATGGCGCCTGGTTCGCAAGTGCTGCGGCTTGGCGAGAGGCACACGCTGCTATGAATAGCGCAGCAGCGACAGGCCAAGGTGGGGAGGCAACACGTGCAATGCCTCTGCAGCAACAAACCGCCTACACGCCAATCAACATTCCCCCTCTCAGTTCGTCCAGGACGCGGCTTCCCGGGACAGGCGAGTGTACCGGGTCCACCAGGGTGTCACCGACCTGTGGCGTACGATTCAACGAGACTAACGCCACAGTGTACCGTGTGCAGTGTATACGGTATGCGTATGCGTCACCAGCATAACCTTGGAGGGTGCCAGGTCGATCGTGACCACATTAGTCGTGTGGGTCGTCTGTCCATACCGGATATACGGGCCCCCGTGCTTGGCGTCATGTTAGGGTCCTAATACTAGCCGAGCTACACGAGCGGCTGATATGTTCACTCTCGTCTTCTTCTTGATACACGTGCATGGAGAGCTGTAGTGCATGTAGTGTGGGGAATCGTTCTGTACGCCGGCCAGCCGGTCAATCTCAGTCTCAGAATGAGGAGTAGCGAAATGTAAAGGCTGACAGAGATCCAACGATGGAAGCGAAAAGCGCCCAAAAATGTACGCCCAGAACATATATGCGGGGCCTGGTGTGTGCCAAGCGGTTCCATTCGGATCGACATTGTAATTGTCCAAACCTGTTTCGCTGCTGATAACTGAGTGTTGGCTGTCATCCTGTTGCTCTAGGCTCTGCTTGGTTGTTTTGCGCCTCTTTTCCGAGTTCCTGGACCCGCGCGGGAGAGCCTGCCGATAGCTTAGCGCCAAACCACAACCGTGCACGATACATTGCACTGTCCTGTACTGTACATCACGCACGTTTCTTTCAACACCGTCCATATCGTCTCTCGGCACCTTTACCGTCTACCTGTCCAGGCGCAAACGACTGCGCAGGACCACCAGGCTCTCGGTCATGGTTACACGCGTGCATGCGTACACCGAACACCGTGGTCGCTCCATGTGCGGCGAGGTTGTGAACACGGCCGAAAGTTGATCAAAAGATTAACAACGAGCAACACCAAGTGACCCGACAGACCCGAAAACAAAAGTCACTTGCGCCATTTTATGCACGCAGGGCTGCTCTCAGTCGAGATCATACCCCCCTGCCACTGCCTCTGCCTTTCTCCCGTGATCGACGGCCATGTCCAACTCTTCACACAAGGAAACTGAGGAGAACGCGACCAAGGCAGCGCCGCGCCGCCGCCGTCTTGGATGGCTTTTGGCGTTGGTCGCTGTTGTCGTTGTCCTTGCCATCGCACTCGGTGTTGGCCTCGGCGTGGGCCTCAAGCACAAGCATAACTCAAGCGACAGCAAAGCTACCGCCAATGGCACCACAAATGGCACTTCCACAGCTGACCTTGCCGTACGTCGTCGTGCTTCACCTGTCCGTTATCTGACTGTCCACAGGTCATCTCGCGTGCCGATCTTCTTGGCGACCAGTCACGGTACTTGCTCTCGAACCGCAACTTTGAGATCACCAATGCCACCACCCAGGTGCGCGAGTACAACTGGACCATCTCCGAGGTCCTCTCCACCCCTGGTGCCATGCAAAAGCCCATGCTGGTCATCAATGGCCAGTCGCCTGGCCCTATCGTCGAGGCCAACCTCGGTGACCAGATTGTCGTTCACGTCTACAACAACATGACAAACCAGACATCTATGCACTGGCACGGCATGCACCTGAAGGGCCAGAACTGGATGGACGGCACCTACTCGATCACGCAGTGCGGTATTCCACCCGGCGGCATGATGACGTACAACTGGACAGTGCAGAACACTGGCACAACATGGTACCATGCCCACATGGGTGTGCAGTACACCAACGGCGCGTACGGTGCTTTGATTCTTCACGACGCCAACGAGACGGCCATGCTGTCTCACCCCTACTCGGACGACGTCACCCTCCTGCTCAACGACATGTACAACACCCAGGCGGAGGCCCTGCTGTGGCGCATGCAGGCGATTGGTACCGGCATCGACGGGCAGCCTGGTGACGAGCCGGCCCCCGACGGTGCCATGATCAATGGGGTGTCCCAGGCCAGGTGCGCTTACCTTCCTGCATCAAACCTCGTGATTCCCGAACGCAAGCGTTCGCTCGTTGACAGGTCGGACACTACGGGAACCTACTACCCCGAGACCAACTACTGTGGCAACGAGACCACAGAGTACTACAACCTCACCCTTGTCGGCAACTCGACGTACCGCCTCCGCCTCATCAACTCTGGTACCCTTGCCAACACGATCTTTAGCATTGACAACCACAACCTCACCATCATCGAGGTTGACGGTACATCGGTCGAGCCTGTCACGACCGGCAGCGTCAACCTTGCGGTGGCCCAGCGCGCTTCCGTACTTGTCACGCTGGACCAGGAGCCGGGAGCGTACTGGATCCGCAACGTCCTCGGCGATGACCAGATCATCTACACCCCTACAGACCTGAACCTTACGACACTCGGTGTGCTCCGCTACTCTGGCATCAACGAGAGCGTTCTGCCCGCCGACGTCCCCGCCGACGACAACATGACTGAGACCGACCCATTCTACCGCTTCGTGCCCGCGGACGCGATGGACGCGCCGGCCCCCACTGTCCAGCAGACGGTCCAGTTCAACTCGCAGTACGTTGCCGACAATGCGCGGTGGATGTTCTTCAACTCGTCGTCGTGGCAGCCCCTGTCGTCTGGCGAGGCGTCCATCTTCCTCGTGGACGACTATGCGTCCAACGTGACGGCGCTCGAGTCCAACACCATTGGCAGCCAGCTGAACATTGTCAACACGAACGCGTCGGGTGTCATGGACCTGGTGATCAACAATCTCGACGACGGAAACCACCCCTTCCATCTTCACGGCTACACGTTTTGGGTCATGGCGCAGGGCGATGGCCATTTCTACGGCGACACAAGCAGCCTCAACGTCACCAACCCCATGCGCCGTGACACCACGACCATCTCGGAGCGCGGGTACCTCATCATTCGCTTCCTGACCGACAACCCCGGTGTGTGGGCGTTCCACTGCCACATTGGCTGGCACATGGAGAACGGTCTGCTCATGACCATCACAAACCTCCCCGAGCAGGTGGCGGCCTTTGACGTGCCGTCGGCTATCAAGGACCTGTGTACCGTCGACTCGAAGAAGCGTCGCTGAGGACACGCGGCTGGGTGGAGGAGGTAGTCTTGTTAATAGATCATTTATGGGTTCATGGGCTTCTCATGTACAATTATTAGCACCCAAACACTGTGATGAAATAACAGAGGTGCATTAATGTCTACAAGTGATTTGATGATGCGGCTCAAACAACGTGTTGCCATCTAGACCATGCGCTTCGAGTCGTCCTTGGGGGAGGAGGCCGCTGGCGGCCGTCGTCACTGAGGCTCTCGCGGATGCGGTCAAGGGCAGCACTGAGACGCTCGAGCTTCTCGGCAGCGTACACCCTTGCCCTCTCCTCGGCGAGCGCGCTCATCTCCTTGGCGTCGCGGGAGCGTTCGGCCCAGATGGCCTCTGCCGAGGCGCGGATACGGGCCATCTCGGCTTCGGCGTCGACGCGAGCCTCGGCGGGGCTCACGGGTGCGGGAGGAGTAAAGGGGGTAGGGGGCGTTGGCGGGGTGGCGACGCTGGGTACCGCGGGCTGGGTTGGGGTTGGGATGGTGGGTGGGACCGGGAGCGAGGCCTTGTGAGCGGCCTCGGCGGCAGCAGCGGCTGCCTGGGCGGCCTCCTCGCGTTCCTTCCAGCGACGTTCGGCACGGGCACGCCACTTGCCCCACTCATGGCTCCAGCGTTCACGCTCGCGTTCGCGCTCCGAGGGCTGCGCCTGGGGCATGGGCTGGGCCGGGGAGGGCTGGGCCGGGGCGGGCTGGGAAGCAGCAGCGGCAGCGGCAGCGGCGGCTACTTCAGGCGAGACTTCAGTTGTAAAGTCTACAGGGACGGGTGGGGGAGGAGGGATCGTCTGGAAGCCTGCGCGGTGGTGTGGCCAGTCATAGCGGTAAGGCGGCTGGTGGCCGTACTCGGACGGATGCTGAGGAGGAGGGAGGCTGGGTCGGCCACACCGTCTTCCGCCTTCACGGTCGTCGTGGTGGTGCTTGATCCAAAGCGAGGCCGCAGTGGCACCGAGGCCGAACCAGATGAAGCGGCGGAAGATGCCAAACGGGCGACGATAGTGGTAGACCGAGCGGCGATACCTGTATGGGTCCATTGTGCTATTTGTGCAATGTGTGTGTGTGTGTGGAGGTGTTCAAGGCGATGCCGAGAGTGGGACTGTGCTGTTGTTGCTGTGGAGGTTGCGGCGAGTGATCTCGAGATGAGTGTCTGTGTCGAGTCGCGGCGTCGAGCAGTAGATATAGTGTTCTGAGGTGTCAGAGGCAGCGCCGGCCGGCAGAGGTGCCGCGTACACGCGCAGGCTGCCGAGTGGAATGGACAAGCGTGCAAGAGCGTTCCGGCGGCGACGCTGACATCAGTGTGGAACGGAATGTCCCAGAGAGCAGTGGCCACCGACGGACACGGGCTGACGCGTAGAACCGGCTCCCGGCACCTCCACATGAGAGAGCAGGGCCCCTGCCATAAACCGAGTAGATATTATTACGTAAAAGTAATGTTGAAATAGGCGTCACCACCGTCACCGTCCCGCGCCTATTAATTTCTGGGAGAAATGCGACAAAAATGCACGCTCGGCTAATCGCCACCCTCCGCCCACGGCAGCCTCCGCCCGACGACTCCGAAGGAGAGACGCTGTCCGTGATTTTCCAGAATCAACGGTCGCTGCAACCACTTACTCGCTCATCTCATCTCAAAATGTCGTTCCTCGGCGGCCTCTTTGGCGTCTCCTCGCCCCAGCCTGAGAAGGAGACCTCGGCGTCGGCCGACCTGTTTGGCTCCACCACTTTCCGCTCCAATGTGACCCCCTCGGCCACCGCCGAGTCGGGTCCCTCTACCCTCCCCGCCGCTCCCCCGTCCGAGCCTGTTATTGCCGCCCCCTCGTCGCTTGGCATGCTCCAGAGCTCGTTTGATGTTTCCAAGCTCCACCCCATGGCCGACATTGGCGAGAACCTCGACTTCCTTGCCCTTGAGGAGGACAAGCTCAACGACATTGACGGTGCCGCCACCGTCCTTCCCTCGCGTGGCTGGACCGACGACCTCTGTGTCGGTACTGGTACCACCTACGTCTCTGGTACGCTACACTCGAGAGGCCTACAAGTCTCTCCTTGTGACACGAAGGCCGTTAGCTGACATTTGTTTCCAGGTCTGACTCTTGGTGGCATGTGGGGCCTCAAGGAGGGCTTGTCCAGGCCACTCGGCCCCAACGCCTCGATGCGTCTGCGGTTAAACAGTGTGCTCAACTCCTGCACCAGGAGAGGCTCGTTCACCGGCAACTCGCTCGGTGTGCTTGGTGCGTGCTTGCTTGCGTGGCCCTACCGCCCGCGTCTTTTCGGGATTTGTTCGTGCGGGAGTTTTGATGCTGACCACTTTTGTTTTTAGCCATCTACTACAACCTGGCAAACTCGGGCCTGGACGCTATCCGTTCCAAGCACGACATTATGAACTCTATGGCTGCCGGTGCCATCTCCGGCGGCATCTTCAAGTGCACCGCTGGTGTGCGCTCGACCCTCGTCGGTGCCGCCCTCGGCACTGGTGCCATGGGCGCTTGGTCGCTCTTCAAGCAGTATGTGTAGTGTGGAGGTGGTCATATTCCACGCCGCGGCCAACGACCGCGGTCTTCAGAGATCGACCTCCTTGTAGACCTCCCTCGCCTTGTACCCTATCGCATGCACTCTACTCTCATTTCAACGCCTGTAGCAAACGGTGGTGACCACAAAACGCTGGGGTGGCGAGACCCGCCAAATCTCCGCAATATAACCCTCCCGACTGTACACTGTCAACATCCAACACGCTAAAACAAGGCCAAACGAACATTTCATGTTGCGTCTGGGGCGACTTGCGTGCAGTCCCACATGGCCACATGTAAAGGTGTCTTGGTCTTGGCAGACAAAAGCCGGGCACGCCTCGGGACACAATCTCAGAGCTCGTCCCATCGATCACCGACCATTCCAGAGATCCCTTTCCGAATCAGCTGCCTGGCACTGCCGCGGCACCGCGGTAGTAGCGTCGTAGCATGAATTTTGTCAACCGGATATCGACGTTTTGATGTGCCGTTCACTTTGATCATTCTCAGACCGCCAAGAACGAGCCAGTACTGCCATTCCTCTCCTCTTACCCCGGACAACTGCATACCACGGCCGCCCCGATCGTGTGAGACTCTGTTGAGCCACCCGATCCCGATGATGCGCAAGAGAGAACGCCACAGCGCAGAGGGCCCAGAGAGAAGTGGGGGTCGTGAATAAGCCACTGGCGGGCCGGCCTCTGCCCTCATGAACCTGGATTTCACCACTGAGCGATATTGTTGACGCGCCTGGCGCTCTGATGGGTACCGGAGCCGACAACGTCCTGATGGTGGAACACCCACAACCCACATTGCGGGGGTTTGCCAGGAAAGCCGGGGGCCAGCGAGCGGTCCGGCGGTTGCCTATTTTACTCATATGCTCTTGTTCTCACTCGTTTCTTCGTGTCTTCCATCACCATCCCCCCTCAACCCCCCCACACACCTCGTCTGTCCAGCTGGTCACATGGAGCCGCTAGACCCGTACGCAGGGCCGTCCGCGGGGCCGTCCACTGTGCCGCTGAGTCCCTCCAACCCGTCACTTTCCCAGTCACCAGACGTATTGCTCTCCTCGACACGTAAACGGCTGTCAGAGGGACCACAGCGCGCCAAGAACCTCCAGGCGTGCGACCGGTGTCGGACAAAGGTGAGCCTCCGTCCCCCCACCGACTGATTGCCAGTTGACATCTATACTAACGCTGCGCAGAAAATCAAGTACGCACGCAGTGCTCGAGCTCTTGCTAACGACAGATGCGTCCCCGTTGACGGCCGCCGCGATATCTGCCACTCGTGTCACTCGTCTCGACTGGGGTGTACATTTGAGCTTCCGCTCACTGCGTCCCGTACCAAGCGCGTGCGCCGTGGACTCGGCGCTGAAGCGCAAGGCCCGCTCTCGACCAGCCACGATGGCAACAGCGATGACGAAAGCGTCACGACACGGTCACCCCGCGTCGTCCATGGCCATGGCCTCAACACGCCAGTCACGTCCAGTTCGAGCAACAGCCGCCGCGAGTCGCAGCCCCAAGCTGAACAGAATCGCTTGCCTACGGTCCACAGGGAAGGTGAGTCAAAAGATCGACGGGGGGAAAAGGAGATTGTGGTGGCTCAGATCCCACTGTGCTGGCATGTACATCACACGGTGATCGGCTACCCACACAGCCTGGATTATTTCAGTGCACGGGTGGGGTATGCTGGGATAAACGGAAGCCACACACGGAATGCACGGAGGCCACGTCCTCTTGCTTCGGGGCTGAGCTCCGGGGGAATGCCGCGGCCCACCCGTGGGTTGGTCGGAGGGGGGAAGAGATCTCGCGCAGTGGCGACATAACGCCAGCTGCGACGGGGGGCTTTTAGGCGGGGGTGTGGGTGTTGGAGGCGGTTTGTTCTCTACGCCTCCGTCTTGGGAACGCCTCTCCGTGCCTCATCTGGAAACAATGTCTGTTCGAACTGGAAAAGAGCTGACGCGCGGTTCCTCGTGCTTCAGGTCCCACAAGTCTTTCTTTTATTCTCCATGCGATGCCGACCATTCCACTCGGCCCATTGGACGAATATGATCGCACGAACGGCTACGTCATGCGCCTCAGTTCCGGACCAGGTCATGCTGGCTCGCCAGAGAATGAAAATAGCCAGGACGGTTGGATTGACGTGTCGACGGCCCCCGGTGTCAAGCCTACTCGGGAGGTGCTGGACGTTTTGCGCTCAGACTCTTGGGGGGAGGTGGCGAGCCGCCTCGTGGAGAAGTTTCTTGGCCACGTCGTACCCGTCATCCCCATCGTGGTGCGTGGCGAGGTCGGAGCTGCCAGTGGCCCACTGCTTCACGCAATGGCGGCGGTGGCAGCCGCCAGAAGCGATGTCCCTCCTCTGGTCTTTGAAGCGCTGCGGTACTTGACGCACAAGGAGGTCAATGATCTGGGTATGTTTCTCAGAGTGTGTGGCTATATTGCCCAAAAGCTTACCATTATCAGACATGACATGTGTCCCTACGAGAGAAAACATACAAGTCCTGCTCACACTGTGCCTTGTCGACGAGCTGGCTATTGGTACCCGACCGGCATCCTGGGCGTATGTCATTCGGTCTCGCCTGAGTGCCGCCATCCGCCACGCCCGTGATTTAGGACTGGACGTGGCCGCGTCTGGACCTGACGCGCGGATATGGAGATGTGCCAGGATCCTGGACGTTTGGCATGCAGCCAAGTGCGGGACTTACCCACTCGCACCGGTCACCTCTCTCCCGCCACGAATGGGCGACGACTTCCATTCGCAGCTCACGTATCTCTCTCTCCTGTTCGGCCGCCTCCTGGCCCTCATGTACGGCCCCAACGGGATCAGGAACGCAGACAACCTCGAGCTGCTCCACCTCCGCGATACCCTGGCGGCGTGGAAGCAAGGTTTGCCACAGCACCTCCAAGCCGATAGCGTCTGGTCTGGTTTGGAATCTGGTGAGTTGATCAGCCTCACGCAAGACACAACTCTCTGACTCTTGCAGGCCTTTTGCAGCTTCTCCATGCCGCGATCCGTTTCCTCCTCTACCGCCCCGTAATGCGATGGTCGTTTATTGCGCCAAACCACATCGAACTGAACAGCGACGTCCCCGTCTGGCTCGAAAACGTCGAAACGTCCCGCGCAGCCATCGAGTGGGCCGCCAACCAAGAAGAGGTGGCCGGACTCATGTTCTTCGGTCCCTACGCCTTGTCGGTGGCGTGTTGTGTCCAGTATCATACCTGGGCGAGGCGCGGGGAGTGGGACGGTGCCGCGCTCTTGGCCAAGGCGAGGAGGGAAGCGGGACAGAGGTGGCTGGCGAGGATTCCAGAGGGCCACTTACCCCTCCTCCGCAAGGTGAGTGTGTGAAGGGAATGGCCAAGCCAGACGTTGCCTCTGCTTCCTGGTAACTGCGAGCAGAGTGGCACGGCACGGCACGGTGTTCACCCAACTGACCCATCACAGCAACTGGCCCCGATCGAGTTTCTCTGCCACATCACCACCCTCCATCGCGAGCCGACCGCGTTTGACGGCCCACGCGGCCTCAACCCCACCCCTGGCGTGCTCAACCGACTCGCCGAAACGTCAATCTCGGGGGTCACCTTTTTGCGCGACGCCTCGCTCCCGCACGGCGGCGTGCTTGTCGCCACCCAGCAGGCCGCGCGCGAGATCAAAGACTTGCCACCGGGCACTGTCATCATTGGCGGGAACCCGGACCAGGACGCGATGGGCGTGGGCCTGAATGGCGTGAATGTGAACGGCGTTCACGTGAATGGCGGGTCGCGCGGCAGTGGCGGCAGCGAAACACCTTCGTCTCACCACGGCGGCGGCGGAGGCGGGATCACGCCAAACACTGCCGCTGGCTACTTGAACGGCCTGCTGCAGGAAACGCCTACCCACCACAGGCAGTCGCTGCCGCCACACACCCCGCAGCAACTGCACACGCCACTGGGATGGGAGGTGAGTGTGGCAGTGTGACAGGACGTGCGCCCCAGAGCGACAACTGACATGCACACAGGTCGTCGCGTCCATGATCTTCCCGCCCATGGGCGAAAACGGCCAGCCAACCGGCGGCACCCAGTAGGTAGGTAGTGAAACGTTTGCCGCGGAGAACAAGTTGTATTGTACATGTATAGAATAGGTAGACCGGGAAGCATACGGAGCTTTGTAAGGGCGGCGGGGTGGGAGGGACACCAGGTGTCCACACCATGCAGAAAACAACAGAGACGAGATGGATACAGATGCTTCGCCATCCACACGAGGAGGGATCGACGCAAATGATACTGTGCCTGCATAGCACATGCCATGTCCATTCCCCGTCGATCTCCACCTAACCCCCACCTGCAAGTGCGACCATTGGCCAGTGGCCCAGTGGGTCCGAATGACGAGGGGGAGCGGCTCGGATCTGGATGCACGCCAGCCAGCGCAGCCTCCAGATCCGTAGATACGGTCAAAAGGGGGAGAGCACTGTGTGTCCAGGCGCAAGTCTGCGCCAGCCGATTGGCCTGGCCGGAGAGGGAATTATGCTGGAGTGGTGCGTGCCTCCTGGGCTCATGCTTAAACTGTGCCTGAAAACAAAGGGAACACTCGTGAGCTCCGGAACGAGCCGGCAGCGGGGAGGTGCAAACCCCCATCTGCTGTTGCAACGCGCAAGGAGAAATGTCCATCGTATACATGCTAGGCATTAAGGAAAACTCGTGCTGGAGACCATTGACAAGAGGGTGACACGCGAGGTCGGGGGTCGCGGGAGGGGGAGAGGGGGGACGATGCAGGGGGGGGGGGGGGGGGGGGGGACGGGTGTATGTATTTGGGGGTTGGGGGGTTGGGACGAGTCAAGGAGAATGGGAGAAAAAGAGTCCGTCTTTAAAGGAGCGTGTCTGGGAGTAATAATCTTGCGAGTCTTAGATGTGGTGGGGGTCTTGAGTCTTGGGCCTTGGTCTTAGGGGTGTCTTGTATGGAAAATGGAGGAGGAGAAAAGTCTATTCCGGCCTGCCAGGTGTCGCGGTTTACGCCTCGGAGAGGATCTTGTCAATGTTCTCGTTGAGCCAGGCCGCGCGCTCTCCCAAGTTTGCGGCTGGGAAAAGTCCGTTCATGGCCTCTCGGGCCGATCTCTTCGTGACGGTCATGAGGTCCTGAGAGTTGAGGTAGGTGCGGAGCACGCTCAGGATGGTGTGGTCGGTCGGGTTCGGGTCCGTGTTGGGGCTCAGTGCTGGGGGTGCACTGAAGGGGTTTGCCGAGCCGAGCGAGTACGTCGACGCGTGCGGGTTCTGCATGGCAGGTGCGAACGGCGGAAACATTGTGGGCGGGCGGAGGGAGCCGACATCCGACATGGCTGGCGAGTCGAAGGGGTTAAAGTGCATGGCGGGCGCGTACGGTTGGCCATACACGCTCGCGGGGCCACCCCAGCCCATGTTGGACATGCGCGGGTCCATGTACGGCTGCGGCGAGGGCTGACGCGACGAGTTGCCCGAGGGACCACCGTACGCGCTGCCGGGAGCCGACGAGTGGAACGAGGGCTCGTAACGGCGACGGCGGCCCGAACGTTCCGACTTGCGGGTGCGGACGCTCTTGCCGTCCTGCTCGCCGTCCGATGGCAACGAAGTAGTCTCCCACGCGTTGGCCTCGTACTCTTTAAAGGTGCGGTAAGGGATCATCGAGTCGTCAAACTTCTCTTCGTCGTCGTAGATGACAGTCTTGTTGTTGCCCTCACCGACGACCTGGCGAGTGTTACCCCATGAGAAGTCGTCCATGGACCAGAACGAGTAGATCGGAAGGAAGACCGAGTAGATGGGCATCGCCAAGATGTACACGACCATCCAACCGATGAGCATAAACTCGCGCTTGAGGATGAAGATGAGGGCCTGGAGACCGTACACGGCTGCAATCATGGCCAGCGAAATGGTGGGGATGGCAGCCTTGCCGCTCGCGACGGTGACGATGAGGTACACCAGGTAGGTGAACGTGGCGGGCAAGATGAGGGTACCGAGCAGATCGATGAACACGATGAAGCGCATGGAGAAGAAACAGAAACCGCACATCTCGGGAAGGAAGAGCAGCTCGGCCAGGTTGTGGATGGTCGAGTTGATCCAACGACGACGCTGCGAGAGCAAAACGTTCCAGCGCGAAGGGGCCACGGTGTATGCAAGGGCGTCGGGCGTAAACTTCATCTTGTAGGTCGGGAAGTTCTTCATCATGAGCGTGGTGAGGTAACGGTCTTCGCCGAGGGAGAAGAGGTTCTTCTTGTGCAGCGTGTCGACGTTGGGCTCCGCATACTCGTCAATGACGACCGACGAGATGATGATGGGACGGCCCTTGTCGGCCGTACGGATACGGTACACCGAGAAACAACCGGGAAGACAGGTGACGGAGCCAAAGAGCGACTCGAAGGCCTTGGTCAAGTGGTGCGAAATGTAGTATTCGTAAACCTGGATCATGGTCGTAAACGACTCGCGCTCGTTGGCCACCTTGGTTTCACCGCAGATGCCGATAATCTGCGAGTCGTCGGCCGTACACGAGATGAGACGGTTGAGCGAGTCGGGTGAAACCGTCGTGTCTGCGTCTACCTGGAAGATGTATTCGTAGAATGTCGGATCGATACCAATCACGTTGCGCATCTGGTGGTAGATTTCCAGCTCGAGAGGGCACATGGGGGCGTCAAAGTGGACACGGTTGAGGTACTGCATGAGAAGAACCTGCGAGTCACGCTTGCCACGGTTTCCGGGGCGAGACGTCTCCGAGGGCTTGCCGACCTTGACAACGACAATGTAGCTGCGGGGAGAGGGTAAGTTATAAACCAAAGCCAGGCATGCCATGTCTAGCACTCACGGAACCACGTGGCCTTCGACTTCGTAAAGACCCGAGTAGATCTTGCCATAGTTGAGCTGCTTGCTGCCTTCACCAATACTCTTGAAGATGAGAGGCTCCGGGTCAAGCTTGGGGTCCACACCCAGGATATCGAGCACGATACGCGGGGTTGGGCGGTTGTTTCCGGCACCGATAATGTTACCGTCGCAAATGATGAAGATGAGCTTGCGCTTGTCGTCATAGTTGAGCACGGCCAGCGAGTCGATGGTCTTCTTCAGCGATTCTTCGCCTTCGGTATAACATGGGACCTGGCAGACGACAAACTTGTCGAGCATCTCGGGGTTGCGCTTGCTGCCTAGCTGGAGGGCGGCCAAGAACTTGGCACCAATGGTCACCATGAGGATGATGGAGAACGCGAGCAGCAGGTAGTTTTGCACCAGGCAGCGGGCCGTCTTGCGGAAATCCGAGTTGCCAATGTAGAATGCCGTGTTGAGACAGTCGAGGTTGGCCGTCTTGTCCGCATCGGTCATGGTAGCAAAGACGGCGTTGAGCTCGGTGGTAACGTCTCCACCCGTTCCTTGCTTGAACGTCGACACGACGTCGTCGTTGAGGAACGAATACGTAGAGTACAGGTTGACCGTGTAGATGTAGTTGGAGAGATCGTAGAGTTGACCATCGTAGAAGGCCCAGTAGAGCGCAGACTGCGAGCTGGCCTGGTTGGCAACGTCCGATCGGTCCCAGACATAGTAGCCCTTCCAGAGCTTGTCGAGCTGGGGCCGCAGGGTTTGCCAGTACCACTGGTCGTCGGCGAGCTTGGACGTGTTGTGCGTCTGAAGGGAGCCGGACGTGTGGACCGCGTACGAAATGAGCGCAGTCCAGTTGGCGTAGTAGAGGGTAACATCGTCCGCGACGCCGAGGAGCTGGCACGCAACCGACAGAGGAGGCGGGAAGTAGTTGGTCAGGTCCAGGCCAGCAAACTCCTCCATGACAGTGCTGGTCACCACGCTGGTGTAGTCGGAAATGTCACCGGTGTGGCCCTTGTAAAACTTGGTAAAGTCGTACACGCGACCAGCAATGGCGGCGTAGTAGTCGTCGTCACCGGCGTGCTGGGCGAGCTCACTCGTGTTCCACGCCTTGTCGTTGTCCGGGCAGAGCAGGTTGCCGAAACCGATAATGTAAAAGATGACGACACCACAGAGGAAGGCAATCATCATGCAAATGGCGACCTTTTCACGCCACGCCATGCGCACGTCGGGACGCTTCATGCCGCCCAGCCACGAGAGCAGGAAACTGGGGATCCACCAGGTGAGCGTCCACGTGATGCGGATCCACCAGCGACGGGCCCTCGACGTGGCCACAACCTCGGTAGCGTGGTGGCGCTTCTCCTTGGTCACGAATGCGGGGTCCTTTGCGCTACGCGAAGCGGCACCGTCCTTGCCGTTACCGTCCTCGTCGGGAACGCTGGCGTACGGCGTGTCCTTGTTGAGCCACACCTCGCTGGCTCCCGGGTCGGGGCTGTCGGCGTAGCCGCCTTCATAGGCGCCGTACTCGCGGGTGCTGTAGCCAGTCTCCCTCGAGCCCTGGCGGGCCAGGAGGTTGTCCATGCTCTCGCTGTTGCGGTAGCTGTCCGGGTCGACGCCGACGCCGAGGTTGGCGCCGTAGCGCGCGTTGCCGTAAGCCGAAGCGCGGCGCGAGTCATACCCGGCCTCTTCGTCGGTGAGGGTCTCTTCTCCCGAACCGCGGTGAACCTCGGTCGAGCGGACGAGGTCCTCCTGCTCGCGCCAGGCGCCCCATGACAGCCACAGACGTTCGCTGCCAATGGCATAGTCGACACCAGTCGTCCAGCCGTGGGTACGCGCAAACTCCTCGACGGCAGTGTGCATGTCGTGCACGGGGAGAGCGTGGCGCACGCAGAACTGTTGCAGCGGGAAATCGGCCACATAGTCGATCTGGCGACGGTTGACGAGGTCGGGGAGAAGGAGGGAGCGGACCTGGGCCTTGATGCGGCGCCTGTCGTACGAGTTGGCATGTCCCGTGTCGTTGGGCCTGATGCAGTGCACGCCCCAGACGCGGGTGCAGTCGACAGTGTCAAAGATGGTCGACAAGGTGCTGTTCAGCTGAGCAGAGACAAACTGCGGGACACTCGAGTCGACGGGCCACTGGGTGGTCTCGTGCAGCTGGCTGCCAGTGACGCGGAACGTGATGGGCGTAGGCAGGCGCAAGGGCGAGACGGACACTTGGGCCTCGACGACAATGTTCTCGTCGAGGGGGTGGCCCTCGGTGGCGAGAGCAGGGCCCGAGACGAGCTTGGTGACGAACGAGTCGTTGGAGCCGCGGAGAAGCTCGACGAGCTGCTTGTCGAGGACATCGGCATTGTGGTCGATAAAGTCGGTGGCGTCGTAGGAGACCTGGCCGGCGTAGTGGTTGATACCAAACATGCGGCCCTCGAGCGGGATCGGGCCAAGTCCGGTCGCTGGGTGAGTGACAAACGACGCGTGGCGGCCGAATGCCGTAGAGAGGTGCGAGACGACCGTGCGGGCCTTGACTTCGTCACGGTCCTCACCCTTGATCTGCTCTCCCACGTCGGCAAGCACGCCAAGGGCACCGCGGGGCTTCCTGGCGAGCTTGGACGAGCCGAGGAGACCGCCACGGAGGAGCTCGATGCACGCCGAGTTGTCCATGGTCAGGACGCGGGGAAGGCGGACACCGTCGGCGAGGAGCTGACCGTTCCAGCTGAGGTTGTCGTCAAATGCGCGACGGGTGAGGTACGAGTGGAGCACCTCGTTGCCAAAGTTGACCGAGAACTCGTCAAAGCCGTTCTGGCCCGACGCGTTGATGAGCGGCATCGACGCCAACAGGCTCTGGCGGTTGGTGTTGGGCTCGGCCATGAGGGTCCTGCTCTGGTGGCCCGGGAGGTCGAGTTGGGCAATCTGGAGGCCGGCGGGAGCGTCTGCCGCAGGAGCGAGGCGCTTGTTGGCCATCTCAATGACGAACGCAAACAGGATAGCGTACAGGTCACGCATGAGCGAGTCACGCTGGCCACGGGCTCCGTCGGCATCGAGAAAGACGGACGCAAGGTCGTGCGACACCCACTTGGTCCGGTTGACAAGCACAGCCTCGAGATCGTCGGGCGAGATGCCGAGGTGGTTGCCAATGTCGGCGAGCAAGTGGCGCTCGACGACCTGCGTGCGCTCGTCAAACGACACCATGCCCAGCGACCCGGTCGCGCGGTCATCGATGAACGTAATGTTCGAGAGGAGGAGGATGGCAGTGAGGACGGAGAAGATGGAGCGGACGTGCTTGGCCTTGAAGCCGAGCGAGGCAAACGCAGCACGGAGCTCACCAAGCTGCGTCGAGTCGTCGGAGAACGGTCCACCCGGCAGGCGGTAGCAGTTGCTACTCGAGAGCAGCGCATAAGTGTCCGGGTCGTCGAGGCCGAGCTCGTCACGCTCGTCGGGGCTGGCGCCCGCAAGGAGCTGGTAAAAGACGTGGAAGGTGCGCTCCTCCTGCTGCAGCTGGCCGATACGCGACTTGTTCAAGCCAAAGGGGAGCACCTTGGCGCCCGAGAGAGCACCCTCGTGGCTAAAGTGCAGTTCGAGGTACTTGCCAACCTGGGACGCCGAAGGGTTGATGGCCGTCTTGGAGTGTCCGAAGGACTCGAGGACGGTGAGCAAGTGCGAGACCTGGTCCGAGAGGCGGCGCTGGGCCTTGGTCGTGGTCGAGAGGGAGAGAATCTGCTGTGTGACGTGACGGACCGCTGTGGATTTGCCCGAGTTTGTCAAACCACTAAGAGACGCGCGTTAGCTGTGCTGTGCGGCGGTACACGCAGACAAGGGCTTCCCTTCCGGTAACTCACTGGTAGACAATAGTCTGGCACTCGCTACGACGGCTCATGAGCAGCCAAGCGCGGCCCGCAAGCTCGTACACGCTCGGCTGGCGCTGGTCGGGCCCGCCATTCCCGCCATCGGTCTGCTCAATGTCGTCTTCGTATCCCTTCCGGCTCGCCTCGTTGAGGCACTGGAGGACACGCAGGGGGTTGACGACAATGTAGTCTGTACCGCTGGGAGAGACACGGATGTAAGGGAGCTCGGCGCGGGCACGGGCGTGGAGGAGGGCAGTGATAGTGTCTTCGGTGGGGAAGACGACGGCCTCGCCGCTGGAACCAGAGTGTGCCGAGCTGATCAGCGAGCAGAGGTCATGGACCTGGGCGGCCTGGGCGGCGGTGAAGGTCGCACCGGTGCTCGCCATGGTGGTAGCTGAGCTGGCGGCGACGGAGGGCGACGGGGGAAGGGGGAGGGAGAGGCAGGGGTGTGCTCAAGGAGACACGACCTCGGGGAAACGTAAGACGGTCGAGGGGTGGCGGGGGTGCGAGAGACGTGGACCGCTAGCTAGCGCTGTTTGTCGATCTCCGCGATGCGGTGCTCACAGACCTGCTGGCGAGCTTTGAAAGTGGGGAACGTGTCGAATGTGCTGTGCAGCCTGCTGACGGGGAGGGCGTCGTCGACAAGGTTGTTGCAAAGGTCGTAGTGCGGGGAGAGAAGAATAGAGGCGGCGGCGGGCTGCGCGTGCGGCGGGATGTTTTCCCAGGGCTGCTGGCACACCTGGCAGACAGAGACAAAGAGGCCGATGATGGTTTGATGTTTGTCGCGAGCGATGAGGGGTGTGTGTGTGGGGGGGGGGGGAGAGCTGTGGTGGTCGAAGCGCCGCGCTGGGCGACGGGGTGGAGGTGGAAAGGAGCGACCTAGCCTAGGACCTTGAGGTGCTGTATTTTGTGTGGTGTGTGTTCTTGAGAATATGGAAGCGGACAAAGGTTTGTCGTGAGGGAGGAGGAGGGCTGGGTTGAGTGGTCGTGGCGGCCGGCGGCGGCGTGCGATGGCGATGCGGGGGTTGGCGGATGCCTGGGATGCCTGGCCGTCGAGGGTTTGGGTCTGATATGCTGCCGCGTATGCAACGAGGAAGTATTAGGGAGGGGGGGCAGCGGGGCGCCTACGAGACACGAGGGGGGGGACCACGAGCGAGTGACAGAGAGCACTAGAGAGAGCACTGGTTCCTGCTTGGCTCGATGAAAAGTGCACATATGAAAAGAGGGATGAGCCTATATTTGCCTAACCAAGAAGCTGCTGCACGCCTGTTGTGTGCGTTTTGCATGTGTGTGTGTTTGCATGTGAGGGTGCTGTGTTGTGTTGTCTCGCTCGGAACAACCCAAAGGCCAAAGGCCAAAGGAAAGCGCGTTGGCTGAGGCTAACTGCCCTCAGGTCTCAGGGATCACACGCACAAAAAGCCCCGCGTGTGGCTCGTCTGGGCGGTGCATTAGGATATTATACTTCCGCCCTGGGTCATTGGGTTTCACATCAGAGCGTCTATAAACCATCACAAACGGCCCCATTACACATCCCATAACGTCCCATTACATACCAGAGAGCCCCATGCAGCTCACAACTGTTTCATAACAGTCAGTATTCCCTTGCACCCTTCCCTTGCTCTGCTCGAAACATACGCAGTCGCAACAACAACCACCACCAACACCCTCCCTCCTGTGCGTCCTATCTACGCAGCAGCTATGACTTCATGCCACATGTGTCGATGGTGCATATGTCTCTCTTGTGTGGGGCGCCTCTATTTGGCACTGGCACACACGTCACGTCTGCGTAAAAAAAAAGGAAAAACAAGCATAATAAGAGTGTGCGCTTTTTGGTCTGTTTTTTGTCACCAGGACAAGGGAAGTGTCCGCCAGTAAACACAATCGGGGGGAGAGGGCCTGCACGCTTAGGCTGTACACATCGTGCGGTGGGTGGGTGTGGGGGGGGGGGGGGGGGGGGGGGGAGAGGCGGAGGGCGGAGGGGAGGGGCGGAGAATATGGGACAAGGGAGAGGAGAAATGGCCAGGTGGAAAGTGCACTGGGATGGAGTCGGTGGGTTGCGTACGCTCAGTCGTTAAAAAAAGTCCTTGGGGGCCTGGAGAAGGCGGTGGTGGTGGTGGTGGTCTGTGGTGGTGGTAGTGGAGTGTTAAGAAAGTTACGACGGAGGAAAACGATGTCGCTCTTGTTTTGATGTTGTTTCGGGGGTCATTTGATCTAGCTACACAGGCTACAGGTCGCTTGAGCCCGTGCTCCTGGCCCGGGTACGTCGTTCGCGGTCTCGGATGGCCTCTTCGCGGATACGTGCAATCTCTGCAAGCTGCTCTGGCGTGTGGGCGAGGCTCGCAAACATGGGCGCAAACTCAGACTCGGTGTCGCCATTGCAATCGAGGTGGTCGTCGTCACTGTCGTGGTTTACGCTCGAGAGCTCGGGCTGCTGCTTCTCCTTCTGCGACAGGGGCTCCGCAATGTGGTCGTGGCCATAGGCAAAGTCCTCCTTGCCTCCCTCGCCACCCAAGGTCTCGGGGAGGTGTCCGTTTGCCTCGGGGTGAAACATCTCAGTGTTGGAGGGAGTGATGAGGATCTGGCGACGGAGACCAGACGAAGCGTCAGACGAGGCAGATGACATGGAACCTTGCTTGGTTGGCCGCTGGCGGTGAACAGAGCCGTTGGCAGAGGGAAACGTAGACTGGACACCGGACATCTGGCTGATGCCTAACCCGGCCACGGGAACGCTGTCACCAGACTCGGAGGAGACGTTGACGGCCGAGTCGGACGTCTTGGTCGAAGGGGTCGGGTTGGAGTCGCCGCTCTCAGACGTCTCCGTCTTCTTCTTCTTGAGGACCGAGGACGTGATGTGGTGTCTACGGAGCTCGGCCGCAGAGAGCTGGGCCATGTCCGAAGCAGCTTGCGATGAAGACCCAATCGACGTGTTCAGAGTGAGGTCCGAGGGGTAAGGGGACGACGCCTGGGACGGCACCGTCGATGGCATGGTCGACTGGCCGGGGGTGAGAGGGCCAGCGAGGTCGCTGATGCCCATACCGGCCTCAGAGCGACGATACGGAGACGCCATGGTCGCCATCGGGAATTGTGGTGGAATAGGCGACGGGTAGACTGCCGGGCTGTAGTGAATGAAACCCATGTGCGCACCCTGCATGCCACTGGCGGGGAACGCCATGTAAGGGGTAGCCATCTGGGAAGGGGTCGAGACATGCGTAGGGGCACCGTCCTGGCCTCCAGCCTCCACCTCACGAAGACGATGGCACACGGCGTGGTACATGTGAGTGAGCGTTTCAAAGCGGTTGCGCATCAGAAGAATCTGGTTGTCAGTTAGCGTCGTCGTGTAGCCAGCCACGGGGGGGGGGGGGGGCAAAGGGGGTGTTCTCTCACCTCGGATTCCAGACGCCTCGATTCCGCCTCTGCACGATCACGCGCTTTGCGAGCGCGTTCGTAGTCTGCACGCATGCGGTCCTCTGTCGAACGCGACCGCCTGAGCTCCTCCCTGGCACGGATTTCGTCGTCGTGCGCCTTGCTCTCCTCGGCCTTTGCGTGTCCAATCTCGGCACGGAGAGAGTCGATCGTCCGCTCGTGGTTGGTGATGAGCAACTCGAGAGCCGGGCTCATGGGCACGCCTCCAATGCTAATCTTTCGTCGCCTCCTGGGGGTCGACGGGGATCCTGGAGCCGATACCGATGGGACATTCGTCAAGATGGCAGCCACACTTTGTGGGGGCGACTGGTCATCAGACGACATGGTAAATGAGCGCGATGGTGTGCGCGAAGGAGTGAAGGCAGCGACCCTGGGAATCTCGGGTGTGCGCAAGCCATCCGAGGTCGCCGAACGCGCCTTGGACTTGCGCTTCTTCTTCTTGCCGACCTGGTTGGACAAGGGAAGGTAGCCCTCGTCCGGGATGATGGAGTATGACCCGCTGCTCACGCGGCTGTATGGTGGGCGGTTATCGCTCGCAGGCTCGATGAGCTCAGACATGTCGTCGGACAGGTCGATCTCAAGAGCTGGAATGGGTGACAAACGCGATGGGCCAGCCTGTGGCGATTCGAGGTGTTGTTCTTCTCCGTGAAGCGGTTGTCCTGGAGACGACGGCACAGGGGATTCGGAGAGCAGGGATGGTTCCGGGGAGGGTGAAATGTCGCCTTCGCCGTCAGACTGGGACGACTCCAGAGTGATCGTAGGTGGTGAAAGGAGACGCTGGGGTTCGGAAGCGTCGGCCGTGCGGTCAAGGTCGTCGTCGACAGAGTCGGCCGAGGTCGTTGGTATCAGGCCAGGGGAAGAGTTGAGGGAGGTGTTGACGCTGCCATCGCCTGTGCAGACGGCACGCAGGAGGCTGCGCTTCTTGGCCTCCTTTGCCTCTTTGCGCTTTTCGCGTGCGCGCTCACGGGCGTTCTTGTTGGAGGTCGAGACCGCTGTCGATGTGGCCGTGCTCGTTGACGCTCGGTCCTTGTCCTCTTTGCCATCGGCGTTGGACTTGTCCATGGACAGGAGCTCGGCAGTGAAAGCGCGACTCAGGCGCTCTCGCTGGCGACGTCGCCATTTGCGAACGGGTTCGTGGACGACAAAGTAGATGGCACCAAGAACAAGCACAACTGTGCAGATCAAGAGCTGTCCGCGCCAACTGGCAATGAGAGTGAAGGTGTGCGAACTCAGACGAGCTGATGACGACGAGGTTTGGTGTGTCGCAAGTCGCGTGTTGTACGCCGGCGCCCGTTGCCGTGTTGGCATGGCGTAGATGCGCGCAAGGAGAAGGGTGGGGTGAGAGGAGAAGGGGAGGTGACGAAGGAGCAGGAAAGGGACAAAGGAGGGCTGAGTGGACAGTCGCGCGCCAGTCAATTGCGGAAGCGCGTCGCGGACTAATGTCGGTGTGGAATGGGAGAGAGCAAGGTCACGTCGACATGCGGGGTAGACTGGTTGAGTGTCAGAACGAGATGACCGCAGTCTAGAGGAAGGCAGCTGAACAAGATCAAGGTGGGGGATCCGATGGAGATGGTGGACAAGCCCCGGTAACAGTTATGAGCGAGAAGGCAGGTGCGCCAGTTGTAAACGGCCACGCCCCTTGGCTGTCGGTCGTGGAACGCCACAGAGAAGGTAGTGTGTAGAGGCCGGTGCCCAGAGACTGAGTAGTGGGTGGAGAGTGGGATGGCGAGTGTCTAAAGGGGGAAGGGCATACTCTTGGAGCGAGGCCCAAGCACCAGATACACGATTCCTCGCCGGCCCTCTGTCCCCTAGCTCCCGGGTGTGGGTGTGCGGCTTGCGATGCGAAGACAAAGAGGAATCCCACTTACCGAGAGGCGATGACCGTAAAGAGACCAGCCGTGTCGTTCTTCGAGGCGATGCACGTCGATTGAAAGGAAAGGTGTGGTGTTGATAAAGGCGGAAGCGTCGGCGGTAGCTGTGTTATTTAGGCCGGGACCGAGTACCAGATCCCCCTCCCACTGCGGTGTCGCTGTCTTGAGGTCCGAAACACGGTCGCGTCGGAATGCTTTGTGGTCGAGGGGCCTTTGATGGGGATTCGTTTATTGTTGTGGTGTGCAGTGTGGGCGTGATGGTGGGTGTGAGGGTGATGGGATGGTGATTGGGGTGATTGAGAGGACATGCAAGAAGAAGAGAGCGCGGGGATGTGTGTTGGACGGAGACGGCGCGGCGGCGGCGGCGAGTGGTGGCCAACACACTTGGCGGGACCCATGCGCCTGTACCGAACCGTGTGGCCTTGTGGATGGGGGGAGACACTCGCCGTGTCGTCGCGCTGGCACAGTGGGCGCCACAACCCCCCCGCACGCGCGCACGGCACACTGCCAGCCGCCAGAGAGCCCACACACCCTGCTGCCATGCATCATGTTCGTCCTAGTTCCCCTCACTGCCGCCGCCGCCGCCGCCGAATCGATGCGCAGTCGCCGCGTCTCGGTCAACCGTTCAGAGGTCTCATCTTCCCATCCTCTCTCAGTTGCCCAAAAGGGCGCCCCAAGACGCACAAGGCGGCTAAGGCGGGACTTTCCACACGTGGAGATCGACCAGGACCCAGCCGGGAGCCCTGGCACGGCGTGAAGGAGGGGTGACGCGGGGAGGTAGAGGATCAAAAGGAGGCACTTGACAACGTCTCCCTGGTCGCCCACCGGCACGGCTGCAAGCGCTCCTACTGTTGCACCAACTGTTGCACCACGTCCACCTTGAATTCAGCGACACCGAGCAGAGAGAGCACAAGTCGAGAGAAAGAAAAAAAAATATACAAAACAAGGGCAACTGACGGGCTCGCGGAAGCCATGAATGACAGCATGGCAACGTACTTACCCTCGAGGAGAGGAACGTGTCAACGGTGCTGTAAGCGCGCAGAGCAAGCAAGCAAGCTGCGAAGCTGCGAACGAGCCACCACATGTCCAGCACATGCGTTGCGGTTGAAACCGAACCCTATTCATGCAGCGATGCAGCGACGATGCATGACCCCGCCCGCCCCGCACACCACACGCCACTGTTATCCTGCACGTTTCGGTTCTCCTGCACCTCTTCGTAACCCTCTCCGGCCTCTCCCTATCCCTTGAGAGGAATGCAAGGAAACCAGCCCAATCTCGTCCTAGATTCCTATTCCTGGTCGTATTGTGCAGCCTGCCGTCCGAAAAAAAAAAGAAAGAGAATAGGACCCACACAGGACTCACACCTCCCTCGGCCGGTGTTCAAGAGTCTCCACCCTCGTCGACCGACCGGGCCCCAGAGCAGGGCCCCCTCCGGCAGGTCCGAGTGTGTTGAGAGCGGCCCGGCGAGTGCACAAGCGCAGCGGGGAGTGGTGCAGGCTGGCCTGTGCCGTGAACAAAACTGGTGTCAGACGCAGGTACAGATGTGGGGGGGCCGTCGGGATGGTGGACACTTTGCGTCAGAAGGTACAGAAACCGCATTGTTCGTGCAGGAAGCAAGGCCCTTGCAGAGCCCGACAGTACACACGGGTACACGGGGATGCGGGCTCTTTCTGGCGCCCTGGTGGATAATCTGTGATCTGTGTGATCACACGACCAGCTACCAGCCAGTGTGGAGTATAAACAGGTTCCCGCGCGCCTAGCATTAACAGGCCTGCCATAACAGACGGGAACCTAGTCCACACAGGCCTACCGCCATTTTACTTCCGTTGATGAATGGCACCTCTCCTCCACCTGCGTCCGGGCTGTGCCTGAGAGGACGAAAGGGCCGGCCTCTACTTGGACTGGTTGTCGCTGGTTGTTGGGCACGCACGTGCATGACGGCCGGTACGCCGTACGCCGTACGCCCATGTCATCCCAGCCAGTCTCCGACTTGCCGATAGCAGACTTGAGCGTCCCGCCATCGTGTGCAAACCAGAACATCTTTCCTGTTCTCTCTACCACAAGAGTTTCAACTTTATCCTACTGGCGTGCAGTTCGAGTACATCGACCCCATCCTACCACCCACACCACTCTCTCTCTCTCTTCTCACCAAGCGTCACCTGTGCCCTCCACCCACCGCCTCCACTTCTAGCCCAAGATGTCGACCCAGCCCCTCCTCCAGCGTACCGCCAAGAAGGTATGTTATGTCTCCTGGTATCGCGCCGTTTTCCAGAGCTGACCATGTCCCTTCTCGTAACATGTCCGTCTATCGCACCGTCTTCACACCTCGATTGACCTTTGTCGCCACCGTATTGACAACGTCCCCCCTTCACACAACACGTGCGATCTGGGATCCCGTCGTGCAGCGCATCGCCCTCCCTGTCCGTGTTGAGCCCAAGGTCTTCTTCGCCAACGAGTAAGCTCATGTCACCTCGATTCCATACTCACCTTTCAGGCGTACCTTCCTCTCGTGGCTCCACTTTGCCGTCATCCTTGGTGGTCTTGCCGTTGGTCTCCTCAACTTTGGTGACAAGGTCAGTTTGCTGCGATGGCTATTTTGGCGTCGAGAAAGTTGCTTTGAGACTTTCCAAGCTCTACAGCCAGCGTCATTCACGAACTGTTGTTGACATGTCACAGGCTGGCCGCATCTCCGCGGCCCTTTACACCGCTATCGGTACGCAAACATCCACTGCTGCGGGCTGCGCGCAGCGACAGCACCCGTTACGAGCACTGGCTGACCTCTTCCCACAGCTGTCGGTGTCATGATCTACGCCCTGAGTGTATACCAGCGCCGTGCAAAGGCCATTCGTGAACGTTCGGGCGCTCCTTACGACGACCGTTTCGGACCTGTGAGTTGCATGTTGCATCCCTGTGACTGTTGCTGACCCCGTATCAGACCGTCCTCTGTGTCTGCCTTCTTGGTACGTCCTAACGAGCGGCCCACGAGCGCAGAGCGCCAACCGTCCACACGTGAGCTCGAACATCTGCTGACCATCCACAGCCGCCATTGGCACCAACTTCGTCCTCCGCGCCGTCTACGAGTAAACTCCACACATACTCCCCCCAGTCACAGATGTGTTCCTCAATAACTATCCCTCTGCTCTGCCTGCATTAGCAGAGAGGGACTCTAGCACAACTTTGGAAGCGCGGAGAGGGTGAAGGGGGCACGGCAAGCGAGTGAGCGAGCGTTTTGGAGGAAGCAACGGTGGTCGCTTCAGGCATTCGTTTAATTGGTAGTCGTGATAGTGACAGCACCCTCCCTGCACTTCATTTTCATTATATGTACTCAATTGGGAGTGGCTTGCTGCAGCAATAGACCTCAGCGTGGAAGAGTTGGCAGACCATTTCCAGCAGCTGGGCGGACATGAGACAGATCTCAATGGCCAAGCGGAGGCAGACCCATGACGCACCGCTCTGCTCGCTCTGCGCCTGGTGCCACGGTCGGAACTATGACGTGGCTTGAGTGTCCCAGGGTGTGCCATCTGGCCGGTGGGTCACGCATTCATACGTCCACATTCTTTGGCTGCTCAATACCATCTCCTCCTTCTCACCAAAGTCAACCTATACAACAATGTCCTGGCAGGGTGAGTCCTCACGTACCGAGTGTACAGACTACGTAGCGTGTCGGACACTCGTGGAAGCCCGGGCTTGCGGCGAAACGAGGTCTTCGGCAGGCGCCGTCCTCGTCGCATGACCTGCTTCGTCACGCCGATCCGGACCGCTTCGTCACCGCGGTCTGGGAGCTGTACCGGACACCTAGCCACTGCCATACTGGAAGCATGCGCTGACGCTTATTCTCTCCACAACTCTCTCATCAACGACATCCTCTCCCCCCTTTGTCTGCGCCGCCGGCTGTACCAAAACCCGATCGTCCGAACGCTTCGTTGCCGTGTCGTCTCGCCCCCGTCGCCTCCGACCTTCGGCGCTCTCACCACGCCAACAGCGTACGTCGACGACCACCTCATTGCCACTGGCAAGATCAGCAAGGCCGCCATCGTCGGCAAGCAGGGTGGTATCTGGGCCCAGTCGGCCGGTTACAACGTGCGTACTGAGCTGGGAGAGCCGTTGGCTCTGGGCCCGTTGGTCATTGGGCACTGGTGATAGGGCGAGGGCGAGGAAGCACGAGTGCAGCGAGGATGAAGGCCGTCAGGCCGTTCCTCAGTCTGCAAAGGACACGGTACGGGATGCCCATGGGCCATGGGCTTGGCCGTCGTGACCTATGCTCCCGATCCTGCTCGCTCCTATGCCCTTACTTGCCGCCACCAAGGGCCCTACACTGGCCCACTGATTGGTGCTGCGGAATACGAGCAGGTCGCTGACTTTGTCATACAGCTCTCGCAGGCTGAGCAGGACTTCATCACCAAGACCGCCTTTGCTTCCCCTGACGATGTCCGTGGTGGGTACCTCTCGCTTATGTTTGGCGGCCAAAGGAAAGCTTTAGTTGACACTGGCTAGCCAACGGTATCACCCTCGGCGGCTTCAAGTTCATGGCCATCCAGGCCAACCCGGACGAGGTTATCGGCCGGAAAGGCGTAAGTACAGCTATACGCGTGAGGTATCCCGTAGCTGATCATTTTACAGGAGCGCGGTGTCTTCATCATTCCCACCACCCAGGCTATCCTGATTGGCGAGGTGAGTTGCAGCTTTGCTTTGCGATCATGGTCTCAGCTGACAACCTTCAGTACGAGGGCACCCCTGCCGGTGACGGCAACGTTGTCGTCTCCAAGCTGGCCGACTACCTCAAGTCGGTCGGCTACTAGATGTTATGATGTGATGGACGTGTAATCCCCCCCCCCTCTTTCTGTGCTCAGCAGTCTCCCTCTACAAAGCAGCCCGGTTTATGAATGTCTCTGAATGCAGGGTTGCATGTAGCTAGCCAAAGTCTCACCGGCCAGGCGCTACCGGTTACAAGTGTATGTGTGTTCCGTCCCATCTGTCCCACCCCCCTCTCCCCCCATATCTAATCTCGTGTCGCCTTAGGCCGTCTTGCCAGCCTTGGCCTGGGCCTTCTTCTCCTTCTTCTTCTCCTTGATAGACCCCCGGGTCTCGGCGCGGATAGCCACAGCGGCGGCAGCCTTGACGTTTGCGTTCTTGCGCGCACGGCGCCTGCCAGCGGCACTCTGCTTGTCCGCCTTGCGGTCCTCGGTGATCTGCTTGCCCTGGGCGGCACGCGCGGCAGCACGGCGCTGGGCACGGTTCATGCCGTCAGTCGCAGCAGCAGCGGCGGGGGCAGCCTCCTCCTCCTTCTTCTCAGCCTCGTCGTCGTCGTCACCACCGGCCGCGGCCTTGAACTCCTTCTTGGCCTTCTTCTCTTCCTTGAGTTGGCGCTTGGCCTCCTTGGCCTCGAACTTGGCCTGTCGGGGTCAGTACCAACGTTGTGGCGGAGGGGACCCACCTGAGCGAGACGGAAGGGCTCCATGAGCTCGTCGACAATATCACGGGGGTCGTCGCTGGGAAGAGGGACTTCGTCCTTCTGCGCCAGGCGCTTCTGCCAGCGCTTGACACCGCGCTTGTGCGTCTGCAGGTTGTCAGCGTGTGCGAACACTAGCACGCTCGCGTCGTGGGCATGGGTCTGGGCTGGATCCTTTGTTCACCGAGAACGAGGCAGCCCACCCATTCCCACCTGCGCTACCCCTCAACTCACGGCACTGGCAAGGTGCTCCTCGGCATCGTGCGCGTTCTTGAACATGCGCTCGGGGCAGAGCACACAGCCCTGGGGGAAGGTAGCAGGGGGCCAGAAGGGGGACGCCTCAACGTCCTCGATCTTGAGGTCAAAGTCTGGCAGTCAGTCTGCTGCACAAAGTGGGCCTCTGCAGCAAACTCACCATCCTCGTCGTCGGAACCATCGTCAAACTCCATCTCGTCGTCGGATCCAGCAAGCTCGCCACCCTCCTCGTCCTCGTCCGACCCAAGGTCTGCGTCGTCAGCTTCGTAGTCACAACGTTGTCTTTCAGCTGGAACCGTAGCCACCCACCTTCCTCTTCGCTCAGCATGTCCTCGTCATCATCCTCCTCCTCGTCGCCATCTTCATCCTCCGAGCCAGACTCCTCGTCGCTGTCGTCACTCTCGCTGTCGTCGCTGTCGCTCGCGCCGTCAATGCCCATCGCAGCCTTGATGGCCGTAATGCCCAGCTCGTCCTCCCTCTGCTTGCGCGCAAGGCGCTTGGTCGCAATCTTGTACACGGGCATGGCGTCGAGAGTTGGTGTTTTGGTTGTTTGTGGGTATGTGTTTTGGTGGTTTACAAAAGTTGTAGCCTCCACTTCGAGGCAGAGATTACTGGAGGAGGGAAGAAATAAAGTGATCGTTGTGAAGAACAAACGTGTCAAAGACAAAAATGACAAAAATGTATCGGGCGTGTAGCTCAGTTGGTAGAGCGTGTCATTAGCATCTTCTACCCTACTTGACAAGGTCTTTGGTTCGATTCCTAACTCGTCCACTCTTTTTGGCCCTGCTCTATTTCACAACGTTGCATGGGCATGAACAAAGCAAGAACACAGACGTCCTCGACGCTGTAACCTGTAATAGTCACACTCCACATGCATAATATTCATCGCTATAGCCATCATAACCCCAATATGCTACATGGACCAGCCCAGGCTGCCGTCCTCCCTCATCAACTGTAAAAACTGAAGAGTTAGCTCTGTGCTATGTTACTCAACTCACCGTGGCCTGCTGCGCCAAATAGTCCCCAACGGTCTCGACACCGCGCACGAGTGGGATGCGCGACGTGTCAAGAGCAACGGGGTGGTTGTACTTGTTCTGGGCGAGGCGCTCGCCCACGGCTGACTTCTTGCCTGCTTGAAACTTGAGGCACTTGCTGTGATTGTCAGTTGCAGCGTTGGTCGACCTCAACTCACTCCTCGGTAAGGCCATAGACGTCCAGAAGCAGGTTCTTGGTCAACAGCGCCAAAGCCACAGAGATGCTGGCATTGGCAAGTCGGACAGCTGAAAACTGCTCGCTCTGTATAGGTCAGCTTGGGGCAAAAATCACTAACCTACCTCAGACACCACGGCCATCTTGCCCACAAGCGGCTCGTTACCCATGCCCTGGACGACGGCCAGCTCGATCGCGTTGGCAACGGCGGCGCCGTGCGAGACGAGCTGACTGAGGTACTGTACAACCTGCATGATCTCCTCCTGAGCGTGATACTCGAGCACGGCGAGGTTCTCGGCAACATAGAGCACGAAGCCTGGGTCGATCTGGAAGGAGTTTAGTAGACAGCATTCACAAAACCCAAACTCACCTCGCCTTGACCAAGCAAGTCGACATCAAACGCCTTGGAAATGAACCGGAGGAATTCCAGACGTATTTGACGTTTCTCGCCAAGCAGCTGCCACCAGCCGTTGAGCAGAGCAACGCCACGACGGTGACCCGAGACCTCGGCGGTGACGGAGCGCTGGTAGTCGTACGAAGCCCTTGCGGTCTCCAGGAAACGAACATTGAGGATGGAGGCGTGTTTGGTGTGCAACGTGGCATGGAGAGCGAGAGCACTGTTACGAATACGCTCGTCCGCGCTGGTCTCGAGGGAGATCAACAGCGAGAACAACTGGAGAGTTAGTCCACGTATGAACGGTGTAACTCACGGGCAGCGGGTGGTAGAGACCCTGGTTGATAGTGAAGGCCAGACAGTCCATTGCGGCTGCCTGAAGGGCACGGTGGTGAGACTTGGCGCCATCAACGATAGCCTCAATGTTCCGCTGGACGAGAGCGGTAGAGATACCAGATTCGTGGAGGTCGTTGGCGCTGCCAATGAGGTCGTTGACGCCCTTTGTACCAACACCTGCCAACGTCAGCGACCACGAGGGCAAAGGACCTACTCTTAGCTCTCCGCACCGCCTCAGACTTGAGGAAGTCACGGAGGAGATTGAGAAGCCATGCGCGGCTGTCCTCGTTGTTAGAGCTGAAAATACCCCTCATCCATGCCTCGGACTTGGGCCGCAGAATGAGCTGAGGATTGGCTCGGAACAGGGCAGCCAGGCAGAGAATTGCAATCTCTTGCGACGCGGCAACCGACGAGAATGTCAGGTATAGGTCGAACAGGTAATCTGCCAAGGGAAGGTCAGACTTGGTGATGCCCTGGAGGGTCTTCTTCAGCACCGAGTCGTTGGATGCAGCTGCCTCAAGTTGGCCAAACTCGGCAATGAGAGCCGTAATGTAGTAGAGCATCGAGATAGAAGTAGGCGGAGCCCGGTTCTGCTGGCTGGCGTTCCTGATTTTGGCTACATCTGTCAGGACAGTTCACGTCCAAGGAAAGTTGACTCACCGACACAGGTTCCCATCAAGCTCATGAGCGGGAGGAACTCCTTGGTGAGGTTGTTGACCACGGCGCAGTAACAAGCAACCGGCTGAGGGAGGGAGGTGTGCTTGATGGGCTTGCCGATAAGGGACCTCACTTCCTTCGAGAGTGCCTGCGCAAACGTCGACGACGTCTTTGGCATCGATGGAATGGAGCGGGTGAAGATGCGCAGAAGGAGATCGTTCGTAGCCATTTCTTCAGACTGAAAGGATCAGCAAGAAACCACTATACTGCAACTCACGTTGGCAGGCGTGCTCAACAAGTAGGTGATCAACACCGATGCCTTGTTCGTGTCAATAAGGGCGGGCTTCTCAAAGCTAAGCAAGTAGATGGCCCCAATATGGCTCTTGGCATCCTGTGAGAGTCAGTGCATGAAGGGGAGAGACTGCTCACAAAGGATGTCTGCTCGGTGGCATCAACCATACGGTTGATGAGCGAGTCAATAGTCTGAGGGAAACAGTCGTTGTTGCCTGAAGCCACACAGAGCTTTGAGACCTGAAACATAAGCGACTGCTGTCTGCGAAATGGCTTACTCCTTCCAGCGCAGACTCCAGCGTGGGGTCTAACTTCTTGTTCTCGTTCAGGATGTCAACCAGGAGAGCGGCGGTGTTGTCAGGGTTGAATCCAGACGTTGGATAGAGAATCTCGCAGAGTGACTTGAGAGCGAGGTCCTTGACGCCGTCGTCTTCATCCTGCGTTGCCTGGATGAGCTTGCGACAGATCTTGACGCGAACTTCGGGTACATCGGCCGTGGCGAACATGTCGCGGAGGAGCTTTACGACACGCTTCCTGACGCCCAGACCAGAGTCGAAGACACGCTCGGCGATGAGAGGGTAGTACTGTTCCGCCCACTCGGACCTCTGAACAACGTACTTGCCGATAAGGTCGACAGCTGCGTCGCGAACAGCAGGCGAGTTATCCGACAAGGTCATCTCGATGGCGTCGCGGACGACAGGCTTGCCGAGGACATCTGGGTCGGCGACAACGATACCACCAAGACCGCGGAGAGCCTTAGAGCGATGAGCCACGCCTGGGAGGTCCAGAGCCGTGACAAGAGCGTGAAGGATAGGATCAAAGGCGTTTTGAAGAGAGCGAGTACGCGACACTGCCAGCGATGCCTGGAGCGCTTCGTCGGCCTGGTTGGGTTGACTGGCATGTCAGAATAGTCATCTCGTCTGTGAAGCGCACCTGATCGCGAACAAGCCATCGTCAGGGGTCCACACATCTCGAGCGGCTCTGCGCATCGATTGAGCAACCATCTGGAGGCTCTCTCGTGTTTGCAGGGCAGAGTCGTCTGTTTCCACTGCGAGTCGCTCAATGACCGAGGTGACCTTGCGTAATCCTTGGAAGAGCTCTTGTGCCCAAATAATGCGGGTCATGTCCCCAGATGACTGCCATCAGTTCTTGCCTGGCTTGCCTCCTCAACTCACCTCAAACATGGTGTCATCACGTGCTGCCGTTGTGAGGAAGGTCTGGATGGAGGCCTCGGCAGCCAGGAGAGTGGCCATGCCTTCAACGTTGGCCTCAGAGATGATCTCGTCAAGGCTGGGGACGATAGGTTTAGCAGCCATCTCTAAGTGCAAAGCACGAAGGCGGGCGGCAATGTCACCGAGGTAGTCGAGAGCGACAGTGCGTGCAGCGTTGGCCTCGGTCGTGTTCTTGTTGCGGTCATTGAGAGCTCCCATCTGGCTGTTAGCAAGTTCCAAGAAGTCGCGACGCACCAAAATCTTGGAAAGGATGGTCAGGAAGAGAGAAGCAGCGGGCCATTCTGGGCGGTAGAGAACAGTGAGAAGGTCGGCCACAAAGGTGTCCAAGACGGCCTTGTAGTCGGTGTCTTGGGGAGCCTTGGCAGCTTTGCTCGCACCAGACTTCTGGACAAGGTGGTTGACAATAGTGTGAGTGGAGCGCAGGGCAACCTCGATTGCGTCGGTCATGATTTGGTTCTCCAACTATGCCGTCAGTCAACAAGCCCTACGGTGTAGACTCACGTCGTGAGCGGATGGCGGGGTCTCATGGCCTGACATGCCACCAGTCGGTAAACTTGAAGACGATTGAAGCTCGTTATCCAGCAGAGCAGTTCGGTGCTTGCGTATCCGCTCCTTGACACCGTGTGACAAAGCCTGGATAAGCTGAAGCATCAGAGCACTCAAGGTGCTGATTGAGCTGCTGTTGGACAACCTGTACGAGTCAATACCACGCACGCATGGATAGACTCACTGGAACTGGTGCTGTCCCGCTCCTTGTTCATGACTCTTGCCCAGCTCCCCTAGAATCTCCTCGATGATCCATTGACGCTGCTCATCGTACTTGGCAAACAGCTGGACAAGTTAGCACACGATAACGTGTCTTGAACTCACTCCTCTCAGGCAGCCCATAGCCTCCATCCTCAGACTCTTCATGAGAGCTGTAGTCGGTCCACCGACGACACCTTCCCTGCCTTTGGTGCGTCGCGATGCTGGTTCGCGAATGAACACGGGGCTCTTGGCGAGGTAAACCGTCTTGATAACCAGGTCATCGGAGAATGACATGTCTCGGCGGCTGACGAGGGATGCGATGTGGGGCACAGCAGCACATGTTGCTTGGGCAATCGAAGACAGCGAGGGGTTGGCGAAGAGCGCCGACAGCTTCTTGGACGACTTGCCCTTGCCCACCGCAGCTGCTTCGTTACTCACAACGACAGCGAGGTAGCTGGAATGCATTTCTGAGGTGTCAGCCTAAAGGTTGAGGAGATACACCCACGTTCACCCGCCAAGCCCTCCACGACCGGGAAGAGAACCTTGGCCATCTGGTCACGGACAGTCTGGACGGCGACCTGCAGGAGGTCCTCTGAGTAGAGCTGAAGTGTCAGCCTTGGAACAAATACGAGACCACCAACATGCTTTGGAAGAGTGTCACAGTCGAGAACAGCTAGGACACAAAGTGCGGCTGATGCAGCCGTCATCATGGTGGCCAAGCGCTGCTCGGCACTGTCCAGCTCGTCCTCAGTCATCGCCTGCTCTGGTGTAGGCTCCGCATCCCTGTCCTCCCCAGCGTCCTTCTTTGAAGACTTCTTCTTGCGTGGCGAAGGGTTGGCGTTGACAGTGGTCTTGCTACCATTGTTCGGGAAGGGATTGAGGGTCTCGGCGTCGACCAAGATCTTCTCGAGCATCCTGAAGAGCCTCGTGAGACTGTCGACGTCCCATGATCCGTCGTATGGGCCAGCTCTAGCGCGTTGACGCTTCATGCTTGCCTGAAGACGGGTGACATAGCGAATAACCTTTTCCATGGTCGCCACCGAGAGCAGGGCCTGGACACCATCGTTGGAGACACCATTGAAATACCGCGCGCTGACCATGTCGTCTGTAGATGGGTTGGCAGGGAGAGAGTCAGATTCCTCAAAGATGTCCTCGAGGAGGTTGTGCAGCTTCTGTAAAGCCGCTGTTCTCGTCAGCTCGATCGCCAAAGGGAGCACCCACTGCGATGGTCCTTGTCGCCGGTTCGTCCACTTGGTGGGGCGACTGTAAGGGGTGCCTCTTGCGTGTGCATGGTCCAGTCTCCATCGGCGTCGTCTCGGGCGCCGTGGCCCCAGTCAATGTCGTCCTCATCCGACTCATCGCGCCTAAACTGTGGAGTCGAGTGTATTGACATCGTCGAGCGCTGAGGATCAGATAAGCTGGAGATTGACTTGTACGCCTTCTTGGCTTCCGGCGTGAACTGGGGGAGCGAAAGCATTACGCCAGATGAGTGTCGCGCCAGCTGGTTACCATGGTGAGGCGTAGGTGACTCATGACGAGAGGCAGAGTTAGACTTGTGCTTCTTTGTGGGGGACGGCCCAGTCATCGAGAGGGGATCGGGCGAGTCGAAGCTGGGTTGCGCGGCAGGACGAGAGGGCGTTGCTGCTCGCGACGCCGATGGGCTGTGGATCTGTAAAGTCCTGTTGATGTAATTCTCAAAGTAGTTGATATCATTCCCAGACGCCGCTGGTGAAGCAGCTGCGGAGTTCGGTGTTGGCGGCTGGGTTGGGGTCGGCGGAGTGGGGGGAAGAAAGGAGTACGGCATAGGCTGAGTCGCAGATGGGTTGAAGACGCCTGGATGCTGGGGCGCAGACGGGCCTGCCGACACGGCCTGTGACGCGCCAAACGATGGACCAGCAGCCGGGAACCCACCCTCATAGGCGAAGGGGTTTGCGGCCGCGGTGGGATCCGCGTTTACCTGCCCATTGACTGAAGGTGCAGATGTGGGAGTCCCAAACTGGCTTCCTGGCGCGTGCGACGACATGGAAGGCTGACCATGCTGTCCGTATGAGCCACCAGGGATGGCCTGCGCGTATCGACTCTCAATAACGCTGGGGGTGACGTAGGGCCTGTCGGTCAGCGCCTTCATCGCTGATAGTTGTCTTCCTCCGCCTGCTTCCTCTGTTCCTCCGCATCCGGTGTGGGTGGTGGTCTACTTACTGGTTGCCATAGCTAGGTCCCTGCAGCAGGGAGGAGATGCGCTTCTCTGCATCCTGCCTCATCACCATGTCCTGTTCAGTCTGCGGCGCGTCCATACGCGCGAACGCCGACGCATACTGGGGATACAGTGTTGACGATGAGGAAGGCGCGGTGTAGGTCTTGGTGTGGGGTGCAAAGTGGCCAGCGACTGCGTGTCAGCTGTGCCGCAGTGCATCAGAAGGCTCACCTCGTGCAGTTGGCGTGTACGTCGCAAACGGGTAGACGGCAAGGAGACTGGCGGGGTCGTCGTACGGCGACGGCACGGCGGGAGGAAGGGCTTGCCCGTTCGTCCACTGAGGCTGTTGTGCTTGTTGGCCGCCTTGATGGTGGGGCATGCCGTGGCCACCGTTTGTATGCGGGTGTTGTGACATGTTGGCCTATTGCCCAACGTCTCGGTGCTCAAGAGCGTGTCGAGGTCGCGGGCAAGGGGGGTGGCGGACGCGCTAAAGGGAATGTATGATGGTGAGGGCAAGGAAGGTGACAACAGGTGAGGTGTGCAAATGAGTCTGGGGCACCATCCCGCGACCACGTGAAAGTGGCAGCGCGTCGCGTCCCTCGCCTTTCCTCTCAAGGGCCCTCCTCCACCGTCTTGCACTCCAGACCCGCTGATTGTTTGCAAGGCGCTCAAGCCCGGATGCCATATCCATGTGCATGCTGAAAATGTATTAGACAATTAGAGACGCGAACTGCTTCCAAGAGGTGCTCTCCATGCAATCAAGTACCCCAGCCCGGCCAGCCAAACCCACTTTTGTCAACAACAGTGGTACCTGGCGCCCCATTTTCACAACAGACGTAACGCCCAAATGCTGCATGGAAATCGACATGAATATCTACTCGCTGTCCTCGTCCTCATCATCGTCATCCTCGTCACTGTCGCTCTCCATTTGCTCGAGGACGTCGACGTACTGCTTGCCCTTGGCAAACAGCTCCTTGAACGCCTCGCGCTCAGACTCCTTGGCACCCTCACCGCGAGCAGTGCTCAGCGAGCGCCACTCGATCAGGCTGGGCTCGTCGACGAGGTCACCGTCGTAGAGTGCGCGGAGGTAAACACCAAACCAGGGAGCGTACTCGGGGTTACGGACACAGAAGGTCTGCACGGCGATGGCCACCTCAGCTGCGTCACGAGAGAAGGACGAGGCCATGCCGCCCCAGCGCTCCCAGATTTTGGTGGACTCGCCCAGGATCTTGGCAGCACCGCCCTGGGTGGGGCACTTGCTCATGAAGAAGTTGACCACCTCCTCACGGGCAAGGTCGATACCCGAGTTGTAGCCCATCACGAGGGTCTTGAGCTCGAGCAGAGCGTTGGGGATGGAGTGGTCCTCCAGGTAGGCGCGAGCGAGCGACGAGCGAGCCTCGGAGAAGAAGGCAACGGGAGGGCCGTCGTTCAGCTTGAGGTGCGCAACGCCCTCGAGGTCGTCCGACGAGGCCATGGACACAGGAGAGTCGGGAGGTGTGGTGGAGGCGACAGACAAAGTGGAGAGGGAAGCGGTGGAAGCAGTGAGGTTGGAGATACGACGACCGAGCTGCAACAAGCGCTTGTTGCGGGGGTGCTCGTATGGGTCCTCGCCCTCGTCCTCCGAGTCAGAGGCCTCCTCCTCCTCCTCGTTGGGCCAAATGTAGCCAACCGAGTCGGGGCCAAGAACAGCAAGGCGGTGGCTCTTGGCATCCTCCTCCTCGTCCGAGCCGTCGTCCGAGTCGTAGTCGTCGTCGCGGTACTGCACCCTGCCGATACGCGCAAACTCGGGAATGGTCACTCCGTTGCCAATCTTGACGCCGTTGCCGATGAGGGCACCCTTGCCAACGGTCACATCGTCGCCGATCACAACGCCATCGCCGATAATGCACTCCTCGATGTTGCAGTGTGCGCCTATCCGCACATCGTTGAAAACGTACGACGTGCGAATGGTCGAGTTGGGGCCAACCGAGCAGTTGGTGCCAAGGGTGGAGCCCTGAATGAGGGTGTTGTGCGACAGAGTGCAGCGAGTGGCAATGAGAAGGGGTCCCTGGAGCACCGTTGTACGCGAGAGGAGAACGTTCTCACGCGAGACGTAGACGTTTCCGCGGCGGAGCTCATACTCGGCAGTGAAGAACAGAATGTCGGGCACGAGGGGGAAGACCCAGCGACGAAGAATGTCGTTGGTGATTTCGCCGTACGAGCGCGTATCCCTCACACGCTCAACATAGCGGCCACCCTGCATGCGTGGAGGCTTGCCCTCCTCAGTGGCAGTCTGTTCACCAACGAGGTGAACGTTGATGTTCTTGCCGAGAAGGTCGCTGGTGAGGACACCGTTGACAAAGTGCCTCCTCAGGTCGTGGTAGTCAAAGTTCTCGGTGCACAGGGCGGGAACATCGGCCTCGCAAATGTCAATGCCAAGGTCGCGGTATCCACCACGCGAAGACGAGGCTGAGGATCCCGACCACACCTCATACTCATCAATGGTTGCGGGCCAGGGGTCGAGGAAGAGGCTGGATGCGAATGTGACGCGGTGGCGGCGGGGCGAGATGGGATTGAGGGAATAGGAGAGGAGGCGCGAGGAAGGAGGGTGCACCAGCATGATGGGAGACTCGGGGTGCTGGCGACCGCCGCGGCCGACGCCCATGGTCATGATGACGTTCTTGTCGACCTCACGACGCTTCTTGTGCGCGTCGACCATCTGTGAAATGTCGTAGTTGGAGACGATGGGGTTGTGCACAAGAATGAACGGGTTCTCGGCATTGAGAACCTGGAAACGAGTTAGCTATGCCTCAGAAAACGGTCACCCACCTGCATGGCATCGAGCTCACGCAGCGCATCACCGGCAGTGTACGCGGTCGTGGACGAGAGACATTGGATGTCGAGAAGGCCCTGCTTCTGGAATGGCGACTCGCTGGTGGCGTCAACACAGTTCACGTTTCACACGCAACATCTCCTCTGAGTCGACTCACGCAACAAAGTCACGAATCTTGTCGGCGTGCACACCACAGAAGATGAACACCTGCTTGACCTTGCTCGCGCTCAGGCACTCGAGCGTCCAGGCGAGCAGGGGAACACCACAGAGAGGGAGGAGGATGCGCGGCTGGTCGAGACACAGCACCTCAAAGCGGCGGTTGTACGAGTCAGCAAGGACAACCGCCTGGAGGGGAGCCTCGTCGACATTGTCGCCGCCCTTCTGTTCTGGTTAGCTTGTCCGGCACTGGATTGAGCGGCAAAGAGCTGAACGCTGATGGGATACAGGAGCGCTGTGGCAGCTCCGTTGTCCAGCCTTTCGTTTCACCGATAAACGCACCTGCTGCTTGGTCTCGGCCTTGGAGGCCTGCTTTTTGGGAGGCATGTCGGCAACGCGAACTGGGTATAGCGAGGGATGTCAACTGATCAACTGTACTTTCTTGGCTTGTGGTCACACATTGTCAAGGACGCTCGACTTTGAGTCGTCTGCGAATTCACGTGGCAACCACGCGACAGGCACTGATCGGCGCCACCTTTGCTAACACCGCAAATCCCACCTCGTCTGCTCGGAGGCCCTTACTTACCCACTGGTGCCCATTCGACGACGAGGACGACCAGAACAGCAGCCGGCTCGACGCGCGCAGGCCATCTACTTGCGAGCACCACTCCTCACCACTCCTACCCCACCCCCACACCAGTCACCATGCCCGTCCCCTGGGAGGTACGTCCTCTGTCGGCCGCCCGAAGCTCTGACTAACATCCCGCAGGCCCTCCTTCCCTTCGGTGCGTCACAACCTCGACTTCCATGACGCTGCATCGAGATGTAGCTCGCATGGAGCTCGCCTCTCCACCTGCCCTCCACTCGTTACTTGAGCTAACGCAAACCAGCCCTCGTTACCGTCATGTTCGGCGTCTCGGGTAACGTCCTCAGCATCTCCGAGCGCATCCGCAACGACGGCAAGGTGAGCTTGCTTCTCCCCTCAGCATGTTCACGAACTATTGTTGACACAATCTACCAGGCTCCTAGGTACAACATCGACAAGTGGGACGAGATGATGATGGAGCGTGACCGTCGGTTGACAGGATCGTTCCGTGGCCAGACCGTGAGTCGCGTCACCGTCAAGAACTGTTTGGCCTTGGCCAGCTGCCTCGCCGTTCGATGTTTGCCATGTACTGACGCCGAGCAGACCAACCCCGTGGCTCCCGAGTCCTTTGGAACCAACTCGGTCTGGGAGACTGAGAAGATCATCTAAGGATCCTCTCAACAACAACATGCATGCGATTAGAAGACTCGAGGGGCCGCGAAATGGTGTTCATCCGTGGCGAGCCGCGGCGTCGGACGAGTTCGGGCAATCTGCGCGGCGGTCGAGACGGAGCTGCTGCCAACTCGACATCTACGAGCGCATGTGCTGCCATGTTGCAGAGTGCTGGAGAGGGACATTTGAGAGCGTCAAGTGTAGGCGTGGCCTGACACGCGCTTGGAAGGTGCTGCGGAGCAAGGCCAACCCTCTGGGTGACCTGGTCATCCGCGACCTCGGTTTGCTCTCGCAGCCACCCAGTCAGCCGATGTGTCTTGCGCACACGTTCATTGAGCACACCCTCGAAGATGTGTTGATGCGTGGAGCTTGCGCGGTGGTGCGTGCAGACATGCTGTGGTCCGCTCTGGCTGCCTCTCCAGTCTCACATGTCTCCCACCACGACAAATGGAGGAGAGTGGAGTCCCAGTCGTACGGTCGTCCTGGCGTCAGGCATTTCAACTGATCAGAACCTGATCCCTGCCTCTGGGAGATGCTGACTGGAGTGCAAAATTCGGGAGATGGATTCTGGAACTTGGATTCTCGGGGAAGCTATATTCTGGAGAGCTGGATCATGTGGCTAGGACGCAACATGCAGTGGAGGGGGGTTTGTTGCGCGATAAGATCAGTGCCGTCAGTCAGAGGGGGAGTTGGCCAGTTCTCCAGTGCACTGGACTAGCAGCGTCAGAAGTCCCATGTTTAAAAATGCAAGTGACAGAGGACGGATGCTGCATACGCTGCGACCGTGCGCCTGGACGACTGGCGTGACGAGTCGTCATAGGGTCGCCTACCTCCACTTTGCGTGTCCGTGGAGTCAAACCAGTCGACGACGACAACAGGCGTTTAATCATCAACAGAATACATCACCCTTTCTGCCCTCCTTCACAGTCCAATATACCAAGCATGGCTACCATCAAGGGCGAACTGGGCATCTTCCCAGTTTCGCCAGACCGCAAGCACCCCTACTTTATCTCGGGCGACCTCTCCTCGACCAAAGCTCTCATCTTTATCGGCGGTCTCTTCAATGGCATGAGCGATGTCCCGTACCTCCCTGCTCTCTCTGAGGCCCTGGGTACCGCTGGATGGAAGTTGTGAGTCTCCATGTATCAGTCATACACTTGTCAAGAGGCGCTAACACTCCAGTGCCCAATTCCACTGGACTTCTGCCTACGAAGGGTTCGGCACCTCGTCGCTCGACACGGACGTGCGCGAGCTCTCAGCCCTCGTTGCGCACCTTCGTGAGAATGGAGCCACCAAGGTGGTCATCATGGGCCACTCTACCGGCTCGCAGGACGTGATCCACTACCTGACTGCCAGAGCGCGTGGTGTCACTCTCGCGCCTGTTGACGGCGGCATCATGCAGGCGCCAGTGTCCGACCGCGAGCATTTCGCGATTGACGCGTCGACCGCTTCGTGGACGGCGGCGCTTCCCCGCGCCACAGAGCTCGTCAAGGCTGGAAAGGGGTCGGAGATCCTCGAGGCAGACCTGGGACTGCGGATGAGTGCGTACCGCCTCTGGAGTCTTCTCTCGCCAAGGTGAGTGCCAGCTTTCAAACTATAACCCTTCACTTCAAGCTGACGACGCAGCGGCGAAGACGACTACTTCTCCTCCGACCTGCCTATTGAGGCCGACGGCGTGCATGCGCACCCCCTCTCTGCTTCATTCGGCAAGCTCGCTTCGCCCGCCCTCGCTCTCTTCAGTTCCAAAGACGAGTACGCACACGTTGCCGACATTCCGGCCCTCCTCGCCCGATGGACACAGGTGGCGTCTGGATCTCCTGGTCAGCTGTCGACGCACATTATCGAGGGAGCAACCCACGCTGTCGACGATGCGAGCTTGCATCCGCTACTCACATCCGCTGTTATTGGCTGGCTTGGGCAGTCCATTCAGCTTTAGCCCACATCGATAACATCGTGCGGGGCTCAATTCAATTTATGGAGGCTTGTCCGTTCGGACAGACCGGATGGAGCAAGCGCCTCGCATCCAACATGACATGGCGCCGAACAGTCTCGGAATCGAGTTCTAGATTCAATACAACCACTAGCACCGCGACACTCCCACGTCCTCGGCCCCGAACTCAATTAGTCACCGTTGTTGCCGCATGCGTGGGTGGTTCCCACCATTTGGTCGTTGCACAGCATGTACGCATGTGTGTTTCGCGTGAACGAACAATGACGAGGACAATTTCTGGTACTTCCGATGTGAATCATTTGCATGTTCATGGATGATACACTAGAATGCTAAGCGACAACAGCGATTAAGGGAGGCAAAGATGAGGGGGTTTGGGGTTGGGAGACGGTTTACTTGATGCAGGGGATTCATGTGGGTCTGTCGATGATGTGACGAGGATTGGGGAGAAGGAGGGGGGAATAATGTAGGAAAATGCGGGTAAAGAGGAAGACGTTTACGCGTTTCAACGGGTCGGGGGTGGGTCGTTCGTTACAGGGTTATAATCAAATGGGAGTGAATCCACGGAGTTGGCCAAAGAGGCGAATGCTGCGACGCCGCTTGGGCGTAGTGGGCGAGGTATCGGGTGTGGTGTGGACAGATAGGTTGTTGGCAGATACCGAACGCGACGTGCGCGACGGCGTCCGAGATGGCGTCCGAGAAGGCAGGCGCGAGAGTGATGTGGAGGGCGTCAGGCCGCCCCACATGGAAGATCGTGAGTCCGAATTGGAGTTGTTCGACTTGGTGGCGCCGTCATCGCCGTCATCGACGTCGAGTGGGCTGAGCGAGGAGAGGGATGGGCCACGACGACCAAACATCGAGAGCGAACGCTTGATGCTGCTGGTCGAGAGGACGGAGGCGCGTGATGGCGGGGATGCAAGTTGGGGCTGCGGGGCGAGGACCTCGGGCACAAGGACAAAGCTGTCCTCGGTCGACTGCGACCACTGACGCTGGTGCCCAGTGTTGACGTTTGGGGCCGAGTCGGCTTTCCTGGGCTCGGGCTTCTTGACCGTGGCCACCGACTCTGCAAGAGCTGCACGGATGACTGCGTCATCTGGCATAGGCTCAGTGAGTCGGCGAGCAGGCGTGATGGGTGACGAGGGCATAGACTTCGCGCGCGCCACTGTCCGCCGTTCATCCCGACTAAGGGATGTCATGGACGAGTTCTGGCGGCGGTGGCCACGCTCGCCACGAATCGGGGTCACGTTGGGCGTCATGTCCAGACCACTCAGTCCTCCACGGCGCAGGGAGATGGACGAGCGGCGGCCTCGCAACGGCATGTCGCTTAGTGACGAGAACGACGTGTTGCGCGAAATGTCTGCACTGTCCAGGTCGAACGGAATACCGCCGTCCGTGATAATGGTCGTGGTAGGGCGGACGCGGGAGACTGGACGGGAAGGGAGCACGGCGCCACGAATCTCGGATGACGCGAACACGTCAAGGGAAGTACGAGAATCGGCAAAGCTGAGTCGCCTGCGCAACTTGGGGGTGTCGAGGATCGAGGTGCGGCGGGAGTCGTAGCCCGAGCTGGTCGTGTATGAGAGCTGCACCTTGCTCCTTGCAGTGGCAAGAGGTTCAGAGACGATGTCCGCGAGGGCGCGGTCGACCGCAATCCTTTCGGATGCCGACGCGCGCCTGAGAAGTAGAGTAGAAGGTTTGGCAACGCGGTATTCTGGCGTTGGTGTAGCGCTAGAGTCGGAATTAGGGGCGGGGGTGAAGAGGAGGCTGGGTGCGGTACCCATGTCCATCAAGGTGTGGCGCTTCTGAGGAGCGTGCATGATAAGCTCTGGTGTCGCCTCCTCGGAAATGGTGGCCGACGAGTGGCGGTCACGCGGTGCAAACAGGGACACGCTCGAGGGAAGTTCAAACGGTGGGACAGAGCTCTCGTCACGGGCAGCGCACAGCTCGGCGGCCCAGAGCTCCTTCTCAGCGTCACATGTGGCAGCGAGGTCGAAGTGATGCTCGCGCAGGGTGAGGCGTATGGAATGGGGAAGAAAGCCTGAATGTCAGCTGTGCAGTGTAAAGAGGCGAGCTCACCTTCTGTAATGTCAATGAGCTCAAACGCTTCGAGGGGAAGGTAATGCTTGAGTTCGAAAGTCTTGCCGCGCCTGATCTTGGCCAGGATGAGGTAGCCCCGGTACAGGAAGGCAGCGAGGTACTTGACCTTGACAGGCGGCTGCACGAGTGGGGCATGCACGGGGTGGTGGTAAAGCACATCGAGCGCGCCAATGAGCCGACAGACACCGAGGCGACGGACAAAGTCGTAGTTGACAGTAGGGTGAGGTTCTAGCCTGTCAAGAACGTTCATCGTCTTGAGCTCGGCCTCCTTGCGCTGCCTCGCGTCATCTGCATTCTCGGCCACGGCCCGCATGGAAGCTTGCGCGGCCTCGACGGCGGACATGACTGGGGTGGGTGGCACATCCCTGTTGACGTTGACGTCGGCGAGCAGTGACGCAAGGAGCAGTGGGTAGCGACACACACGCTGGACCGGGGTGATGAGAATGTCCTTGAAGCGCAGTCTCGTGCGGGCCGGCTTGGGGACACGGTGGTGCAGAATGTCGCGCAGCGTAGGGTGTGGTGATGTAGACGCGATGAACTGGCAGCGCTTCTCGAACGCCTCGTAGTCGGACCGGTGGGCAATGCTGCGAACCAGCGCAGAAGCAGCAGTCGAACCGGCGCAATAATCATTGTAGAGTGAGAAGCTCGTCACCTGGGGTTTGACGTCAGCAGGTAAACAAACCAGGCACGATCTGATCTGTGTTTATGTTCCTCACCTCTCGCACAAACAATTCCGCGAACCGTATAGTGGCCTTGTCCACCGTTTCAGCGTCCGTGGTTTCATACCCGATACCGCAGTACCGGAGAATGTCGACCATGTGTGCAGCAAACTGAACATGGAACTCGAGGAGGTCGGTTGTGTTGCGGACGACGAGGCTGTGGATACGCTCTGAGACGTGCGGGAGAACAGCCAGCTGCGGCAAGTAGATGTGAACCAACGAGCGGAGGTCATGGACGTAGGTGACCTCGGTCTCCACAATCTCCAACAAGATCATGCGACGCTTGTCAAGGAGCACCTTGGTCGTTTCGGCTGAGAGCTTTGCGCTCACTTGCTGGAGCTGGATCTTCTTTGCGTCAACGTCGCCTTCCTGGCCGCTGCGGGCGCTGCGGGACAGGGACGTCTTTGTGGACGGGAGTGATTTCGTCATCGCGCTGGGTGAAGAGGACAGCGTGTCCGACACAAGTGACGCGCGGTCGGCAACCGACGAGCCATCGAGTTGCTTATCGAAGGACAGCTCGTCCTTGTTCGATATTGTCAGCGTGGAGAAGCTCACGATCGACTCCTCCGTGCTGGCGAGGCTGGATTTGCGCGGGGGTACGAGTGCTGGTGACAATGGGCGCACACCCGAGACCATCTTGACAGACTGTAGTGTGTAGCCGTCATGGTTGGAGTAGCCATATGGCACGCTGTTCTCAAGCTGTGCTGCTTCGCCCATCTCGCGCCAGCGCTCAATCTCATTCTCGCCAGTGTCGAAAGACGCCCTGCGGCGGTTGTCGAACTGGGCCGCAGGCTTGGGAGTGCCAAACTGGGCGAACCGATCCTGAGCCTTCTTAACCAAACCAATGGCAGAAGTAGAGCGATGACGCGACAGGCTGATGGTCGATTCTGTTCGTCCATGGCCCTTACGAGTGGAACTGGAGGCTGTGCTGTTGTCATGATGCTGCCACGGGCGTTCTTCATCCATGGCCTTGCGAGGCAACGCCGTTCCGGAATGCAGTGTGGGTGGGACATCTGGGGTCTTTGTCGCCTGCTGGGAGTTAATGGGGTAGGCAGAGAAGAGAGGGTCGTCGGCCGTGCCAGTCGGGATGGATATTGGTGCTGGTCTGCGCCGTGGGATGCTATTCAGGTCGGACTGGGCCGAGTAATACGAAACCGAAGTCGATGGAGACGGGCTCGCGCTCGAGCATCGTGAAACGGGTGAGAGTGGGCGGAAGGGGGATGAGAGGCCGGCAGGTGCGCGTAGTGTTGCTGGCGAGACGGTCCTCGAGCCTGGTATGGGGTCGAGGATCGTGCGATTTAATGCCTCGGAGAGTGGGATGTGAGCCACGGCCATGGCGACCTTCGGTCGGTCCGGGGCTCGCGGGACCCGCAGTGAGCGAGAAGAAGGAGAGTCGAGAGGGAGAGAAGTGGATAAAGATGGAGTAGAAAGAGGAATGAGAGCTGTGGAAAGGGGCACCGGGCACCTGTGGGTGGGTCAGCAGTGGACAAAGCGATGGAGCACGCGTGCTGGCAAACAGGCAGGGCCCGTCGGCCGCCGCCGGCCCTCGCACACACGTTGCAGTTGATCGCACCTGTGCGTGCAGCGTTGCCAGGTTTTGCGGTCGTCGGATCGCACTTTCGGGCTCGTAGCACGGTCCTCGTCGATCGGTCGATCTACCGGCGGCGACTTTGGTTGTCAGCGAGCTGTTGTTTGGAGATGAGAGGAGTAGCAATGTGGAGAGAGGTGTGTGTGTGTGGTATCACACACCCTTCCCCACCCCCACGGCCCAGCACGCAACTCACGCTTCTGTCGTTACCGCCTCCGTCGCACGCCGAGAGACGGTCGTCGTATTGCGATACTGCGGTACCCAAATTGGCAGTCCTGACGTCCCCACGACGCCGCCCTTGGAGGTTCTCTTTGCGCTAGGCTACGGACAGGTGTGACCGTCCAGCGAGCAGGTTTCAGAGGCTTGAGCCAGGGTGCAAAGCGGCGGCGCCGTTGGTTGCAGCTCGGGGGTCTGGGAGGGCGGGAACGCCTTCGAGAGGGGAGTTGTCGAAAAGTCGAACAGTAACGGGAAGAGAGGCTGGAATCGAAGGGGAACAAGTCCAAACCAAAGCTGATATCCTGATGGTATAGAACGACGCTGTTCTCAACTAGTTGTTTGACAAGGCAGGTGTGGGAGGGGGTGGTGGGGTCAAAAAAGGTGGGAGACGGGGGGGTTTGTGTATGACGAGCTTTTTGCTGTTTACGGTTGTAAGAGGCTGAATTGGCAGAGTCACAGATCGCTTGCGATCTTCGAGATGGCGAGCCAGGTGGCGACAGAAACAATGCGGCCAGGTCAAACAGCAACTGCAGGGGAGGTCGAAGAGCAAGTTCGGATCTGTTCAAGGCTCTCATGGAGCTGTGAGTCGCCGCCGCATGGCAAGTGGGCCCACTTTGGCCACTTGCTGGAGACAGGGAAGGAGCGAAAGGCCCTCTCCTCCCCCGTTTGTTGCATGAATCAGGCCACATCCCGGTCGCCTGGTTGGAGAGAACTCAGGACGCAGCAGGGACGACCAAGCGTTAACGCAATGATGACATGGCGTCGTACTCGGGCAGTATGCCGCGGTCCAAAACACCCACCACGCCTCTTCTGGGCAGGGAGAGACCCTGCGTCGACCTATTCGGTCTCCTGCCGGCCCATCCCATCGGCACGCGGCTCGCCAGGAAGACCATGGGCCACACCGCACGGCAAAGCGCGGCAGCCCCCAGCGACCGGCAGTCGACCTGGCAAGAGAGAGGGCAGGCACGTCAGCCACCTCCCTTTCATCCCCACACACACACCTCATGACTGACCGTGTGGCTCCTCGTCTCAACGACCACCTCTGCCGCCCGCGTGCTGCCAACGTCGTGCGCGCGCGCGCGCGCCCGTGTGGCCAACCCCCAGCCATAGCTTCTTAGCTTTTCCCCCCCCTGGGCGGCAGCCTTCTGGAACGAGGACTGGCCTTGGCCATCGTCGAGCAGGTAACAACAGTGCATGGACCACTTGAGCCGCCACCGCCGCCGCCCACTCCGCCTCATCGCCGCGGGCGGTGGTGGGTGGACCTTGCCGCTCTTGCCCAGCAGCAGAGTTTACAGCCAAGGATTACACAAAGGGTTCGGGGCAACCAGCAGGCCACACCGCCAGAGGCCAGACTGTGGTACTGATGTGGCCGCCTGAAGAAGGTTTGGCAGAGCTCGGTTGTGGCGACGATCGGCCAGACTCGGCGAGAAGTCACCACGGTAATTTTTGGACATGGCTTACATGTCAACTTGAGAACACGCAATGATGATGTGGCTTCAACAAAAGTGCATTGAGGTACACGCACAGCCAGCTGCAAATCTGCTCTTACAGAGCCACCCACATGCAGGTGGTGATGTCGGAGCTGTGGGATCCCGTTTGCTGCCAACGACGCAACCGAGGGGCCGGGACGAAAACCTCGAGGCCTCCGCACCGTCTCGCTTGTATTAATTAAACTGTTACATATGTGTAATATACAGACGACTGGGTTTGGGATACAAGAGTGCCAACGTGCGCATCATGAGAAGCTAGGCCAGGCCGGCTCTTCGGAGCGCTTCTGCGGCGGAGGCGGTGGCGGGGTCCAGTTTACGCCGGTGAGCAAACCCCGGCATGGTCGACACGCAGTAGTATCGCGTCTTAAGAACCTGTCCTGATGGTATCGTTGGCGCCACCTCGGTCGGCCACCCACCACCACCATGGTGGGCAGCGATTAGAAACCGCCACACCCCCACGGAAGTGCCAACCCGCGAGGTTGGTAGATGGGTAACGGCAGCTTAAAGTAGCACGGCAGAATTGGTGTGTAACCACAGTCTGCGACTGGGGCCAGTCGTGTAGCCTTTGAGGCATGGCAGATCACAGATCTCCGCACGCCGGTACGACGCCGATGCCGTGCGCTTCTGCGTGAGGTGATGCCATCATACTGTGAGACTTTGGGAACTTGGGAACGCATGGAACGCAAAATGGTGGCGGTCGGCGGGTTCCTTGCACCTTTCTTTGTCCGTGCGATCGTGCCCAGAACGATCTGAAGTGCGTGCTTTGTGGATATTCGGCCCGCCGGCCGAATCGTACCTGTTGCATTAGCAGTGCGTGTATGCTGCGTGGGACATTGTAGCGGTATTCAATTGCACAGAATAACAGCACAGTGAGCCCAATGGTAAGTGGAACAGTACGGCTGCAGCAGCAATGGAGGAGGACCGAAACCCCTTGAAATTCGATGATTTCGTGAATTAATTCCAGGGCGGCTTACATAGCTTGCAGGAAACGCGCTGCTTGGTGATACGCTTCCAGTTGGACGCCCCCTTCTTTTGCTCCCATGCTCTCTGTCTGCTCCGTAACCAGCGTAGCTCGACGATCAACGAGGATACGAGGAGCTCTCCGCAATCCGTGCGTTTCGGATTTGGTACGGGATGGCGTTTAGGAGTGGGGGGCCGTGGGGGAGGGGCAGGCAGAGCGAAAGAGATCGCTCTCGTTAAAGGACGCTTCCCGCTCTGTACCGATTCCCCTACATTGCGTTCACCAAAGGATGTCACGCCTCACGCTGTGATCGGCGACGCTCGTACGCTCTGCTACCCAAAGCTGGTATGTATCCCTGCGGCGACTCGCTTCTGCAATGTCTGCCCATTGCAGTACAATGGTCCAATGAGCAGTTGGAGCACCGTTTTGCGCAGCAGCCAACTCCACCAAGGCCGTGCATCCAACATGGCAGAGTGACGCGTTTGGCACGGGCGTGTGGTTATCGGACAATACTCCAAGGTCCCAACCCAAAGCTCTGAACCTGCCTGCGCAACTGCCCCGTGGCCCGTGGACACTACAGATGACCAGCTGGCACCATCAAGGCACAGCGTCGGTATAGCCCCGGTGTCCGGCAAACGCTCCACCATGTGGTGCAGGGTTTTCTGCTGTTTGCCCAGTCCTCTTGAAAGGCCCAGCAACGAAGGAAAGCCTCGTTGCTGAGGTATGATGGATACCCACCCCGTGCTTGGGTCCTTGTATCCGCCAAATCCTCACAACAGCCAGGTGTTCTCCTTCAGGTTAGGTCGCTTTTTCTGGTTGGACGGCGCAGTTGCTCCGAGACCTTTACCTCCCACCATGCCATATCGGGCAGCGTGGAGCTCTACAATGACGACACTGTTGTTGGCGCATGTTCTGCTCTTGCCAGGAGGAGTAGGATCTGCGGAACATGATTATATTACTGACCGCGGGCTTGCATCAGTGGCGCCCGGAAACGACGTCATGGGTCGTTCCATAACTGCGGCCTGAATCGTACCATTAGCACACCCTAACCAGGTGGTAAGCACATGGTTAGGGCCGTTAGGCTCCGTTCTACCCTCTGCCCAATGCATTCTTGCTTCCGGCCATCTCATCTCGGAATTAGATTACAGGACAAGCACTGAAGCTCAAAGCCAAAGACTGTATCACACGACCCGAGTCCGGGCTAATAATCATTTAGACATGGGAATGAGATCGATCAATCTCCGCTGGGTTGAATGTCTAGGCACACCTGGTGCCAGTCGTGACGGCAACATTTTTGTGTTTTTCGTCGACAGGCAATGAATGTGGACGGTGGCAACATGCCATGCGGCACAGTGACTGAACTGTGCGTTTATTGTTTCAGACCTAGGCACACAGCGCGCTGTTGTTCGTGTGTCCAAGGTGTCGGTCGGGTGGACGGACGTCCGGGAATGTTCTCACGAACCGTAAGACTTGTCTGCGCCTCCTCATGACTGTGGCGGCTCGCGCCAAACCACTTCCCACACTTGGCAGCAGCTGCCAATCAAGAACGCCCAGCTACCCCAGAAGGTGGCTAGGGCGGACTCGTACTCCATCCTGCTGTTCTTCGAGTACCCAAGGGCGCCACATAGAAGGAAACCAAGGGCACCGACAAGGTTCCAGACACCAACTGAACGGAATGTCAGCGGCCACCTACAACACATACATTCTCTCCTCCTATGCCCACCTTGCCATCCAATATCAAGCGGACGTGGCTGCCACCAGTGGTGCTGGACCTCGATCATGAGAATTGCGCTGGAGATCACAAAACCTGATCCACCAATGACTGGGACTGATTAGGATGCATTTCAACCGACTGGCAGTTCGGCAGCAAGTGTGGCCCTTGTGCGCGTTTTGGGGGACACACTTTGGGGCACCCTCAACTCACCTTGGGGACTCCAGAAGAACACATCGCCAATGACCACATGCTCGCCATCGAATAGGCCCGGAATCACACCCGGCAGCCCGGTTCTGGAACCACGTCAGCTAAATGATCGACAGCGGCCACCACGTGGTAATCGTCAAGTACCATGGTACCAACCAACTCACAAGGTCGCGATCCAGAATGTACAGGCTGCGCAGAGTTGCACGAGTGCCTTTTGCATTAGCGGGTGGTGCTTCTTGCCGCTCTCGGACCACGTCTCTAGGCCGTGTATCCAGCGACTTGTCGCTCTGCAACGGATGCAACGTACGCTGCCCTAGCACTCACCGCATCATAGCCAAACTCGTGCCACAAGGGCTTGCCCCACCAAGCAAAGCCTCGTGCCGCGTCTGGCCCCACAAGATTTTTGTCAGACGGTGTGGTAAAGCCACTCTCTGCATCTTTCATCTCCGTCGGATGGGCAATGTCGTGAAGAAGACGCCCGAGCGCAGTCCCAAACTGTGTCTCTCGACCACTTGTAAAAACGTAAGCCGGAAGCCGAAACCTAAAGATACGAGCCGTAAAACGACATCTGGACTCACCGGTCAAGAGCTTCTACGACCATCAAGTATGAACCAATGTTGAAGATTGTTCCACCGAGAAAGGCAAGCCCGGCAGCAGTGTGCGCATTCCTGTCGGTTCCAACGGACGGATAAATAAAAGGCAGCCACGTGAGAAAGCCTTTTTGGTGTGTTAGACACACGAGTTTCTCACTGCTGAGCTCACCATTGATCACCCAAACCGTGGAGCCAAGAGTGAACCACACGGCGATCCAAAAGCTCACGTCGTACATGAGATGTGGCTTGAGCTGGTCCCCGAGACTTTGCACGCGCAGCGCGATGCCTTCTACGACATGGCCATTTTGCCCAATGTGGTGCGACTTGGCGGCGTACCTGCGCTTCCTAGCGCGTCGGGACTGCCATTCCACCTCACGACCATCGCTGTCGACCAGATGGAGGTGCGTTGGGTTGAAACGGCCGCCCGAGAGACCATGGTGCTGTTGAATGTGGAGCGACGCTGGCGCCGGAGGTTTTACGGGGCCGGGGCTCGCGCTGGCTTCGAGGGATTGTGCTACGCTGGGTGCAACCATTCTGAGACAGTGGTGAGAGATGTGGTGTGGTGGTGAAGTTTTAGATCGATTCAGTGACACCTGTTCTCCTCGTCACAGCACCCGTAGCTCACCGACATCATGGTCGCTTCCGCCGCTTCAAAACGGATGGGACGGTGTGCGTGGCCATGCGTGGAGTGGTGGGGCAAAGAGCATCATGACGAACAAAAAGGTAACGTACAACGGCGAGTAGTGACGTCATATGCGGGTGTCTATAAATTGACATCCTTTTGGGGGGCCTGTGGTCACGAATAGCACCTGCTTTGCCCTCCTTGTTTCCAACACTCCCCCACTCGTCATCGACGCGTCTGCCGCAGAGTCCAACTGACAAAAGTGCATCGCCTCGTCTATGCCCACCAGAAGTCCCACCCTCACTAAACTGCCAGTGTTCTTGACTTGCGGGTACGAGCTCGTTCTTGCTCACGACGCGTCTTCTCCCGCAGCAAGAGACGGGGCAGACCAGGTGAACCGGGACGCGGGAATGCGCGGACCGTGCTTGGCGCAGGGGCAACAAACACGGTGTTTCGACCCCCACACCGTCCACAGGCCACACTGGAAGCTTGAAGCCTTTTAACGGATGCACAGGTGTGTCCCCCGCAGCCAGCAAGTCATGCATGTAAGCGTATAAGCGTCTCAAGTGTCGACAGAAACAGGCGTCCAGCATGCAAATAGACGGCCAGGCGCGGTCGACAGACCAGCTCGCTGGCGGACGACGCGTCCACGCGTCCCCCACAGAGGCGCGCGTGCTCCCCGCGATCCGGGCGCGCAACGTCGACGCCACCATCTTGGCCATTGCGGGCATCAGGTTGGTACGTTGGACAGCAACCGTCAACGCTCGCACAGGCCGTCGCTTTCAGGTCTCACTTACCGGGTCAGGTGGGTGTGCCCTTTATTGACCTAGACTTGTGATGCATAGTGCTGTGCTCAGCTCACCACTCCCTTGATTGTACTCTTCATCTCTCAACTAAATCTTGTACGAGGTCGTTCACGCTCGACGACAACGACCGCGGTCCCGACCATCCTCCAACCCCCACACTCATTTACTGTTCCTTGGAACCTACAACCATGCGCCGCTGGTCCGTCGCATTCCTTGGCCTCTTGGCTCTCCCGGGCGCCCTGGCCGTCTACACCTGTAACTCGACCTCGGCCTGCCCCCAAAGCGCACCTTGCTGTTCCGAGTACGGCTTCTGCGGTACCGACTCGTACTGTCTGGGAGGATGCGAGCCGCTCTGTGCGTAGAGCGAGCGCAGCGTCAGACTAGGTGTGCTGACCATCAGACTCTTACACCGAGACGTCGTGTCTGCCAGAGCCCGTGTGCGAGTCCAATGCCTGGCAGTTCACCGACCTCAGCCGCGTGCAGACCAACGGGACCCTGTACAACGGCAACGTCACTGCCTACGACTGGCTGGGTGGGTTGGACCGCAAAGCGATGTCGGTGAGGTATATTAATAACGTTCCTCACAGTCACGAAGGGCTCTCTTGAGCTTGACCCCGACGGAAACGGCGTGCGTCTCATCCTCACCGAGGACAATGGTGAGTGACCTATATTTGTCCGTCACAATCCCTTTGCTAAACCTCCTCCAGGCGGTACCCTCCTCTCGTCGACCCGCTACGTCCACTATGGCAAGATCGAGTTTGTCTTGGGTAAGTGTCCTGTGTGTAAGTGAGCCTGTGCTGACGAGAATAGAAACCACCAAGTGGAGCGGTGTCGTGACGGCCGCCATCACCATGTCGGATGTCAAGGACGAGATTGACTGGGAGTTTGTCGGCAACGAGACCACTTCGGCCCAGACCAACTACTACTTCCTCGGCCAGGCAAACTACAGTGCCACTGCTGGAGAGACCTACCAGGTCACTTCGGGTGGCGACACGTCTCAAAACTTCCACACTTACACCCTTGACTGGCAGGAGGACTACCTCACTTGGTCCATTGACGGCAACAGCGTCCGCACGCTCACCAAGGCCGACACCATGGCCTCGGACGGCCAGTAGTGAGTTGCCCAGCTTCGGTGCGAGTCTACCCAACTCCAACTGACAACATGCAGCAAGTACCCTTCGACCCCTTCGCGCGTCCAGATCTCAATCTGGCCCGCCGGCATCGACAGCTCGGCGCAGGGTACCATTGAATGGGCCGGCGGCATGATCGACTGGACCGACGCCGACTACATTGCTCACGGCTACTTCTACAACACGCTCCAGAGCGTGACCATTACGTGTGCGGACACGGACGACTCTAGTATCACCGGGTACCAGTACACAGGCAATGATTCCAGCAACGTTCCAGTGAGTTTTGACAGTCTGGATGAGTAGTGGTGGCTGGCAGCCAATTGAACGGCAAGGGGAGGGTCGCTTCCCTCCGATACACGTTGCTTGCCACCCATACCCATACGGCGTGTGTAAGCCTGCAACGTACTCCTTCTTACCGCAAGGCAAGCAGGAGGCGTTCTGGCTGTGTGACAATTGAGCTTGTGTATTGACCTGCCGCAGGTCGTCGGCTTCACCAACCGCTCTACCATCATTTCCGGCGCCCTCCCTGCATCTGTGGCCTCGGTGGGACTTGCGGGCCTCTTCAGCGTTGCTGCTGTCGCCCTTCCCTGGGTGACCTGGTCGCTGTTCTAAGCCCAGCCCTTGAGCGGGTGTCACTGGCGAGCACGTCCTAGTGTACGGATAATGTGGACAGTTTCGAGTTGCAGATACCATACCCCTTTTATGCACCGTTTATTAAAGTGATGCTTTGCTTTTGGTCGGGTTTGGGCTCGCGTACTACATCATCTCGAGCCTCCAGGGCATTCTTTTCCATCCAATTACCTCGGGTACTTCCTTTTCTCAGCGTGTACTAGCTACCCCCCTCTGCCTTGTCGGCCTGTCGAGGTCTCGCCTGCTCGTCCTCGTTTATCGATCCCTTCGAGAGCCTCTCGCCGTCACATCCGTGGCGAGTCACTTCCACCAGGAGGCCTCGATCGCCACAACCGTCATCAAGGCTGTTCAGGCGGTTTCTGAGGGATACATGAGCGGCTCCATTGCCCACGTTCTGTGCGTACGGTCTTGGCGACTTTCATCCCAGAATCTGCTAACCATAATGAGGCGTTAGACGGAGGAAATTGTTGTTTGGTTTCGCTTTGAGTTAATTAGAAGTAGTCATGTATATGCATTATTGGACTGTACAGTACTGCAGTACATGGTCCACAGGCCGCACGTTTCTGCGTTTGTGGCAGTCGTTGGTTCCCATGAACGACGCCATACGGTTCGTCTGTTTGGAGTGAGAGTCGGGAGGTGAGACCTTTGATAACGCACAACGGCATGCTGGCAGCGTTTGCGACGCGTCAACGGAATAATGGGTGCATGGGTGTGGTGCGTGCCGCTGGCGTGGGAATTTATGGGCGATGGGACGCCCGGCGCGCTGCCGCCGGTTTCTCCCTTGTTTTTGGTGGCGAGACCCACAGCCCAGAGGCCAGCGGCTGGCCAGCACCCATTCAATCCCACCTCCACTGTTTGTCTGCTTTGTCGTCTTCTCTCCTCCATCATCGCATGCCTACTTCGACACAATACCTCTGACCCATGCGGGTGACAGCACTCTGTCTGGCTATTGGCGCGTGCGGCACCGTCGTCGCGACAGCGACCGCCGCAACCGCGCTCTGGGCTCTGCTCTCTTTCAGTGAGTCGCGAGTGCAATGTGTCCTGTTTTCCCATGTCCGCCAGTCATCACACCAGGCGCTGGGACATCTTATAACAAGCAAGGCAAATGATCCATCTCGCCGTCATGGACCGCAACCCCCCGTCGCTACATGCTCTTAGTACCGCGCTGACACGAACCAGTCCCCCTCGTCAACCTCGTCGCGATCCCTTCCCTCATTGGTAGCGTGCTGCGTACGTTGCTTCTCTGCCAACTGGGAACCACCTACTGACTCCACTGCAGTGCTAGTACACATTCTTCCTGTTGCTGCCTACTTGCTTCTCGCGCAGACCGACGCGCCGAAGCACTCTGGAAGTCTCTTCCTACCGTTCAGCCCAGGTAAGTGGTTGTTGTTGTAGCCGCCCCTGAGGCGTCCATGTCACACCTCCACCGAGACCAACCTTCAACCCCCAAGCCTCAAGCATACACCTTGCTGACAGTACCTCCAGCTCGCCACCTTGGCCTGCTCGTGGCAGTCATCCACTATACCAGCTATGTCGTTACGACCGCACCTTCCATTCTCGGCGCATTCCTCCGAACCATTGTACGGCTATGGAACACACCCGACCCAGATACGGCGCGCCGCTCTTCGTGGCTCACCCCATGGTGGGAGCGCTTCGCAGTGTACGTGGCCCACTGCATCCTCTCCAGCCCAGACACGATTTGTTGACACCTTGTCCGCAGTTTTGGTATCCCCTATCAACCTCCGCGCCACGGGCGCGTCTACCGCCTGGACGTGTTCAAGGCACAAGAGGTGGTGGCTGCTAGCGTCCCCAAGCCCATGAGTGGCGACGACCTCTCGCCGGCGATATCTCCCGTGTCCAGTTGCGCCACTTTGCCCGACGTCGATCGCGGTAGCCGAATCGACACAGACGAGTTCCCGACCACGGTGTGGAGCGACCAACCGCAAGGTTCTCCAATGGACGACATCCCCGCGCCGGAAGAAGGACTGAAACCCGTGGTGATCTTCCTGTACGACGTCGGTATGATGGGGCCAATCCGTCCAGCGCGCTGGATGTTCAGTCTGGTTGGTCTCAAGCTCGCCGAACAGGGTTACGTGACTGTCGTGCCCGACATTACCATGTACCCCTGGGGCCAAATTGAGGACCAAGTCGCGGACGTCCGCAGTGTCGTGACTTGGGTCAAGAAGGAAGCTCGCGCCTTTGGCGGCGACCCGACCAACATTTACCTTTGCGGCCACGGCCTTGGTGCCCACCTCGGCATGTACACGGTCGCACAGGACGCGGTCGTGCATTCACGAGACCGACTCGAGATCCACAATGCCGCCTCGCACTGGCAACACGTTGGCTCGTCGGACCAGCCACAGCATTCGCGTGACATCCCCAACGGTGTGCGCTCGCTTCGCATCTATGCTCCAGAAGTCGAATTGCCACATATCCGTGGTGTCATCATGTGAGTTAATATATGGCTTGCGGCCGTCTACTAACGTTTAGGCTGTCTCCCGTTGCCGACGTTATCAAGCAGGTCCGCCACGAGGCCAAGTGCTGGCTCGAGCATGTCTCGCCTCTTCGTCGAGCCCTCGGCTCGTCGCAGACAAAGTGCATGCGCCACAGTCTCGGGCACATTCTCTTCGCTGCCCGAAACATTGTCGAGCTGGACTGGATGCCCGACCACGTCCTTGTCATACACGGTGGCAACGACCAGCTTGTGCCCGTGTGGCAGTCAGTGTGGCTCGCCGACCTTCTCAACGGTCTCGACGTGCCCACTGCTATTCGCCAGCACGCACGTTTGGCACACTTTGACGTCGTCACGGGCCTCATGTCTGGCCTTGAATCCAAGAGCACGGCGTGGCTCCTCCATGACAGTGGGTCTCGCCCGCGGCACGTGACGCTAACCCAAACAGTCCGCGCATTCATTGACGGCGCAAACTAATATACAACCTGTGTACAACACTAGCCGCCACACTCCTCATATCCGTCCCACCGTCACCGTCACACTACTCCTCTTGAGCCCCAAGGCCCCCTGTCGTGTAACCTAAAGAGTTTGTTCCACCTAGTCCTGTCGTCATCATACAGTCGCGATTGCCCATTGTGAATGCAGTACTGTTTCGTAGCCTCCAGGCCTTCAGCCAAACTACCCAGCCGCTGAGTGGCGGGCACACATGGGCCGTCCTCGCACAACCACTTGCATATATGCTGTACTCTATACGATCTCTCTCTCCGGTGTTGTATGTTAACAGCCCCATTCGGGTTTCGCGTGGGACTGCACAGTCACACAGTACCGGGCCGGGTGGCGTGCTATCTTCGCGAGAAGCTCATATCTAGGGGAGGTCGCGCCATTCACTGACCGCATGGCCTGATGATTCACGTTTGCCACCACCGTTTACCACAAACACCATTCTTTTGATCAACAACTACCATGAGTGCTTCGGCATTGCTGGTGTTGCCACCAGCGACTCACTTTGGCGACAAGGACCACTTCCACTCACTCGCCGTCACCGACCGGGAGCCATCGGACGCTGACGCCGCCGAGTGGCGTTATCAACACCAGAACCAGGCCTATTACCCGGCCCTCCTCGACATTGTCCTCGACTATGCCGAGCACGACACGTCTTCGCTACTTGTAGCACGCAGCCTGAATCGCGCGTTTAGGCATCGTGTCGATTCTCTCCTTGCACGGCATGTCGCGTTCACCAGCAGACCAAACTCCAACCCCAACCCCAAGTCACACTGTTCCGCTGAACCTGCCGATAAGGACGCCGAGGCAGCGACAGAGGCCGGGTGGCGCGCCAGCCTGTCCCACCGGTCTGGGCTACAGCTGCCCTTCCGCGCCGACCACACTCGCGTACAACAGCTACTCACCAAGACGCGCGTGATCGACTTGCACGGCCACCCGTCGTGGCCAGTTTCGTCCAAGCTGTCCCAGCTGGTCCCCCAAGTCGCCACCGTCCGGCTCAAGCACTACCACACGGGCATCTCCCTCCAGCCCTGCCCCGTCGTGTCCCAGACACTGGTCGTGTTCGCACACTTGCCGCTGTGCACACACGCCACACCGTCTGCAACCGCCACAGCCACGTCGGCGCCGTCGCGCGTGGGCCTGGTGCCACACGGAGTCGAGCGGGTCGTGCTTGTGTTGTCTGTCTCGCGTACCCGGCCGCGCGTGAGCGACTCGCACGCCCTCGCGCTCCGGCTTCTGCCTGCCACAGTGGGACATGTTGTGGTGGCGCTCAAGCCCGTAGAGAGGGCCGAGTATCCGTTATCGCATGCGCGGCACGAGCTGAGGGATGTCTTGGGACAGGCGGTGTGCGAGAATCTAGGCGTAGCGTTTGTGGTTGTTGGTATGGAGGAGATGGGCGCGGGGCTGCGTCTGGGATGGGTCGAGGACAGCGTGTGCGCCTTGACCTGTGCCGAGTATCGCGCACTCGTCGGTGAGGAGCAGTATGAGCTCCAGACGACTGAGTAGAGTGTGTTTGGCAGGGGATAGATATTCGTTACAGGTATACACAATCTACAGATGAAGCCATCTAGAGGGCTCTCGTTATATAGTCTACGCTCTCGCACATCGTTATTATGACACCTAAACCTACACCTCACTCGTAGGCGGCGCGCTGCTGCTCTCAGCCTCGATACTCTTCAGCAGTTCCATGATACCCTCCGTGTCCTCTTTGCCAAACAGGGCCTCCAAGGTCACATTCCCGTCGGCCGAGGTTGCTGCCTCGTCATCTGCAAACTGGAGGAACAGGGCTTCTAGCTCCTCAGCGTTATGGGTCGTCCCATCACCATTCTGGGTGTTGTGCACTGGGTGCCTGCTACCACTCGCGTGTGCGTTGGCAGGGTTATTGTGACCGTTGAACGGGAAGTGGCTAGCGAAATCGAGAGAGGGGACGCCATCACCGGGGGTTGGCGATGCGGGTTCCTTGCCAGCTTCACGTGCACTAGCCCGCGTGGCCATGCGCGGTGACGGCGACGGCACGGGTGCGCGAGTGCGCTGGCGCTTGCGCGGCGACTCCGCCACAGGTGGAACAGGAAGTGGCTCCACGGGTGGTGGGGCAGGAGGTGGCTGTTGGTGGTCAAACTGGCGCGTACGGTTGAGCCGGGGCGAGGAGCGGATGATGGGCTGTTCTGGGCGAACCTCGTCGTCCTTATCCCACAAGTCTGAGGGACGCATGCGCTTGTGCTTGTTAAAGTAGATGCCACACGCTGGTTTGTCAGTTCACCACGCAATAGCGTCAACTCACCATTGCAAACGCGTGTGATTAACCCGTCCTTGAGCTTCTTGGTCATCCACTGGCCCGAAGACGTCGTGGCGCCACAGTTGTTGCACGGGGGCTCGGTAAGTGACGTCGGCGTACCGGACCATGGATAAGCGTCCGAGCTGGGTGCTGGCGCATCTGATCCTGGAACAGCCATCGCGGTGGAACGTGAGTGGTTTGGAGGAGGACCAGGCGGCGGAGGACCAGGCATGGGTCCAATACCGGGAATACCAGATCCGCCACCAGTAGTCGTGGACCTGGGAGACGACCTGGGTACTTTTGCCTCGGGTGACCCTGCAGCGGGCACGGCCTTGACGAGACGCTGGAAGAAGCTGTTGGTCGAGAGCTGGCGGACCATATCAGGACTCATTTTACCATCTTGCCTCTTGAGAATGCTGAGGAGAGCGGCGCGAGACGGAGATGGCTGAGGAGGGGTGCGAAGTGTTGAGGCATCAATGGGTCGGGGAGGAGGGGTGCACTGGCGTTCGCGCAAGTTGTTGCGGGTTGGCGTTGGCGAGCTATCGCGGTCACGGTGGCGGGATGGGATGGCCTTGACAGTACGTGATGGACCAGCAACAGGTTCGTGCACTGGCGTGGAGCGACGCAGCGGTGATGGTGATGGAGGTTTGGGCATGGGAGGCGCTGGGCGAACAAACCCGCCGTCACGGGTCCGCGGAGGGTCACTGCTGCGGGTGGAAGGGCGGACTGGGCTGGAGGCGATGGCAATGGGGGCAGAGGCCGAGCTCCTGCCTCCATGAGTGAGCATGTCTGAGAAGGCTCTGCGATGCGCAAACTCGCTCTTGCCCTCCGGATTGAGTTGGCGGAGAGTGAGCGTCACTTCGAGTCCCCATCCTTTGCCGTCCGCTTCCTCGTCATGCCCGGCGCTAGCAGCCGCCATGAGACCCTCGAGGCCGCCGCCGTGTGCAAATTGGGTCGCAGCAAACTCGTACTCGCGAACAAGACGACCACGGGCCAGCGTCGTACCGGCTCCACTCTCGCTGAGTGCCCATGACAGGAAGCCCTTGCCCGTCCAGCTCGCTGGCCTGGCAGGCACTTGCGGTCGCTGGGCACCTCCATGCGGCTGAGTAGGCAGTGTGTGCTCGAGGTTGTACACTGAAAAGTCGAGCGAGGACTTGTTGGGGACGCATTCGGGGCTGATGGGGTGTCAGAGACAAGAACAATAAACAAAACCAAATGAGCGTGCCATCACCAAACGCAAGCTGGCATCACTGCTTTTGTGCTCACCTGGCAAAACAGATTCCCCTTGCAATGGCCTTCAATGTACAGCTTCCAAATACATCACCCGCATGAGGAGCTGGGTGAACGTACACGTCGTGTCGATCGGAGAGGACGGCCAGGAAGGACTGGGGGGATGTGTCGATGGTGTACAGAACCTTGACTGTGTATCTGGTTAGCTAGAAAAGCAGGTGGCCCACAGCGAAGAAGGACGTACTTGGGAGGGACTGGATGCGTCCCGGTGCTGGGGGCATGGTGATAGCACCGTTCGGCGATGGGGATATGGATTGTTGAAAAGATGGGATTGTTGATCAATTCAAGTGGTGCTTTGTCTTTTGCCTGTGCCCGTACCAAAAGTCGTACGCGTAATGACGGGTCGTCTGCTGGCGAGGGTGGCGAGACGCGACACCCACAATGGAACGGAAGCAAAGCCACGTGCAAGTGGTCGCGTCGGATCTCGGCTACCTTTCCCCGGATGGACCCGGCCACCGTGGGGCCGGCCGTCCACACACCCACTCTTCCCCGCATCGCCCTTTGCTTCGTTTCCAACGACACCTCGTCCTTCTCTTGCTGCTCCTCCCACTCACGCACTCATATATCCCCACTTACTCGATATGCTTCCACCAGCAGCACCACCTGTTCCTCCTGCCCTGCGTATGCGTACGCCGGGCTACGCGCATCACTCGCTCAAGTTCAGCCCCTTCTTTGACAACCGCATTGCCCTGGCCTCTGGAGCCAACTTTGGTCTCGTCGGCAATGGACGTGTGCATATTGTCAACATGAGCCCCGGTGGCCTTGTGGTGGAGAAGTAGTGAGTCTGTTGGGGAGAACGGGGGCAGGGGAGGGCCGGGAGGATGGAACAGCTTGCGGGCGTTGTCTAAGCTGTTGAATGAGGCCCTCTCTCCCTTTCCCCATCGTGGTGTAGCATGACTGACCAGCCAGCTTCGACACCCAAGACTGTGTATACGACATTGCGTGGAATGAGGCACACGAGTGCGTCTGCGGCAGATGATTCTTGTCGGAGCACAAAGCTGACTAGGCAAGAAACCAGGTGCTCGCCGTCTGCGGCAACGGTGCTCTGCGCATGTTCGACATTACCTTGACGGTGAGTTTTTGTTGTTGTTGACTGCGGCGGGTGTAGGAGCGATACCCACTCGCCCCAATGATTTCACAACGTGAGCTGACGTCCAGGGTCTCCCCGTCGCAGCATGGCACGAGCACACCGCCGAGGTCGTCGGCGCGGATTGGAGCAACATTGAGAAGGGCCTGTTTGCGACTGCGTCTTGGGACGGGTCTGCCAAGGTGGTGCGTACTACGCCTAGTTGTTATGTTTGGCCCTCCTTCATGCGCTAACAATGAACAGTGGTCGGTCGACCGTGCCACCTCCATCACCACCCTCCCCACCGGCGCCGGCCAGTGCTACTCGGCCCTGTTCTCCCCTCATACCCCTTCCCTCCTCTCCACCGCCGGCCAAGATGGTACCGTCAGGCTATGGGACCTGCGCACGACGGCCAACCCGCGTCCCGGTGTCGCGTTCCAGCCCCAGATGAGCTTCCGTGCTGGGCCGGCGGAGATCCTGGCCGCCGACTGGAACAAGTACCACCCCGGCGTGCTCGCGACGGCCGGCAAGGACGGTGTGGTGAGGGTTTGGGACACGAGGAACCCCAGCAGGCCGACGGCAGAGATGCAGGGCCACTCGTTGGCGATCCGCAAGGTCCAGTGAGTCCGCTGGGGTGTTTTCAACGTATCCACAGCTGACAGGTTCCAGATGGTCTCCGCACCACGCCGACATTCTCGCCTCGTCAGGCTACGACATGACCGCACGAGTGTGGGTCACGCGCCCGTCGCCGGCCCAGATCCACGTCACCGCCGCGCACACCGAGTTTACGATGGCGCTCGGATGGGCATTGTTCCAGGAGGGTCTGCTGGCGACAGCAAGCTGGGACCAGGAACTGCACGTTTATCAAAATGTCTAGGCGTTCCAGGCTGCAGGAGGAGAAGGCAAAGAAGGCAAGCTAGCAGTGGGTCAGACAGATGGAGAGCATGGACGTAGCACGGAGAGCGTTGTAATTAGAGAGTACTAGCATCATTCATCTTTCCTTTTCATGATTATCATGCTTTTTACATCCAATAGTCGTGGGATAAAGAGGTAGAGGTAGAGGTTGAGATAGGAGGAACCCGGGCGGAAATGAACTGATCGCAGACGAACAGAGCATCAAACAGCACATGGGGAGAGAGGGGAGATCAAGACTGGTACAGCAGTGCACACACACGACTGGGGTCATCATCCGATGTCCAGGAATCCAGACGAGACGAAGGACAACAAGGGTACACGCAACATGGGTACTGTCGTGACATACACATGTTTGCGCTCAACTCGCCGACGCGCGACCGAGCAACCTCTTAGAGGTCCTTCTTGGCCTGGCTGGCCTGGCGGGCAGCCTCGTCGATAGCCTTCTGCTCCTTGGCCTCGACGCTGGAGGCGTACTCCTGGCCAACCTGCATGCCGATAACACCAATGAGGAGCAAGCCGCAGAGAGCGTTGGCAGCGGCGAGAACGCGGATGGCCTCAACCTTCTCGTCAATAGTGGCGGGCGCCTCGCGCGCCGGGGCGGCGGGGATAATGCTCCAGGTCGAGGTGGCGTCGGGGACTGGAAACGTCAGTAAGGAGACAGCAGCGTGAGGGCACCGGGGTCGGCTGTCAGAGCGAGAGACATTCTAGCTACCATCGCTCTGTCTACCCCAGCGCTAAACCAACTCACAGCAAGTGCGCAGCGACTGGATGTGGACCGAGAGGTAGAGCACGATGGTGGCCATCTGGAGAGCTGAGGCATTAGCTTTTGAAGATGTGTGGCGGGCGGACAGGTGCGTTGGCCCCGTCAAGACTCCTGGGTGACTTCCCATACCAGCCGGGGGTCGTGTGGCACCCTAATACTCACCGATCGACGAGCCGTCAAAGAACTTGGCGCTCTCAGTCCACTTGTGCAGCTTGGAGAGGAGGACAAGGAGGGGGAGGAAGATGGCGACGTGGAAGAGGGCCTGCGGGAGAATGCGTCAGTGGGTTCTGGACGTTGGTGACAATGAAGTGGGTCGGTGCCTCGCATGTGTATGTGTAGACTGCTCGTTCCTGTGCAACATGCCATGTCCACACCGAGCAGCAACCATGGGGAGATGCAAGGTGCCCCATGGTCAAGAGACGGTGTGCATGCACACAGCGACCGCGACTGGGCGAGTACGCAGGAGTTGAGACCAATGCCCACTCTGATGCCAGCAGATGGCAATCGCTGCCCACCACCCACTGTCCGGGCTGAGATTGGACAACGCGCGGCACGACGCCGCATGGACCCTCTCCATCCTATAGCCAGAGCAGCTGCCAGCAGCCAGAATGCGCGTGGGTGGGTGTATCCTGGATTTGTTTTCCTAGCATTCCTGCCGTCACGGAAATATCCCTGGACACTTCGCCAGTCTGGCGTCGGCTGGATTTCCCCCCTGCTTCCCTTTGCGCCAGCTCGATAGCCAGACTGGAGGAGTGGGCCGTAGATACGCGCGGGCAGCTCGCAAAAGCCAGACGGCGTGAAATCCATCTAGCAAACACGATGGTGATGTTTGGGACGGAAACACGAGAAATCCACAGGAGGTACACGACACGACACCACACAACACCAAGGATTGAGACGGCAGAGCTTGACTCACCTTGACAGCGCCGGGAGCCTCGTACCACATGCTGTAGAACGCGTACGCGTCCTCGACCGCCTTGTCCGTGAGGGGCACGTAGAGGAGGGGAATGTCCACCTGGCAGGTCAGCTGTGTATGCTCTGTACAAGGCGTTGGCGGCTGTGGATCATGGTGGTCTTGACAGCCATTGCCAAGCCGGTCGTCTTCGGGTTTGCCGCTGGCACGACCTGGTCTCGCAACTCACCACCTGGGAGACAAAGACCATGCCGAGGAGGAAGGCGGCCGAGCCGATGACAATGTTGGTACCGAAGCCCATAGTGGATGGATGCGAGGGAGGTAAGGACCGACGAAGGAGAGAGGTAGAGAGGGTAAAGGAGGATAAGAAAGAGACCACTGACACGAGTTGGGAGAATGACTGTCTCAGGCGGCGTGAGTGATCGGATACGGGCGGCTGCCAGCGGGGGCAAAATCCTAATTTATTTACCGTCCATATACTAAGCGCGGTTAATAAGATCCAATTGTCGTATTTGAGCTGTGGACCAACACCCCGCAAGATCTCGTCCCGCCTTGAGTGCGGCCACCTGACCGCGCACCTGTTCCAGCATGGCGGATGTAACAATCAACTGAACTGGAAGCTGGACAAGGGCTGGTTCTACACGTTACCCATTACCCCATGCTAGCTTGCCATCACTCGCCATGGTCTTCGCTCCCTGTCCCTTGCGACCGCCACCGACTCTCACGACGCCATCATGTCCTTCGTCCTGTCTCAGCGCACCCCCAGCCTTCAGCCTCCAAGCCCGCCCCCACTCCCCTCCTCCACGATTCGATGACACTCAATTCATCATCTTCAATAATACTTCTTCTTATAATATACACAAGCGCGCGAATGGCTCGTCAAAAATATGGACATACACTGCAGCTAGTAGGGTAGGGGCATGCAGGCAGAAGGGGAGTGGCGGACGGGCGTTTCGCGGCAATCGTTCGTCTTGTGTCTAGCACAAACGTAGGTCGTCTTGGGTGTCTTGTGTTGTGTGTGGTTGGTTGGTTGGTCTGTTAAGGAAAGACTTGGTTGGATTTTTATCATCCCCTCTAGGGGGTGGGTGTTCGTGTATCGTGATATGAGTGTAGTGTCGGGTAAGGACATGCAGGGGAGAAGGTGGAGAAAGAAGGAGTGTAATGGAGGGAATCGTTTTCGTTCTGAGCATCGAGGTCAGCTCACACTGTCGCAGGGCACAATATTTGACAAGCGTCTACTCACAATTATTGGCCAAGAGCGGCACCGCCAAGGCGAGAGAGTGTGTTCCACACCCTCGGGGTGGAGAGGAGCGCCCTGCGCGTCGAAGAGGGAACCTTGTTACTGCGTGTGTTGGACGACGGGGTCGACGCCACACCGCTGCTGGAGACAGCGCTGGACACCTCCGAGTCTGACAGAGACCCAGTATCGGTCGCCGACTTTGTCCTGCCAGAGCGACGTGCGGGCTTCTCGTCCTTGAAGATGGGGATGCCGCCACGGCGGGGGATCAAGCTACGCGAACGAGGGAGCTCGCGCTGCGCAGGGCTGGGAGGTGTCATCACCTGCGTGTTGGAGTCAAAGGTGAGCTTGGACGCAGGAGGCGTGGTTGGCTCCTCGCTTTCCTCAATTGGGAAAGTGGTCGGTGCCGGGGGCAGGTCATCGGCCGGGGTTGTGTCACGGCTAGGGGGAGGGGAGCTGAGGCCCGACTTGGCAAGGGGCGAATCACCGTTGCGGCGCTTTGTGGCTCGCTGGTCGAGCTCGGACACACTCGAGCTGCAGCTGGCACTCGAGGTCGACCGAACAAGACGACCGGCCTGCGTCTCGGCTAGGCGAGGAGTGCTGGCGGGAGGAGGAGCTTGGCCGCGAACCGGCTGGGGGGAAGAAACGGGGGTGCGACCCGAACCACGCTTGATACCCCGGACTGAGCCTTCACCACGATCCGAGGACGGTGATGGGGGGATCGACTGGGTGGTAGTGCGCTTTGGCGTCGAGCTGCGAGAACGCATGGGGGGAAGGTTCTCCTCGGGCTCGGGGGTCACCTCGACGAGTGTGCGGCCCTTGCGAGGTTGGCAAGGCGCGTCGCCACCCTTGCCAGAGGGCGTAGGGGCCGGGACACGCTTAGCAGGGGTCAAAGGGCGTGAGGGGGTCTCGACCTGCGGAAGGGAGGAAACGGGGACGAGCTCTACTTCGTTCTCCATGGGAGGAGAAGGTAAAGAGTCGGAGAAGTTGGGTGGGCGGTGAGCGTCAATGGCTGCCCATCCGGCCCACTTCATCTGGTTGAGCTGCATGTACCTCTGCTGAGGACCGACAACCATACCGGGGCGAATGACGCGCATGTATCCAATCACCTCGGATGCGGTGAACTGGTGCTTGTAAATGAGGTAGGCTGGGGGTTGTCAGCGACGAGCAGAATAGAGCCAGCTTACCTCCAATGAGGACACCGGTACGACCAAGACCGGCCTTGCAGTGGACGGCGACCTTCTTTCCCCTGGCAATGGTGTCGTCGACAATGCGGATGAAATCGCGCACGATCTCATCAGTGGGGTTGGTACCGTCGTCAAAGTAGAGGTCGACTGACTGTTAGCTTTCGCGCCCGGTGCTCATCTTCCTCACCATGGTCCATGCCGGTCTGAACAAAGTGGCTGCGGTCATACAGCTCATCGTTGAGGCGGATGACAAGCTTGACGTCCTCCTCGTAGAACTTGGTCATGACCTTCTCAAAAGCCGCGGTCAACATGCGGCCTTGCGACGAGCTGTACATCGGAGGACGCTCGCCCGGCGGTGTGCTTCGGATGATCCACGACGGGTCCATCGGGGATGCGAATGCGATAAAGCTTCCCAAGACGTTGAGGTCACCGTTCCTGCGCATGTGGTTAGCGGGCGGGCCACCTGGTTTTGAGCACGCCGCCACACAGGTCGTGTGCACGGTCGCACAGCAACGGAACAACTACGCACTCGACCCTTTCAAAGTAGCGGTAGTCGTCGGCGTCAAACTCTTGCAGTTGAAGCAGACCGTTCTTGCCTGCCTTCCACACGCCGTACAGCACATCCTTTTGACGATCGTCAGCATGCCGCACGACACGGTTTCGGACTAAATGGGGGGCAGTCTGAGCCCTTTCGGGCCCTTGCCTCCGACATCCTTTTGATTTCCTCACCTGGATAGTGACGCCGAACTCGTTCACCCCGTTGCCCGCGTCGCGGAACGGCAAGAGCTCAAAGTGGGCGAGCGGCTGGAACGCATCCCAGGGGTCGTGGTGCTCGACGATGAGCTGTATCGGTTAGCGTTGTGTTCTGGGGTGCTTGCCCCGTCACCAGGCTGTCCTGGGCACGCCCCTCGCACCCACGGCCAGGAACACGTACAGCGTAGAGAGCAGCAACGAGGGCCATGTTCGACTTCTTTTCGGGGTCGGGACTGGTGTAGAGACACAGCGCACGGCGCTTGTGCTCCTTGGCCTGAGAGGTGAGCGATGGAAAGCTGTTGGTACACCTACGTTGAGCTTGTCATAGATGCGCACACAGGCGTCAAAGGTATAGGCGAGGTTGAGTGGACCGTGGTCGTTTTTGAACGGGGTGTAGACCATGTCATCGTCGACTGCCGCAGGTCAGCATATGGCATGACGGATAGAACGGTTGAACCACTCACGAGTGAAGAGGTGCATTGGCTTGCCCGTCACCGGGTGAGCGTATGGGCCGAGCGCAACATCCTTTGGCTCGAGGGTAGTGAAGACCAGTCGCTGGGTAAACTGGGCGTAGGCGTTTGGGAGGCTACGGAAACCCGAAATGCAGTTCCTTGGTGGGCTGCCAGTGCTCCCCATGTTGAATGGAGGATGTGCAAGTGGGAGTGTAGTGGGAGAAAGAGAGAAGAGAGAGTGTTGACGTCGAGAACCGACCAAGTGAGGAAGGAACGAGGAGGGAAGGCGCAGGGCGCTGCGGCTGGGCAGGTGAGGGTGGTGGATTTGGTGGCGTTGGCGCTGCCGGTGGAGGCTGATCTGGGGTGGTTACTGGTGATTCTACGAGGGTGGGTAGGAGATGCGGCGTTCGTGACGAGGATGTATAAGAGGGTGGGGGGTGGGTGGGTGACGATGAGGGTGATGTGTTTGGAAGAGCGGTGATGGTTGATGAGAAAGAGGAGGAAGAAGGGGATGGGAACAGAGTACACACACAGACGCACACAGAGGCATGGACACAAAGAGGACCGTGCTTCTCGCCGTGTGTCTAGATCCATTCGTCCACAACGTCTCTTTTTTACTTCCACCTACTTCTTTTACAACGACGAGCAGCCAAAACGAGCTCGTCTGCACACGCAGTGAGACACCGAGGGACGGCGGTCCAGAGCATGCGCCAGAGCCTCCATTGCTAACAGACGCCTCATTCACGCCACCCCAGGCAGCCACCCGCAAGGCCCATTCCCCCCCCCCGCGCCGGTCCGTCGACCACAAGTCAGGCGCGTCGACGAGTCGCTGGACGCGCACCTATTGGCCCACCAGCATGAGCACAGGCCCACCCTCTCGCATTCCGACTAGCCCCAAAGGCACAATGGCCCATGTATCCACCCTCCGCGGACCGCAGCAGCCACAAGAACGCCATGCGAAGAGACGAGCGCCGAGCCAGACAAGGCAACATGGCAGCAACATGGCAGCAACAACACCCCACGACAGTCCCAGTACACCCTCCTGCTGCGCTGCTCATGTTCTGCTACAGATGGGGAATTCAACATGATCTCGAGATTGTGCGCAACCGGGCAGAGTGCTGGAAGGGACAGCTGACAGGTCCGTGATCCGTGAGCAGGGTCTACACGGGCAGGACGGGCCAGGAGCGCAGGAGTCTGCTGAATTTAGGGACATTGGATTAGGGGATCCACAAAAAAGCCATATCCCATGTCCCATGGCATGTGCGGCGGGCAGGCGGTGACGACGCTGCGGGGAAAGTGGCCCGGACATGACCGCATACGTATGACAGAAGGACAATGCGGCGGGCCAAGTCCAGCCGTCTGACAGCTTGCCGTCCGGGGTCCAAGCACGCAGGTACACGCTGCACGACTTGTTACGAGCTTTGCGAGAAGCCTTGTCTATCGTGCGATTCCAGACTTTTGGACCTTGTGGCCGCAGAGCACGGGGCACGTAAAACTAGCTCGTTGGAGTCTTCGTCGACTTCACCCGATGCACCTCAGAAACCCGAAACCCTTCGCATGCTCAACTCCACCGGCCCGTGATCTCAATCTTCGTGATGGTCGTTCGTCTAACCCCGTTCACTATAGCCCACCTCCGTCTCGGCGCTTCGACTCGCTTTACATCCGTCCAAGTCATGTCCCTGGATGGGCATGGTGCGGAGCGAATCGCAGGATATCACCTGCAGCAGCGACGCGGACCGTCAGGTCCTCTGCGATGTCGACGTGTTCGACAAGGTGGCGATACGACATTGACAGCACTGAACGGCGATCGTTGGGCGGCGGGCGGAGCTGCTCGCCCGTTACTGTCGACCATGCACGGAGACGGTGGTCGCTGCCGCCAGCAAACACAACCGTGTCGTCAGGACTTGTGGCCATGGCGAGTGTCGTGTGGTAGCTGTTGACGTGCCCGGACAGCTCCAGAAGCGGTTGGCACGCATATCGCACATCAAAGATGAGGAGCTGATTGCACAAGCCGCTCACAGCGAGGCCCCACGGCACCGCACTGTCCTTTAGTCTCTTGACAGCGACGACGGCCTTTCCAGCCGGCAAGGTGGCAATGATGTTCGGAGTGGCGACACGGTTCGGTGTACGGAGGTCCTCAAGAGTAACCTGGCTGCACCGCAGGCCAGCGTACACGTGATCTCGTGAGGCGTGGTGAAGCGCCAATGGGTCCGAGAGGGTCTTGCGCCGACTGAGCGTGAGGGGACTGGCGTCATTGTGCACGATTGTATGAATAGATCTTGATGAGGCTGTTTGTTAGATCAGCTCGGCCACCTGGTGCAATAGCAGAACGCACCAAGCGAAGTGACATCGTCAAACGAGCTCATGGCGAAGATGTCACGGTGCGGAAAGTCCACTGTGCCGTTCTCGAGATGGGCGTTGAAGGGAAGGTTGGGATCTTGTCGCCAGCCATGAATGTGTGGTTCTGAACCATTCGAAACGGCACTGTAGGTATCAGATGAGGTCCAACAACCGCTGGGCAGCGATCGGCGAGAGAGCTCACAGCCATGTCGCGCGGATAACGTTGCAATGTAGCCCTAGAAGCTGAGGGTCAGTGTCCATGTTACCCGCCTCATTTACCTGCTGCGAGCACACTGATAACGAGTGTGCCGTCCCATCAGGTCGGCACCAGATCACCTTGCCGTGGTCGGTGGTGAGGCACATCCCGCCGGGCCCATACGTCTGTCTCTGTCAATTCCCCATCTCCGAACCGAGTGACAAGGTCCTTACTTTAAGAGAGGTAATGACCTCACCGTGACACTCGCACATCTCGGCAACACCATACAGTGATGCACTTGCCAATCGATCTTGTACTCGCCTTTCCCGATGTATCAGTAACTCGCTGCGACACGGTGATGACAAATGCCGAACTCACAACCTAGTACTGTCGTCTCTCCTTGCCCCGAATGAACGCTGGATACGCCTTGCAGCCTCCTCACTCTCGTTCACATCATAGATGTGATCGATCCCCTTTCTTCCGCGTTTCCGTCCAAACCCGGTGCCCGCAGAGCGCACAGGTTGTGGCCCGCCTCGCCGTGACCCTCGATCGTTGTTGCTGTCCGAGGCAGAAGCCGATGTCGAGCCGCCATTGACGGGTTTCATGGCGTCTGGGAAATAGCGGTTGCGTTCTGGGTCAAACCACATACCCCTCAGGTCACCAAGTGGGGGGCGTGCCATGGCTGTGTGCTGAATCGGTGGGAAGATGATGTTGTCTGTCGGTTGGCGGTACCCATGGAGTAGCAGATCGCTGATTGCTTGAGTGGCAAAGACGGACTGGGCCGTGAATGTCATTTAGAGCGTCACGTGACATCTAATCATAGGCGAGCCAGCCGAGACGGACGCGTTTCATGGAGATTCGGGGCCAAGACTCGTTGGATCGTTGGTCGTCATCACTCTCTAGATCTCTCTCCATCTACGACATTCTCTCTTCACCTCTATCACAATGTCGGCTCCCTCACAGGCAGACATCCTTGCCGCCCTCCAGTCCCAGGGTTCGCTGCGCGCCAAGAACCCGCCCAAGACTGTCCCGCACGCCCACCTTGCGTCCTCGGCTCCCGACTCGCTCACCAACACCGCCGCCGAGGGTTCTTCATCGTCGACTCGTACCAACTCGCGCAAGCTCTATTGCCCTCGTGAGGGCTGCTCGTGTGTCATTATCGGTCCTGGCGCCGCCGAATGGATCGAGGCCGATGCCAGCTTGGTAAGTGGTTGCTTGGAACCAGCGGTTGCCTCCTCAGTTCTCAACCTTCCTGGCTACCAAGCTGACACACCAGATCCCCGCCGAGGAAGGTTCGCCGTTCACCAACGACAAGATTACCCCTTCGCGTGGCTACTGGTTCGTCACTGGATCTCCCTTTGCCTTTGACAACATTGGCTTCTCGCGCGCCGTCGAGGTTGCCGAAGCTCTCCCCGCGTCTGCTCCAGGTGTGGAAGGTGCCACTGGACGCGTGAAATGGCTCATTTGCGCCGAATGCGATCTGGGACCTCTGGGATGGAGCTTTGAGGGTGGCAAGGAAGCTTGGCTTGCGGTTGACAGGCTGCGGTACGAGGACAAGTAGGGTGTGAGGGTGGGGGTGTAACGCTGCACAAGCCCGGATTCAATGTATTGCATGGCACGCTCACACCAGTTCACTGCCTGCCTTGTATCGGTTTCGACTGACTTCTGACCGTTTTGAGTCGAGGCATGTGGCATCAAACGCCGCTTCCCATCGGCCGCGACCCCTGGGGCATCACACACAGCATCCGCATCACCCTCCACGCCACCATCCCATCCACACGCCAACGTACCCACGTCTCGCCTCGCCACCCCCACAATTTCACCCCCACGATCCTCCTCAACCTCCTCTACAACACACACTACCTCTCAACCTGATGACATGACCTCGCCCACCCGTCTGTCGACCTATACCACCCTCTTGACACGCACGACGCCCACTCCGCGCTCCGAACGCTTCCAAGTCTTCCTCACCTCCCTCACCGAGACCCTCCGCGCCGCGTCCTTCGGCCATTACCTCACCATAGACTCGACAGCGGCCCCCACATCCCCAGTCCTGGCGCAGTCTCGCCAGGCAGCCGACGCACTCCTGTATGAAGTGCTGGTAGATCATTTCCCCGAAGTGGCGGCTCATCCCGATTTCATTTTAGGTGGAGGCAGCTTTACAGATGAGCTGGTTGGGATAGCGCGGTTCATACGGGCTGTCGTAGACGAGAACGCACGGGCGGTAAGTTGGCCGGCTGGGCCATTCGCGGCCTTAGTATGGCGAAGAAGAACAAAAAAAGTGGTCGAACTGAACTGATGGAAACCCAGCCGCCACCAGAATTCTGGGTCACCACCAGCACTGCCTCACACCTGCACAGCCGCCGCCACTCGGTGCACTCCGCGTCATCGTCCCAGGAGATCTCAGGCGCTGGTGAGGCTTCGGTTGCCGGCTCGGCTTCGGGCCAACCACATGCACATGTTCAGGTCCCAGGTTATGCTTCTCGCAATCCTACAAGCAGTGCTTCTGGGCAATCGGCTTCTTATCAAGATCCAGACGCGACCCTGAGACCACCGGCAGGCTCACGACGTCCCTCACTCCGCATTGTGACCAGCTACAGCGACACCTCACCCAACTCCAGCAGCGGAGTAGCCGCCGCAGGCGGAATCCTCCTGTCCCCGTCAACGGTTGTTGCAGCTCACACCGCGCGTCCGCCGCTCGCTGACCAACCTCACCGCTCAGGCGGTTCGGGTGGTGGCACCAGTGCCGGGGCCAAGTTGAGACCAGCACCATACGCCTTGTTCAAGAGACGCGGCTCGACCCACTCCTCAGACTCATCGTCGTCACCTCGCCCCACACGGCCGACGAGCACCCCGCCACTGGACACTGGTGCCCTCTCGATGACCGCGACCTCGGCACCCACGTCGCGTGGCGCGCGCAGTGAACGCGGCTCCCGTAGCGCCGTCGATTCGTCGGCGCGGCCGACCAAATGGCCGCTGCCACTCGATGCGCTGTATCTGGAACAGGCATGGCACGGGTCGCGCGCTCTGGGCCAGACCATTGCCCAGGGGCTACAGCTCACCCAACAACAACTTAGTGGCCAGCTGAGCCAGCTGGCACCCAGGCGTATCCCAACACCGGCGCCAACCCACCGAAGGCTGGAGGATGCCACACCAGCGATCATTCTCACCCCGGCCGACGCGTCACCGCCTAATTTGCCTCCTGTTCAGCCCCGTTCGCCGCGAATGGGTATTTTGGACATGACGAGTATGCGGGCGACGCCGGAACGGCCAGCACTTGCCTACGTGGTTTCCCCGCTACCAGCCGAGCAACGCCAGTCGCACAACTCGGGGTCCACGCTGTTGAAGGTGTTACGCGGTGGTTAGATAGATAGAGCAGTAGAAAACGTGACTCGACATGCGACGACATGCAACAGTGCTGGTGGAAATGGGACTATGACATGGACCGGCCTAACAAACATGGTATAACAGTACTCAACATGCAACAAACATAACCTCTAAAGCCATTGAACAAGCTCGACGTCCTAGGCGTCGATGGCAGCAGGTGTCTTGGGGGGATGGCCCTTGCCCACGGCAGGTCCATCGACCACAATGGGTATCTGGGCGGGGTAGAGCTTGCCCCTGCCAACGGCATGTCCCATCTCCTCCATGGCCACGAGAACGGCCTGGATGTTGGCCAGGTGCCCGAGACCAATCGCCTTCATCGACGTAAATGCTTAAAGTCTTTTGCGGAACGTGCTGAGACCTCGGTGCAAGCAGCACGTTGTCGATGGTGGTGATCGCCTTGCGTACCACCTCGAGTTCTTGGTCGATTTGGGCCGCTCGGGACGGGCTGCCACCCGCAATCGAGCGCCAGGAGCTGCGGAGTGCCGTTTCCCAGCTGCTGAACGTCGCACGCTCGCTCACCAGGTCACTCTCGACGCGGCTCAGCTCGGTCTTGAGGGTCCGAGTCGCCTGGCGACCTTGGAGCCACAATCTCAAAGGCCCGCCGCAATTAACGTGGTGAGGTGGCATGCTCCCATTTGTATACATCAATTGAATTCGAGTCCAATAGACACGGCATTGGTTCACGTTTGACTAGATACACTATTCCCCCGCTCGTGCTTTACATTGCCTCTGTTAGGCCCACAAGAATGGGAGAGGAGTTAAAAAGGCAGCAGGAAATAAACCTTCGATGCACCGTTCGAAAGTGAGCGCCAGAGTCGAGATATATGTACAGATATAATATGCACCACGACAACGTTCAAAGTCCATGAACACGCTTGAGAGGCGAATCTCATCCTTATCGCTATTGCTACATATGTACAGTACCCCAGCCTGTCCCCCTGTCGGTCCGTCGCCTGCGAGTCCCTCGGCATACCAAAAACTCGCTCAGATAGTGCGTTGCATCTGACAGGCGCATCAGCGAGACAAAGTCCATACGGATGCAACGAGCTAAAAGGTCATCCTGGGATGGTATCGAGAGTGGGTGCCAGAGTGCTCGGGATGTGCATGCACCATGAAATTGTCCAAAGCCATGCATACAGGCGAGACGCGAATCTCATATTAATACCGTTGCTACAATCAATATTTACATCTCGTCATGGTCGCCAGGAAGCTCAGGGTCGCCTGGATTGAGCTTAGCTGTAAGTTCGTCCACGGCCGCGACGAGGGATTGGAATTCGGTTCCCACAAGCCCGAGATCTACAGTCTCAGCCCTGTCGCTCGGAAGGTAAACGCGTAGATTTGGTCGCGGCACCTGATCAGTTGCCTTTCGACGCTTTTGAGGGCGATGTAGGCGGCGGCAGAGCCGGATATGGCGTCGGACACATTGCCAATCATGTTGAGCTCCTCGTTGATTTTGTTCAGCTTGGAAGCTTCGCCGAGGAACAAGAGTCGATGGTGGACAAGAGAGGTTTCCACTTGGGCAAGATTGTGTTTGATGATTTGGCGCATGTCGGTGCTCCGTTCGGCGACCAGGATGGCGTCCTGGACCGCATTCAAGACGCGGCACACGATTTTCCTGGCGCGTCCCATAAACCCGGTGGCGCGAGTTACAAGCCGCGCGCGCGACACCGTGTTGATGTCTGGCTTGAAGCTCTGCACTACACACACCAACTGAGGGGTCAGCTAAATCCAGATAACCTGGAGCTTACCTCCTAGCGCAGATCTGCACGACACGTCGCGGTGTCGTGGGCATGCGTCATCTCAGAGTCGAGCTGAATCTCGATCTTTGACAACCTCCTAAGCCTTTGGGCAATGATCTTCCAGATGTGGGGTAAGGACGTAGCCTCGATGTTGTCGGCGAACATTTCGAGACTGACTCTCGTTAGCAAATCTTGGGATAGAAGACGTCCAGTTCACGCACCGATAATCGTCCAGGCCGAGGCTGGCCCCCTCATCAACAAGCTCCAAGGTCTCAGCAATGGGCGTGAGAGATGCTGCCACCTTTGACATTCCGCGAATAATGGCGGCCGAGCCGATTTGGTCATCGAGAAGGATGGTAGCGGAGTGGGTTAATGCCGAGGTCGCCCTGGGCGAACGGATGGTGGGTTCAAAACCTCCTTTGAGGACAAGTATGGAGAGAATGGTAGCGATAAGACCGACGAAGAGACCCTTCAACACCGGGACCGTACCAAGGAATGGCATGGTGGGATGGGGGTTGCCGGCCAAGAATGGCACCAAGACGATGGAAAGGAGGCGAAGAGTGGCTTTGTGCCGAGCTTTGGTTGAATCTGTTTGTCAGCGCTCGAACCAGGAAGGCATTGCTTGAGACAATCGAGAGGCAATTGAGAGCCACGTACTGGTGAAAGAGTTGGTGAGGAGTTGATGAAGAAGGAAGACGATCCCTGTTTGTTGTTGTTGCACACGTCAGTTGCCACCCGAGACGCCCCTCATCGTTTGAATCCGCAAATTCCTATTTGCATATGGCATTTGAATAAATTTCTAATCGAGCCTGGATTCTCCTGCCAGCTATTGCCACCTTCCGCAATCAGAGAAACAACGAGCTCCCAGGCGTAAGAGAGTGGGATCGCGAGAGACAGAGAGTGCCGAAGAGCTTGGTTTATACATACATCACTGTTCAAGCTGCATACATGTCGTGAAAGCTACAAAAAAAGTCCTCCTCCTCCATTCGCCCATCACGGCGCCGCGATGCCCAACTCACGTCCACCTGGAAGCCGCTTTGCCCGGCCAACAGCAGCTCCAAGCTCATTGACCACGTTGTTGAGGATGCCAATCTCCTCGGCAGGCCCAAGCCCCGCGGCTTCACTAGCGCCGAGATGCAGACCCATGATGGAGCCCGAAAAGTGGCGGACTTGATCACGGAATACAATGAGCTCCATGCGGACACGGAGCAGGCCGTCTCGCGTGCGTCCGATTTCCGAGATGGTGTCCCGCGTGAGGGAGAGGTCGTTCGAGATGCGGGCGAGTTTGGATGGGTCACCGCCGACGAAAAAGTGGCGGGATGCGTCCAGTGCTCGTTGCCAAGTGGGGAACTTGGCCTTTTCGGTTTGGAGATCACTCTCGACTTCAGAGAGGTGCGTGTGGAGCTTCCAGCCCTGTTCACTGCCACGTTCTGCGACGGGGATGGCGCCCCCGACCCGTACGGACAGCCGATCGAGGTCGCTGTCGAGACGGGCAATCAACGAGTCGAGACGCGCACTAATCTTCTTGGATGAGTGGGGTTTGCCATCTTCACCAGGGGCGAGGAGCCGAACCAACTGCGAAAACTGAAGGGTCAGCCTGGCACAAGTAACGGCAAATAGGAGGCTCACGTCCCAGAAGAGCCACGAGAAGATGGACACGCTCATCGCATTGATTAAGGCGACCTCGTCTGTGATTTTAGATGCCAGGTCGGCGAGCTCAACCAGACCTTCGCTTAGGAAGAGCCTGTCGTCGAGGGTCGAGCCAAATTGGATGGCAATACCCAACTCGTGGACTCTGGTGGTGGTCAGCGGGCTCCAGAATGGAAACAGGAAACGGGTTTCACTCACCGAACGTGATTCAGACCCTGGGTCAAACGCCCGTCGCCAAGAGACTGGAGACTCTCAAATATATCCTGTGCGTTTCGCACCCCCTTGCTCAGTACGTGCGAGACGGCAGCGACGTCGAGTTCCCGTTCTGGGGCCATCACCCTCCAGAAAGGTTGAGCGGTCTCGTTGTTTCCTGATAGGAGCGAGTGCGGACAGAGGAAGTTGGCAACAAGACATGTCGGGGTGGCCACGATGCGGAGCGGAAGGAGGGCTGCTGCCGAGATGGCGGTCGAACTGCTGGCCGCGAGACCAAAGATAGAGTGCTTGACATAGTGGACAGCCGAGTAGACCAAGACCGCACTGAAAACAGCAAGCAGGAAGGCGTTGACTACGTGCCACAGCACGGGGCTGAGAATCGGTCGAATGGGTGCGAGAATGATGGCCATGAGGCGTACGGGAATCATGAGGTACGACAGTGTGCTGGACAAGGTTGGGCGCGCGCCAGCGGCATCTCGTACCCTGCGTTCTGTTCCCTTCCCATCTCGCTTACGATGCGGCTGCGGTTGTGCTGCGCGCGGCGAAGAGTAAGCTCGAGGGCGCGAGGTCTTGCCCACGACACGTTTGCGAGGTGTAGTTGGCCCGCCGGTCCGAGACGATGTGACGGCCTCAACGAAGCCACCGCTGCTCGCCGAGGAGGGGGGACGGTCAGGCAAGTCAACAGGAGAAGGCGGTTCTTGGGCGTCGAATCGCTCGTACACTGGTGACTGTGACCAATGGAACGCTCCCGGGATTGGTCTGTCCGGTGATTCTTGTTGTGGTGAATGGTGGGACTGAGCCCGTTGCCGGCCATGCGCCTGTGGGACTGGAGCAATTCTGGCAGCTGGAGGGGGAACTGGAGGTGCATGAGGGGACGCCAACGATGGGCGGGGGGGAACGAAGTAGCCGTACTTGGGGGGCACGGGTGGTGGTGGGGTGGAAGTGCGTGCGGGAGCTTGCGAGGACACTGCCGATGGCCAGGACCCAGTCGCCGATGCTGCTGAGGCTGCTATGCCTTGGCCAAAGGATGAGTGCATCGGAGGCGGCAGGCTGTACTGCGATGGCAGGCCGGACATGGTCGCCTGCACCGGGATGGACGTGTGGGAGCGTTGATGAGAATGTGATGTGTGTGGCTGGAGAGAGAGCTGTGATCGCCAGTCCCACCATTTGCCACCATGTGCGGGTGGAGGTTGACTGTGTCAGGCACCACGACGGTGGGCTGGAAGGCTTAACGCTTATGTAATCACTGCTAGGCGCACGCTCTGGGATAGGCGCGTACACTTGTGTGTATTGTCTCGGAGTGCCTAGGTGGCGCGGCGTGGAAGGACACTACCCCCCTTTCTTTTGGCCCTTGGGTTGTGATTACGGGCCCACGTCGGTGCCCAGCGCGCCAGCGCGTCAGCGCACTGCGCGCCGGCTGTAGCAGAAGAAGCCTAAACGAGGGAGAGCCCGAGTATACCGAGGACCAGAGTGCGAAAGAGGCGCCCGGGCGATGGATGCGGCCTCCGCTCGAACAAGGCCCAAGGTGTCGCGGTGTCGCGGGAAAGAAACGTGGGATCGTGGGAGACAGCGAGACCTCGAAGGAGAACGGGTGGCACTATCTCGATGTACCACCATTCGCCAGCCAGGTGTTCCTTCTTGACATCGCATCGTCCATCTCACCCGGCACCGGCCAACCTTCCTCAGACTTCTTGTAGGACGTGCCTCCGTCCCGTCCGATGCGGACAACCAGAGCCGACTAGCTGGGTAGAGAGCCTCACAACAGCCTCCACTTTTGCCCCGGCCCCATTATCAATATTCGGTTATCAGCTTCTCTGGTCTGCATCTCTCTCTGCTACCCACATCCGACCACACCCCATCGGCATTGCCACCCACACCGAGGGCGCTACACAGTTGTACGTGACACGCATTCTACAGCATTACGTAGTGGCCCACACAGTATCGTACCACTGGTGCTCTGCCGTGATCGGGCAGACTCAAAACGCGACCTTTGTTGACGCGAATAGCCAGCAGCCTCAAAGCCCTCTTCCCTCCCTTCCTGAAGCACCGCACTCCATCTCATCCTATCCCGCGCGCATTCGAGGCAGTCTGCCTTAGTCGACTACCTGCTACACATCGAGTGCACGCGTCGTGACTCTCGCCGCCACTGGTTATCCTTCGGCCCGGCTCCACTCAATCCCGATCAATCTCGTGCCTCCACCGGCGTGTCGCAACGCGTTCGTCCGACAACTGACAACAAGTCACCCTCCCTCTCGCCCACAACACCTCCCTTACTGGTCCCCAAGACTGGCACGCACGCGCCATGTCGACCAACACGCGCTTTATGCGCACAGCCGACCCCAAGACGCCCGAGTACGAGCTCAACGAAGACGGCAAAGGGGTCGACGTTCCTCTCCTCACCACGCAGCCTCCCGACTCACCCGCGACGCCGCTATACTCGCCCACACCACTGCGTGTTGGACGCGGGTTAAGCGCTGGCAATGTCCCCTTGTCGCGCTCAAGCTCGGCGGCGTCCGCGGGCAGTAACCGGGGTATCCTCCGACGCATCTTTATCGACCGTGTAGGCACCCCAAGCCAGCACTTGCTGCGACCGACCTTCCCGCCGCCAAACCTCAGCACATACTCGCCCGTCCCGCACGAGCCGATGACCATTACGGATCATGTCAAGTTGAATATCCGACAAGCAGTATCGTTCATCGTCAGCACAATCTTCCTCGGTGGTGTCGTAGTGTGGGCGTTGGCTATTGAGGCCATCTACATGCTCCCGTCGCTGCTCAAGTGGGACAAGGCCCCAAAGTATGCCTGGGACGACGACAAGTACTGGCGCAAGAAAGGGAACAAGATTTCCAAAGACCCAGCAGACTACGCGCGTCAGATTGGGATGGACATCGAGCACCAGACTGTTGAAACTGAGGACGGTTTCTACTTGAGGTAAGCTGTCACTTGCGTGAGCTCAAGCTGAACATTCCAGGATGCACCGCGTCGTCGACCCCCAGGCTCAGCCGCGTGCTGACGGCCGCGGCGGCTTCCCGATCCTCATCCTACACGGCCTGTTCCAGTCCTCGGGTTCGTTTGTGACCTCTGAGGACCGCTCGCTGGCATTCTGGCTGGCCAAGCGTGGATACCAGGTGTACCTTGGCAACACGCGCGGCGTGTATGACATGGGCCACAGATCCTACTCGCGCGGTGACCCGCGTTTCTGGGGTGAGTCCATCGCGCAGCAGTGCTATCAAGTGGTACTGACACAGCACCCTCACAGACTGGACGATCCGTGACCTTGCCATGTACGACCTTCCAGCCCTTGTGGACCATGTTTGCCAGGAGACGGGCTACGACAAGATTGCCTTCATGGGCCACTCGCAGGGTAATGGCCTTACTTTTATCTCGCTCTCGCTCGGCATGGTGCCCAACCTCGGCAAGAAGCTGAGCGTCTTCATCGCGCTCGCCCCGGCCGTGTATGCCGGTCCCCTCACGACTGGCTTCCCATTTACGACGCTGAAAAAGATCGAGTGGCCAACATGGAAGCGTCTGTTCGGCACGCTCGACTTTATCCCTCTGATGCGGTACGCGTACGACTATTGCCCGGCCCAAATCTTCGGATCGCTGGGATACATCATGTTTGCGTTCCTGTTTTCCTGGACAGACGCCAACTGGCTCAAGCGCCGCAAGACCAAAATGTTCCGCTTCACACCCACGCCCGTGTCGTCTGCGTCCATCTTCTGGTGGTGCGGCAAGGGCGGGTTTGCCGACCGCCAGTGCACGCTCGACGACAGCCTCGACAGGTGGTACGATGACCGGTTCCCACCTCTGTCAATCTACTATGGCGGCCGCGACTATCTGGTCCTCACCGAACCACTGCTAGAGCGCCTCAAGGAAAAGGAGACCGACGTCAACGTCATCAAAGTCACCAAGATTGACAAGTCGGAGCATTGCGATTTCTACTGGGCCGCCGAGGCAGTCGAGTGGGCGTTTGAGTCGTTTGTCGGTAAGTCGGGACAGCATAGGTGGCCGTGCTGGATCATTGCTCACTCCTTTCCTCCCAGATGACATCGAGTCAACCCGGCCCAGGTATCCAGAGGAGCTCCGTCGCGAGCCCGCAGATACGGCCGAGCAGCTCATCTAGGTTCGGCCATGCGCGCATTTATCGTTGTCCGTCCCCCCACCCCCCGGCTTGTTCTGCCCGCTGTCCACATCTTCCCGTCTTCTTGATAGAGACACTACACCAGTTGTCACTGCAACCCTGCGATTCCCACTGTCTCGTCCGCCGTATCTCTTTGTAGCAGGAGAACATGATACACCGCATGTAAGAAAAGAGGAGAACTAAAGGCTAGAAAACATTACACACATCGTGAGCACTCTCCAGGGACGCCGCCCCAACTAGGACTATAGGACACCTGCCACTCCCCCCTCCACGACTGCCTGAACTCTCATTTTCTCGGTTGGTGAGGACTCATTCGTGCGCGCGGGCACTCGGTTTTGTGGGGTGCCATGCAGCAGGTCGTAGGATGCAAGCGTGTCACCCTTCTCTCACATCGGGGTGGTTGGAGGGGGTTCGCTTGAACAGCCAGCAAAGACCGCCTACTCGCCGTCGAGCATGATGGCGATGAACTCCTCCTGGCTGATCTCGCCGTCACCGTCCATGTCGAACTCGTCAATCATGGCCTGCCTGGAACGTCTGTCAGTGACGCGTACAAGCAACAGGCGAGAGGGGTGGGAGGAACGTGGAGCTCGGCCGTTGGCCGTACGCATTACAGCAGCACCGCCAGGAGCCTCGCCAACCCTACTGCGCTTGAAAACTCACAGCTCCTCATCGCCCAGGTGCTCGCCGAGCTCCTTGGCCACGCGCCTGAGGTTCTTGAGGCTGATCTTGCCCGAGTGGTCGTCGTCAAAGAGGGCAAAGGCGCGTCGCAGCTCCTCCATTGGGTCTCGCGAGAGGATCTTCTCGGTCACTGGAACAAGTGTCAGTCATCGCGTACCATGGACAGGGGACAGGGGATGGTCATGGGCACAAGTATCGTAGGGGGCATAAGTCGGGTAAGGCTCCGACGACAATGCTGGCTGGAGTTGCAGACCGACCAACATGGCGTAGTTGTTGTTGCCAGAGCAATCCACCCGACGTGCCTTGTCGTGACTCTCAATGCTCTCCCTCAGCTCCTCTCTAATACTGTGGCCGGGAACTACCCCGCGCGTCCGCATTAAGAAGGCAGGCGGGTCACGTTATTGTGACAAGCAAGAGACAAAGGAAATTCCTGACCCAAGGGGGTCCTTCATTGTCCTCGATTGCCCCTGCCCGGAGGGGTAGAGAGCGGTCGCAGCGTGCAGGACAACCGTAACGACCGCGACCCAGTGACGCTGTACAGCGGGCATCGATTCAGGTAGATGGAACGGTGTCGTGTGGGCCAGGCATCACGAGTGTGCCAGGGGACAGTGCGCAGTGGCCTCCAACCGCTTGCCGTCTTTGGAAAGGTAGCTAAAGGACACTTGGCCCCAGCCCTGCCATTCCGCAACGCCAAAAGTCGGCCCGACGACACGTTTTGCTTGCCCAAAATTGAGTCTCCGTGGACGCCATGGATAGTCTCGAAAGGGGTGAGTGCACTATCCACGCGATCACGCACGCGATCACGCGGAATAGGTGTCTCCGCTGCCGCCGCGCCGCGCCGGCGCATGCGCGCAGCCCCACTCTCGGACGCCGCCGTCCTTCCCTTTCCGACGCAGCCTCTGCACTCACTAATCTTCTCGAAATCCGCCAGGCTCATGAGCCCATCCCCACGGTCGTGGTCACGGAGAAGCTTGAGCACCTCGGGTTTGCGGAGGACAAAGCCCAGCGCACGGAGGGCGACCTTGAGCTCGTGATAGTCGATGAATCCGTCCTTGTCCGTGTCAAAGAGCTCGAATGCCTCACGCACCTCGCCACGCTGCTCGTCGGTGAGCGCTGGGCGGGCGGGGGCAGCAGAGCGTCGGGCCGCGCGGCCGGGGAAGCCGGACATGGTGTGTCGCGTTGGGAGGTTGCAAGAGGAAAGGGAGGAGAAGCTGTGTGGTGGTCGGCCAGCAGTAGCGGTAGGTTGGGGCGGACGATGTTTGCGGGTGAAGTGGTGAGGGAGAGGGGTAGGAGTTGAGCGAGCGAGTGCACGGGCAATGTAAAGAAAGGGGTTGGGGGGAGGAGGCAGGGAAAGGACAAAGAATTGGGTGGCGATGGTGAGGAGGCAAGCGCCTATTGACACGGCGCGCGTGCTGCGGAGACGGACAGTCGACGCGTGTGATGGCATCAACAAACTGCCTGGCTGGGACGCGTGTGTTTATTATACAATCCCCCCACTTTATCCGCGGCCTCCACTTTGCTGGTCCACCCCCTTGCCCCAGCTTTCCCCACCGTCCCTGGCTGGCAGAGAGTGTGCCACCAGCGAACGCCACCATATCGAAAACACATACACCGTGTTGCCCAGCCCCCCTGGTGTCGTCCTCGTTTGTGATTTTCCTCTCTCGTACACCACCTCTCTCCACCACTGCCCCACCCAGCCGCCCCAGTCACCATGGGACGGCCCGCCGCCGACACTAGGTCTCTCGACGGCCTCGACGTGCCATCCTCTTCACGCTCATCACGTCGGCATTCGTCCCAACCACCTGTCCCTTCCTCGTCTCCCCCAAAGCCCACTCGGCACCGCTCCCAGCACACACGCCTCATAGTCCACCCACCTCCCACGGTTCCCTTCCAACCTCTCCCTCACGAGCTCTGTGAAAAGGAGCTCCCTCCCATCCCCAAGCCCAGTCTTTTCCTCTCTCGACCACGCTTATCACGATCGTCCAGCATGCGTTCGTCGCCACCAGCCCCGCAGCTCGCAACCAGCGACAAGGTTGTGGTCGAGCCACCTGCGACATTCTCGTCGCCAAACCCCGAACCAGACTTTGTTCCGGTGGGACGACAGTCGAGTGCGCGTCGCCTGTCGCTCCCCCTTGGCCGGTTTCGACGCATGGGTCGCGAGGTAAGCTCCGCAGCACATTGATGCATGGTGTGTCCGTGTTTGTTGACGCCGCTTCCCAGCGCGAGGGCGAGCAGAAGCTTGACCATGGCAGCGGTGATGGCCATGACGAGGTCGAAGCACGCGCCATCCCCACAAAATCGGGTGTCGATCACGAGCACCACCACCCCGTGGCCCGCAGCAAGCACACCAAGATCGCTTCCACCACTGAAACCGCCACGCCAGCCAGGTCCGCCGCCTCTTCCAGACCACATGGCGCGCGTGCTGCCCAAATTGGAATTCGCCAGCCGCGGTCACGTACCTCACCCGCCCCCGCCGCCATTGTCGCCGACGAGAGTCTGCCAACTGCCGCACCATCGGCATGGCCCTGGACGCGCTCGCGCTCGTCGTCAGTCCACCTCTCCATCCCGACGACGTGTTCCAACGCTGGTTTGCGTCCTGCTCCCCGTCCAAAGAAGTTGTCGTTTGCAGAGCCAGAACAGCCCTTGGTCACGGCAGCGGTACCCAGGAAGCCCAAAATCTTTACCATCGCACCTGCCGAGTCGCCCGAGAACCATCAGCCGTTTTCCGACTTCCCCACAACAACCAGCGGAGGCTCGAGCGCCACCACCGCCGTTTCCTCCACCAGCGTTCCACACCGTCCTCCATCGTCAACCCACCGCCGCCCCGAGTCGCCCGTGCCTAGCTTGAAGTCGCTCAAGTCGATCCTCAAGAATAGAGGCGAGGTGGCGCCGCCCTCGGGCACACCCACTTCTGATGGGGCGCGCACCCCCCGTGAAGTCGCTTCTGCTCCGAGCAGCAATGGCCATGGTGGCGGCTTGACTGCCAGTGGGACGACTGCCATGCGCGAAGCATCAACCAGCGTCCACGCGAGGCAAGGTCGCGATCCCAGTCCGCAACCGCGTCGCGGAGCCAAGCGCGCGGCCACAGCGCCCGTCGAAACCAGCACCAACGGCAGCTCGACCGGTCTGCGCCGCTTCATGTCCAACCCGAGGCGCTCCAGCTCGACTAGCCTTGTCGCCTCGACTAGCAGCGACCGCATAAGCAACCTGTCGGAACGAACCGTAGGAGGCAGTGGTGGTGGGAGTGGAGCACCATCCGATGCCCGCTCGATCATCTCTGTCGATCGCCGCAGTGTCTTCTCCCTTGATCGGCGGTCCGTCTTCTCGACACGCTCAGGAAACTCGATCATGAACATTGAGCGCCCACACCCGATCCGCAAGGCATCGTCCATTGTATCCGCTGCGAAGCGTGCTGCGTCGTCCTCGTTCCGTCGCCCGTCGACCGACTCGGCTGCGCCCAACCCATACCTCGATGAGGATGACCTGCAAGAGTCCGACGGCTCGTTCGTCCCCAACCAAGCCGAGGTGGAGCGATTCTGGGCCAAGGTCCGCGAACGCGATGAATACTATGACATCGAGTCGACGGCGTCCAATGTCTCGCCCTTGTCGAGCGAGTGCTCGCTCCACCGCAACCACCGCCTCAAGCCCGAGACTTGGCTCCCTGCCGAACCAGACTATTCGACCGAGGAGGACCGCCTTCGGCAAACCCTCGAGAACATGTTTGACGCACGGATGGTCGCACCCCCGTCCTTTCTTCTCAGCAGCAAAAGCGACGGCCTGGACCATGGCATCCCAAGGCAGCCGCGCAAGGCGTTGCGTATCGTCCGTCAATCGCCTGGGTCCACTCCGTCGCCGGAAATCACCCCGCGCGCAATCCACAGCCACTTGCCCGACGTGGCCGACGCCGACGTCCAACAGGAGGCAGCAGAGATGGACAGCAGCTTCTCAGACGAGGAGGGCAGCACGTACTTTGATGCTCTGGAGGACCCAGACTATGAGACCAGCACCAACTCACCTCAATCGTCCACCGTCCTCCTTACGCCGACGACGTCGAACGAGTCGCAGCAGCGCCAATTTCACATCCCTGCTCAGCCTCGCGCGCACAAGTCGAATGCAGGGTCGTGGGGCCAGGACACGCCCCTGCTCTTTTTTTGAATAATGCCTTTGTGAACCTGCGAACATGTGAGTAGGCAGCAGGCACGTCGTGAGATAGGTGAGCTGACGTGAGTACAGACCCCACATACCACAACACACACGTATAATACCACGAGACACGACACCACCATGCCAACGACTACGCATCGCCCAGCGGCGTCCCCATCCCCTGCATCCCGCCGCTGAGCTCATGGCTCCTCCATTACCAGCATCCACGCACCCGTTCTTCATTTCTCCCACACCATTTTCAAAAGGTCGTCGACCTCCTCCTGTTGCACCAGCCAGTCGGTCCCAGGACCGGACCCCGTTCTGTCGTGTTTTAGCAACAACGAAAAAGCAATTGTATCGAACCACTTACTCCAAGAAAAGGAGCCCCACCCAAGAGCAACCCCAAACACACCTCCAACCTCACCTCAAATAAAGAAGGAACTTAATAACGTTGTTCGTAGACACCGCTGCTATGCAAGTCGTGTTTGCCTCAAGGTGGTGCGAGTTGGAGAAGAGGAGGAGGATGAGGAGGGAGGAGGAGGAGGATAGGTGGGAACTGTGAAATAGTGAGAAATGAGAACTGAGAAGGAAGTCATCGAGGCGCAAGACAGAGCGACGGGGCAGTGGTCGAAGGCCGAAGTGCCCATGGACATGGGCACAGCTACTGAGAGACCGAAGCTTTGGCTTCCCGATGTCGACGCACAAGGCCTCGACCGCTGGCGAACTGGTGGTGCCCGTACTACTAACGCTGGAAAAGGACGGAGAGAATGGAGTAGTCGGTGAGGTCGACGGTAACATGCCGAGGTCAACCCAGACAATTGGGACCTGCCAAGCCTCAGAGTCTGATTCATTACGTTTTGCTGGCCAAACGCAAGCTTTCTTACTCGCCAAATGAGTTTGCTCCCAACTTGCTCTCTTGAGCCACAACAACGTCGTCCACTTCTCTCCGGCGGCACCCCGCGGTCAGGAGTTGCTCCACTTTTACCATTCCACTGGGGTCGAGGCATGCAGGCCTGCATGAGCGCGGGGCTACACGGGGCGGCCCCCAACAACAAAGGCCACACATCGCCAAGGAGACAAATCGCTCCTCATTGTCGACAGTTAACGCCGTGTATCGGCCGAATAGGTCAGTTACATATGCCCGGCTACGAGGCAGCCGGTATATCTCGACGGCCTTGCCCCGCTCTAGACCCCTAGACTTCACCGCCGTCGTCGTCACTGTCCGATGCTTACCAGCCAGCAGGACTATATACCGCACGCATTGTGCACCGCCGAGCGCGGCAGAATGGGCCACTGCTGGGTGACTGGGTGACGCCTGGTGACTGTCTGGCCGCCGCTCCTGGTGGGGACTTGGTGGCTCCAGTCTCCGGGCCGACACGGCGTGGCGTGCACCGTGGTATATAGCACACACGGCTCATGATGAATGCAACGAACGTGATCCCACCACTTTGCAGTCGTCGTTGTCGTCGTCCACTTTCCATCTAGCCAGCTCATCTCGGCAGTGCCTGTATCGACGTCTCCCTCTGGTGAGTTGATGGTCCCCACAAACGCTCTCGCAAAAGCCCACCTCCACCTCGCTCGCTCGGCAAATCGGCGCCCGCTAAACATCCCCGGATTTTCCTATAGATTCGCTCGCCCGCTTAACCTGCGCTGTCCCTCCCCCATCTACACATTCCATGCTCAGAACCTCGAGGACCACAAAGCTCGCGGTGTCTCGCGTTGTACGTACCCCAACAGTCCCCTCCTCCCCCAACATCTCTTTGTGCATTGCACTCTTCCTCGCCATCACTTCATCTTCTTCACACAAAACTAGAGGCTTACACTGCACCTCTCAGAACATGACCGTGACTCTTGCCCCCGCTCGCCGCGGCAACTCGTCGGCTGCCGCCCCCAAATCCGACAAGCCGCTGTACGCGTCCCAGAAGACCATCCCCCACCTCCCCGTCCCCCGCCTCTCGTCGACTCTGCACAAGTACCTCGAGACCATCCTCCCCCTCGAGACTCGCGAAGAGTACGCCAACTCGGCACGTATCGTGCGCGAGTTTGGAGAGTCGGACTTTGGCCATGTCCTCCAGGGCCGTCTCGAGGCTCGCGCTGCCGAGAAGGACTCGTGGATCTCCGAGTGGTGGAACGAGGCCGCCTACATGGGTTACCGTGGCCGCCTGATCCCCAACGTCTCGTACTTCTACGTCCACAAGCAGGGTATCGGAAAGGGCGCGTCTCAGACGGAGCGCGCGGCCCAGCTTGTCCGCGCTACCGTCGAGTTCAAGAAGCTCGTTGACACGTGAGTCCTGGCTTCCTCCTCCTCCTTCTTCTTCTTCTTCCCCCTCCTGCCATGTCCCAGTGTCGGGCTGGAGCCGTTTCTTGCGTGCGGAAATCTATGGGACGCGGCCGCGGACCGCGGGTGTCCCGGTAGAAACGCATCCCAGTCGTTTCGGCTCCAGTGGGGCGGACGGCGCCGCCAGTACCGGTCGGAGGTTGCCGACCGGTGATATCCTTTGCAGAGATTTCCTGCGAGGCTCTCTGTCGACCCTTCATGGGTCGTCATTCTTCACTGCTCGGCGGTGCATGGGGCCGTCCACTTCCTGGATGTCGCTTGCAGCGGCGTGGAGGACCGTTGACGTGTTCGGCCCCCGCCGGAGCACTCGTTACCGGCGGGGTACCCCAGCGGCCCCGCACCACACAGCCACGGACCCACCAACCCCCTAGAGTCCAATGCAGTATGGCCATACTGACATTTTTTTACAGCGAGAAGCTTGAGCCTGAGAAGGGCAAGGCCGGACCCCTTTGCATGGCCTCGTACAAGTACCTGTTCAACGCCGTCCGTGTGCCCACCTCCCCCTCGGACGTTCCCCTCGCCTACTCGCCTGCTCTCAACCACATCGTCGTCCTCCGCAACGACCGTTACTTCAAGGTCGAGGTTGGCGGCCGTTCCGCCGCCGAGATCCAGGCCGCCCTCGAGGAGGTCAAGATCGAGGCCGACAAGGCTCCCGGATCTGGCCTTGGTGTGCTTACCGGTGACGACCGTGACGTCTGGACCGAGGCTCGTCGTCACCTCCTCTCGATCTCCAAGGAGAACACCACTTCGATCCAGGACATTGACTCGGCCATCCTTCTTGTCTGCCTTGACGATGGACCTGCCCCCAAGAACGACACTGAGCGCGCTTGGTCGTACTGGGCCGGTGGCCTTACCCCTGGCCCTCAGGGCAAGGGCCGCAACCGCTGGTTCGACAAGCACGAGTTCATCGTTGACGAGACTGGAGAGGCTGGCTTCAACGGAGAGCGTGAGTAATAAACCGCAACCAGAACAAGGACGCTGGCTGACTCTTCTCTAGACTCCATGCTCGATGGTACCCCCACCCTCCGTCTGAACGAGTTTGTCCTGGCCTCGCTTGACAAGGGAATGATTCCCCTCGGCGAGCTCCCCGAGTCTGAGCGTGCCAAGGGCAAGCTCGTGCCCACCGAGATCAAGTTTGACCTCGACCCCCAGCTCGTCGAGACCATTGCCACCTCGAAGGCTGGCTTTGCCGAGGAGCTCGGCAAGCAGGACCTCGAGATGATTCAGTACACCGGCTACGGCAAGTCGACCGTTAAGAAGTTCAAGGTCTCGCCCGACGCCTGGTCGCAGATGGTCAAGCAGCTCGCCTTCTACCGCCTCAAGGGCCACCCTGGTGTCACTTACGAGTCTTGCATGACCCGCAAGTTCCTCCTGGGCCGTACCGAGGTCATCCGCACCGTCTCGTCCGAGTCGCGCGCCTTCGTCGAGGCCATGGAGGACCCCAAGATCTCCGACGCCGAGCGCGAGAAGCGTCTCCGTGCCGCCGCCACCCGCCACAGCCAGTACTCGGCTTGGGCCGCCGACGCCCAGGGTGTCGACCGTCACCTCTTCGGTCTCAAGAAGCTTGTCCGTGACAACGAGGAGATGCCCGCCCTCTTCAACGACCCCATCTTCGCCAAGTCGAGCCACTGGGAGATGTCCACCTCCAACCTGACGTCCAAGTACCTCGACGGCTGGGGCTACGGCGAGGTTGTTCCCGACGGCTACGGTCTGTCATACGCCATCCACGACGACAAGCTCTGCTGGGGTATCACCACCCTGAATGGCGACGCCAAGAAGATGGCCGACGAGCTCGCACGCGCTGCCGGCGACATGAAGTCCATGATGGAGCGCGCAGCCAAGTCGGCCGACAAGGCCAAGCTCTAAGAGGAAGAGCAGCGAGTGTAACGTAGCGCGGCGCACTTAGGCGCTGCACCATGGACCACTGGGACACTGTGCCCAACCACTTTCATTCTGGGCCATGTCTCCTGGGGCGCAAACCCAACATCTGCATAGAGACGTGTAGACGTAAACACAAAATCAATATCTTAGGCAACTTTTTTTTGCACAGGGATGAATTGCAGTTGACACACAAAATAGCAACTCGGCGTTCACTTGTGCACGTGTAGACGTTGACCAACTTTTTACGTCGACCAACTTTTTACGTCTTGCATCTCAGACAACATGCTGATACCCGAGCCTACAACGCCTCGATGGCGACACAGCTGTCGGAAATGGCGAGGTCGGCTGTTCTGTTGGCGGACGCTGGCGAGATAAGCATCAGCCGTCGATGATGTCATCTCCGTCCGCCAAACCGGACATGGGCGATGACCCACGCGCTGCACGACCGCGCGCGCTGGCGGCGCTTGTCAATAGCTGACTCGCTCGATGACAGGCCTTGCTCTTCTTGTTCCATCCCATCGTCACTCTCTGACTTACTGCTCGACTTTCGTTGCAGCTCGGACGACTAGCGCCGAACACGATGCCTCACGTTATCGAGTGGGATGGCGATGAGCCGTTCATCCGCGTCAACGACGAGTTCCGACTCACGCCGTACCGTGATCCAGAGGACACGGAGGGAATGGTGAGTGTATCGGCAGGGTGGACTTGTAGCCCTCTTCACAGGGGTTCAACCGTCTGGGATCTGTGGTTAACGGGTCCAGTGTGAGATTAGCAACTTTCCTGACGTGGGCAAGTGGTCGTACATGAGACCATACCCGTGAGTGCACCAAGTCATCTTGCAGTGTGCTGCGTTCATGTCCAGTGTATCATGGCCACATGCTTTTGACTGGCACGCTGAGCATGGACACACCGCTGACTGTAGCCCAGGTACACTGTCCCGGACGCCCGCATCTGGTTCGACCTCACCGTCCCTTCCCAAAAGGCCGCCGTCGCCCTCCTCAAGGCCAACAAGGAAGAGGCGGCGGACGTAGGCGAGGTCAGCCCCGCATCCACTCCGACCCCGCCGCTCTCCGTTATTCCATTCATTGTCCTGCGTGACAAGACGGGCAAATACCTCGGCGACGCATCGCTCACATTCGAAGATGACGTTTGGGTGATCGCCTACGCTCTCAACCCGAGTCTCTGGGGAAAGGGCGTCGGCACACAAATGGTCAAGACGCTCATCGAGTGGGGCGAGGAGAGTAACGGTGTAAAGGAAGTGCACGCAGTGAGTACTGGTTGTTGTTATGTTTCTATCTCGTGTTTCTGTCGGGATGCCGATGGTCTGGGGGTCGCCGTGCGCTCGATCTGGAAAGGCCGTTGTCTCCATGGACCACCTCGGTACCCTGTGGGGGGATAACGGCCCGGTGGTTGGGAACCTTCTCTACCATGCGGACAGGACGTCCGGGATTGGGGACGTGTTGCACATCAACAAACACGGTGTCCAGTCACATGCGCTTGACTGAGTAGGTCATGGGGGCGTGAACCACGAGTGTAGTGGCGGACATAAGCTCTTGAGTTTAAGGACGCCGCACTCGAATTCTGGAACTGGAATTCTTCAATAGGCGGCCACGGCGAGCCACACCGAGCTGTTCTCCCGCCACAGAGAAGTGGCAAGAAGAATGGCTCGGCTCATTAGGCCACCTGCTGTGCTTGTTGCCGGGACAGCTGGCACAACTCTTGCTCCACGTGGCGGAACCATCCTCAGTCACGAGGACTCTTCGCGTCCGCATCCCGCATCTCCCGCTCTGGCTCGACTCTGATGCGCACTACATGCGACCCACTGCGTGATATTGTGTGTGTCACCGCCATGCGACTTCCACTCCACATGCCCACACCCATGTCTTTCTCTCTGATTCCGCACTGAAGACGTAGTCATCGTTTACCCTGCGTACCGGCAACTCGGAGCTGACCCTGACACAGATCATCGAGACAGCCAACATTGGGTCCACAAAGCTGGCACAGAAACTTGGTTTCCAGCAAGTCGGCACTGAAACAAGGACCTGGCCTGACCAGAAGGGTGGTGGTGAAAGGGAGGTTGCCATGTGGAGGAGGGGGTCATTAAGCTGAGGACGCAGTAGATGTCGCGAGACGCGTGTAAAAGATAGGAGAACCGTCCATCCGGTCGATGGCCTGAAGACACTGCTTTTGGGGTCTCATGCACGGTGTGGTCCATGTTTACAACTCACGTCCACTCACAATGAACACTCAAACCCTATCACTGCCCACGACCAACAATACCCGACACGTTCCAGCCGGTGACGCGCCACCGCCACGAACACCCCTGCGCACCAGCACGTCCACGTCTACCCCGGTCGGCCCGGACAGGGAGAAGGACGGACCTGTTCACCTCTCCATGAATGCAGACCAGGTGGGTATCAGCCACCTGTGCCTCCTCGGAGCTCGAGTCGGGAGCTCGGGAGGTCCGGAGGTCGGGAGCTCGACCGCTTGCAAGACCTGAACAGGGCGGAGCCGTGTGTCGCGCGTGTGTGTCGAGTATCTCGAGCGGTGTTCGCCGTTACAAGCGTCAGTGCGCGCTCCGTAAGGTGCTGTACGCGCACGAACACATTGCGGCTGCTCGCCACCTCCCTCGCACCTCGTGTGTCTGACACGTTGCCCAATAATGTCCTTGCTCTCAAATGTGGCCAAGCAATTGCAGGTTTGTACCTGCCCGGCTACGCATCTGCAGTTACCCATTCCGCCGTTCGAGGTACCAAATTGCAGTAGGGTTGTGAAGCCGACAAACCTATCCGTGAAGCCCACAGTGCACAGATCTAGTTCTGAGGACCGTACTCTTGGACTGGGTGCCGGCGGGCCGACAACTGCGGAAAAGGTTAGGAATGTGTAACTGAACTTTTGTTTGTATACACTTAGGAACTACTATATTGTGTCACGTCAAACCGTGCCAACGCCGAGAAAGGAAAAGCACAAGGTTGATTCAATGAACAAGGAGAGTAGAGGTATACAGCTATTCTGGTTAGTAAATGGGCTGTTTGCGCAACCTGAAGAGGTATGGAGTGAAAGAAACCGGCCGGAGATCGTCCTTTGGTACGCTTGCCGCTTTTGCCTGTCGTTGTATCGTATTTATCGGACCGTTCCAGAAATCAGGCTGTGGAAGCTGGATTCATAATCGTCTTTCCATCGTTTCATTCTTCCCATTCTTCTGGTGTTCCTAGCAGAGGGCCTATCCCATTTTCCATTCAATCCAGAGGAGATACAAACCCGTATATGCATCACCTGTTACGGTATGCAGAGGTGTCCCCGATGAATGCTGACGCGCTGTACAGGGTCAACAACCCCGTCTCGCCCTCGCACCGTTCTGTGGCGTCTTGAAACGAGTGGCTCATCTCAATGTGCAAGGTCTAGACACCACACACAACACACTGGCCCACTGGACCATTGAGTTTGACGCCCAGCGGGCCGCCGAGGCGTCCAGCGTACCAGCGTCTCCCTCAGCTCTCCGGTGGGGACGCGTCAGAGCCATGATTCGAACGTTTCTTTTCCCTATGTTCCATGCCCAGTCCTGCCGTTTCGGCACGTACCCCGTGGCGCACTCCTGGCGCACAGAGGGTTCGGCTGGCGTTCATGCTGAAACCTCCTCTCACAAGCTGACAATGCTTATTGGCGTTGCTCTTGCGGTGTGCGCTGAGAGCCATGGGTGCAGGCGGCCAGGTTCAGAATGATGGTTATAGATGGCTGGGCCGTGGGGTGGTGGCGCCAGGATCCACATAAACCTACGTTCCACCCCACGCGCAGTCTCCAAACCACCGTGCAAGCTCTGCAATGCGTCACTGATGGATGGAAAGGAGCAGAGATCTGGCCCTCTTTAGACCCTCGACTCTTTGCGTCGGTCCGCTGAGGTGTCAGGTGGCATGTTGGAAACACGCAGCCCTCACGTCGGGCAAGCCAGTTTCGGACGCGCCACACTGTGCGGACAGGTCACCGCAAAAAGAGGCGTCAGCACCCGGATGTGCCGGGCGCGTGCAAGACACGGCCCGCAAGGACTGGGTGTATGCGAGGGACGTGCCCGGTATGGGGGAGGACGCGTCCTGCATGAGCACCGTCTGGCGTACAACTCGGCGCTCATGCTGATCCCCCGAAATCGACAGCAGGACAGGTATGACGCGCCGCCGAGCGTCGGGAGCACCTGGCCTGCCTGCCCAACGCTCCGTCATCTGCCGATTGCAGGTCCAAAGAGGGCCACAAACGGCCTCGGTCCGTCACGGGGTGGAACTGGGTAACCTGGGGGCAGGTGCGTTGCGTCGGTCCGTTAACCACGAGCCGAGGCCATCACTTGTCGGCCTGTCCGCTGAGTGTGACCGACGGGCCCCGTTCAGTATCAACGCACCTTGCGCACGCGCCTGACGCACCCCCCCCAGTTTGCACTGTGATGTTGCGGGCCACGACATCCACAGGGGAACGCGAGGGGACGGGGGCTTGAGAAGAGGTGGCTCGCGCGCTGATGCCTGACAGCTGGTCGCACCTCGCAACAATACTTAAGTACCACCAACCGTCTTTTCTTCCTCCCCATCCTTTAGCCTTTCCTACTCTTCCGTCTCCCTCTCCCCCCTCCCTCCAAACAACCACAGCTTCACCGGTCTGGTACCGACAGCACAACACACTCACTTGTCAAACTCTCGTACAGCACATACGCAACACCTCCCTCCGTCACCACCCCAACAGAACATCCCCTCCCCCTCGCTTTCCCGCATACCACCACCAAAACACTCATCGCAATGAAGTTCAGCGCCCTCTTCTCGGCTCTCAGCCTTATCGCCTCCGTTACGGCCCTCCCCATCACCTTCAACCGCCGCTCCGCCCTCCCCTTCGTCGGCGGTGTCAACCTCGCTGTGAGTCAATATTCAAAATGTGCCACTTCTTTGTGGCACACGGACACACATGATGCCTGTGCTAACGGTTACAGGGTTGCGACTTCGGCATGAGCACTGACGGCACTTCGGGCACCTCGTACTGCCCTGGCACCAGCCAGATCTCCCACTTCGTCGACCAGGGCGCCAACGTGTAAGTTGATCATTGCCGGCGGCATTGCCGAGTGCTAAATGCCACTCACAGCTTCCGTCTCCCTGTCGGCTGGCAGTACCTCATGACCTCGGCCTCGTCGACCTCGCTCGACGGCTCGCAGGTCTCGACCTTTGACACCATGCTCCAGGCTGTCACCGCCACCGGCGCCTACGCCCTCATTGACATCCACAACTACGCTCGCTGGAACGGTGCCATCATCGGCCAGGGCGGCCCCACCGACGCTCAGTTCGCCAAGCTCTGGTCGCTCCTCGCTACCAAGTACGCTAGCAACGACAAGGTCATCTTCGGCCTCATGAACGAGCCCCACGATGTCGACATCAACACCTGGGCCACCACTTGCCAGACCGCCGTCAACGCGATCCGTGCCGCCGGTGCCACCACCCAGACCATTCTCCTCCCCGGTAACTCTTGGGACACCGCCTCGTACTGGTCTGGCGGCAACAACGCCCCCATGCTCGACATCACCGACCCCTCGTCGTCGGACAAGTCGCTCCTGGTCCTTGACGTCCACAAGTACTTTGACTCGGACGGCTCGGGATCGTCGACCACCTGCACCAACAACGGCCTTGACCTCTTCACTCCCCTCCTTACCTACCTGAAGACCAACAACCGCAAGGCCTTCGTCTCGGAGTTCGGCGGTGGCAACAACGACGGCTGTGTCTCCTACGTTTCCGAGTTCCTCACCTACATCACCGCCAACGAGGACTACTTTGCCGGTTTCACTGCTTGGTCGGCCGGTGCCTTCGCCACTGACTACACCCTCTCGCTCACCCCCAACTCGGACGGCTCTGACCAGACTCTCTTCACCGGCGCCATCAAGCCCTACCTCCCCGGTGTCTCCTCGTCCACCTCGACCACCAAGGCCTCGACCTCCGCCGCTGCTACCACCTCGACTAAGGCCGCTACCACTGTTGCTACCACCTCGACCAAGGCTGCCACCACTGTTGCTACCACCACCAAGGCTTCGACCACCTCGACCAAGGCTACTGTTTCCTCCGCTGTGGCCTCGACCGTTGCCGCCGCCACGACCTCTGCTGGTGCGTCCTCGTCTTCCATTGTTGCTGCTGTGGATCTCGCGACCTCGGGCACTGCGACCTCGGCCGGCTCTTGCTCATCCTCGTCAGCCGCTTCGACCTCTACTGTCACCAAGTGGGGCCAGTGTGGTGGCGCCAACTGGACTGGCAGCACCACCTGTGTCTCGGGCTCGACCTGCACTTACCAGAACGACTGGTACTCGCAGTGCCTCTAAGCAATAGCACCCTCTTCTCAACCTCCTACCCAAACTCGCACTTGAAGTGTGTGACTACCTCAACCTCGCCGACGCCAGCTCGTCGGTCGGACTTTTTGTCATAGCTTCATCCCCCTCCTGCGTCTCCTCCTCCTCCCCTTACCTACTAGGTTCTTTCCAGTGCCGGTGACGACGGGCATCCGTGATGCATTTTGTCAGGCGAAAAAACAAGACCAAAAGATTGAAAAAACAAAACTAACCACTGGAACGGGAAGGGGGACCCTTGTGGCATGGCATGCACGGGCAGGGCTACTGTTAGAGATTGGAACCTTACGGGAGCACGCGGGCCAGCTTCCTTCGCTTAACACTTCAAGCTGCGGACGCGGATGTCGGAAAACAACGTCTGGTCCGAATCCGCGCGCGGCTGATGTGCTGACGCGGAACAACTTCACAGTGCCCGCTCGCTTGCAGAGATTGATTCTGGGATGGCTGGGCCATCTGGGTGGGCATTGCCAAAAATACGACGCCAAGTCGATCGTTCTATGATGGGAGTGTGAAGGCTTATCAGGCAACGGTGAACGGGACGTCGATCCCTCTCTCGTTAACGGGGAGGATTGTGGCGTTTACCATGGAAAGACGGTGGCCGACGACGCCCACACCGAGTCCCCCACCTCCCCCCGGTGCTCATCGTGCGGTCAGCTTATGGGACTTGTTGAACCAAGTTCGGAGGCTTACAAATGAGCACATGCGTAGTGATCAGGCCTTCGGCAGACAGTAGACCTGCCTGCTTGGGACGATGCGGATGGTTGTATTGGCGCCTGCCTAACTTGGTGATGGGCAAAGCGTCGATGATTACGTAACAGGTCGTTCCTGCCAAGACGTTTATGATTGCAGAGCGGTTACTGCATTTTGCATGGGCAACGGGCATATACCCTCCCCAGAGTGACACCATTGACCGGGGATCGATTCCAGGTGTGACCAAACATAAAGTTGTCTGGTTAGCGGGGCCCCCTGTGACTGAGGACCACACCTCTCCCAGTCCGGCCAGTTCCCTAGGCCATGCACGATGCACGATCAAGTACGAAAGTTCTTTTTGGCTCTCTGCAGTTGGCCGTTATGGCAGTGGAATTATGGGCACCTTCTTGTCGGTCACCGTGGAACATGACGTCAAATGTCCGTCTTTTAAAGCCCGTCGCCCCACTTTATCTGGAATTTGCCTCGTCCGTCGTTGCGTTGCCGAGACACTGTAGGACACTCCCACATGATGCTGCACGTTGGAGTGTCCTACAGTGTCTCGGCAGACACTCCCACATGCAAAACATCACATCATCTGGGGGTTTACGTTAGGGATCTGAAGCATGACCACCTCCAACAATGGCCGGTATTTTGGCTTGGCTTCAAGTGCCGACATGGAGCTTAGCCTTGTAGAGGCTCCCCATATCCCCATCCTTCCCCCAGTCTGAACCAAGACCTCTGCAACATGTAACGCGAAGGGGGACACAGGAAGTGGCCTTGCCCACCACAGTTCCCTCATCTCGGCCTCGGACCGACCTCCGCACCGATAATCTAGACCTGGTAGGGGACAACATAGCCTTCAACAACAGGAAACTCCAGCCGAGGACGCGCGATGGTTATGGTAATTCCGTGTTGCTCTCGACTGCTTTTGGACCTGGGGGATGCCATAATTAGACCCCACTTCGGTATCGTGCGTGAGCCTCGCTTGGCATCTGAAGCTACTCTGCGCTGTGCCTCTTTTTTTGCCGTTGAGGGTCTAACCAGGCACAACCTGGCACGCGCATGCGGAATACCTGCGCATTTGCGTCATTTTGACGTGCGCATGAACTTGCGTGTGCAACTGTGCAACTGTGCTTGGGACAGAATAGGTACAGGCATGCGAGGGTGGCTCCCGACATCGCTCAGCAATGTGCGGAGGCACACAGGGTGAGACAACCATGTGTGCTCTGGCGCCACTGCTTGTTTCGCGCAGCAATACATGTTCAGTGCTCCAACTTATGGCGAAGAGCAAGTCATCGTTTGTTGAGACACTTGTATGATGTGTCACAGCGCCGAGATTCTGCTTGCACTTGTATGATACGTCACGACGCTGAGCTTGCCTGTGCACAAATGGCAGACTGCGGTAAAGGTGCCCAGCTCCGTAAGTAGTTCGCTAATGTCGTTAATCAGTCGCAGTCCCGCTATCCTCTCGAGTCCCGCGGCCAGTTTACAGACAAGGTGGAGGACGAGAAGCGGCAACCGACCATCTAGCTCGGTTCCCCCTGAACCATGTGGCCCAGCTGACTTTCCCGCTGTCACGGCGGAGAAGCCAAGAAGGCGAGCAATTTAAAATTGGCGACAGCTACTGCTCGTGTCCCTTCCATGTCACGATTTTCAATGGTACTTGCTGTGGGGGTGCGCAGGGAATGACCCTCCCCCAATGTGGCCCCTTGTGACGGCTGTTGTGGGGCTCACGCGGGAACCCGCACTAAGGGCAGGCCACAGATGTGAAGTCGCACGAGTACGTTGAGATGAGATCTCACCTCTGCCAGACGCGTGAGCAACAGCGTCAGCACAACTCAGAAAGTCCGTCGCCCCCTGCCCCTTGCCACACAGCAGAGCTGTGGGGTGCGCCTCGGCTGCAGACGGCAGGGCCTAGCAGACGAGGGCCGTGATAATCGAAATCATTCCGCCCCACCTGCAGCTGGCCCGATGCTGCAGTTTGGTTTCGAGGCCGGTGAGTGGTTAGGTTTGGAATATAGCGGTCAAGGCCCCGCTGCGCACGAGAGAAGACTGGCACTATAAAGGAGAGGCGGTAGCGCATGTCTCACTCCACAAGCCCCCTCAACAACAACAACACATGTCTTACGACAACGACCGCCGCGAATCCTTCGACCCCACCGGCCGCCGCAAGTCGGTGGCCGTTCAGGTCAACCTCCGTGATGACATTGCCGACTACGACCGTGTCGTCGAGGACGCCCGCAAGGCCACCGAGTCTGAGCACCACCTGTCTATTATGCAGGGTCTCAGGAAGTACCCCAAGGCTTGTGCATGGTCTATGCTACTTTCCACCGCTATTATGTGAGTTCTGGTATGATCGCACTCCCGCGACGAAGGATCGCCCCACTGTGTGGCAGGAAGTTGGTGGAGTGGAGGATCGGCCAATTAGCGGATGGAACCCGAACTGATACAACTCAGCATGGAAGGTTATGATGTCGTCCTCCTCGGCTCCTTCTATGCGCTGCCCCAGTTCAACCAGAAGTATGGTCACCTGGGCCCCAACGGTGAATACATCATCTCGGCTTCGTGGCAGGCTGGCCTCTCCAACGGCGCCCAAGTTGGTGAAATTATCGGCCTCGCCCTCAACGGTTGGGCTTCTGAACGCTTCGGATACCGCCTCACGATGATGGTTTCGATGGCCGCAATGATCGCATTCGTGTTCCTTCCCGTCTTCGCACATAACATAGAGACTCTGCTTGCCGGTGAGATCCTACAGGGGTGAGTGGACTGTCAATGGAAAGACTTCCTCATCGCCATTGCTGATGGACTGCAGTATTCCTTGGGGTGTATTCCAGACCTTGACCACCGCCTACGCCTCTGAGATCACACCTGTCGTGCTCCGTCCGTACCTTACCGCCTACGTCAACCTCTGCTGGGTGTTTGGACAGCTTCTAGCTTCGGGTATTCTTCGTGGCGTCCTCACTTGGGAATCGCAGTGGGCATACAGGATGCCATTCTGCGTGAGTGGCGAGGCTATAAACCGGAGTATGTTCTTTTTTCTGACTTGCCTCAAGCTTCAGTGGATCTGGCCGGTACCCATCCTCATCGGTACCTTCTTCGCCCCGGAGAGTCCGTGGTGGGAGGTGCGCCACGGCCGCATCGACAAGGCTCGCCACATCGTTCGACGCCTCAACACCAACCCTACGGATGAGTTCGTTGACAACCAGGTCGCCATGATGGTCCACACCAACGCTCTTGAGAAAGAGATGTCGGAGGGCACATCCTACTGGGACTGCTTCAAGGGTGTCGACCTTCGCCGTACCGAGGCGTCTTCCGGTGCATGGATGATCCAGAACCTCTGTGGTTCTGCGTTTATGGGTTACAGGTGAGCAAGCTCAACGGCGATACATTCACCGCGACGAATTGGATCCGGTGTGCCACATCCATCCCAGTCCATCCTACCACTGTTGGCTAACTCGTCAGCACGTACTTCCTGGAGCAGGCCGGTTTGGCCCCAAGCTACGCGTTCGACATGTCTATTGCGCAGTACGGACTCGGTATCGTGGGCACGCTTTCGTCATGGTTCTTGATGCCCCACATTGGACGACGTCGTCTCTACATTGTTGGTCAGATCGGAATGATCATTATGCTAGTTACCATCGGCGGCATGGGCTTCATCAGCAACTCCAACACAGGTGCACAGTGGGCAATCGGAGGACTTCTCCTTGGCTACACTCTCATTTACGACTCGACCGTTGGGTGAGTTTTTGACCCGTCGATCATCCGCTGATCACCCAGTCCCGTCTGTTACGCTCTTGTTGGCGAGCTCTCGTCTACTCGTTTGCGCGCGAAGACAGTGGTTATCGCTAGAATTAGTTATAACCTGATCGGCATTGTTAACTCAGTCATCATGGTACGTCCCAAAGTGTCAGAGAAGCGCGGTGTTGACGTCCCGTCAGCCATACTTCCTCAACCCCGAGAAACTCAACTGGGGCGGAAAGACTGGTCTCTTCTGGGCCGGCTTCTGTTTCCTCTGTCTCATCTGGACCTACTTCCGCCTCCCCGAGCCTAAGGGCCGTACCTACGGTGAACTCGATGTCCTCTTCGAGAACCGCGTCCCCGCCCGCAAGTTCCGCACCACCGTTGTCGACCAGTTCGCCTCCGAAGCTCACACCCCGCCCTCGGGCCACATGGACGAGAAGATGGCGGCCGACTACCAGCACATCGAGCACTAGGATGTACGTTTCTATATTACGCTGCGAGAGGACGAAGAGTAGTGGTACTAGCAATAAAGCGAAAACAACGTTTATCTAGTTGGAAAAGTGATGTAATTCAGGTGAAGGTCCGCACACCCGCTACGTTTGATCGCCACTGCCGTCCAGCTTGCCCGTTGCTATGTACAGATCGATTCGAGTAACCCCTTCAATTGGTCCTCAGAGTGTAGCAGAATGTCAAGAGTTTCTGATGACATAAAGTATTTTTCGATCTCATCCCCCAACATTCTCCACTTCACCTGGGGGCGCGACGGTCCTCCGCCGCTCCGCCCACCCCCACTGTGGTCCTCCAGTCCTCACAACCTCACTCGCCTCCTCACCTCTCCCCAATCGCTCATAAGCCTGGCCCCACACCCCCGCCCATCCCAAGCCGAGAGAACAACGCCGCGCAAAGAGAATGGCGAAATGCGACATGCGCACCACTGGACGATTGAGCTTGCGCCTCGCTTGTTGTTGACGGTGCCACTCGTAGTGCCAGTTTCCAGGGACATGGTTCTGGCCATGCCAGACCCGACGGGCAGAGGCGCGTAGATTGAGCAAGACGGAGATATGGCTGTTCATGGCGATAGGAGTGGTGGGTTTGCTTTTGCTCGATGTCACGGGGTACAGGTGGCGGGCGCGAGTTGCTCAATAACAGTAGGTCTGTCACGGTCGAGTTTTGTGCCTTTGCTAGTGTCTTGTTCGGGATAAGAACCTCTTGATGGGGATACTCTCAATTGAGTCCTAACCATCACGATATATGTATAAGCGGCAAGTGTCCCATCTTCAGGAACAAGAGCGATGTTCTCACCCTGTTTTGGATCATAGTGATCAGTGATGGAAGCACTGCTGATGGGCTGATGTGGAAGGGGGTGTAGGAGCGGTGAAACATGTTCCTGTATCAAGCACATTCTGATACAATACCAAGTTCACAAGTCAAAATATATGTCCCGCCCACACACCATGTAACTATGGTACGTAGTCGTATCGCAGTGCCAGCTCAGGTTGTCGATGGAGAGGGGATTTGTGGAGCCTGACGAGTAGTCTTGATTTTGGCTCTCTCGTCCAGTTTCTCCCTCAGGTCCCACCCCATGCATATTCCGAAGGAGAGTCCGATCATACTCTGATAGAACCCATGCCGATAGAATTCGCCATTGGTTATAGGAGGACGAGGCGCTGCAATCTCAGCTCGGAGGTCGAAGGCATAATACGGGCCTCGAGGGCGGTTGTGGGGGCCGTTCCACAAGCGACGGAGGAGAGCCAAGGTGCTGAAGGGGACGCTCATTTGAACTGTGAAGAGTGCTGGGGGTTGGTCACTGTCCTCCTCAAGGCTATCACTGTTGTGAGGTAATGTGTGATGCATGAATGCCTCCCTGCATACGCTCTTAATCTTTCTCTGGGTTTCTGAGCCAGGGCCAGAACGACATGTTTACACACCGCATTGCCGCAGGGCCAATGACCGTAATCACTTGGCAGTTTCACATCCGAAACGTTTTGATGCGAGTGGCACTGATCTGATTCACGAAGGAGGCAATGAAGCACGCATATTTGTATGAACAGGTAGTCCAATTGGCCTGCTAGCTGCTAGCTTGCGTGCGGTTGACTGTGGGCAAGTGCAGCGCGATGTGGCGGAATTTGGAATATTTTTGAATATTTATGTTCTTTTCCCGATATTTCGGGTACAGCATTCAAGCATTGCAGTTCATGCTTCGAGGTCCTATACGTTGTCAGAATGGAGTATACAGTCCACAATTCCCAAACGCAAGCGCCCAAGCGCCTGACTGCAACGTGGGTTCGGCGTGGCGATTTCTCAGTGGCCCGCGCACCAGAGATGGTAGATTGTCGCAGTCTTGGGGTTCTCATGTGCAAGGGCGCAAGTGGAGCCTTGGTCCCGGAGGTGCATGCGTGACACCCCTTTTCACTCAAGCTTGTGGGCAATCCTCTCTTTCTCTTTACCCACTTTCTCTCAAAAAGCCGTACAACCTCTTACTCGATCTCTCGACTCTTTCGCTTGAGCTCCCTCTACTCTCCCGACACCGTCCTCTTTCGGGTGACCCGCCACCACCTCTCCTTGGAGCCTTCAAACATTCTACACTCTTCCCATTTGACCTCCTTTGACGTCTCCACCAAGTCCAAAGTAGGTCCGTGCGCTTGGCCCCGTCGCCGTGCTGCAGGCTCAGCATTTCTGACAGTTGCAGCGCCAAGGACAAGATGACCACCCCCACTCCCATTCCCACTCTCTCGACCGACTCCAACTCGGTCCCTGCCCTCAAGGCCGACTCGACGGGATCCGGTCCAGACACCTCGGTGGACATGCCCCAGGACGGTCACGAGTCCTTCTCTGGCCTCGACCGCCCATGCTTTGGCTTCTCGTCCGGCTGCACCGGCTGCACCAGCTGCTCCAGCTTCTACGTCACCAACCACGAGACTGGCGACTCGATCTACATCCAGGGCATTGGCGAGGGTGAGCTGCAGTCTCCACCCACAACCCGTCACACAACTGACACGTAATAAGCGCACGACGACGACGTTGAGATGGAGGAGATGCTCTCCGCCATGATTGACCGCCTTGGTCCCGAAGGTGCCGCCGACCCATCCCTCCTTGAGGCTGCTATGGAGCTCGCGCACAAGCAGCTCGAACGTCGTGTGTCGGCCCAGAAGGCGGCTGCGTCGATCACGAAGACGGCCAAGAAGGCGGCGGAGACCGAAAACAAGGGCAACGTCGCGGTCACGGCCACGGCCACTGATGCTGCGGGAGACGGTGAGCGCTACCTGTCATTTACACTGTCTGATAAGCAACAGCTGCCAAGGCCATCGAGGAGTCCAAGTAACTCCCTCCCCAAGTCTAACAAGGCTGTTTATATATACGTAGTTTAAGAAGGTGAGGTATGTACATACATATTCGGGTGGCCTTTTTGGAGACTGTGGGGGCAAGCTTGGAGGTGGTGAGGAACACTAAAGCGCTGCCAGACTGCGAGGTTCTGTTTATGCCGACAGCCATTGTCAGAGTGGTGGAGACAACCCAACCGCCGACCCGCGCTGTCCCTCTTAGTCGGCATCGACGTAGATAAGCCTTTGCCCTGAGACTGGGCTCAGTAGACACACTTGTCCCATGCCTTGCATCTACAGATGATGATGCAGCAGCAAGAAGTGATGGGTTGGCCCATGAACCGACGGGGCCAACAATGCTGAACGCGCGGGCTGAGCCGGGGGACAAATGTCCTTGCGGCCTTCGTTCAAGCCTACCAAGAAGACCGCCTAGACTGCGTAGCTCCGTCCTTTTTGAAGCTCTGGCATAGCATGATGCATGCGGATGTCCTAGTACAACACAGGTTAAGGGATGGCATGGTGGGGCTGCATGCCAGAGTGTAAGTGTAGGCTTCTGATATCTGCCGGGAGGCGGACGTCAGCGCCGGCGCCATGGTCCGGTACTGTACATACAGACCGCAGCACACAACCAAGCACCCCCAGTAACGACTTCTACTGACAACACTTCGCAATCCTGGGCAAACCAGCAATACCACCTCCACAATGCCCCCACCACCTCGTGAACACCCACTTGACCGCGCGGCTGCAACCTTGCGCAAATCCGGACAACGCCTCCAGTCCTCGCGCTTCGTGTACGGCATGGTCCATCGACCCGGAGACCCGCGGTACGAGTACTTTCGCAAGCTCGACATGACGCCGCGAGGCCGGACGTTCCAGAGCGTCATCTTGGGCATGTTTGTAGGTGGGGCGCTAGGCTATGGGTGGTGGGCGAACAGGCAGAGGGCCAAGTCGACGTCGGCGGCGGCGCCGCGATGACCGCCTGCAGCCCTCACTCAGCCTTTCGCTCCACTGGACCACGTCTTCCGACATCATCGATGCCACCAACCGCCTGTTGTTTTCATGTAGACATGCTTCAACCGACAGCTCACCGCCACGCCGCATGCTCCATGCTCATGACCCCGGCGGCGCGCACAACTCCAACGACCGGATCGCCTCCCGTCCCAGGCTACCCACCTCCCCACCCCTCTTGCCCACAGCACTTCATCACAGGCCTCGCACCGCAATGCAGTCGTTGCTTCACTCCTCCCTCCATCCTCCTCACCGCTCCTGGCATGAGGCCCGGCCCTTCCGGCACAGTGACATCCTGGCGTGCTCCTCGGACCATCTAGCCCAAGCTTCCAGTCCAAGCTTAATGCATTTTGATCCAATATTTACTCGCCGACCTTGGTGGCCTTGCCCTGTAGTGTGAATCAAAGTTGATCGGGGAGGGAGGGTTGATGTTGATTCGGCAGTCGTTGCGCACGAGCCAAGACGGAGTGGAGGCGACGCCGAGAGGGTGCGAACAATAGAGAAAGCAGGAATGGTTCCGAAAAACACCGAATGTCAGCACGACCTTGCAAAACACAACACGGGACAGACGTACGCGGGCGTACTGGACAAGCTGGAAGACGTTGCCGACAACACCGACGGTGAAGAGGGCCATGTAGGCAGCTGCATGCCGGGTAGGTTGCGAGGTGGAGTGTAAGGGTACAGGAAGCGATGGCGTTCGGGGGAGGTCGGGTGCGGCGATGGAGAGGGGGAGGGGGCCGGGGATGAGTGCGATGGACCGGGGTGGTCATGTAGGTAGCGTAGGCAGTCGCAGAGAGGGCGAAAGGGGACGAGGGACGAGGGAGGGAGGGTGGGGAGATGGTCCGAAGGAGGAACAATGACGTGGTGAGTCGGCGACGGGAAAACACGGACGATGATGAGATGGAGGAGCGTGTGCAGAGTTCGGCCGGCGACGATGAAGGCGAGGGGAAGCGAACGTGAGCGTAAAGGAAAGACAAAAGTTGGGAGGGAGAAGACACGGTCAGCATGTCGTCACACAAGAGTAGCAGGCATCTCAACATACCGAACATGGGCTTCGATCCGGGCTTGCGGAGGTAGACAAACTCCTTGCCAGCCATGTTCTGTGTATTGTTAGTATCTGGTACACGCCGCAGGCAATGAATGCGCCCGGAATCGTAGAGAATGGCGCGTGTCCCATCTGCAGCGACCACGAGCCTGGTGGGGTTCATAGCTCGTGTCCGCTTGTTGCGACCAAAGAACGCGCGCCAATTCGACGACCGGGGATTCGTGCGCCGACAAACGCACCTGGAGGGCGATCTGGCGCTGGCGGATGTGGGGCTGGGCTGCAGACTGTCAGGAGAGTGATCCATTTGGGGAGAGCGACGAGCGTACGGTTGAAGAGGGACATGGTGGACGTTTGGGGGGTATGAGAGGTGTGTGAAGGAGGAGATGGATGCAGTGAGAGCAGATTGGCCTGCCGCGGCCTGGCGCCCTCCCACCCACCCACACCCCCGAGCGAGTCCGAGAGGCCGTACACTGGCGTCCAAGCCAGGCGGGCCATTCTATTATTTTTTGTACATTTTATTTTACATTTATCCCGTCCATGCCATTATTTCTGAGCGGCGAAGTGTTGGTGACTTGTTGAGAGGACAGAGCCAGCAGTGACAAGGCTCCAGTTACACCATCTGCAGAGCAAACAACCATGGACGTCTCGCAGCAACTGGCAGACTACGCAGCCGCCAAGTAAGTACACTGCAAACCGTTTGCTTGAGCTGACCCACCCAGCGCGGCCGAGGTGCTTGAGCGCCCCACCCCCGTCGAGCTTGACACTGGTCTTCTTGCCGCCTACGACACCACTCCCGTGGACGCCGACGAGTACAAGTGAGTCTGAAGCATTATCCTTGGGGCCTATACAACCACTAACACACTTTGTAGGGCCGCTCTCGAGCCCCACCTCCTCGCCCTCACCCTCACCTCGACGCAGGCCCTCCTCGCCGGCCTCTTCTCCCTCCCGACCAAGTCGTCCGAGCACGGCCCCGTCGCTCAGCTTGCCGACCCCACCTTTGTGCTTCCTCGCGAGAAGCCCCTGCCCAAGCCCAAGCCTCTTACCAAGTGGGAGCGCTTCGCCAACGCCAAGGGTATCTCGCACGTCAAGAAGGACAAGAAGGTCTGGGACGACGAGCGCCAGGAGTGGGTCGCCCGCTGGGGCCGCGACGGCAAGAACAAGGACGCCGAGGACCAGTGGCTCCACGAGGTCAAGAACAACGGTTCGGGTGAGTTCAAGTGCACCGAGTGCATTAGATATGCACGGCGTGGAGGAGGAGGAGGAAGAGGAGTCGGTATGCGTGTGGTTGGTTTGGACACCGCGATACCCCCGTTGCCACCCAAACCTTCAAAAGCTTCTCAACCTCCACCCGGAAGACCCTATAACATCATTTACTGACACTCGGCAGACCCCACCATCGACCCCCGTGCCACTGCCAAGGCCGAGCGCAAGGCCCGTACCGAGAAGAACGCCAAGCAGCACGCCCGCAACCTCGCCGAGGCCGCTGCCTCCCCCCTCTCCACCCTCGACCGCAAGCCCACCGCCGGCACTGCCAGCCAGGGTGAGAAGGCCAACGCCCGCTCCATCCGCAAGGCCGAGCTCGACCGCGGCATGCTCGTGTCCAAGGTCTCGACTGCCTCGTTGGGCCGCTTTGACAAGTCGATCGAGGGCGAGCCCCGTGTCAAGGGCATCAAGCGCAAGTTTGAGACCAACCTCGGCGACCACGCCAGCGAGAAGGCCTCGGCCATGGACGTGCTCAACCGCCTCGGCACCGCCGAGCGCAAAAGGGCCCCCAAGAAGGGCGGTTCGGGTGTCGAGGGTGGCGTCAACACCCGCAAGGCTGTCCGTTACGAGGAGCGCGCCGCCCAGCTCGCCAACCGCCGCGACGGCAAGAGCGGCGGTGGCCGTGGTGGCCGTGGCGGCAAGAGTGGCCGCGGCGGCCGCAAGTAAGCAAACTGTGTATACTTGCGGTGGTGGTGGTGTGGAAAAAGCGGGCGCGTTCAGCGACCGCGGCGAGAGAGATCCGAGCCGAGGTGTCTCTCGCCATGTCACAGAATGGAGACGCGCATCTCCTGTGAGCGAGGACTGGAGCGGAGCGGAAAGACGAAGAGGCGTCCGCGTCCGACACGTGTATGTACATTCTCTAGATGCATATGGCCGGCTGGCCGTCGCAATCCTGCAAACAAGCAAGCTGCTACAGCGAGCGGGAAACGGCGGAGAGCATGTGAACGACCTGTGCTGGTCCTAATGAAAGGAGCATTAGAAATTTTATAATCGGCCTAAAGGTTTTTGTTAACGACGACCACGTGGATATACTTCCGTGATCGGATCCAAGCTCGTCGTTCTTGTCCTCCGACTTTTCTGTTGTTGCAAGGCTTGGAAGTAATCTCTAGCTCATCGAATACACCATGGCTGCCACCCGCTTCAAGGTCCGCCCTACCAAGAGTGAGTCAGAAGTGCATGCGTCGTGCATGTCCATGCGGACGCTCTGCGAGGGGTGCTTTTGCTGACACTGCCTCTCCCTTGCCCTTGTCCTCGACCGTCTCGCGACCTAACCCGGCTTCCTTCCGTCCGACTCGTCCTCGCTACGCACCTGCCATTGATGGTGCTTTCGCGGCCTGTTACGTGTTCTTGGTTTGCCTGACTGCTTGGAACCTGTGTTTCTTTGCTATTTTGCGCTCCCGCGTTCCCCGTCACATCTCCACCTTGTCTCGACCTGCACCTCGTCGCGGTATCCCGGCCGACTCCAACTGTCTGTCATCTACTCTGATGCCATCTACCACCTTGACATCTACCCACAAACGTCCCCTATAACCCCCATTTTCCGTCCCCCCTCTTCCTCCCCGAACTGCTCCATCTCCCTCCTCCAGAGGTCCTCAACATCGCCTGCGCGCCCGAGTTCTCGGCCATGCTGGCATGCTTTGCGTCGACCGGCGACCTCCGCCACCAGAACGTCGGTACGGCCGGCTGCGCCGACGCCGCCAAGGCCCTGCATGCGTGCATGGCCAAGCCGCGTAACGTCCGTGCTGCGCGTGTACCCTCTGTGAGTGACGGAAAGGATGCCACAGTGGAGACAAGGGTGTCCAATGATGTGGTTGGGGTTGGGGTTGGGGTTGTGGACATCATGACTGACTTCAATCCCAGATCAACCACGTTCTTAGCAAAGTCAAGTAGACCCACATCAAGACCCTGTATCACATGCACTGCTTCAATCTGGAACAAAATATATCGAGTTGGGGGAGGGCGGAGACATGGGGGGATGAAAGGGCGGCCACACGCGAAAGCGACGCCAACGCTTCGGCAGGCATCAGGTCTTTTGGTATCGCTGGCTCTTTAGCGTCACCCGGCGGCTTGTTTACTAACCACTTGCTGTCTGGTTGCGTCTTGCCTACTGACAGTCTCCAGCGCTGACGTTCCACACGTCACGAACGTCATTGAATTTGCCGATGAGGCGCACGTGTTAAGGAGCAAACACGGTCCGTAATCTACATGCCATGATCTTGTAAAAGTCCTCAGTAACCACCTCGTTTACACAATGCCTCCTGCCACCTCACCTCTCATTCTCAAGCGCATAAGGAGCCCAGCCCGGGATCTTCTGACGGTAATTGGCCTCGATCCTGCTGCGTTAGCCTTGCAAGGCCCTATAGGAATCACCAACCTGGCGGCGAGGGCAGGGTTGCCAAGCAGGGTGTACCTGTGGTGAAGCCATGTGCGGGTGTTGTTCAAGCGCTGCAATTTAGCACGCCGTAACGGGCGACTGCCTACCTCCGTGTGCGCCTGACACATGGGGACACCACGCTTCTTCATGCGGGCGTTGAAATGCGCCAGTCGGATGTACTGGTCACGGAGCTGCCGGGTCAGCACTTGGAGACCACGCTGATCACTAACACGGAGGCAAATCCTGTCACGGACGACAGCGGCGTTGAGCTCCTCTGGGGACATGGTGGTCCACGGGGTCGGTTCATCGACGTCCATGGCATCGTCCACCGCCTCACCGGCCGTCGTCGTCGTTGTGGTCGTGGTGGTGTGGCCGTGGTGGACCTCATCCGGACCCGCAATAACGGTATTGCCGATGAGCACGTCCCTGTAGCTGGGACGGGCGCCGGCCACGACGGACGGGTGGCTCGCGACGGGGCCGCCCCCAGCAGAGGTCTTGTTGAGGGGTGGCCAGTCCTGAGGCAGAGGGTCAGAGGATGAAGTGGATGGCTGTGCATATACCATAAGACTCACGATGTTGCTGTTGTCGTGGTTGGCCATGATGAGTGGATGGGATGAAGAAAGAAGAGGTGGGTGACAAGGAAGAGGGATAGGGGACGGGCGCATTGCTGGCTCGGAAGCAGCCAAGGAAGCAACCAAGGAAGACGATCAGAAGGGGCCAACAATTGCTGCAAAGGTGCAAAGGCGAGCATGGGCCACGTGCAGCTTTGATGTAGTTAAGGACACGTTTGGCGAAGGCGACAGTCTGTTCATTGGCCGACGCAAGGAGGTCCTGCAACTCCGTGGCAGCCAGGTACAACATCGGATGGTGCGCGCTGGTACGGCTCCAAATTGTACTCGCCCACGACTGAGAGTGGCATGGAGAGTGGCCACAGCAACATACAGGTGGCTGTCGAAAGCAAGTGTGTTCACCACGATGCTTTTTTGGTGGGAACAAACAAGGCGGAGTTGTGATGTCAGATTATAGTTGCAGTGCGATCAGCGAGCTGGGAGCCGCGCAGGAAACCGGTACGGAACAGTGTCAGTGCATCAGTGCAGGTTGTGGATCCGGGTCTTTGACTGCGTTTGAACCGATGCCGCACAATGTGGCACTGCCTCATACCGATATACCGAAGCAGCTCACGCTCGTCTCGTCGACCCCAGCGGTTGGGAATTACCACGTCGGATTTTACTGCGCCGCTTGATCCGGGGCAAGCGGGTCCACTGGCGGATCGTGTACAGTCGGATCGTGCACAGCCAGTGTCTTGATTGCTTCCTGTGGAGCAATATGCATGCGAATCTAGTGGCTACGACAATTCCCCCTCTGTCTCAATGATCTCCCGCCCGCCCCTCTCGTCCACCTTCTTAGACAATGTAGCTGGCATGCGACAGAGTCCACCCACGGACCATCTCCTGGGGGTTTCCGGCCGACTGGGCGAGGCCGTTGACAAACACGTCGTCGCTCTTGTTGACGGTCCAGCCCTTACGGGTCCAGAGGTCGTACATGCCCGCGGCCTCGGCACCGGTCATGCCATAGGGCACGGCAATGGTCTTGATGCCCGACTTGGCGTGGGCGAGGTGGTACTCGTCCAGCTTGGTGTAAGGGCTCACAGCGGAGCGGGTCTCGAGGTTGAGGCCCGAGAGGAACTCGGCCGTGGGCAAGTAGTCTGTGGCCGAGAGCGAGGTCGAGCCGACGATGGCGCCCTTGGCAAAGTTCTTGTTGCCAGTGAGGTACTGGAGCAAGAGACGCGGGGTGGACAGGTGGTACGACTCGAGGAGCGAGTAGTCTGGCTTGCGGTATTTGGTCCTCTGGAAAAGACACTGCACGTCGTCAATGGCGAACAGGACCGGGACGGAAGTCTGCGTTGCGAGCGCGTCGAGGACAGCCTCGAGGACGGGGACGGCCAAGCGCTCGTCCTTGGCACCGGCAGCCACGAGTTCGGAGAGCTTGGCGCCCTCGGCGAGCTTGATGGTGGTGCCAACCTCAACAGCCTTGGCGAGCTTGATGGACGCCAGACGGTCCTTGTTGATGGACTGGAGCTTTTCCAGGAGCTGCGCGGCAAGCTGGGTCTGGTGGAACGTCTGCGATGCGTCGTCGTAGGCAAACGCCGAGCTCGAGTCGACCCACTTGCGCGCCTCGGGCTCGTACAGGACGACCCAGCCCGACTCGAGGGCGTACGACACGGCCTGGATGAGAAGCGTCGACTTGCCCGACCCGCGCGCGCCCGAGAGCACGTAACGCGAGTCCTTTGACGAGCCGGCCTTGGCCGCGTCGAGCGTCTTCTTGAGGTCCACAGTCGACTGGCGGATCACAGTTGCCGGGCTGCCGTAGCCCATCTCCTTTGCAATCTTGCGCGGGAGGCCAAACGAGTTGAGCGAGCGCACAGTGTCGTTGGGGTAGGTCGAGGGCTTGCCGACGTTGGCGACGGTGAGCGACTCGGGGTACAGCTGGATATAGTCGCTGACGTCTGCGGGCGCGTCGACGTCGGCCGGGCGGAGGGCGATACCGCCGACCTGGGACCAAGTTAGCACCGTGTCTGCCACACCTTGAACAAGGACTGTACTCACCTTGATACGACCACCACCACCGCCGGTAGCGACCTTGGGCTTCTTCATACCGCCGAGGGTCTGCTTAACCATGCGCTTGTCTAAAAGGGTTTGTCAGCAAACAGTGTACAGTGTCTCGCCTGTGGTGTGCACTGGACTGGAGGTTGCTTCCCGACTTTTTCCCAAAAGTCGGGCAACACACAACTCACTGGCAGCAGGCTTGGCGGCAAGGACCTGGGTCGAGGTAGCGAACGCGCGCGAAGTCGACGCGGTGGCCGACGCGGTGCGCGCCAGCACGGGGGTGAGGAGGGACATGGTGTCGGCTGGTGGAGGGGTATTAATGGAGCTGCTCAATGTTCAGCCTGTGGCCTCGTCTTGCGACCGTTGACTTGTGGTCCATTGGCGAGGTGTCGGAGGCGTGCGGGCACATTTCGGGAGAAATGATAAAAGAATAATGGCGGGGATATTCAAAAAGTTGCCTCTGCGGTGTGGAGGTTGGTCCACTGCATCTTTGTGTTATGCTGAATGAAGCTGCGTGCAATACGACATCCACACATCCATCTCCACCACCATGCGTGCCAGCTCGTCACGCACCGCAGCCGCCACCCCGGCGACCAAGCCCTACGACCGCCCGGCCAAGGCCTCGTCGTCGGCCAAGAGCAAGGGCAAGGGCAAGGCCACTGCCACTGCCCCCGTCGTCGACGGCGCCGCCAACATTGGTGCTCCGGCTCAGCACTCGCAGCCCTCGCGCAAGGGCAAGAAGGCATGGCGCAAGAACGTCAACGTGACCGAGGTCGAGGATGCCCTGGAGAGGAGCCGCGCCGAGGAGCGTGTGACAGGTGGCAAGATTGCGGACAAGAAGGACGGTGACCTGTTCACGGTGGATACGACCGGTGATGTTGAGGGTGAGTGGCGAGACCGTGTCGTGTGCGAGACCGTGTGGGGTGCTAACTTGTTTCCTCCAGTGGCCAAGAAGGTCCGCACCAAGAAGCCCCTGCGCTCGCTCGCCATCCTTGCCGAGCGCTCCGCCGTTCCCTCGCTTGCGTCGCGCGTCGCCGCCCCCAAGCCCCCCAAGGTGTCTGTGACCGCTGCCGAGAAGGCCCGTATGCGCCGTGTCGCCCGCAGGACGGTCGACGACAGCACTTCTGCCGACGTCAAGGCCGTTGGCACTGCCACTACGGATGCATGGGCTCGTGCCGCTCCTCAAAAGGGCCTTGCTGGTGGCTTTGGCGACGAGGGTGTCATTGTCCACAAGGTCAAGGCGCCGATCACCCTTGCCAAGCAGCGTGCTATGCGTTTCGCCAACGTCCGCGCCCAGGACGCCGACGAGCTCCCCACTGCTGGTGTTTCGTACAACCCCGCGGCCGCGGCGCACGCCGCGCTTATCGCCACTGCGCTCCAGGAGGAGCAGGAGCGTCTGGCCAAGGAGGACAAGGAGGCCCAGGAGATTGAGACGCTCGGCCAGGTCGTCGAGGGCCGTCGCGCCAACGCCGACACCGAAGACATGGTCAACGGCATGCGTATTGGCCGCGCCGACGGTGTGCCCCTGGACGCTTCGGACGACGACGATGACGAGGCCGAGGCCGAGGACGCCTTCCGCCCCAAGCAGACCAAGCGCAAGACCCAGGCGCAGCGCAACAAGTCCCTGCGCGCCCGCGAGGCCAAGGAGGCCGCCAAGCACGAGGCCACGCGCAAAAAGATGGAGAAGCACGTCGCGGCCGCCAAGGCGTTCAGCAAGTCTGCCGAGGCGCGCAACAAGGCGCACGCCGAGTCTGCTCGCCAGCGCAAGGCTGCGGCCGAGGCGCGCGAGCGTGCGGGCTTCACCGGCGGCGAAAAGGTCGGCCGTCACCGTGTGGGCAAGAAGGCTGTGGAGGTGCAGCTGGGCGAGGACCTGGCCGAGAGCCTGCGCCAGCTCAAGCCCGAGGGCAACTTGTTCAAGGACAGGTTCCTTTCGCTCCAGCGTCGTGCCCTCCTCGAGCCCCGCGCTCCCGTCTTGCCCAAGCGCCGCACGATCAAGACGAAGGAGTACGAAAAGCACGCATGGAAAAAATTCAAGTAGGAGGAGGACGTTCTCGCAGGCCAAGAAGGTCGTCTTGGAGACAAGAAGGTCGACTTGGACGAGTGGAACGAGCGGAACCACCGACTCGCGTTTTTTTCCATACATTTTCGCCGATTTTCTTCCCTTTTTTTTGCCCGGATTTTGGATGTGTCTGTAGATGTAACCCTGATACCATGCATGTGTGAGCACGCCACGGAGGTGTGGAGGTGAAGCATGTGTTGTGTTGTGCATGCTGTGGGAGACTCAACTGTTGGTAACGAGTGGTGCGACCCGGTGGCCACAGGTCACGTGACATTTTGGTGGCTGTCCGCGACACACCTGCTCATGGTGTATCGACATCGTGACGTAGCTGACTCGCACACGCAATAGAAGCACTCACACCCTCGTGAAGACTCTTGTCTTGCCCTCCGCCAGCATCGACGGAATGCTTCTACGGTAATCAACAATGGAACCCCGCCAACGCCGAGGACAAGACCACTCTTCAAACGTCATTGCCGTGCCAATGCCGCCGGCGCCCCATCCCCAGGTGCATGGCAAGTGGAGGTCTCGGCAGGTGGGCAGCAGGTAAGTTATCAAGATCTAGGAAACTGCGACGCACGCGGCGGCCTTCTGTGGTTGCTGCTGGACTGTGCGAGAGGGCGCCCGGTGACGGACGGACGACTGATCTTGGACGAGTGAGATAATGCCCCGCTGACCTCCACTTGCGGCGCTCCGCATCTGGAGGGTTTAATTTCCACAGAATCAACTTGGTCCCGCAGTCGTGTTCCTTTGATTGTATTTTTATTTTCCAACGATTCCAACGATCCAAACGCCTCCCCTGCTCCGCCGCCCGCGCGCGTAATCCAAGACACAAAACAAAGGCTCAGAGACAGGACACAGTCTGCTTTTGTCGGCGTCGTCCGCGGCATGAGGGGGCTCCCCCAGCCATTAGGTTTTGGTTGTCTTGGGTGTCATCATTTGCTCCGGCCGGTTGGGTACCCACCCGGTGCACATGAGCCTGCTCTTTGTTGAGCCGAGCCGCACCGGTTCACATGGACATGACGTACCCGTAGTGCAGCGCCATCGTTACCAAAGGTGGTGTGTGCATGCATTCTGCGATCCATGCATGCTGTAGCAGCACACAACTCTCTCGCAGCCGTCGCATTCTCCGGTGTCACTGATAAACGCTGTCCAGTATGCTCCCCCAGCTGTGATACCGGACTAGAAGTGCACGCACATTGGCTGGGGGCTCTGGACGATGGCTGCCAGAAACACACTATGGAGCACCGATATGACCGTTCCCGTGCCATAGGGTGGATTTTTATTTGGCAGCGGGCACAAGGTGGAGGTCGGAGAGACTACGATTGGCGAATTTGCCCGCCCACATCGGGCCTCCCGTACGGCACACGAGCCAAGGCATGCACAGGCGAACAGCTCGAGCCGATAGCGGCCGACAGCAACCTCCACTTCTGAGACCTGGTGGCCGGCTACGCCTCGTTCCGGTTGGAGGCTGGGCGGAACGAGCGTGTTACCCGGCGTCATTTCATCTCTCACTCCACACCTCTTGCGCTCATTCATAAGGACCGGGCGGACTCTCTTTCATCCCCCAGTAACATTCCTGCGTCCTTCACACCCATAAAGGAGACCCCCCCTTCCGTCTCGACGCACTCTCTCTCCCCTCACTCCTACTCCACACCACCAACCCGTCGCCACCATGTCGCTCCCCGCCGGTGTCACCATCACCCTCCCCATCCCCTCGGGTGCTGAGAAGATCCTCACCCCCGAGGCCGTCCAGTTCCTCACCGTCCTCCACCGCACCTTTGACAAGCGTCGTCTCCAGCTCCTCGAGAACCGCAAGAAGGTCCAGGCCGAGCTCGACAAGGTGAGCGTTGCGAAATGTGGCGGTGAAACTCCCACCCACCGCACATACCCGAGATTGCCACTTGCGTAGCCGAAGCTGACAGCTGGTTCCCAGGGCAAGCCCCTCAACTTCCTCCCCGAGACTGCCAACATTCGCGCAGAGGCTTCGTGGGCATGCGCTCCCCCCGCACCTGGTCTCGAGGACCGTCGGTGAGTACCAACAAGCACTGGGCGATAAGCTCGTTTCCAAACATTTTTCCCTGACGCCACATGCAGCGTCGAGATCACCGGCCCCACCGACCGCAAGATGGTCATCAACGCGCTCAACTCGGGTGCCAAGACGTTCATGGCCGACTTTGAGGACTCGAACTCGCCCACCTGGGACAACATGGTCCTCGGCCAGGTCAACCTCTACGACGCGGTCCGCAACCAGATCGACTCGGTGATCGGCGGCAAGGAGTACAAGCTCAAGCCCAAGCACGCCGTCCTGCTCGTGCGCCCCCGTGGCTGGCACCTCGAGGAGACCCGTTTCCTCGTCGACGGCGCCCCCATGTCCGGTGGTCTCTTCGACTTTGGTCTCTACTTCTTCCACAACGCCAAGGAGGCCATCGCCCGCGGCTTTGGCCCATACTTTTACCTCCCCAAGATGGAGCACCACCTCGAGGCACGTCTCTGGAACGACGCCTTCAACCTCGCCACTTCGTACATTGGCGCGCCCCAGGGCTGCATCCGCGGCACCGTCCTCATCGAGACCCTCCCGGCCGCCTTCCAGATGGAGGAGATTCTCTACGAGCTCCGCGAGCACTCGTCGGGCCTCAACTGCGGTCGCTGGGACTACATTTTCTCGTTTATCAAGCGCCAGCGTGCCCTCCGCTCGGCCGTTTTCCCCGACCGCACCGACGTCACCATGACCGTCCCCTTCATGTCCGCCTATGTCTCCCTTCTCGTCCAGACCTGCCACAAGCGCAAGGTCGCAGCCATGGGCGGCATGTCGGCCCAGATCCCCATCAAGAACGACCCCAAGGCCAACGACGCCGTCATGGACAAGGTCCGTGCCGACAAGCTCCGCGAGGTCACCGCCGGACACGACGGTACTTGGGTTGCCCACCCGGCTCTCGTCCCCATCGCCATGGCCATCTTTGACGAGCACATGAAGGGCCCCAACCAGTACTTTGTCCGTCGCGAGGAAGTTAGCGTTACCGCCAAGCAAATTGCCGACCCGAAAGTCCCCGGTCAAGTCACCGACGTCGGTGTCCGCGAGAATGTCTCCGCCGCGCTTTCTTACTGCGCTGCTTGGATCTCTGGCAACGGTTGCGTGCCCATCAACAACTTGATGGAAGATGCCGCAACGGCGGAAATCGCTAGAGGTAAGCGTCTTTTTTGACGTTGTAGAAGCTGACAAACAGTCCAGCTGTGGCAGTGGGTCAAGTACGGCTCGAAGACCAGCTCCGGCAAGCAGATCACCCCGGCGTACCTCAAGCCTATTTTTGCTGAGGAGTCTGCCAAGGTCGCGTCTATCAAGGGCATCTCTGCCGACCACGTGCGCATCTCGTCCGACTACATGCTTGCCCAGGTCCAGGCTCAGTGGCCCAGCGAGTTCTTGACGAGCGACCTCCAGGGCCACCTTGCCGGCGGCTCGGTTGTCCGCAAGGCCGGTCTCTAAAGATTTCGTCGAGGGGGGAGGAAGTGTTTAAAAAAGCAGCAAGCAGTTGTTTTGTATATATAGCAGTCTATGCATGGTTCACAGAAGCGATAGATGCAGCAATGGGGGTTGAAATGGTTGGCCTGGACCTCGTCGTCGCCAACAAGCTCGACAGACGTGAGGGAAGCAGAATGCGGAAGAGTGCCACATGTGTTGACAACAGCAATTCTGCCCAGAGCAAGCGTGCGAATGCCCGCCGCCGTCGCGCCACTTGTGGTTCTCCCTATGACGACTTGAGGACATGCTTTCTGCTGACATAATCGCCTTCGAGCGATGTCCTAGCACTATGGATGGCCGGGTCATCCGGTTGGTGTGAGGTTCGCAGTCGTCCTCAAGAGTCCGGCACGTCGCCTTGGTAGTCAGGTGGGGACGAAACGCACTGCCAAAAACCGAAGTCTTCTTATCCTCGACATCCACGTTTTCCTGTCCCTGGAAGGTGCTCGTCGCCATGGTGGTGCTCATCGTCGTCCATCCGGGCCCGCCCGGTGTCAAAGTCGGAGTGGGTGAACATGGTGTGGCATTCGGTCACAGTAGTCACAGTCCTCAAGTATGCACACCACATGTTCAGGCGCATTGGATCTGTGCCGCGCCGCCTTGGGTGAACCTGCTGGAGATCATGTCTCCCATCCACATAGATGGGAAAGCAGCCGGACGGACTTGCGCCCTGTTGGAGCTGGTGGTGCGCGGTATCAAATATGTTTGCACAGACCCATGTCTAGCATTTAAATCGCAATTTCTGCAATTATTCGTTCCGACAGTGTAGAGGCCAGGATGTTCTGTTGGTACATGCCACCAAATGCATACAAACTCCTTCTCCGCCACTGAGGCCTCAAACTACACTGCAAGGTTGTCTTGACTTCGTTCTAGTACAAACCGTACCAGGCTGAAGCGTCTTGAGCTTGGGGCCGGTACCCGGCTCGGGCGTCTTCCCCTCTGTCAGGCGCTTCAGACTGCGGAGCTCGTCGGTACGGCCAAGGTCTGCCCTAGTCTTCACCTTCTTCTGGAAGGTACCGGCAGCCTTGCTCTTTTCGCGCGAGTTCTTGTTCAAGGCACCCTCATGGGCGAGGCGGGCCTTCTTCTCCTCCGCACTCTGGTCGTCGCGCTTCTTCTCGCGGTGGGTGCGGCCGTAGCTGTTCCAGTGGGTGGTGTTGTCGGTCTTGCGTGCGGCCGTCTCCTCGGGGTTCTCCTTGCCGCGGACCTCGGCCGTCTTGGCGCGCTTGAAGGTGTTGTTCGTGTCGAGGGGGACACGGCGCTCTGCGGGAGACTCCTTGGCCTCGCGCACGCGCCTGAGGGCGAGCTTGTGGGCCGCAAGGTCGTCGAGCTGAGCACGGGAGGCGTTGGCGCGGAACTTCCGCTGGCGGTCGCGGCTCCTGGCCCGACTGAGCTCGAGGCGTTCACCGGCGGTGTAAAATGACACCTTCCTCATGCCCTGCGACGCCGGCGACTCGGTGTTTGTACCAATGTGCGCGGTTGTCGGCCACCACGGCATTGGCTTGGATTTCATCCAAACGTCGAGCCATTCATGGCGGACTGCTTCCACATTGTGCTGGATCGAGATAGCGAGGGCGACGAGGAGACCACGGTTGGTGAGCTTGACGTCATCCAGGATGACACCAAAATTGGTGTACGCGACGAGGTCGCCCTTGTACTTGGCTGAACAGCGGTAGAAAAAGTTCAGTTTCACCTTCTTGCCGTTCTTGCCGTTCTTGACGTGCTTCTTAACTTCAAGGGCGAGGCGGATCTTGGCCTTGTGGGACTCGTAGCGCAGAGGCACACCATGCTTGCCCTTCTTCGTCGTGGGGTTCTTCTTCGCCTGCGTCTTGGTGGGGGTTGGGCTGGCGGCCTGGGATTCTCCTTCGTACTTGAAGGGGCGGCCGTCCTCCCGGACATGGAGCAGAGAGTACATTCCCCAGCAGGAAAACCTGTTGATGGGACACGCCGCCGCCATGTTCTGGACGTGCGCGACTGTCGGGGGCTTGTCTGTCGCCAGTGACGTGAGTTCATCGGGGGAAGTGCCGGCCAAAAAAAAGCGGAAGCGGTCCTCGGCAGTGACGGTCTCCTCAAGAAGGATGCCTCAGGCGGCACGCTTTGCGACCGCGAGGGATTGCTCAAGGCTTGCCATAAAACGGGTGCGGAGAATGTCCATCTTGGGATGTGGCGGGCTGGACTGGACATGCTGGCTGGCGAGGGGTGCATCTTGCCAAGGCTGGATTTGATCTGAAAGGACTTGTCAGTGACATGGGGGACACCACAAATGTGTATACTCACCTCCTCTGTCGTGCTCTTTAGCAGCCATGTCGCGGCCGCGGCCGCGGAGAACGTTGAGCTTGGATTCCCACGCCGCGACCTGGGCCTCCGTAATGCAGAACGTTGGCTGTTGTCAGCGATCTAACCCTTCTTACCCTAACTCACGACGGCGTTGGTGTACGTTGCACCATCGTCATCCGCCTCCTCTTTGGCCTTGGCCTTGCCCTTGCTGCCGGCCGCCAGGAGTTCCTCGTCGTCGATGGCCTTGAGAAAGGAATAACTGGCCTTCTCTTGGGCCGAGTCCTGCTCGTCGTCGACCTCGCCGCTGTCGCTTTCGTTGTCCTCGTCGGAGAACTCGTCTTCTACGATGGTGTCAGAGTCTACCACGTTTGGGCACAAGGAGGGGCACGTACCAAAATCGGCAATGGCGCACGTGCGGTTCGCCCACTCCTCAAAGTCGTCCTCCGAGTCGTGGTCGTCGTCCGTCTCCGAGTCACCTACGCCGTCCGCCTCCGCGTCAATATCCTCGTTGCCGATACCGTCAAAGAGAGCGGCAATGTCGGCGGCTATGCGGCGCGACTTGGAGGCGCTTGACGTTTCGGGGTTCTGTTCATGTCAATGAATCTTCTCCAAGCCGCCAAGAGTGGGTAACTGCAAAGAAAGGCGGGGAAGGTGAGTGTGGCTCGAACACCACCCTCCAAGCCACCATGCCCAGCCGTCATCACCGCCATGCCTCTCCCAGTTCCGGCTGGTTGAGCCACCAGGAGGAAGGAAAGACAGTGAGGGACGCAACGGAAGACGAGGGAAGGTGGGGAAGACACGACGGAAAGATGACTCACCTGGTCCGAGGCGGCCAGAGTGGGCCAGGAGGAGGCGGACTGGGCCGGCTGCGGCAGTGTCTGTCATCGAGTTGTCCTCAGAAGGGTCCCGGCAAGTGGTGACCACCGCTGCAGTGATGACCATTGACAGTGGTGGCGACTGGCTGAAGAGGAAGACTTACCGGTGCTTGGGCGCTGGACCCAATGGCTCACGACGAGCTGGTGCCGAGGAAGACCAGCAAAGGCAAACGGGTCTGGCGGAGTCAGCTCTTCGCCCTCACCGCTCACCACATGGAATGATTGGCAGTATCGTCGATCCCAGGAGGGCGAAGGTAGGTGGTAATGGAGGCATTACGACGGCTGGGATGCCACACCGACAAGAGGAAGAGAAGAAGGTGGCGTGTGACTCACGGGTTCCTTGCGATTGGGGTGGCCTTGCGGCCAGCCTTGGGGACGGCAACCATCGTCGTCAGTGGAGGTTATGCCCCCGCCGATGTGATCGATGGATGCGTTGTTACCGTTGCCGGAACGCCTATGGAGAGATTGGGGGACGGCGGGGAAGGAGCGGGTAGTCGGGGTGATGGTGGGGGGAGGGTGTGGGATGGGCAGTGTGTGTATGGAGAGGGGGGGGGGGGGGGGGGAGGGAGAGCGTGCTCGATGCCTATGGCACAGGGCAGCAATGCTTGGAGGGGAGAGGGGGAGGGAGGGAGTGGAATGGTGGATGGAAGAGATGGGAGTGAGGAGGATGAGGGAAGTTGTAGGTCAGTAGTAGTAGGAGGGCAGGAGGAAGGCAGCCCGGTATAGCAGTAACACACCAGCCAAAAAGCACTGGCGCACTGGTGCACCACAGGGAGCCGTAGCGCCTGCACTTTGGAACTCTTGCTGGCCCCCGATCGTGTTTGACGATGTGCTCCCCTGTCTCTCGAAGCAGTAGCAGTTGCATCGCTAATTATCGCCACGCTGGGCCAGTGTGACGCATCCCAAGCAGTTCGTTGGCGTTCACTGCTACCACCAGCAAGAACAATGTGCCACACAAAGGCCACAAACCTGGATCTTACCCCAGGAACCACGTTAACGGAGTCAAATTCTGTATCTGCATAACGACCATGCGACCGGACGCTGGTGCTGCTACAGTCTCGATGATACGATGTGACGCGAGCAAGCCCCGGGCATTGGCCCTGTCTCGATCCAAACGGTGCATGCAAGGCGTCCCACAAACCAACTCAAAACATCCAGCACAGGCCATGTCAGCAACCAGCCATTCGAATCCCGGGGGCTTGGAAAGGGTCCACGTTGCCCGTCAACAATCCGTCCCTTTATGCCATCACAGCGCACCTTTCAATTCTCCGTACCTCCGTCTACATCTCCATCCTTTGAGCAGCAAAAGAGTAGTACCAGCTGCCCCCGAGAGGACAACTAGTGAAGCCAAATATGGAGCGAGTGAACCAGCCGAAGCCAGCACAAGACGAGGTCCTTCCCTGAGACTATAAGTCGCTGTGCAATGGGCAAGGAACAAGCCTAACCGGTAGCAAGGTGAGGGCTACTGATCGGTTCAAGCAAGGTAAGTATGAAGACCTTTTTCGGTCAACTCCCCTAAGTACTGACTAGCCCACACGTGAGGCGGCAGTCGATTGCAAAAACCCGAGTTGTCCAGTGATCATGAGTGGAAAGACAAGTGCACAACCGGGTGGGTGGGACGGATGCGCTGAGGCGGGGCAGGAGTGGGCGTTTCTTGTATGCTGGCGGACCTGACCAGTCCTGACGCATGCTCGTTGTGTAGCGGGCGCACATGGCCGGGTGTGAGTGCGGACGGACGGTCGGTGTGTGTACATGTGTGTCGGACCAGACAGATTGTCGCGCAAGTTATCGGCGCCCACTGGCGCGCCACATGTGGCCTTGGTTGAACCCGATGCATCTTCACTCAGCTTCACGCCGCTTCACTCCGCTTCACTCCCTTTGATGGCCCACTGGGAGGTCGGCGAAATGGACATGCGGCCCCTGCGAAAGGTGCTTGCACTGTACCTCACCCGTCAAGGCTTTGAGAATGCCACCCGAGGGCCCATCCTTCCAGAGACCGATCGTTTCCTTGGGCAACGAGGGAAGAGGTGTACAGGGCTTGTCGCTGATGCGCACAATGTCATAAAGACCGTGCTCCATCAGAACCTGATACTGCTTGAAATCCACACAGAGTTCCTGATGCAGCAGCCTCTGTTTCATGATATTCAGTGTTCCAACTTGATCAAGCCGGTTGGACTCGGCCACACTCTGCTGGTGTTTATCCTTGAGCTCTGCCACGATGGCTTCGGCCACCTCGATCTCTTTAGCCAAGGAATCGCCGCGTGCAGTGTGGCAAACGATCAGCTGGGCAATCAGGTTCAGGTCGTGTCTGAGGTCCTCGAGCTGTATGGCGACGGCGTGTCGACGAGTAGGATTGGTTACCATCGCGGCAGGATTGGGCTGAGGGATGAGGATGGGGACGAGCGCTTGCTGCTGAGGGGGGCTCCTTTCCTCCTCCAGCCGCCTGAGAGCGTTGAGCCAGTCACCCATGGTGGTGGTGGCGGGGGATCGTGCAGAGAAATGACATTACAGAGGGGAGTTATACCCGCAGTAATGCTGTCGGGTACCAGTCACTAATGTCATCAAGACGACCCTCTGTTGATGAACGAAAGGAACTAACTTTGCACGCTTCCGGTGCACATGTTTGAGGAGCATGCTTGTAACAGCAGCGGACATGATATAGACTCTCTGTCCTGATCCATGTTTGTTCCATTGTGTATCGAGCGAATCTGTGACACACGACAGGAGTCACAACCGACGTGAAACTGCCAATATGTCAGTGCACAGGTCACCCCCTGATCAGTCCCACACCCGGTCGTCTCTCTGACTGATGCCAACATACCACCATCACATCACTACACAGTGCTTCGGAGGACACTTGCACCTACGAGAAATCCTGGGCAACATCCACCAAGCCTTACGCTCAGCTTTGCGGGCTGCCGCCTCCTCTGCCTCCTCCTTGCACGCGGGGCATTCCAAGTCCCAAGACATGTCCTCCACCTCCTCAACACTCGGGTCCGACCTCCTCTTGAGCTTTATGAAATCCGTAAAGGTATGGCTGTTCTCAAGATGCAACAGCCGCTTGTCGGCAAGGAGCTGGTCTCGTTCGAACTCGAGCTGGCCCCACACCGTCATTGTCTGATCCATCTTGGCCTTGTAGAAGGCAACTTTTTCCTCGCCCCAGTTCCTCTTCCACTCGGTCTTGTGGTCGAACGTGGTCGGCTTCCCAAGAGTCCAGAGGTGATACTGTCCAAGGTCCGAGTCCGTGTCCTCGAGAGCAGCAATGGCGCTTTCGAGCCGCCACTGACAGCGTTTCCGCATTTTCATGTTGACTTGGAGGTGGCGGGCGTATTCTCTGAGATCACTTGCAATGTCATGCCGGCGCGAAGGGTGGTGCGACATGTGGGCGGGGGCCATGGTTATTTCCTCCCTGTCACTCCCCTCGCTTTTCCCCTCACCGATGTCGGTAGCCTCTGTGACCATGGCGGCCTCGTGTTCCATCTTGTGCAGTATTTGGAGCCAGTCGCTCATTGTGAGGGTGAGTTGTGGGTGGGGCGACAGTGGCGTTTGGTGTGAGCAAGCCCGGCACATAAGGCCGTGCCATTGCCACCTTCTGATCCCTAACGGTTCACCAGCTGAAGCAGTGTCATGACCACGCAACGGGGGCCATCAGAGGACCCAGGGGACAGACAGTCTTGTGGCAACAGATCAAAACAACTCTCGTCGTTCGCCACCTGTCGGATCAGCCGCCGTGCTCAACATCAGGCGATTTAGCTCAGTTGGTTAGAGCGTGTGCTTAACACTTGGACTGTCCCACAGTCGAGCGTTGCGCACAAGGTCGGCGGTTCGACCCCGTCAAACGTCACACACGGTCTCTGGAGACATAGCTCAGCTGGGAGAGCGAGCGACTGAAGTTCAGTCATCAGGACTGAGGTGGATCGAAAGGTTCGTCTCGGATCATCGCTAGGTCGGGTGTTCAATCCACTCTGGCTCCAAAACCTGCTCTACAGAGCAAGGGACCATCTCTTTTGCGGTTTGGTTGAGCTGGGCAGCTTGCCGGGGAGGCAGACGAGTGCTGGTGGACGACAAAAGAGGGCATTTGGGAGCCGCTCGGCATTTCGCGGCCGCACTCGCCGGCTAGGTGGCTACCGCCAACGTGTTGGGCAGGCTTGGCGATACACCCCATCTACAACCTCTTCCTCTCCTCCGGCAATGCAAAGCGAGCCGAGCGAACGGTATGGGCAAGATCTGAATGTCTGCAGCATTTATGATGCATTTTTCGGGATTTACACGTTTATCCTCCAGGGGACGGTAATCTCACCGGTCATTGCCGGCGAGTACTCCGGCGAGTACTCCGGCTCGTGCCGCGCAGTCCCGTGCCTGCGAGCCCATCGTCTGCATCTGCTGTTTCCACTTCTTTTGCCCACCAGCTCTCTGCGAGACACTATACTTAGACCACGTAGCGTTGCGCACAGAGCGCCGCAATCCTCGTACCTCTTTCACTTGATTGGATTCGCATCAGGCCGAAGTCCATTTCGGCGCCGATACCGGTGTTGGAGCGACCGTGAAATGCCCGTCATGTCGTTTGCTCGTTGCTCTCTACTTGAACTAGTCTTCATTCCAACGGCAAAGCGCAGCCCGCTGGAGCTGCATCACATGAGATAATGAGTGCATAAGGCTCCACCGGACCGGTTGCCGAGTGGGCTCGCGCGGAGGCCTCGAACACCTTGCAACATTTTCCGTGCGCCCACTTTCGGCCCCACATGTTGTGCCTCAGACGACTCCCCATCTGGTACTGGGGCACCTCAGTCATGTGGCTGTTTCTGGACCGCGCTAAGAGATCAGTCTTGCTTAAAAGGAAGGGGCAAGGTCGATCCCAGGATGCAACTACACCACCCTCTCCCCTGAACAAGACACTACTTCCATTATCAACTACTTCCATTATCAATTACTTCCATTATCAACATGACCGACACGGTCCAACCACAGCTGGAGACAGCCCAGTCTCATGTCGATGAGAAGCTCGCTCAGCCTCAGCTAGAGGAACTCCTCCTCGCCCAGAAGGCCACGGATGGAGAGCACAACATGGGCCTCATCCAGGCTGTCAAGACATACCCCAAGGCTGTGGCGTGGTCCATGGCCATCTCATTTGCCGTGGTCATGGAAGGTGAGTGATGACTGATGAGGCACCGCTGACCCGTCTCAGGGTTTGACGTCATCCTACTCTCCTCGTTCTATGCCTACCCTTCCTTTGTCAAGCGGTTTGGCGTGCTGGCACCCAACGGAACGTACCAGATCCCAGCCCACTGGCAAGTCGCTCTCGGCAACTCCGCCGGGGTGGGCGGCATCATTGGTCTCATCGTAAGCTGCCTCTACTTTTACTCCAAGCTCACGCTCCAGCTCAACGGGTTCATTGCAGAGCGTATCGGATACAAAAAGACGATGATTGGCGGCCTAGTCTACATGCTGGGTGTCATCTTCCTCTTCTTCTTTGCAAAGAACCTCGAGATGCTCCTCGCCGCCGAGATCCTGTGCGGGATTCCCTGGGGTATCTTTCAGACCCTTACGACCTCGTACGCCTCCGAGGTGGTCCCCGTCGCTCTGCGCGGGTACCTCACGACGTGGGTTAACGCGTGCTGGGGCATTGGCCAGCTCATTTCCCTTGCCATGCTCCGTGGTCTCCTGCAGCGCGACGACGACTGGGGGTGGCGTATTCCCTACGCTCTGCAATGGTTTTGGCCAATCCCTTTGCTTGTTATTGCCTTTCTCGCTCCCGAGTCGCCCTGGTGGCTCACCCGTAAGGGGAGGTTGGAGGACGCTCGTCGTTCTCTCGAGCGCCTTACCAGCCCCAACCAACATGCCGACCTGGACGCCGTTGTGGCCATGATGCACCACACTGTCCAACTCGAGCGCGAGACAACTGCTGGCGCCACCTACCTTGACTGTTTCCGCGGCGTCAACCTCCGCAGAACCGAACTCACTTGCATGTCCTGGCTGGTGCAGTCGTACTGCGGCTCGGCGTTCATGGGCTACAGCACCTACTTTCTCCAGCAGGCCGGTCTCTCCACCTCGACGTCGTTTACCTTTTCAATGGTCCAGTACGCCATCAACACCTTTGGCGTTTTCATTGCATGGTTCATCATGGCTGCTGGCGTCGGCCGTCGCTCGCTCTACCTCTACGGCTGCGTTTGGATGTTTTGTGTCTTGATCATCATTGGTGGTGTCTCAACTATCCACTCCAACGGCGCGTCCTGGGCTGTGGGGATCATGCTCCTCATCTGGTCGGTCGCGTACCAGTTCACCGTTGGCACAGTGTGCTACTCGCTCGTGACCGAGTTTGCGTCCCGCCACCTCGCTATCAAGACCATCAGCCTCGGTCGTGGCATGTACTGTGTGGCGGGAATTGTCAATGGAAGCTTTGTAAGTGGACACTTTCTCACGGGTACTCGACTGACAACCAGATGCCGTACATGCTCAACCCCACGGCCTGGAACTGGGGTGGCAAGACTGCGTGAGTTGCAGCTCCGGTTGTGCACATCTTCTCTAGCTGACGACCAGCTTCTTCTGGGCTGGCTTTTGCCTCATCTGCATCGTGTGGATCTACTTCCGCCTTCCCGAGCCCCAGGGATACACCTATGCGGAGATTAGCTATCAGTTTGAGCACCACGTTTCCGCGCGCAAGTTCCACAAGGTCAAGCCCAACCTCTTTGAGAACAACGAGGCCATGGCGGCGGCCGCAATGGAAAAGGATGTGGCTGAGGTGCAGCACATTGACAGGGTCTGAGCTGGTGTCGGGTGTAATTGAAGATCCGGAACGAAGTCGATATTGGTCAAATGCAAAGTGTACTGTACGCAGAGGATTCATCAAGACGCATGTATGAACATATTTTCTGAATTTTGGCCATTTTTTCCATGTAATATTGCGGTGACTTGCAATGGGCCATCTCGTAGCTGGCTGGTACAACGACCTCAACTTGATCACAACAGTCGAAAGTACCCGGGGTCTCATTTGGGCGAACTGCTCAGCCGAGGACGCTTGCTTGCCCTTACGTCCTCCTCCACTGGCTCAAATGTGGCAGCACGGAGCTCGGAAACCAGAGTGCCAAAGTCACAGTCACGGTTGAAGTCGGCCAGGTATTGATCACGTTGAGCTTCCAGCAGCGCGTCCCCAGATTCGCGTTCCTGAAGCTGCTGGTAAAGGTCCTCGCGCTGCGCGACAAGATCCCCCCTGCTTTCGTGAAGATGTTCAACCGATATCGGATTTGCCGCCTGGGCGGCGAGCCGAATGTCAAGATTGCTGATGCGGTCATGGATAAGCCGTTGCTGATTTTCAAGCGACCCAGTTTCCGACCGGCGGAGCAGTGTCTGATGGAAGATACCGGCCATGCGGTTATGATGCGCAAGCCACTTTTGAAGCATCTCCATGAACGCCAAGAACGTTGTCGTGTATCGCTTGTGGTCCTCGTCAAACCGCAACACCAGACGGTCGATCTGCTGTCGCTCTGTCGCAAGGAGCTTTCTCAAATCCTCGACGCCCTTGAGTCCACGGTATGTCTCTGAGCGAAGAGTGTCGAGCTCCTCTAGATCGTTGAGTCGCTGGCGTTCCTGCTGCTCGCGTATTCTGTTCTGGACAGCGTCCCGGCGAGCTAAATTGTGCTCGTTGAGGTCGTACACAAACTCATTGCTGTCCTGGTACGCCCACTCTGGGTGACAGAGGTGGCTTGCGAGGCGCATGGAGGATACGGTGACGACGTAGTGCTTGGCATGTACGAGACGGCCCCGCACCACGATGCCTTCCTTGAGTCCACGGGTGGCGTTGAACTCGTCAATCCGTTGGACAAGTTGCCACTCCATGAGCTTGAGCGAATGAGACGAGACATTCGGGAGGGCGATCGTTGCTGGGCTATCGGGGAAGATGACTCCCGTGCATGGGCTGTATGTGACGGTGTAGTGACCCTTGGCCAGCGCTTCACCAGCGATTGCCGCCTCAAATAGATGAACAGAGGCGGCATGGTGAAACTTGACGGTGACCATGAGGGGTTTCTGGCGTCTGCGCGAAGCCTGGAATTTGAACGGGAGAAACACGTCAACAGTTTCATGCCCGCGATCCATGCAGAGTTTGGCACAAAACAGTCGCGCTTCAGTCTCGGTGAGCTCGTCCGTCTCGTCTTCGCCAGGTGTGAAGGTGAACGTGCCCCAGTTGCGCTTGTCTGCAACCCGGGCGCAGCTCCAGTACGCCTCGTACCCCTTCTCAACCAGGGCTCGGCGCACAGCGTTCATGTCCTTGACGAGGGTGTCGACCGGCTGGTCCCATTTACCAGGCGAGAAGCGGACTCTTGCAGTGGACTCATTCGCACAGTAGGTCTGGGGCTCGCCGCGGAGTACAGTGAGAAACTTGGTCTCAATGTACCCGGCCTGGCCCGGGGCGTAAACTGTATCCGCGCGAGTGTTGATGGCGGCGATGGCAGCTTCCAGTTCCGCCGCAGCGTCATGGCCAGAGTATGACAGTCCAAAGACGTCGAGCTCGATGGACGACTTGGACGGACACTTTGTGTTCGACTTTCTGCAGGGATATGGTGGCTCGGGGTCAATGTCATGGATGGTATCGATGTCTGTGTCTGTGTCGGCGGCAGCTGTCGCCCAACGCGGTGCCGGCGGCGGTGGTGGTTTCGGCTTTGGAGCCATGGCGTGGATGTAGTGGAACCTGCCCAGATTGGCCTTCGAGTCTTCCTTCCGCGCTTCGCTGAGAGGGCTGGGAGCCGCCATAGCGTGTGGTCGAGGGATGTGTTATGGAGTGGTGAGCGGTCGAGTGTCCTGTAATGCTGGAGGCAGCCAGGAGACGGAAGCAGCCGTGCAAGCGGGACCAAGCTGGTGATGCGAGGGGTCGCACCATGATGAGCGTTCTCACGCCCCATGTGCATTACACATGCACGCATGGACGCGAGATCATCGTGTGGCGAATTTCGGTGGCATGATTTTCGCCGATTTTCGGATATTTTCCATCCGTCGTACATTCCACTTTAACGGTCCCACATAGGAGAGGACATCCCCCAGACAAGCAGCTTACGGCTATATCGTATGGAGTATCGATTTATACATATTTTTAGATGCATTGGACCCCTCCAACGGCCAACACGCAGCAACAAATCAATTTTTTCTCCCAAACACCACCAACGGCTACACAGTGCCCGTTGAGAAACATCGTCTTCTTGTTCGTATAACGGTCAGTATGCTCGCTTGTCATCCACATGAGCGCGGGAGATCGGGGTTCGATTCCCCGACAGGAAGTATATAGGAGACGACCAAGAGGTCGTCATCATCTTTTGCCTCTCGCAAGTTCATTTTGGTACCACCTGCATCCCCCGTCCTGCAACGTCTCCCCGATCTATTCCGCAAGATGCGTGCATGACCGCTACCTACTTCTCCATCGCGACAGCCAAGTCCCTCTCGCGGCGGTAGCGCTGCAGCTTTGTCACCGTGTTGCCCAGGGCCTGGGCAATGTACCCGTAGCTGAAGACGACAAAGAAGGCGACGGTGCACGGTGCGGCGACGCGCCAGAAGTAGCTGTCTGGGTTCTCGAGCGAGGGGAACTCTGTAAAGTTCATTCCAAAGTACGAGGCCTGGTGGGTTAGCAAGCACGTATGCGCGAAATGGAATGGAACCCACGATGAACGTCAGCGCTGTGCGGGGTCAGTAATGGGTATCACGACCGGGGGGGGGGACAACACCCACGAAGGAACACGACGGTGACGATGCTGAGACGCTCCATCGAGTTGTTTGTGTGGAACGAAAGCACGTTCTGCAAAAGTGGTTAGTGGTTGCTAGCCTTATGCACCACGTACAAAGACATAGTCGGTCAAGTGGTCACAAGTGCCGACAAACTGTTCCGCCGAGGACACGACCATCTGCTGGGTAAGACAAACATCGGGGGGATCCTACCCACCTCCAAATGGTCAATCACGTCGTTCATGTACACTTTTGCCAAGGGAGAGAAGTATCCGAGCGACTGGTTGACGCCATTCACCAGCGTCGGGGTGGGACATGCCGCTGGTGGGGCGAGGCTCTCACGGCCTGGTGGCGCGGACGGGTCGGCTGATGCGGCGGCCGGTGTCCAGTGGTCTGGGAGATGTCCGTTATGGTGGCCGGGGATGGGGCCCACAATGCCTGCTTGCGGGTTGGCCGGTGCGTTGGTTGGCGTCATGCTCAAAGCCGATGCGGTGGGCGGTGTACCTGTACCTGTCGTGTCGCCAGAACTGTTGCCGCTGGTAGCCATGGACGCGGTGTCACTGACCAGACGAGCACGGCGCGGCAAGGTGAGTGATCCGGCTGCCTGGGCACGCTGTGCATCCTGATCACGCAGGATGTAGCATGCGTGCAGGAGACCTGAGAGCTGGCGCCTGAAGCGGGTGATCTGGGCCTGAATGATGTGCAGACGGCGAACCAGGTTGAGCTGGAGGGTGAGCTAAACGTGACTACGGACACAACTCACCTGGGCCTGGACCAGCACCTTGGACTCTGCATTGAGAATCTCCTCCTCGAACGCCTGCGTAATCTCCACAGCCAGGTCGACGGTGACGTCCAGCAGCGCGTGTGCCAGCATGCTCACATCACCCGAGCGGCGGAGGAGCGAGTGTTCGTCCTCGAGACGCTCGTAGATGGGCTCCAGGGCCTCGTGGATCTCGTGCGCGCACAGCGAAATGAGCGTGCCGTCCTTCATCATGAACACGCTCAGGACGCCCTTGCGAATTGGAACCATGCACGACGCCGAGAGCTGGTCAATAGCGATCCGACTTGCGGCCGTCTGCACGCCCTTCTTTGTCTGTTGTGGGTGAGCTTGGAAATGCGTATGTGGTACCCACATCGTTGGACCGTCCCATGGTGTCCCGCACGCTCGGCTCAAACACCGAGTCGACACCTTCAGGCAGCCTGATCTCTCCGCTGTGCCTCCAAAACGCCCACGGCTTGCGACGACGAGGACCCTCAATGGGAAACTCGTCGTCGTCGGCAATGCTAGACGGCCACTCCGTGTCGTCAAAGCCCTCTGCGGCGCGCGCGAGCGCCAAGCGGTCCGGGGCGTGGATGTGCTGCACGAGGATCTGCAGGTAGAGATGTGTCTTGTAGAAATCACACTTGCTGCGCGGGTTACGGCTGGAGCGCAGGGCGTCCTCGACGGCCAGAGGGTGGAGTCTGCGTTGTGAGCTGGGAGGAAACAATGTCAATGACTTCTAGCTCGACCCACTGGAATTTGATAGTGAGGGTCTTGATGACCTCCCAGTTGAGACCTGCGACGTGGACTGTGTCGTCAGTGTCAGAGCTTCAGATGGAGCAGGAGGCAGCTCAACTCACTCCAGCGCACGCCCATATGCTTTCCATTGACTACCGGCCGCTGCCCAGCACTGCTCGCCAGCCACTGGGCGAGCCGTCCGCCGGGAAAGTCGACGCGGACGTTGGTATCGTCGGCATCGGGGTCGGACGAGTAGTCGACGACCTGGGGGACATCAGCAACGCCGCCGCACACAGGCTGTTATACTCACAGTGACATGTGTCCGGGCCTTGAGGTGGGCATACGTTTCCTGGTCGCGGGCACTGCGCACATCCACACCGGGCTCGTCGCCCGTGTTGCCGACCCCGCTGCCGCTCAGCCAGCGGTATCGCGGCGGTGCGGCCGAGCTCCTCCTCCTCGCTGGCCGCGGGCGGCCGCCAACCCCTCCTCCAACCCCTCCAACCCCGGCACCGCCATTATACCCCGTCGCGCTCGCCGAGTTCCCGCCAAAGCCCATACCGGGGCGGAGGAACGGCGTGTTCTCGTCGTCGTGGAGGTGTGCCCCTGCCATTCGCGCCACCATGGCCGCGCGGCTCGCGCCCTCGTCCTCGTCCTCGCTCTCCTCCTCGCGCAGCGGGGACGCGTACATGGCGGCGCTGGGCGCTCCGCGGCCGCCAAACATGCCCGTCCCGCCGACGCTGATGCCGCCAAACGTCACGCCGATGGGTGGGGCCTCGGGATCGGTCACGCGGTCCTGGACGCGCGCGACGCGCGGCGAGATGGGCCGCGACGCCGAGTGGCCGGTCCCGACTGCGGGGGACGGAGCGGCCGACATGGTCGTGGGCGAGCCGACGAGGATGGGCGTCGGGGGTACTTGGCCCGCCTGCGTTTCGTATAGCGTGAACCGCCGGGCGGCGGCGATGGCCAGCGACGTGCGCCGAAAGTATGGCGCCCCGCCGCGGGGTGGCTGTTGGGCTCCCTGCTCGCCATCGCGGTCCGGCCCACCTGGAGAGATGCTCAGCTGTGGCCGGTCCATCTGTGTGAAGTGAAGGGGTCACTAGGTGGTGGTAAGGTTGGTGTGTGAGAGATGGGGAGGAGGCAAGTACGAAGCTGTCGTGGTGCCTATAGACTCAGTCAACTCGCGCGGGAGATTGTGTCTTGTGCGGGGGTTGCCCAACCTGGCGCAGTGACGTACACCGTCCCAGTGCGGGGCCTTGAGGCCTTGGCGGATTGGGGGCTGCTCAGGCGACCCACTTGTGCGTTCCTGCACATCGTTCTGCATCTCCCCTTTTGCATGGTCTCGTCTGGGACTCTTGAGTGGGTTCTCCCCTGTGCCCCATCCGTGGCTGCCTTGACATATATGCATCAGTGCCGCCTCTGGTCGGGGTTTAGCTGCAGACATGTCGCCAGGGGGGCCCATGTTCTCGCCACTCTGGCCACTGGCGTCCACCACCACTGGCCCCACTGGCCAGCCACTGGCAGAGGTACATACAGTAGGTAAGGACCCCGAACAAGCTCTGTATTCTTTGACCCTGTCGATCCTGTCCCGGCCGCGATCGCCGCGAACTGGATATGAGAACAAGGAGAACACGCTCACAAGCTCACACTCTTATCTCCCTCAGATCCCCTTGTCCCAACTGCTATCTCTTGCCATCTTGCAGTGTACTCCAATGTCACACGACAACTCTACATGCTCAGCCGAGACAGAGACAGATTACGATAGCGCGCCGAGTTACACTTCCGGCCACGCGCCCGTCCATGTGTCAAACCTTGTTCTGCAACGTCTTCGTCTTGTTTGGTGCTTTTTCCTTCAGGACGCATATACATCGTCTCGAGCATGCTATGAATGGCGCGACCAGCGGCCGCAATGAAACAAGCTAGTGTGAATGAACGGGAGGGCAAGGGGGGATTTTGCGGTGGTTGTCGTCACGCAGGCATGCAACGAGTTGAGAGGGTGTTGGGTGTGCAGAAGATGTAAGAAAAAAAATGAAGTTTGGTTGGTTGGGCTGGGGGAGGGAGGCAGTGACAATTGGGCAAGATGAGCGGACATGGGGTGCGGGGGGGAGGGGGTGTAGAGGGCGTGAACTTTTTTGATTATGGTCCGGCAGTGGTTTGGAGTAGTCGGGCTATTGGAATGAGTTGCGTGCGGTCGGGACAGCGTGTGGTGCTGTCCTCGACATGTTTTGTGACAGGGACCCAAAAGGCATATTGGTGCAGGAGCAGTGCAAGGTTTGGTTGCACGGCGGGGGGGTATATGTTGAGGTTGAAAGATGTTTGGTTTTTGCACTTTATGCCGACGTGTTGGAGTTGGCCTGGCCCCATGCGCTTGCTGCGCCGCTGAGCGACCCGAGGCCGTGGTGCGGAATGGCAAACGCATCGAATCCGCCAAAGGCGCCAGACGACGTGTTGCCAGACGACGACGACACCCAGCCCAGCGAGGCCGGGGTACGGATCGGCGACGACACGGGCGAAAAGCCGCCCTGCGCAGCAGTTGCTTGGGCAAAAGTGTTGAACGAGCCATCGGGCATGGCAGATTGGGACTGCACCGAGCTAGACTGCGGCGTCGTTCCCGTGGGTGTCTGGAGCTCGTTACCATAGTAGCGCTGCGAGCGAGGCGAGGTGGGCAGCGGGGCGCTGAACGGCTGAGCCGTAGGCGAAAGCGACGAGGGAATGTCGCTGGGTCGGCGAGGGTCGTTAGCCGACGCGGCCCCCGAAGGCGGACCGATGGGCACAGGCTGAGCGGCGGCCATGGCATAACCACCGGGAGCACCAGGTGCGAGCTGGTTGTTGGCAGGACCCGAAGTCATGCCGGCGAGAGCAACCGTGTGGGCGATACCGCCAAACATCGAGTTGCCCATTCCTTGCTGGTGCGAGTTGCCCCGCTGGCCAAGCGAGTTCTTAGAGTACGAGAGACGGATACCGCCCTTGACAAGACCGTTGAGGGTGTTGCCATAGAGCTCACGCATCGCCTGTGTGGCATAAGGAATGTCCTCAAACTCGACAAAGCACATTGGGCCGTTGATCTTTTGGCGGAACGACATGCGCTTGAAGCCGGGTCGGCGGTGGAACAGCGCCCGCAGCGATTCCTCGAGGAAATTAGGAGGATGGGTCGGGGGCGAAATAGCGGGCAGGTTCCCGATGTAGAGGGTGTTGATCGGTGGGTTCTGGTCGGCGGGGTTCATGTTTCCAATACCCAAGCTGCGCGGGTCCACACTGCCGTCTTGGCTACCGCCAAACGAAAGGCCGGCCGAAGAAAATCCGGGCTGGTTGTAGTAGCCACTCATGCCCGCGTGCGGCGACATGCCCGGAGCGTTGGGAGCGGTGCCGCCGCGCGACGAGCCAGAAGTAGAGGTCGAGTAGTCGAGTGGCATTCCGGCCATGCCGACAGATCCAACCGACCAACCCTCGAGCTCATCAGCCTCTTCAGCAAGCGCCAGGAGCGCCTTGCTGTCGGTGGGACGAGCGGTGGGCGACTTGACGGACAAGGGGGGAGAGCCCGAGGTGTTCGAGTTGGCCGAACCAGTCGTGGGTTGAGGAGCCACCAGGTTGTTGTCAACCTTGGGCTCGGCGGGCGCGGCTGCAGGAGCAGGCCAAGCGTCCCAAGCCTCCTTTGCGGATTGGGCAGCGCCAGCATGCGGAGGTGGCGCGCCACCAGCCTGGCCGGGCACGAGCCCCGCGGCTGCTGAGAGTGCCTGCACCTGGGCCTGCTGGTTGACGAGCTGCGACAGCCGACCAGAGCGGAGGAGCATGCCCACTAGGTCGTCACCGCCAGGACCGCGCTTGGTGTGCAGGTTCTTCTTGGCCATCTCCGCCTTGAGCGTTGCGCCAGTAAGCGTGTCGATACGACGACCCTGGAGGTGGTCGCGGGCAGCGAGCGCGTCGCCGCGCGTCTTGAAGCGCGCAAAGCCAATGGTCTGGCGACGGGGAGGGACAGAGGGAGGAATAGCGGTGGCACCAAGAGTGGCGCCAGTGGGTGCAGAGGGTGTTAATGACATGGCGGCAGACGGAGTGTTGGACGCAGTGGACGACTGGGTGCCAAAGTTCATGTTGGCAAACGGTTCGTCAATGTTCTGGTCGGTGTGCTCGGGGCTCATCATCGGGACACCCATGTTGCCCTGGTTTGCCGCCAGCTGCTGCAGCTCTGCAAGCAACTGGGCCGCGGCCGCTGGCTCACGGCGAGCAGATCCCGACGGAAACTTGAGTGTCGCCGCTTCAAAGCCGGGCGCAAACGTAAAGATGTTTTGAAACTCGCGCTCCTGTTAAAGGGCGTTAGTGTTATGACTTGGAAAACAAATGGCACCCCCCCGGCTTTAAAAACAAAAACAAAACTCACGCTCATGTCGTCTGGGAAGCCGACGACAAAAATGGTGCTGATAACCTCTTCGTCCTCGCGCTCGCGACCTTCATCCTCGCGATGGCGCTCCCTCCTGCGGTCGCGCGGCTCGCCGGGCTGCGACTGCGTGCGGCCGGTGGGGGCGCCGTTGGGTCCGTTGGGTCCGTTGGGCCCGTTGGGTCCGCCAATAGGGCCAGCACCGGGCGTCGATGTCATAGATTGACGCGATCCGGGGCCGTATGCCTCGAGCGGGTTGGGAGGGAGCTGATGTGTGAGGTGGCCGTTTGGCGCACCACCGCGAGGGTAGCCCTGTGGGCCATACGCGGGGCCACCGGGGGGACCAGGACGCCATCCTGGCCCCCAGACTGATGCAGGCTGGCCACCCGCCAGCGACAGCGAGTGGATCGGGTCGGGAGCCATGGCGTGCTGAGCCGGGGGGATGTAGGATGGCGCGTGAGGAGGCGGCGACGCGGTGACCTGAGGCAGGAAGGCGGCGTGTTGAAAACCAGCCGCTTGCTGCTGGGGTGTTTGTTGCGCGTCCGGCGCGTACACGTCGGACGACGCGTCCGAGGTCGGCGCACCGTCTCCGGGCGGGCCAATCGACTGACTAGCGTTGGACGGAGAGGTGGATGACGCGTTGCCGTACGCGGCAATGGACGAAAAGGACTGGGGCTTGTTCTGGGACGAGCCCGAAGATGGTGTAGGGGAGGGGAGTGAAGACGGTGGAGTGGTCATGGCGGCTTGTTATGGCCGTGGCTATGCAGTAGTGTTGCTATATTGCTTGTACGCGACGCGTAGTGGCGGCCACGGGGTGGATGCGGGGTGGATGCAGTGGATGTGTTGAACAGAGGTCGTAATCAAGATGGTCGGCGGTGTGGGGGGGGGGGCGGGCGACAAGATCGATCGATAGCGCAAGCGTCGCGTTTGGGACGACCCGCGTTTTGCTATACCGATTGGGCGCGGGTGGGGTGGATGTCCGCAAGCGTCGTGTCCGTACGCAGACGTTCTAGTTCCCGCTGTTTGCCTAATGCCTATACGCTGGAGATGTGATGTTGATCTCCCGTTCGGTTGACTACTCTTTCCGCTCTCTCTCTCTCGACGCGCGCACGGTGACGCCTTTGGATCGCGTGGAAGAGGATTCTCACGAGGCGTGTCGTTGGAGTTGGGAACGCCTAGTGGTGCAAGGTCGTGCGGATCGCTAGACGTGTCGTGTAGGGTGGTGCAAGGGATGTGTGAGTGACAAGACGCGTGGATGGATGAGAGACGAGGGGGGTATGTTGGAATCGGCGGGTGGATGGACAGGAGCGGCGGTGCCGAGGCGTCCGTGCAGTTGACAGCGCGGCGTGTGGTCGCGATGTCGAGTACTGGGGGGAGGGAGGGGGGGTAGGTGATGCGTTGTGGGGAGGGGGGAGGGAGGAGGAGGGAGGGGGGGGATGTGGGATGTTTAGGTTGTGGAGATGCGATGGGAGTAAAGGAGCAAGGTCGAGGTGGTGGGATGGAATAGACAAGGGGTAGTAATGAGGGGACACGGGGGGTGGGGGGGGGGGATTGTGTGAAGGGTTGTGCTTGCATGTTGATGCGACCCATGCAGAGTGGCGAGGCGCGGCTTTGGCAGGGGGGAGGGGGGCAGAGGGGGCGGCCAGGCAGGCGGGCGGGCGGGCTGGCAGGCGGGCTGGACAGGCGGGGCTCACCACTCTCTCATCTTGTCCCTCCCTCCCCTTTCTCTCTCTCTTGCCCCTTTTGCCGCCCGCCCACACACCTGCACACCGCGCGCACTCGTTGGCGCGCGGCAACAGCGCAACGGGTCCAACGGGCCAACAGGTGCAACCACACGACTACCTGCTGCTGCACCTGGCCCACCTGCGGCCACCTGGGCCATTCCGCCCACCTACCCCCCCGCCTGCGGCAAGCTGCACGCGCTGGCCCTTCGTTTGCGATCAAGGGTCGTCCCCCCCCCCCTCCCCTACCCGCGGCGATATCTCCGTGTCTCCGGCATTTCAGTCGTGTGGCACAGCGTGTGCCCACCGCCGGATGCGGGGTCTCCAGGTCTGCCTCTCTCACGGCCTTCCCTCCTATACCTCCTGGCTCCTCGATGCATCCATCGTCTTGGTTAGTGCAGCTCATGGACAACAGGCATAGCTCCTGGGGAGAGCCATGCCACAAGGCGACGACCGTGTCCAGTTTCGGCGTGTCTCGGATGAAAAATGACTCGCCCATTAGCCAAACGCAACAAACATACACACACACACACACACACACATGCAGTCACTGCAGGCAAATAAGGATGCCAGGTGCGTCATCCTGTCGCTCGACTGGAAGACGTACCATGTGCCCAAGCTAATCGAAGCTGAGAAACAGGCCAAGAACCTGCAGGCGATACCTGGTGACCGACCTCCCTGTTGTCTGCCCAGCACGTTGTAAAGAGGCGGCAGCTCGAGGTCGGGGGCGAGTCGATTACCAAAGGTCAACTGAGTGATCTCAACGTTCGCCTTTGCCTGCTCACATGCTCCTCGCGCTCTCACAATGAACGGGACAATGACCGCACAGGTGTCGGTGACAATGTGGCGCCTTGTACAAAAGCGTGTACTTTATATCACTCTGTTCGTCAAGGTCCGTCTATACCCTGCAAATGACGCGGCACGGAGATGCCGGTGGCCGGTGGCGCGGCGGGGCTGGCCGGAAAGTGTGTCCTTTCTGTCCAGGCTCCGAGTGCCTGCCAACACGAGCAACGAAAGTCGACAAGTTAATTTCGACTCGTACACACACAAACGTTCGCCCAGTGTACATCTTCCAACATCTGCTGAAACCTTCAGTTTGACTTGCCCGCCGCCCTCACCCGCGTCTTGTTTATAGCGATCATCTCCCCTTTGTGATCTTATCCTTGCTCCCAAGCATCTCCAGCACCATGACCACCCAGGCTCCCCTCAAGGCATCGCCCCTCTACTTCTCGCCCATCTCCCCTTCGCACAACGTTGCCCCTGGCAAGGAGGGCTATGGACGCTACATGCTCACCGTGAGTATACCATATGCATGCACACTCGCTCACTCTGCAGATCCCCTGGAGCCGCACTTCCGGCTGGGGCCAGGCCAAGATCAGCCCTCGTGCCGACCTTTCGTTCGACCCCCTTGCCGGTGTCCTCCAGTAGTACGTCACTTTAAACACACCACAGTACCAGTTGTTGACAAGCGTACAGCGCCACTACTTGCTTTGAGGGCATGAAGTGCTACAAGGACGAGGCTGGTATGTGTATAGGGACTCTTCCACACATTTGTGTTTGTTGTGTGTGGCTCATCTAACACGCGCTACAGGTGACCTCCGTCTCTTCCGCCCCAACCTCAACTTTGACCGCCTGAAGCGCTCGGGTGCCCGTCTCGGTCTTCCCGTAAGCACATGGGACGCAGCCCGTCCCTCCCCGTCGGTAGGCTAACCCCGTTGTTATAGGCCGAGTGGGACAACGCCGAGCTCCTCGACCTCTTCTCCAAGCTCCTCTACCTCGAGACCGACCTCGTACCCCAGGCCGACGGCCAGAACCTCTACATCCGTCCTACCCTCCTCGAGACCTCGGAGTCGTTTGGCATCAAGGAGGACGCCTTTGCTTCGGAGGCTCTCCTCTACGTCGTCACCTCGGTCAACCTTGGTGCCGGTCTCTACGCCTCGGCCGAGGGCAAGGGTCTCCGCCTCGACGCCTGCAGCGAGTTCATCCGCGCCTGGCCCGGAGGCACCGGTAGCTACAAGCTCGGCGCCAACTACGGTACCGTCTCGGTCGCCAAGAAGCCCGGATTCGCCATGTCGCTCTGGCTCCACGGTGCCGAGGACTTTGTGTCCGAGGCCGGTGCCATGAACATCTGGATCATCAAGGAGGCCAAGGACGGCGGTGAGTCGCGGCTATCGCGAAAGATATTGTGATGAGCTTCCAGCTGACACGAATTCCCAGTCCTCGAGTTCGTCACCATGTCCCTCGACAACGGTATCGTTCTTCCCGGCGTTACCCGTGCCTCGATCATCCAGCTCCTCGAGGACCACGCCTCGGGCAAGGCCGAGTTCCCCCTCCCTGGCATGCCCAAGAACATCCGCGTCGTCCAGCGCGACATTCCCATGGCCGAGATCGTCGAGGGTACCAAGGACGGCTCGCTCAAGGGGTGAGTTGTTTGGTGGAAGTGGCACTTTTTTTTTGTTCCCCGGTGCCACTTTCTTTCCACTTTCTAACACAACACCTCCTCGCTTCACCTGCTAACGACCTCAGAATGTTCGGCTGCGGAACAGGAGTTGTCGTTGTACAGGTGGCCGAAATCCAGTACAAGAACGAGCTCTACCAGATCCCCGCCAACCCCGCCATCAAGCTCCTCCGTGACACCATGACCGCCGTCCAGCGCGGCGCGATTGCCCACGAGGACTGGTCGTATGTCATCCCCGCGTGGGAGGCCGGCTCGGCCCAGGAGCACGATGTCGACGGCCAGAAGGTCGTTGCCTAAGGGCAAACGTTTTGGGAAGAAGGATGTCAATAAAACCACATACAACACACACATCACATGCAGACAATAGAAATCATTCACATTCCTGGGGGGTTTGCGCATTTGCCCTGTGGCACGCGGCGTCCAGACGGGGGTACGAGGCCCATGCACGTCGCCGCCATTGTCATCACTAACGCCTTCATATGTGAAAGAGTGGCTACACCACAACCAGATAAGAGTCGGTGAGGGCTGTCAATGGCTGTTGTCGCTTGTTTGCTTTGGAGCGCGTCGTGTGCCAAGAGAGCGGGGGCAACGGGCGAGGCCCGGCCGAAACGATGGTTCCGCCAGCCACCCAATGTCACACTTTTGTGCGCACCACGACCAGCATCACAGCTTACAGCTTGTACACTATGCAATGGCGGGCCTCGTTCCATTCCAGAGGCTAATTGTAATGTTAGGGAGACATGGGTGGTGCAAGGGGCGATACAACGGCGGGTTGGCACCTGTCTCTGGTCGTCCGCCACGAATTGACCAGCGGAACCAACTCCACGTGTGGAGGTGTCTGTCTCAAGGCACACCGCCCAGAGTACTTTGCTGATGGCCTCTGTTGTTCGTCGCCCCCTCCCCCACACGTCCGACGTCCACAGTCTGTTGCACCCAATCCCCCCCATCAGACCTGTACATCACACAGCCGAGAGCGTGTTTGGACCATCTACTGCAACCACACCCACGCAATTGTACTATCCCTCCCCGGCCAACTCGCTCCGTGAGCTCTACAACTCGTCAACCACGCACCCGTCGCGCCGCCTACCGCCGCCTTCTCTGCCTCCCCCCACTACCCATCTACCCCTCGCAGCCAGACGCCGCCCATCTTCCAGTGACAAGCAGTGTCATGTCCGGTTACGAGTTAGTCGTGGCTCACAGCGTCCATCGTCAATTCACGCGTTTAGCTAACCCTCCCCAGTCAAGGCGACATGAAGATGCTTGGTGTGACGCCGCCGATCTCGACGGACCCGCCCAAGGACACCGACATCAAGTCGAGCGATGGTAGGTTGCTGGTCTGGCCCCGCGCATGGTGTTGCCCGAGCCTCACTGATGGCAACGTGCTATAGCTCTCATGGAGGACCTCGTCGCGCTCAGGCAGTTTGAGTCTGACCAGGAACGTAAAGTTCGGTACGTATGGCTGCGGACGCCTCGGCGTACTCGTGTGATGAGCGTTCGTTTCGGTGCTGACAGTGATCGCAAGTGAGAAGCTGCTGTCCAGCATCGCCGCGCTCGTGACCAAGTTTGTCCACGACGTGTCGATCAAGAACGGCCTCTCTGAAAAGGTCGCCACCGAGGCGGGTGGACGCATCTACACCTCGGGCTCGTACCGGTGAGTTCTAGTGATGCAGCTGCGTTTCGCAAACCATGACTGACAGCCGCCGCCCAGACTTGGTGTCCACGGCCCCGGCTCTGATATCGATACCATCTGCGTCTGTCCTCGACACATTTACCGCGAGGACTTCTTTGGGACGTTCCAGCAGATGCTCCGTGACTGGCCGGCCGTCACCCAGATCTCGGTACGTCCGGCACTGGCTGAGCCTGCCCCCCTGTTTCAAGCTGACCATCCATCAGGCTGTCGAGAGCGCGTTCGTGCCCGTCATCAAGACCGTCATCTCTGGCGTGGAGGTCGATCTGCTGTTCGCCCGCGTCAACCACCCCGAGGCTGGCGACAAGCTCGACATTGAAAAGGACGACATTCTCCGCGGCGTCGACGATGCCTCGCAGAGGAGTCTGAACGGTAGGTGCTTGGTTCAGCAAGCCCAAGTGCTGATGGCAAGGTCCTCGTGTCACAGACATGATCCTTAACCTCGTCCCCGACGTGCACACCTTCCGCACAGCACTCCGCGCCATTAGGTTGTGGGCCAAAAGTGAGTACCGTGGTGGCCATCTATTTCTTCACCATGCGCTAACGGTCACGCAGAGCGAGGAATCTACTCCAACGTTCTCGGTTACCCTGGTGGCGTTGCCTGGGGTCTCCTCACGGCGCGTATCTGCCAACTGTACCCGAACGCGGCGCCCTCCGTCATCGTGTCAAAGTTCTTCCCCATCTATTACCAATGGTGAGCTTTGCGCTCCGCAGCACTAGCTAACAAGAAGGGGCTGGCCCCAGCCGGTTCTGCTCAAGCGCATTGACGCCGGTCCCCCCAACATGACCCACCACGTCTGGAACCCCAAGGTACGGCTCCTTTTTATGACTAACGTTGACACCCTCTAGACCGACCGCCGAGACATGGCCCACCGCATGCCTGTCATCACCCCGGCGTACCCGTCAATGTGCTCGACCCACAACATCACCGCGTCGACCATGACCATTGTCAAGAACGAAATGCTGAGGGGTAAGCTTATCCTTGCGCACACAAGCTGACATGGAAGCGATGCAGATCACCGATAAGATTGTCAACAACCCGGGCTCGTCGTGGAAGGAGCTCTTCGAGCCCGTCGACTTCTTCAGCATGTACCGAACATATGTCCAGGTCGTCGCTGCGGCCGGGACCTCGGAGGGCATCAAGGACTGGAGCGGCATGGTCGAGTCGCGTATCAGGACACTGGTCCAGGACCTGGAGATGACCGACAACGTCCTCCTTGCCCACCCTCAGGCGCACAGCATCTCCAACGAGTTTATCTGTCTGACCGACGAGGAGCAGGCGGCAGCGTCGCAGGGCGAGCTCAGCGTGGAGGCTATGCAGCGCAAGGAAGAGGACTTTGCGGGTCAGGACTACAAGAAGGTGTACACCAAGAACTTCTTTATCGGTCTCGACATTGAGAGGAAGCCCAGTACGTGGTTGCGCCCGCTTGTACGACGTTTGCTGACCGCGTCTGTGCAGAGGACAGCCAGGGTGGCCGCGTGCTCAACCTCTTCTACCCAAGTAAGCGGTTCTGCTCGGGCTGCCAGGGTTGGGACAAGTACGACGAGCAGGAGATGAGCGTCATTCTCCGCCCGGCCAGGAGGTGAGCTGTTTGATGTTTTCCACACGAAGCTAACCAGCAGATCCGAGCTGCCGTTTTATTGTTTTCCAGACGGCCAGCCCAAGCCCAAGAAGAAAGGGAAACGGGCACAGGAAAAGGTAAGCTTGTCACTCCTGGACTCAGCTGACCCACAGCCAACCGAGTCCGCCGGCGAGACGTCTGACAGCCACGGCCCCAGCAAGCGCTCCAAGTCGGACGTGGGAGGACCCGAGGACGGCGTACAGTCACCAGCAGCCAACGGTACCCCCGCCGACCAGCACGCACCTCTACCTGGACTCAACGGCGCACCGGTCGAGCAACAGGCGGTCCTCTCGGGCGCCAACTGAGCTTGCTGCCCATGACGCCTGGCTCCAGCCTTGCTGACCTCCCCACTTCCTCTCCCCACCTCCTCCAGCCTCCTCACCCCACCCGCCAAATACAACCTCCCTCCCGCTCCTCACTTTGATATTGTCTCCATATAGCATTCCCAGCCGACATCGATCATCACCTGCGAGCTGTACCATAGTTCAGCTGAAATAAATCACAAAAAACACACACGCCATCCCGACGAAAACGTCCCCTTTTAACAGAAATCAATGCATTATCATATGGCGGTGCGTCTTGGTGAGCCGCTGACGCCGTACAGGTCGGCTTCCTTGGCGGCAGTGGACCTTCCTTCCTTCCTCGGCTGACTCATCTTCCTTCCTTTCCTCTTTCCTCTCACCCACCACCTCCTTCCCAACATACACTCACCATGCCCAGTCTCAGCAACCACTCACGCGCGCTACAACGCAACAAGCGCTCATCCTCTGCCCTCTCAGACATTGACGATCGTGCTTCCCCCACACCGACGCCCCGCATCAGCGCCCGTCCCCGCGCCTCTTCCTCCTCCCAGACCAACCACACACAGCCGCACGCTCGCGCCCGGTGGGTCGAAGAGGGCACCGCCATCCTCCCACCAACCTCTCCATACCCCCACCCCGGTGCATCTCCAGCACCAGCTCCGACGGCAGGCCCGTCGCGCACGACCTCGGAGCGTAACTCTGCTTCGCACCTCCCAACGCCGCCGTCTGGAACGTATGTCGTGGGCGAGGGAGAAGGGAGCGACGACGAAGACAACTTTGGACCCAAGGTGAGGTCTCGATTACCGGTTGTCTCTCTAACCTCGTCAGGTCCTCGCGTTCCATGCTCCTGGCCAGAACAACCTCGCGGCTGCCTACTATGACCCAGCCACACGCAAGCTCCAGGTTCTAGAGGACACGAAGGATACCTGGGGATGGGACCTCGCCACCCTATGTAAGTGCAGTTGTCAACAGCAAGTGTTTGCAAACTGACGTTCCCAGTGGTGGAGCAGCTCCAGCCCGACGAAGTGGTGCTGAGCACCAGCGCGCCCGCCACTCTTGCCACGATGGCACAGGACTACTGTGAGGTCTCAAATGCCCGATCTACCGTCTGACCTCGGACATAGGCTCTGCCCACCCCTCGGCCAACATCGTCACCCTGCCTGCAAACCACTTTGCGCACACGATGGCGACGTACCACCTCGCCTCGGTCCGCCTGCCGCGTGACTTGCGCGCCACCGTCCCGCTAGCCACCGCGACCACGTCCCGCACGGCCGCCATGACCTGGTCCGATTCCGGTCGCGGAGGTCCAAGACCCGGTGGCAGGGGCGCGGCGCCGACGTCGGCTGCAGCGGACGAGGAGGGCGACGAGGATGAGTACCCCGGCGAGGACGGGGCGGGAATGGGCGAGGTTCGCCTGTCGCTGCTCAAGCTGGGCTGTCGAGTCAATGTCGATGCCCCCATGGCCGTGAGTTCAAACCACGTGGAACACTTAGACGGTGTAGCTGACTGCTCCTAGGTGTGTACGGCTGGAGCGCTCCTCAGCCACCTTGTGCGCACCCAGTCCCTAGACATTATGCCCGGCAACGAGGCGGCGTTTGACCTGGACGGTATTGAGAGTATGGACCTGTGAGTGCTGGTTCTGGGACCTCGGCTGACGACGTAGCGAGGAGCACATGCTCATCAACCAAGATGCCTTGACGTAGGTATGTGTGCCTCGACTGAGTCCTAACCCACACAGCTCGCTGGCGGTGTTTGACGTCGAGGCCCATGCCTTCATGCACTCCAGTGCACAGAAGCCTGGCCTGTCTCTGAACAGTGAGTTGAACAATTGGTGGATTTCAGCTCACACGCAGGCGTGATCAACACGACCGTCACCCCGCTCGGCCGCAAGCTCTTCCACACGTGGCTCCTCCGCCCTCTCATTAACATTGACCGCATCAACGCGCGCCTCGACGCAGTCCAGCTTCTCTCCTCCAAGGAGTATACCGAGCCCCGGAAGCAGACCAAGAAGGAGCTCAAGGGGTTCAAAAACGTCGTGGCTCTGTGCCAAAAGATCAAGAGTGGCAGGGCCAGCTACAAGGACTGGCAAGGGGTCGTGGATGTGGGTAGCCTGTTTACACCTTGGTCTGACCCACCGCTACAGGCACTGTCTGCTGTCATCGCCATCAAAGACTCTCTCGGCGTGATGAGGCTACGTGGCCGTGCCGAGGTGGTTGAGAAGGTGAGGTGAAAAATGCGGTCCGCCCTGACCAGCTCTCAGCTTCACCATGCGTTTACCGACAAGGTCCATCGATATCTCATGGATACAATCGCACTGGTAAGCTGACACACCCATAGTAGGAAAGCTGATCTCAGATTGACTGGGACATGTCGCGCGACGAGGGCCGTGTCTGCATCCGCAGCCAGATTGACGACGAGCTTGACCAGTGGCGCGAAGACTATGCCCGCCTGGAACCCCTGCTCGTGAGTCGGGAGGTACTGCTACCAAACTGAGCCCAGAACCAAATGTCCCGTGTCATGGCGCAGCGTATCCCGCCCAACATCTGCGAGCACCTCAACGTGCTCTACCTGCCCCAGCTGGGCTGTCTGGTGGCGGCGCATGCAGTGAATGACCCAGGCTCGATTCCGGCCGAGTGGGAGCAGCAGGTGAGTACGATGCTGCAACAATGCTGACGACCCAAGTTCAACACGGACGAGGTGACCTACTTCAAGACACCCGAGATGCACAACCTGGACGAGCACTATGGAGATCTCCAGAACGTGATCATTGGTGAGCGCAAGAACAACACCAAGGGCTAATCGGCACAGACCGGGAGATTGAATGGGTCCAGCGTCTAGCTGAACGCCTAGAGGACGTCGAGGAGGACATTCTGGCTCTTGGGGACGCCGTTGCCGAGCTGGACTGGTGAGCTTATCTTTCCTCCACGTAGCTGACAGCAGCCTCATCGCCTTTGCCGAAGCTGTTGACCGTTTCGACCTCCGCCGTCCCGTCACCAAGGAGCAACCCGTCCTCAAGATTCGCAAGGGCTTCCACCCGCTACACGCAATGTGTGTTCCAACCGAACAGTACATTGACAACGACACGGTCCTCGAGGGAGGCGGTGATGGAGACCACAGCAGCATGGTGAGCTCAACCTCCGTCACCACACCAATCTGAGCTCATGACAGATTGTCGTCACAGGCCCCAATGGCTCTGGCAAGTCGGCATATGGCAAACAGGTCGCCCTCATCACGTTCATGGCCCACATTGGCTGCTTTGTTCCTGCCGAGAGCGCTGAGATTGGCATCTGCGATAAGAGTGAGTACCGGGGAGCCGGCACATGTCGCTGACTCTAGTCTTCACTCGTGTCCAGACCCGCGAATCTGCCTCCAAGGTGAGCTAGAGGGTTGTATGCCGCTGAGCTGACATCAGACCGGCTCGGCATTCATGATCGACCTCAGCCAGGTCTCTCAAGCGCTCCGTGGTGCCACCTCCCGATCGCTTCTGATTCTGGACGAGTTTGGCAAGGGTGGGTGAGGAAATGGTTAGGGAACCTGACCCCGCAGGAACCATGTCCAGTGACGGAGCAGGTCTGCTCGCTGGCGTCATCACCTTTCTGCTCAAGGGACCAGGCCCCCGTACCGTCGTGTTGACACACTTTCAGTGGGTGCACCCCCCGACAGGAGTTACTGACCCAAACAGTGAACTCTTTGCACAGCAGTTCCTCGACGAGTCCATGCCCATCATTTTCTGCCACATGCAGAGTTTGCTGGTCGAGGACACCAACCGCCTCACCTATCTCTTCAAGTTGGTCCTTGGTTCGGCGCACCCGTATGTAAGCTAACCAAACAGACTTATGCCCACGGTATGCATGACTTCCAACGCCGCCGAGTGTGCCCTTAACAACGGTATCCCCGAGGACATTGTCGAGCACGCGCGCAAAGTCAGGTGGGTTGTTCACTCCATCTCAACGTTTCAGTGCATTAACGCACCCCAGCGACTACCTGTCAAAGTTCCAAATCACCAAGCTCATCGACGCGCAACTGACCGACGAGGACCTCGACGACCTGCATTCCGCCGAGGAGCTGGCCAAGCGCTTCCTCTGCTGGAACTTTGACGAGGAGAACGACGTGCTTGACGAGCTGGACCGCCTGGTCGAGGGCCAAGAGACGGAGGAGGAAGAGGTTCTGCGTCCCGGCGAGGGAGGACTTGGTGTGGCGGCTGTGGAGATGATGCAGCTGCAGGATATCCGGGAGGTGGATGAGAGCCTTGTGGAGGACACGGACGACTACTGAACGTGGGTCTGTAGGATACTCATGGTATAGCATTGTCTTCCTTCTTCCTATACATCTTTCAGTTTCCGCTTACAGCTTCCTCTTCCATACAACAAGCCTCTCACCGCCTGGAGGCGTGTTGACGCGCTTCTGCTCCTCGGGCACATCCTTGGACCAAACGACTTCCCAGTCCTTGCCCAAGTGCTGCACGTACTCGTCCTCTGTCAGGCTGAAGGGCGGACCAAACGGGGGCGGGTTGCCGTTGAGCGGGTACTGGAGGGTAACCAGGCGCGTTCCGGGGGCAGCGCGGGAGATGGTGGTCATGCGCTGACCCCACTGGGCCCGGAGGGTCGGGGGAAGGGCACAGAGGAAGCTAGCAAACGAGTCTTAGCCAGCGTACCAGCGCACAGGTTGCGAGGGCGAGCACACTCACGTGTAGTCATAAATCAAATCATAGCCCTCGCCATGGTTAAACTTGAAGAAGTCGCCCTCGACGACCTTGGCAGACGCCTTGCGGGGCGCCTTGTCGTTCTCGGCCTCGAGCCACTTGTTCGCACTGACGACACCGGTCGGTGCGACGTCCAGACCAGTCGCGTCGAGACCACGGCGGGCGAACAGGTCGACATCGTAGCCCTGGATGAGATGATGTGTCAGCGATGGTCGAGCTGAAGGGGCATGTGATGGTCCAGCTCGTCTTCCAGTAGACAACTGGACTGCTTACTGCACTCACCTGTCCACAGCCGGGGACAAACGCCTTTCCTTCCCTCGCAACGCCTACGGTATCGCTCTCGGGCGAGTTGAGGAAGCCGACAAGGGTAGGATGGGACTTGGACTGGTCCCAGCCGGTCGCGCCAGTTTCCCTGTGGACGTGGTCAGCACAGATCAAGAGGACAGAAACACAGAAGGCAGAAAGGATGAGCCGTGCCGAGGTGATCACCAGGGCGTGACACCTCGTGTTGCCTCGCCAACATGGTTGTTCAGACGCTTCCCTCTTGCCCACCGCCCAGCGACGACTCACCAGCGCTTCTCCCACATGGCTGCACTCTGTCAGCCCCATCTCCGCCACTAAGCATGCACGTACCAGGGTAGTTTTCAACGTCGGTGGGTTTGATCTCCTCGCTCATTGTGGTGCAAGTTGGCCAGACTGATGATAGAAGAGGAAAAAGCAAAAGAGCAATAGAGCAATAGCAACTGGACGGTTAGGTCGAGTAAATGTCCTTGGCGGCTATGACGTCGAAGTCGGCGACAGGCGGCCCTGGCGGCGCGCGATGTCGGTCCTCCCGCGACCACGTTCGCCTAATTGGGGATTGCTTTGTAACGCTGTAGTGGACGGCATTGCGTGCAAGCTGACGAGGTATGAAATCTAGTTGGTGCTGAAGCCAAGCCGAGCTGTAAGTGAGAAGCGTGAACTTACGAGGGTAGTGTCGGCACAAGACCCAAAGTGGTCTGAAAACGCTGCTGTTCCCTAATAGCAGCAGGCCTTAGGACAATAAGCACCCAAAGTTGTTGTGACCTGGAACTTCCAAGTGCAACACATACATGATGCCCGAGCACCACCAGAGCTACATGCAGGGGGTCTCATCAGGTGAGAGAGACCAGGTTGTTCGTGTTTTGAAGGACAAGGAGCACCTCGCGATTCAACCAGGCCATGCTGTCTGTCGGCCGAGCTGACACGTGATGACACCAGACACGGTCACGCGGCATTGGTGTGTTCTGCGCCTCGCTATGTCCTACTCAGGCGTGCACTTGTTGACAGCAGCACGCACTTGGTATGAGGCGCCCAGTGGCCGTCTACCGCGTGTACGGGGTGAAGCTCTCACAACCCTCTAAAACTCTCGCCTACGGGTGTCAGTCAATGGTCCTAGGTCCAGTTTTGGAGCACCTCACCGCCTCGACAGAAAGACACTGGCGGGTTAGCAAACAGTGGCGATCACGGCAACGGGGCTGAGACTTGTCGACCGAGCGGTGGCAGGCCCTTGGTGCTACGGAGCTCGTTGATCTCGGCCAGCTGCTGCTGCACGAGAAAGTCTCCGGAGGGCGCGTACACGTCACTCGAGGTCAGCAGTACCCTGCCATGTCGTCGACTCACACGTGCCATCCAAGGAGGTCCACGTCCTGGTCCGACGAGTCAAGTGCACACGCATCGTCCGGATCAAATAATTGTACCATGGCGTCCCACGGCGTGTCGAGGTCGCGGTCGATGTCGCTGCCCTCGACTCGCATCTCGACATGGTGGATGTTTCCGTACCGTTTCAAGGCGTCGTACAGCTGGGCCGGAGACGGCACACCAGTGGGCCAGTCGTACTCGTCCATCCAGTACTCGCGCTCAATGGCCGGCTTGTCGGGTCCGACGTACTTGAGCGGCTCAATGACTCGACGCGTGAAGAGGATGCGTCGCTCGGGGTAGAGGTTGTCACCAGGTAGACAGAATGTGATGCAGTAGCCCCAAAGGACGGGGTGGTTGTTCATGACGGCCAGGGCGCGGTCCGCATCTTGTGTCGATGCGAAAGCTAGACGAGCTTGGCCGTCAGCAGGGGCATGGCGCGATACAAGCTACCTTGATTGGCGCCTGGATGGAGGGCATCGTCTTGGGACACGGCGAAGCTGACGAGGCCGGGGCAGAGCTTTTGCACCGTTTCTTCGAACCACGAGAGGCTGACATGGAGGGGTATGTGGCAGGCGTCTACGAGGAGTGTCTTGCCTGGGTATCGGTCCTGCAATGGATGGTCATAGTCGTACGGTGCGGCCATGATGGGGGTATAGATGAGAAGGTATGAATGTTGAGGATGTGTCTAGCTAGGCATGACGTCAGATGTAACAAACAACATTGTGGTGACGGGGGCAATGAGGCACGCAGAAACAGCGTGATAACCACGTCGTTTACACGTGCTCCCGCATATGCGTGGGCGTCATTGACCAGACCGTCGAGCACACATGATTTGTTGCCTCCAGAAGGTGAGGTCGTCCGGTTGTCGCATGTTCTCATGTGGCGCCTGGGGCGCCAGCGTTCCATGCGAGAGTTGTATTAATGCAAAAATCCTATCTTCTTTCTAATCTACAAGCCCTGCAGCGGCCCAACCACCGACTGCACCTTTGTGAGGACTTCGGCCCACTCGCCCTCCCTCTCCGATAGCCAAGTGATTGCTCCGCCGGCGCCGATACTGAGTTCTGAGGAACGAGGTCAGCCTGTTGAAGTGCGTGTGACCTCGAGTTATCACTTACGGTCGCCTTCCAGCACCATTGTGCGGATCACCACGCTCAAGTCTGCACTGCCACAGAGGGAAAAGTATCCCAAAGCGCCAGAGTAGATTCCACGCGGGTGGTGGTCCTCAAACCCATCGAGGATCTGGACAGAACGCAGCTTCGGTGCTCCGGTCATGGATCCGGGCGGGAAGCACCGCTTGACGGACTCGACGGCACCGATCTGTGGTGCCAGCTGACCCGACACGGTGGTCACGAGGTTGTGCACGCCGTACGACTCAAGAGCGATGAGTTGCGGCACCTTGACGGTCGAGGGCACGCAGCACGAGAGGAGGTCGGAGCGGATGAGGTCGACGATCTGTTTGGGTCAGCTGGATGTCCATTGGAGTCGGAGAGCGACCCACCATGAGGTTCTCGGCGCGCTCCTTAAGGTCCTCGCTCAGCTCCTTTCCACGAGCCGTATCCTCGCGCGCTGCCTCGGCCTTGCACGCATCACTGCCCACGTCCTTGCCCTCACACCCAACACCGGGGACGCAGACACACTGTCCCGGACGCACACGTGCACGCGTGCCCTTGATGGGACGCATCTCAATTTCGCCCTTGCGGATCTGGAGGAACCGCTCGGGCGACGATGAGAGGACGTGCAGCCCCAGCCCCTTTGGAGTGGGGATGCAAGGGAAGGAGATGAACGTCGAGTAGTAGGCAGGGTTGAACGAACGGAGGCGGAGGTACGTGCTGTACGCGTCCGAGTCGGCCGTAGCGAGGAAGGAGGTGGTCTGGTTGAGTTCGTAGCTCTCGCCTTGGCGGATAGCCTCGCGACACGCGTCGATGCGGGACATGTGCTCCTCGCCAGCGATGCGCGGGCGGAAGGTCGGGAAACGCTCTGCGGGAGTGACGCTCGAGACAGCCGGCGAGGCAAGGACGTCACGAACATCAGCCGTGTAGCTCTCAAACTCGGCCGCGGGGGTGCCGAAGCGAACGCCTTGGGACTGGAGCCAGTTGAGCATGTCGGCACCGCCAATGACGCCGTTGTCCGCGACCACACCGCGCACTGCCCACTCGCCATCCTCGGAGCGCTCGATGAGGCGGTCGGCCCACGCCCAGACAGCGTCTACACGTTCGCCGGCCGCCTTGGCCGGCCGCCTGTAGCCTGCCAGACTCTCCTCCTTCATCTCGTAGGTGAACCAGCCGATCCAACCGCCACGGAAGCCGCCAGCACCTCCGTCGACGCGTGCCGCGAGGGCTTGCTGTCCGGCGTCAAACCATGACCAGAAGGTCTCGCCGTAGGGCAGAACGAGCGACACTGGCTGCGAGGAGCCGGCGTAGAGCTGAACAGTGCGAGTGGCAAGAGTGTAAGTGAGAACAAACTTGGGCGCGGCAAGAGATGTGGTGGTGGGGCGAGATGGCTGGATAGGTTAGCAAGCTCGCAACAGCCGAAGACCACCTACACTCTTTCCATCGAGCCACACCTCGCCGATCTTGTCCCTGTCGGTGCGGATAATACGCTCGTAGATCTCAGCCGTCTCCCGATCCCGTCCGAGGTCGCCAAATTTGTGTTCGAGAAGCGAGAAGCGAGCAGTCGGCGCCGGCCTGTCACCTGTCGGCGAGGTGGTGCGCGTCGGCGCCGCTGACGAAGCCACGCGGTAGGTGCATGCTTGGACAAGCTGGCGCTCGAGGCGGGGGAAAACAGGCGGGGAAGAGTGGAATGTGTGTACCTTGTCGAGGAAGGCGTGTAGGAGGTCGGCGCCGCGAGTGGACGAGATGGACTGAGTGTTAGTTAGTGCCGAGAGAGGACCCTAACTCACCTCGGGGTGATATTGGACGCCCCAGATGGGGAACGAGCGGTGTGCGAGACCTTGGATGGTGGGCTCGCTGCCGTTCTTCGGGTCGGACCAGGCAGTCACCTCGAGGTCAGAGGAAAGGGCTGGGGTGGTCAGAGCACAACCTGGAGGGGCAGTTCACCACTCACTGGTCGGATCCACGACGAGCGAGTTGTAGACGACCGCATCAAACCCGTTCTTGGCCTCGTCGGGAAAAAGAGGGGACGCGAACAGTCCCGAGGCGGTCGCGACGGGGGCAACGCGAACGACGTGGCCGTGGGTAATCTTGGGGGTGTTGATGATCTGGCTGGTCAGTTATAAACAGGCCAGGTGTAGCTCACCTTGCCGCCGAACGCGACGCCGACCGCCTGGTGGCCCAAGCACACGCCGAGGATGGGAACGGGGTGTGCGCGGAGGAGCTCAAGAGCAAAGCCAATGTCCTGGATGTCAGAAACAGGCCTCTATCAGTACACTCACCGAGGGCTTGTCAGGCCGTCCTGGACCGGGGGACAAGATCACGCAGTCAATGTTTGGGATGACATCACGTTGGAAGGTGGTCCTGTGGAACGTTAGGTTGGGATTGCACCAGTCTAAAGTCTAACGTACCAATCATACTTGTCCGCCTTGATGACTACGACCTTGCGCAGGACCTCTGCATCCGAGTACAGCTGGGTAAAGAGGATGAGGAGGTTGTTGGTGTCTAGGAGAGTAAGCGTCGGGGCGATAAGGAAGGCACGATGGAGAAAGGAGGGGGCACGCTCATAGCAAGCGCGTAATGCCAGGTATCAGGCCAGAACAAACACACTACTCACACGAATCATAGTAGTCGATGATGACCGTACGGGGGAGGGGCGGGACCATCGCGCAACAACACCGTTAGAGAGCACCAAGAACAACAGTCTCGGGAGCGATGACGATGACGGCGACGCGGAGTGGGTTGGGAAAAGTTGGCTTGCCGGAAGGAACTTGTTTGAACAATCACCGGGGCTCCGCCATTCCACAGCTTCTGTCGAGTCATCGCGATATCCGCAGGCACACTCGTGGATCGCTCCGTTGTGAGTGCCCTTGACACCATCCTCCATGGCCAACAAAGACGACAGCATGGCTGCAGTGTACGCGAGCAAGGCAGCGTTGCGCAAGAGCATGCTGCGCACGCTGCGGGGCATCTCCGAGGCTGACCTCGCGAGCCAGTGTGGGTTCGTAACCGTCGAGTGACCAACTAACCCATCAGCCCAGGAGGTCACTCGCCTGCTCTTTGAGCAGCCATTCTTCACCAAGGCCAGCACAGTCGGATGCTACTTGAACATGGCCAAGGGGGAACTTCGAACTGACGGTATCGTCAAGGAGCTGCTCGCTTGTACGTTAGCGGTCGGGAGAATGCAGTCTGACGACCCAGCGGGGAAGGCTCTGTACACGCCTTACCTCCCGCCCTCCGCTTCTCAGCCCGGCGAACCGACACCCCTCATGGACATGCTCCGCCTGTACAACACTCAGGACCTCGAGTCGTGCCCGCTTGACAAGTGGGGTATCCTTGACCCGGGAACCCATCGCCGTGACGTCGAAAACCAGCCCCGCGAGGACGGTGAGCTTTGGCCCACCCCACCCACACCCGTTGTGGTCTGTCACCCTAACTAACCCATGTCCCAGTTATGGATCCATCGGCGCCGCCACTGGACGTCATCCTTGTTCCAGGTGTCGCCTTTGACGCCCAGTGCAATCGAGTAGGTCGTTGGAGGCTGGCAGTCGCTGCCCGCTTCATGTCCGACATGACTAACTTGCTGACCGACAGCTCGGCCGCGGCAAGGCGTTTTACGACACCTTCCTCGCCAAGTACTCCGCAGCACGGACGCGTCCATTGCTCGTCGCGCTCGCTCTCGCACCACAGGTTATCGACGAGGACGTCCCTGTCACAGACTCGGATTTCACCCTCGATGCGGTCTTGTCGCCAGCCGGACTGGTGTGGCGCGAAGGAGCAAAGCCAAAGTAGGAAGCGACTCTATAGATAGCATGTGAACATGAGAAAAAGGCAGGACGCGTCGCGTCGCGCATTTGTTGTCCTTGCTGGCGCGCATGCACATATGGCTGAGTGGTCTGGCAACCGAGGACAGCACCGGCGCACCGGCGTGCGGTGGCAGGACCTGTGCAGGTGTAAGCCAAGGTTGAATTCTCGATTGAGCCCTTTGGTACCTTTGTTGTCCTGACTCACTCTTTTGCGCGTCCGTTCTGTCAGGATCCATCTGAACAGAGCCGGCGCTGAAACGACCACATGCGCTTCTTGCATTGATGACTGTGGTACTCTGGCACCCCAAACCATGTTCGGCGGCCCGATACAGAGAACACGCACAAAATAGTGCCCACCCCCTTCTTCGCCGCAAACGTTAACGCTAACGGTGTGCCGTTCCGTTCTCCGCGGCGCGCACAAAGTCAGGCCGGCCGAGACAGTCGCGTTAAGGTGCTGTTTAGAAACCGGCACGGAAAGGAAACACGAACAAATGAACCTTACCTCAACTTTTACCCTCAGTTATCGCAGCATGTCGAAGGGAGAGTGGGGGGGTGGCGGGCAACGCTCGCCCGTTGAGGCAGTTTCTGAGGCACAACAGAGCTGGTAGCACGCTACAGCTGTGGGCTTGGTCTCTCATCAATGGTTAGTGGTCCGCCCTAGCATGTCGCTTGACCTCTTGTACGCGGTCATCGACCAGTAGAGGACTATGTATGGTAGCGTAGATCATGTACACAATCCACAACGGTGGTAACTGCAATCGCTGGCCTGGAATACCAGTGGCTCTGGCCAGGTCTGATGAGTGCGCACGCCACATTTGGCTGGCATGGCTGGCGCCTGGCATGGCTGGCCTGACTAGGACGTGCGCTATCCTGGGCTCCTGGGACCACGTCGGGAAGGTTGGCGGGCGCAAGGCCTTAATGTTGCTGACGCTTTTCTAGTGGTTGGCGTGCAAAGGCGCTGTTCTAATGCACGCGCTACAGTGTGTTGGCCGTGTTGGGGGACCTCCAGGAGACACTTGGGCAAAGGGGCTAGCTGTAATTCAGTCTACGGCACCCGGTTCCAGGGTGGCACAACCGGCCCAGGATGGGGGCCTGATATGGGCCTGAACGATCAAGCCAAGTGATGCAAACGTGAGTGCTAAACCCACATGCCACAGCGCTAGAACGGCTAGAACGGTGCCATCCGCCTCTCTCTGCGGCATGCGACGCCTGGCAGGCCACACATGCTGCTGCCTTGAATCGGAGCTTGAGGTCTACTATTCAAAGACGCCAATTCCAGGGGCAGGCATTTAGCGTGCCTCCGTTTGTCGCTGTACCGCTGTCCAGACGCGCGCCTCTGACATCGACTGCCTGCCTGCCTGCCTGCCTACCTGCCTGCTGCCTGGCTGCCATGCACAGAGAGACCGGGCACAACAGCCTGGGGAGAGGGTCTCCTTTGACTGAGAATGAAAAGACGCCAGTGGCGTTTTGAGCAATGAATGACAACGGAAGGATCAGATGCCCTCTCCCCCCCTTCCCTTCGGACAGACAAAGGAAAGGCACAGACACACACCTATAGACGTATCCTCTGCAGTCAACTTTGCACTCACTATCTCGTCTCTCTCTCGCTCTCTCACAAACACGTCGCGCGTGCAGGTACACCATTCACCACCCTTCTGGCAAGGCGATAAAGACGACTGCAACATCAAAAGAGATCCCACTTTTCGCGTGTCCTTGCGCCCCCCCAACCCCCAACCCACACTACAATGAGCTCCACCATCCACAAGTTTCTGTTTTCCCCGCCTCCCTCGCCCCCACTTGAAGGCGCAGTGCCGGCTCACAGTCCGTTCACACCACTCCGTTCACTCCTTCCCGCCGGTCTCGCTGGTATGGAGCCTCCTCCATCGCCCAAGCTGTCGCGTTCAAGCACCCCTATCGGCAACAGGAGAGCTGGAGCCGACGTCGACTACATGTCGCTCCTGCCCCCCATCAACATTGAAGCTGCCAACCAGCCCAGCGTGCGTGAGAAGGTCGCGCTCTTCTCACCGCCCCTCCTGTCGCCGCGTCTTGTTCGCAACCGTATTCCTCGTCCCCTCCTCCGTCTCATGGCCTTCATCACCATCGTCGTGTCGGGCGTCATGCTCATCCGCTGCTTCACCGAGGCCGTTGCCCCCGTCCCCAGGCGCCAGGACCACCCGATCATGAGCAACTACCGCCCTGCGTTCGTCCCCGCTGCGGTCGGCGCCAACCGCCAGATGCCGCTTGTCGCTCGTGAGTAACAGCACCTTGCCTATGCTTGTCCCCCACCCATAGAGTGAGGGGCCATGCATGCTGGGCCCCTGGGCTAGTAACCCGCTTGGGCTAACAATAATCTCCAGCCAACCCCCGCGCCTTCCGCCCTGCATCGCATCCCCTGCCAGACTCCCACGAGCTGCTCGCCCTGCAGAGTTTTGTCATGGAGACGGCCTACAACCACCTCTCGTCCAGCGTCGACGCCTCGAAGCCTCTCGACGCCCACGACCTTTTGGGTCCCGCTGCCCGCAAGCTCGGCGGCAGCGGCAGCGAGCGCGAGAAGGAGTGGTTCGCCGAGGTCAGCGCGGAGAACGCCAACAACGTCGTCGTCTGGCACTCGTCTGCGTCTGTGCCACACTATGTTCTCGAGGGCATCAACTCGCGCCACGGCCAGGGTCACCGCGCAACCCTCGTGTCGCTGGCCTCGCGCTCGGATGGTGACCTCATTGGCGCGATCATGAAGCGCCTTGGCTTTGACGTCGACGCGGCCCCACTCCTTGTGATCGGTGGCCAGCCCACCGTGGCTACGGAAGAGGTTATGGACGAGCTTCGCAGCTCGGGACAGCTCAACGAAAAGCTGTCGGCCATCGGATGGAGGCTTAGGAGGTAGTGTGTGATCAGTTGCGAGAGATTGCGAGAGTTGCGAGACACACCAGGACAAAGAGAAGAATGTGTAACTATTGGTTTTGTAGTAGAGAGAGAAACCCCATTGTGTTTTAGTAATAGTACCAGGACCATCATGCATGGCCGCCACCACCCATGCCACCCAACAACGCCGCCACGACGCATCCCTCACATGTCACAGCGATCACAGCGATCGCAACGGCGGCATCAAACGAGGCACGGATTCCACCGTCAGCAGAGGACGCGGAGGCAAAAAGCCCGGGTTGACTGGGTTACACGTGTTATTTTAACCTACCTGGGACCTCCAGTATCAGACGCTCACTATTGACGCGAGGACGCGCGCTCGCGACCAAATGACACTTGATCAATCGCGGTCATTTTGGCTCTCTCCATTCCTCTTCCGTCAAACAGCAACAACAGCAAGACTGCAGAGGAACAGCCATGTCGCACGTCACCTTTGACAACAGTGAGCTTGCCGGAGAACGTGGATGGCGGCATCTCTGCTGACGCTACCTTTAGTCTACATGGGCGAGTCGGGCGAGCTGGGCAGTGAGTGGTAACCATGGACCTTCTCTCGTCATGCCGTTGCTAAACCTGTTCTCTTCAGAGCTTCGCTTCAACCCCGCTGGCTTTGGCTGGAAGTCGTACAAGGACGAGGAGAACACCCCCACCACCTTTACCGGTACCGATGTCCGCAGCGGCACTTGGATGCGGTATGTTTATGTCTTGCCTTCTCTCACCTTGGAGACTGGGTGGGTGTTGAGCATTCGCGCTGACATGTCGCAGTGTGGCGCGCAACTTTCAGCTTCGCCTGCTGATGCGTTCCCCCGACAAGCCTATCGTGACCTTTGACGGCTTCAAGCGCGAGGTGAGTGGCAGACGCGCCTCCTCGACATGGTGTCCCTTTAGGTGTGTGTGTGGGTACTCCGCTGACTGGAGCAGGACCACGACAAGGTCAAGCGCACCATTAACGAGTACTTCAACGTTACTCTTGAAAACCGTGACACCTCGCTCAAGGGCTGGAACTGGGGCAAGGCGATTGTTCAGAGTGGGTGACGATCCGATGCCAGCATGCTGACCCGCCAGACCAGGACATTGCTTTTGAGGTGCAGCACAAGACGGCGTTTGAGCTTCCTCTTTCGTTGGTCGCCAACTCGAACATTGCCGGCAAGAACGAGGTCGCCATCGAGTTTTCCCCCCACACCGTTCCCGGCGTCGGTGCTCGTGAGCCCGACGAGCTTGTCGAGATTCGCTTCTATGTCCCTGGCAAGAGCAAGAAGGCCAAGGGAAGCGACGCGGGCAGCGGAGACGAGGACGAGACGGACTATGACGAGGAAGGAAACGAGATCAGTGCCGCCGAGGCGCTCCACAACGTCATCAAGGACAAGGCCGACATTGGCGCTACCGTTGGGGACAGCATTGTCGTCTTTGAGGATGTCCTCGTTCTTACCCCGCGTGGTCGTTTCTCGCTCGAGTTCTTCCACGAGTCGCTCCGCCTTCTCGGCAAGTCGACCGACTACCGCGTTCCTTTCACATCCATCAACCGCATCTTCCTTCTCCCCAAGCTCGACGACCTCCATGTTCAGCTTGTGCTCGGTCTCGACCCTCCTATCCGCCAGGGTGCTACCCGCTACCCATTCCTTGTTGCCCAGTGGCCCAAGGACGAGGAGGTCGACGCCGAGCTCAACCTCGATGAGGAGGAGATTGCCAAGTACCCCGACCTCCAGAAGAAGTACGAGGCTCCCACGTTCCAGGTCATTTCGCGTGTCCTCAAGTCCTTGACCGGCAAGAAGGTTACTCCTCCCGGCAGCTTCCGCAACGCCCAGGGCGTCAATGGAATCAAGGCCAACGTCAAGGCCGTTCAGGGAGAGCTCTACTTCCTCGAAAAGGGCCTCATCTTCATTGCCAAGCAGCCCATCCTCATCGACTTTAGCAAGACTGAGAGCATCTCGTTTTCGCGTGTCGGTGGCGGTATCGCCTCGGCCCGTACCTTTGACATGCGCGTCGTCTCCAAGATGGGCACCGCCGACCACGTCTTTAGCGCCATTAGCAAGGAGGAGGTTGGCCCCATTTCGCAGTTCCTTGCCAGCAAGAACGTGCGCCTGAAGAACGAGATGGAGGAGACGATGGACGTCGACAACGTGATGGACCTCGAGGACCTTTCCGATGACGACGACGACGTCAGCATCAACTCTGAGGACGAGGGCCGCAAGAAGAAGAACAAGAACAAGGCCAAGGAGGTCACCAAGTCGCGCAAGCCCGCCGATGAGGACTCGGAGTCGGACGACGAGGACTTTGAGGACGAGTCGTCTGACGGCGGCTCGCCCTCTGAGAGCGACTCAGATGATGAGGGCTCCGGCTTTGCCTCAGATGCTTCCGACCCCATGATGGAGGAGCTCCGCCGCAAGCAGGCCAACAAGGCTTCCAAGAAGAAGAAGGCCAAGGGCAGCAACACGGACGACGAGGGTGCCCCCAAGAAGAAGAAGGCCAAGATGGATGTGGACGAGTAGGCAGGTGGCTCAAGCAATGGCCGCCGCCAAGTTAGAGGGTAGTATACTCTCTTGCCGCCTGAGCAAGAGCGTTGTAGCATTATTTATATCGTGGCATGGATTCAGTCGCCAGAGTCGGAACGCGTGCTTTCGCAGCCTGCTGTCGGCCGATTCCAGATGGACCCCACGGGGTGCCTGACATCGGCGTACACCGTTGGCAAGGCGGCGCAAGGCTTGCCCTGCGGCCAAACGTTCCGCACTCTCTGATGAACCTGAGGGCGAGAATATGATCAAACCGTTTGCCGGTGTGGCCAGTGGCCAACCAGCTGCGCGCGCAAGTCCCGACCGGTCGCCTCGTGCTGCAATACGGGAATGATATCCTAATGACGCTCCTCACCCTGATGCCTGGCCCAAAAGATCGACATTGTTAGATTTGGACCTCGTGGAGTGTTGAAAAGTTGAGCCGCGGTTGTTACACCACTTTCCTTCGTGCACGTGCACAGCGAGACGTGACCCATGATCCTCTGCGTACTCTGCATGATGTGTCGGCTCGTAAAAGCTTAAGCGACGCCTGCTTCACGTTACCTGATCTCGCCCGCAAAGTGCCCCGTTTGCATCCCGCCTTGTGCGCTGCCGACGTTTACTGCTGCGGGCTCGGTATACTTCGGCTTGGCACGTTCGGATCTCGCAATCCTTGCCGCGCCACCGTCATGGGCTCTACCTGCGGCCAAGGCCCCGCGGCCAAGGCCTGGACGTACATTATGGACCCAAGAGCCCCTCGTCGCAGAATTGGATAGCACAGTTCCCGCGGTGCTACTCGACAACCCAGCCTACGGCCGCACTTCCAGACACCTTACCTGAAAGCGGAGCACGCGTTCGGTATCCAAGCGTTGGATATTCAAGGTGCTTAGCGTATAGCGGCAATCACACACCACGTGCATCCCGTGCCGTTCGTCGAGTTCCGTGCACTCTCTGGCCCAAACACGCGCTGGCATTCAGAAACTTTCCGAACCCGCCGACCTGCCAGGACCCACTCGCGACCATCTCCAGCATTTGCCGAATGAACATCGTCCACGAGACAGACAACAGCCAGACAACATTGTCGCTCGGTCACTCAACGAGGTAGCTTCAACACCTTCACCGCGCTGCTCGACTGTCTCGCGACTACTACGATTGTCGCTCAACCCCATATCTACCATCTAGCAATCTTGCCCGCCAGATCGTTCCTATTCAATCGGACCTCCACCGCGCCACCAGCGCCGAAGATCCACACCAATCCACCCGACAAGTGACCACCCGTCCATCCACCAAGCACCGACAATGTCGATGCTGAGGTACCTCTCGCCCGTTGGGCGCCCGTCGGCACAACGTACCTCGTCCCACCACGGCGCCGCCTCCCCCCGGCCTGACAAGCATGACAAGCACGGCGCCCCAAAGCTCCACCTTCACGTCCCGAATTATGGAATCATCATTATGCCGGCCCCCGAAGCGCCCGAGCACGACGGGCTGACAGGCGAGGGCAGTGAGCCAAGGTCGGACCACATGATCCATGGCGAGCTGGAGATCAGCCTCCCGCCATTATCCCACCCACGGAAATGCAAGGCCATCCGCGTGGGGATACGGACCGTCATCAAGCTCGACATGGGACAGGGCCGCAAGGACGAAGAGGACGTACTGTTTGAACGCAAGGTTGAAATGATTGGCGCCAACAGCGATGGTATCCTGCTCAACCCCGGGTCGCAGCGGTGAGTTGGAATGGATGGATCTGCGTCTATGGACGTCCTGTGGCTGACGCGTACAAACCAAGCTTTGCTTTCACCCTCATCCTCCCCTGCAACCTCGCACCGCACGACTGGCACCCGAACGGTGTTCTCGCGCACAACCTCTATGCCGAGCTGGAAGGAAAGCCAGTAGAGCACGAGTGGGGACTGAAGAGTGTGTCCTCGTCGACGTCCCTCTTCTCCTTCCGCCAAGGAGGTAAGAAGAGCCCCACGTCCCGCTCTCAGTCGCGTGCGGCTTCGCCGTCGCGTCGCGGAAGGTCCACTGGCCAGTCTGCTGTCCAGTCCATGCCCACAACACGCCCACCCTCCATCCCCCCATCTGGCACTACCACGCCTGTGGGCATGGACTCTGCGGCTCCGCCTCATGTGCTCGCTGGTGCGCTCGCCAACCTCAACCTCAACCCCAACGGCCACGCCGAGCTCGGTCCACCCGCTGGCCCACCCGCGGGCGGCGGCAACGGAGTCAACCCCGCCTACCTGAGTGCAGCTCAAAGCCTGTCCATCACCCGCCAAGAGTCGCTGGCGCTCCCACAAACACCACCCTACGAGCTGGCCCGTAACGACTCGTCCAACCGCCTGAGCGCCATGAGCGCAGACCACACCCCGCCCGCAGACTGGCTGCACGGCAACACACGAGTGGACCGTAGGTGTATGATTGTCTACAACCCCAACCCGGGAGGCACTTCGACAGACCTCGACGACAGCGCCACTGGATACGTGAACGGTCTGGGTGTATGGGACCTGAGCATGACTGCGGATGTGGTGAGTTACAAGGGCCTTTATGATGTTGCACCCGTGCTAACTCGTCCAGTGGTCGATTGGAGCCTTGATGCGCCTCAAGGTCAAGATCTCGGCTATTCCTGACACGGCCACCATCTTTGCTGCACGTCTGCTGCTCGCCCAGTCTCACACGATCATCTCCCCACGAGACGAAGAAGGAGACAGCAACAAGATTGCTAGCACGCGCCACTTTACCATTGCCGAGGCCGGCAAACGCCCGCCACCTGGCCATGCCCACCCGGACCACCACTACCCTGCACTGTGGCGTGGCGCTGCCGTTCCGTCCGGCAAGGATAAGCCTGGAAAGGAGAAGCCCCCCTCATCTGGCGACTTGCTCATCGACGTCAAGGGCCGTCTGCCCTCGGACATTGTCGCCCGCCCCTCGTCGCTGCCAGGCGTCATCACGCCCATCCACGTCAGCCACAACCTCGTCCTGGAAGTCTTCTTCACAGTGTGGGCCGAGGACGACCGTGGCGGCAAGATGCGCATTCCCGGTCCGGGCGGCTTGCGCATGCTGCGCGTCTCGCGACCAGCCATTGTGCCGTCGTGCTGTTTGGTTCCCGCAGTCATCGACCTGCCCCGGTACGAGGACCATGAAAAGGACAAGATGGCGCCCCTGACGCCCGACGTCTTGCAAAAGAACTTTATCCTCGCCGAGGACCAGGACTGGGATATCTGCGCGTGTGGCATGAAGGTCGAGGACATGGAAGTGCGTATGCGCGACCAGGCAGTGGCCGAGGCCCAGCAGACGGGCACGAGCCTCGCGGACATGGCTGCGTCCGCGGCAGCCGAGGACAAGGTGTGGATGGAGCGTGGTAGGCGGCAGCGCCAGCGGGGTAGCGTGTAACTACTGTAAGATACTGTTGAAGGGGACGTTGATAGGATATTTTTTTAGTACTAAACAGTAAAATGTTATAAACCGGCATTCGTAGATAAAAACTTGGACTCTTTGAAGGGTATGCCGATGCAGTACTCGTGTTAATGTCTTGGGTTGACTTGGTGGTCGGAGAATTGCCACGATGTGCGTCAGCCGTCCAACGATGAGTGAGGTGAGTAACCAGCGAGAACCTTCGTACCCTTGCCTGCCCAGCGTGGCTGGCCGTAGCTGATATTGTTCGTGAGCTGGGGGTTCACTGCCACCTGATTGCTCATACCGTCCCCCCGGCAATGGCTTCCACACCAGAGGAGCTCAAGGACAAGGACTGAGATGCTTCAGTTGTGCCTAGGCATCACAGCAAGTGACCACGCGAACACAGAAGGCACACGCCTGCACGTCTTTTCTATTTCCTTAGATCCTTTGGACCTCTTCCATCGCTCTCAGCGTCACTGAAACCATACCGCATATACCTCATGCCACCATTGCGCCGCCAAAGCGCCGACGACTGCGGACCTGCACATGGCAGCCATTCCGATCATCGAGGTCAGCGAGGTAACCGAGGCTGCGCTGAGCAGACTGCAGCCGCCGCCATGACACCCCGTCGAGGAACGACACTGTCCAAAATGAGAAGCCACCCCCGAAACACATACCGCATATACCCTCCTCCGCATGCCTCCCTCCCCTTGCGCTGTTCTCCTCGGCAGGAGTGCCGACCGGATGAGCCGCACACACGGCCGTACCCACCGGCCGGACTGAGGAATCGAGGAACTGGAACTGGCAACGTGGGGGGTCGGGGTGGGGTGGGGGGGGGGGCAAGAAACGCAACATGCTGCTGTACATTCCTTATCCAAAGCCGTAGGACGTTTCTCGAGCTGTCCCTTGGCGGTGAGGATTGGGAGCATACTTGGAAAACGAGGTGTCCTTGCAGGCAAATGAGTGGCCACGGTGAAAACCAGTGGAGCACGGGAGAGGAGGGTAGTCACGGCGGGCCCGTGCGGCACGCCGCCGTTGGCCGTAAAACGCACTATGTGACGCGGTTGCAGGAGTTGAGCCTGTATAGTGCGTTTCTGCGCTCCACTGGGGCCCATGGAGTACCCAAGTCGTAACCATAAAGTCAAAACGGACGCGCAATGCTGCAGCTGTTGACAAACCCACGTTCAACTTGCCTGGGGCTGTGAAACTGCCCGCTTGGCCCCCCTCGTGCAGGTGCGCACTTGCTTCGCTGTGACGGACCCTAGGAAACGATCTGCACATGCGACAGACGGGCCACTTTTGCGGACTGGCCGCAGTTGACCCGCCAGATACGGAACGTCCGGCTCGTCACACCACGGATGGACAAGGGGGCAGGGCAGGCACATGTGGAACAGCACTCGTAAGTGGCTCGTTCGGTTCCAGTTGATACCCTTTGTACCTCGCCCGTCCGCGGTACGAAGCGGGTACGCGTGGGGGTTGTGGTGCAGAGCTACAAAGAGCCTGACACGACCCACGCAGCCACAAACAAGCCTCCAAGTGCCAGCCAGGTACCTTTGTCTTCAGCGAAGCCCAAAGCGCGTAGAAGCGTAGGAATCTGCCGCACGAGCCGGTGTCCAACAGATAACCGGGGCGTAAAGACGCGGCGCAGCTACACCTTGTCGGAGGATTAGCCTCTTGCGCCGCTGAGGCGGCGCGTCGCTCGCACGTGTCTGTGACGAGCGACGCGCGACAAGCTCCAAGTTGGTAGCAAGATTAATACAGCGAAAGTGCCATCCTATTGGTGGTGTGAGCGGATTTATGGGCTGACCGACGCGTCTCGGAATTGCTAACTGACGCACGCTCCCACCTGGCCGCGGCCCGCTACCATGGTTCCGTTTGGGCTTCACCAGCTGGCCATGAACAACAAGCATTGGCTCGTTGTGTCAAAGGTTCACTGTTGTTTCCTTGCAGTCGAATTAGAGGAGAATGCCAAGCAACTCATCCTGTCTGACAGTTTCAACCCGGCCAAGATGTCCAGGAGATGTGTATCATATCGCGGAACTACGGATTACAGTCGACGTGCTGCGGATGGCGGATTGTCTGTCACTCCTCTCGCCTGCTCCAATGGCCATCCACCCCCGGCCCCTCATCGCTTCCGGCAAACAGGGAGACGGTGTTCAATGACCACTTTCCTGAAGGTTTGCCTCGTCCATTGCCCCTGCTGCAACTTCGGGTACGTTTCAACCACAAACTTAGGCCATTCAAGCATGACAGTGTTGACGCTAACGGGTGCTCTCTCCCGCCAGGGACCCCAAACCGGAACAGCCATCCCAGCTCTCCTCTCGCAGGGCTGTAAAGTGACCGCAAGCATAGGTTCCACCATACTGACGACGTCCTCCGCCTTCAGTACTGTTCGCCCAAAACGCACAAGCTTGGGGGAAGCCCAGAGGTCTCGACCCGTGTTAGTGACCTTCCTGAATGGTGCACCTACTGAAGCACCCGTTCAATAATACGTCCGTCCAAACATCAGGGGACAAGGAGGTGGCCAAACAAGCATGATCTCGGAAGAGGTAATGGCTTCGTACTGCCTCAAGAGGCCTAGACGAGCAGACATGAAGGAGGCGTACGCGCTGGGTGACCCGCGGTTTCGTACCCTCCGGCCCCGACAAACTGGCCCGCGTCCATGAGCACACACTACCAACGCGTCGACTTTGTGGCATCTCTCCCCATGAACTCATGACCACTATAAAGCAGCGGTGTGGAACTCCAACTGTCTGTCACACACCTTCTCTTGACATCTTTCCGACTCGCCGCCATGGTGCTCTACACTGCCCCAATCTTTGCCCTCGCCGCATCTTTGTCACTTGTGGCTGCCGCACCCACCGACGAGTTCACCCCTTTCAATGACATTAGACCTTTTAACAGCAACCCTCTCCAGGCTCGACAGAGCGGCGAGTGCTACCCGGGAGATTCCCCTTGCCCGGATGGCAACGGCTGCGCGCCCTCTGGTTCCACTTGCTGCACTGGTAAGTACATAGTCACTAGAACAGGTCCATCTTCGTTCTGTCGCTCACATGCAGGCACCGACTACTACTGCCCTGTTGGCACCAAGTGCACAGCCACCAGCTGCTGTTCCGGTCTCTGCATCGGCGGAGGAGGCGACGCTGCAACTGGAACTGGTAGCGGCGGGAACGCTTACACCGGTGTGGCCTACACTTCCGCTGCCAACTACTACACCTCCCTCGACGCCTCCTCGGCGGCCTTTGGCCCTCTCACCACTGGCGGCGGCGTGGGTTTCACGATTGGTAATTCTCATACCACTGCAGTCGTGGGGGCCTCAACTGCTGTTGTCAACGGAGTCGGTTCCTCGGCAAACGCTGCAGTGCCGACATTCGGAGTCGCTTCAGCCTCCGTGGCCAATGCTGGTGTTTCGGTCATCGGAAATGGGGCTGGGACCACGAACACCCCTGCTGCTGCTGGCGGAATCCCTCTGAAGGCCTCTGGAGCATCCATCGTGACCATCCACGTTCTTGGTCTCGTTACCGCGGTCATCGTCGCCACATTCGTCTAAACGCCACGACCTCCAGGGACCGCGTGTTTGCGTCCCCTTGGTAACTGGCATGGAATTGTATGGATAATTTGAAGTAGTCTCAAGCTGTTCTCCGTAACCTATGCATGTCCCAGGTGGCATCATCACGTCGGTTTCCCAGTCACACCCAGGAGGCCCACTCTGGAAGGTTCGTGCGATGAAGCGGGGGACAGCGGATTCTTGAAACCACCGTTTGACTCTGGCACTCTGATGCATCATGTGTGTGTGTCTCTGGAGGTCCCTCCTACCGATGACACAGCGGCCATCACTCGCAGAGGTACTTGCAACGGTGCCACGACAACTGATGGCATTGCATTGATGGCAGGCCACGCACGGTTCGCGCCCAAACATCAGCATATGTATCCTGCCTCGTCACCATCGGATTTTGACCATCGCTTCACTACTCACTCCCCATCGCGGACGTCGACATGGCTTCAGATGCTGAATCTGACTGGGAGGACTGGACGGACACGGAGCCTGAGTCTGAGCCGGATCGCCCGAGGATCGTTCGCCTCGCTCCAGAACGGGATCCTCCAGGTCCCAACCAGGTCCTGGCTGGCAAGAAGTTTGCCGTTGTCGACGAGCTCTTTAGGCCGCACGACCTCTGGCTGGTGGAGAACATCATCACTGTACGTCTTGTCCGCCTTCGTCGAGCTGACGTCAGATACACGGCGGAGAAGTGGGGACCGACTGCAAAGGCGCAAACTTCATCCTCGTACCAGCATGCTGGCAGGCTGCGGACATCGCCCTGTGGCGTATGGTGGTCAAGCTCTGGAACAGTCTTCCCCTGGTCACCAGCCAGTGGGTAGAGATTTGTCTCATGAGCGCCTGCGTCTATCCTGTCCCCGGAACTGTAGCGGCTCTCGCCTTTGTGCACCTCAAGGAAGAAGTCGAGGTTGCCAAGGCAGCCGTTCTCAAGCAGACGAGGATCGCGGAGGTTAGTTTCCTCTTTGAGTGAGGTCAAAGCTGACAATAGACTTCCAATGCTTCGCCTGAGGCACTGAAACGGCGGGCAGAGGCTTTGAAGGAGTTGTTGCGGCAGGTGGAGGCTCGCAGGAGTGGCATTTTGGGTGTCCCAATTGCAGGTCAAGCTGGTAACACGCTTGCCGGGGGTGAGGACAGCAAAGCGGTGGCCGCTGTGTCACGCATGCTCGACACGGATAGACACGAGAGTATCCCAGTGTCCTCTATTGAGGAGAGTTTGGAAGAAGACTACAAGTTGCCTTCAATCACAGCCGCCACTGTGCCCGCAACCCGCTTGATCCCAATTCCCTTATCCAACTTGTTCGCGGTGCTGGACGTGGAGTCGCCGGCCAGGGACTCCCCCAGCCCTGTGTCTTCTGAGGCAACCCCCGAGGGTGTTATCGCCGCTACTCTGCCAGATTCTCCTTTGGACACCAAAGGGGAGACTGTATCAGACGACCAGCAGACCTCAGAACTGGAAGACAGGCGTGAGGGTCGCTTGACCGGCTCCCCAACAACCCCCGCTCCATCCACCGCCCCTTCCACAGCGCCTGATTCGCCGACCTCAACTACTACATTCACCACCAACGGTCTCCCGGTCACTCCACCAGCCTCTGACATTCAAATTGAAGATGACACCCCACGGGCTCCAAAGGCGAGGAAAGCACGGTTCAGTCGCCCCGTCTCGTCACTGGGGCTCACGCTCGGTGAGCCGACGCCCAATGTGGACGAGTCTGTCAATTCACCGGTGGTCGTCACAGAGGAGGAGGAGGAGGACGTTTTCAATGCCAGTCCAGCTGTCCCAGTCGCTCCTACCAATGATCCTGAGGGAGAGCCGCATCCCAGGCCCCACGTCCCCTCAGAGAGCGTCAAGGCGCGCATTCGCTCCCGCCGAAACGTCAACAAGATGAAGAAGAAGAAGCGAATGCAAGCGGCAAAGATCATTCGCGCGTTGGCACCTACACCAAGCGTCCATAGCGAGGAGTCTGAGGACGAGAGTGAAAGCCAGGACGGCTGCGGCTGTGCGTCGCAAGTGGCCGGTATCGTAAAGGACATTTTTGGTCGGCTTCCGGTGAGTAGTGGCGGCTTAATATCGGGCGGTTTTCCTTCATTTTTCGCTTCTGCTGACACACACAAGCCAAAGGCCGCCGAGGCTGTCAATACGTGGTGTACCAACCCGGACGAGTTCCGGTCGGATCCACGTGTCACTCGAGTGGAGCCTTCCATGCGTATCACCTGGGTCAATTTGGCATATGCTTTGGCGTTCATGGGCGATGAGCCAATCGACCGCACCATCGTCGACGGATTCGTTCACGGTCTTGGTCGAATCGCCCATCAACACCAGGTACTTGTAATGCCCTCCAGTTACTGGGAGACCCTCAGGCAGAGGTGGCCTCATAACGTTACCAAGGACGAGCAGGACGCGTTGCGTATCGAGGTGAGTAGGAAGCGCGTCGCGCGGTAACGGATGATGACGCCACCACGCAGCTCGACTCGTGCAAGCGCGTGATTGTGCCCATCTATCACGAAGGCTTCTGGTTTTTGGTGTGTATAGACTACGAGTCGGGATCCATTATCCTGTACGACCCCTCTGGTCTTGACATGCGTGACAGTTTCGTAACTAAGATGGTGAGCTCACGGGCAATTTTGGCCAAGCTCGAAGCTGACAGATAGGCGGCGGGAGCCCTGGTTTCCTACTTTCAAGGCAGTGACAAGTGTCAGAGTGCCATCCGCCTGGGCACTGACCCGACTTTCATCAAGGTGAGTATCTCTTTCACCGACATCTCCTGACTAAGTAACAGCACGCGGCACCCATCCACCACCGGTTTTCCGGACTTTTCGTCGCCGCCGCTTGTGAAATGCTGGCCTACTGGCGCGGCGCCACGACCCACCTTCTGGTTCACGCAATCCGCGCTCTTGATCGCCTCATGGACATTCCTCTGACGTCTCGTCATATCCGCCAGAGCATCCGTTCAGGTCCACACCATGACCCGCAGTGCGTACACGCCGTCCCTGTTCCACATGAAACCAGCGAGGTTGCCAACCCCCAAGTGGACGCCACTCGAGGCATGCTGGTCAACTGGATTACGCGTATCCTCTGGGGATCAGCAACGGGACGGCCTTACATTACTCCACAGGCAGCGTTTATGCTGCAGCATGTGTCCGGAACAGACACCGCTGAGGATGGGCCAGGTTGACGTAACAGTAAGAGCTAGCGGTCATTGACAATAGTAGCACAATTTCCATGCAACATAACCAAAAATGCTTTCCAAGTGCTCAAGTGAAAGACCACATTTCACACCCCAGCAGGTCTCCCTTTGTACCCTCTCGGCCATACCAGGCGAAACCGTACGGGAACGTCCGGTTGTGATAGCGGCTGTCGATGCGTCCACCGAGGTTACACCACAGCTTGGCCATGGCCCCGTCTGGGTCCAGCCCCCAAGTACGGATCTCTTTGTTGCCTTGCTGGCGTGCAAGTGGGACTAGGAGACGGAGGACGGTTGGCAGCAGTGAAAGCGGCAGATCCGAGATCATTGTGACCGAAAACAAGTCCGGGAGCCTCGAGAACAGCCCCGGCGCGAAGAGCACGATTGGGTTGCTGGACTGGAAGGGCGGCGAAGACGACGTAGACGAAGTGGGGAAGAACCGCACACCGACCGGTGTGTCTGCAGGCGTGGGTCCACGGGCCATTTTGCACACGCGGATCTTTGAGAAGACCTCGAGGTGGGTGAGCCAGCCCGGTGCACCTGGGTCGGGGAGCAGAAGAGTCGTGATACCGTCGTCTGGTTCAGAGTCCAGGCGATTGCGGAAGCTCTGCGATAGCAAGGGAGCTAGAGCCTCGAGGTCATGCTGGTACACCCACGCATGTGACCAGCCTGGCTGGTCGGGTGGGAGGTCACTCTCAGCGGAGAGCGGCCAGTAGAGATCAGAGTTTGAGTGGTCGTCAACACTCACCCATCCCTCACGCTCATTGTCCCCAGAACCCATCGTGCACTTCTCATACCATCCGGGAACAAGATCGGAGCTGAGGACAGATCCTAGAGCTGGTGTGAGGAGGGTACCCTCGGCGGGATCGTTGAGCGGCGCCAAGTCCGATGGCGGGGGAGGGAGTGCATCGGGGGCCGCCAGGAGATAGTGGATTGTTCGCAGCAGGAGGCGCGAATATCCCTGTCCTGCATGTCAGCTAGCTTCACGGCATTCACTTACGTCGATACTTCTTTGGCGTACAGACCGACTGGATGCTGTATAGCCCACCAGGCATGGCCTCAACGGTCTTGCCTGGGGCCCTGACCACAACGTCACGCCGCAGCGTGTCCACGAAAGTGAAGACTGCGCCGTCGGGATCCTCACGCGCGACAAGTGCCCAGGTGAGACAGCGACCATTTGTCCGCGTAGGTGAGGCTGCCAGTTCGGCGAATCCCTCGTCGAGCTGCTGACGTGTTACAGGGTGGTTTGCGAAGAAGCTTTCCTGCATGGCGCAGTTGAAATCGATGAGCTGGGACGGTGTAGCGAGGCGCAATACACAGTCTGCGAGCGCCGGGAGGGGTGGGGACTTGGCAGCCATCGTGAATGTTGAGTAAGTGGGAAGTGGGAGATTGCCAAGTGGTACTGCTACCTACATGCCGCTGCACCATTTTGAGGCCAGGATGATTGTGTTGGTTACGAGTCCAGTCATCTCTTATGCGGGGTAACGATGACAGACTGTTCCTGGGGGCGGTCTTTTGGGAAACACCGGCGATTACCGATTAACCGATGTCTAGCTCACCACATGCTGCTAGACCGGCGAGGCGTCACTCATTCTCACATGACGACGGACATGAGCAGGGACGCCTTCAATGGCCGCCGTGAGCTCCAACATACCATGGCGTTCGCCTTGCCGTCGGGTCTGTCCGTCTCCGGCGGCCGCCGGCATTGCAGTAAGCCATGAGATCAAAGCCAGAAGAACAAAGCGTGTTTGTGTTTGTCTTTCCCCACAACAATCATCCATCCACCTTACAATCACCTCAGTCAACTAATTCCTGAACGATGGCTCCTCAACTCAGCGCCGCCGGCAAGGCTCACATCGACAAGTTCCTCGAGGACACCGTTAATGCGCGCAAGTACCCCGCCCAGTTTGTCGGTGTCACAACTGGTGATGGGATTCTTCACTTTGCGGCCGGTGGCGATGTCAACTTTGGTGACGCGTCCAAGGGCCAAGTCAACGAGAACACTAGTAAGTATGATACCTGACAGTTGACGGGCATTGACTGACGCCGGTTAGCGGTCGAGCTGTGGTCCATGACCAAGCTCATGACGTCCATTGCCTGCCTCCAGTTGGCTGAGAAGGGACTGGTCGACTTCGATGACCCTGCGCTCATCGAGAAGCATTGCCCTCTGCTGGTCAAGGTGCCCATCCTCGAGGGCTATTCGGACGATGGCAAGCCCATCACCAAGCAGCGCAAGAACCCCATCACCCTCCGCCGCCTTCTCACCCATACATCTGGTTGCGGATACGCCGTTGTAAACCCCCTTCTCGGCCGCTGGGAACAGGAAAACAAGATTCTCTCCTGGGTCCGCCCAGGCGCCACGGTCGAATCAATCGCGACCCCCATCTTGTTCGAGCCTGGCACCAAGTTCCAGTACGGCGTCGGTATCGACTGGGCGGGTTTCGTGGTCATGAGCGTCACTGGCAAGTCACTGGAAGAGTACTTCAAGGAGAACATTTGGGGCCCCTGCGGCATGACGTCAACATCGTTCTACCCTACCGACGACATCAAGAGCCGCCTGATGCACATGTGCGGTCGCGACGCCGAGGGCAATATCACTCTCCAGGACGGATTTAGGCCGATTCCCAAGCTCAAGCCCGAGGACATTACGTTCCTTTCGGGAGGCGGTGGCACCCTTGGTACACTCAAAGAGTACCTGACCATGCTTCAGCACATCCTTGCATGCAAGGACAAGGAGGGCGGTATCATCTCGCCTGCGTCCTTCAAGCTCCTCTTCACTCCGTCACTCCCGCCTCGTGACGAAACCAACACATGCGCCAAGAACATGGGTGGAATGCTGGCAATGATGGGAGACAGCGACGAGCCGCAGTTCACGTCGGGTGACAAACTCAACCACACCCTCGGCTTGGCCTTGTTCGAGGCCGATTCAAGCAAGGGTCCCAAGGCAGGATCTGGATTCTGGGGAGGCGCCGCGAAGACAAGCTACTGGATCGACCCAGCCAGCGGCATTGCGGTGAGTAAATTGCACCGCTAGGAAGATCCTCGACGAGTAAGACTAACTCTGCAGGCCGTCTGTGGCACCAACATCCTCGACCAGGACCCGTCCTATCGCGCCGTTGTGAATGGTTTCCAGCGTGTGATTTACGAGGCTTTGGAGATGTCGAAGTAGTAGTTCATAGGTTTGTAACGCGACGATGATGGAAGCCAGGGAGTGAAGTGTCAACGAGAGACGAGGGAGGCCTTCTGGATTGGAAACATTCTCACCTGCTCGATCCTTTTAACTGAGCCTCCACTCACAGACATGCCAACAAAGCAGATCCACCACGCAGGGTGCTCTGAGCACGCACACAGCTTTAGAAGGTATTATATTTCAACATCATGGCAAACAACAAAATGTACTCGGCGAGATGGCCGAGCGGTCTAAGGCGCTGTGTTAAGGTTTTCTTCTTTCTCTTTCAGAAGTTCATCCGCAGTCTTCGGACGTGGGTTCGAATCCCACTCTCGTCAATAGAGGATTCAGTTCCTCCCAATGATCTCTTTTTAGTTGTTGAAAGGTGGGGAGGAGCGGTGGAATGAGTTGGAGACGACGGACGACGCGGAAGTGGATGGGACGATCGCCGCCACACTATCTTCGGCCATGTCCGACGCTAAACCTCCACCAAAGCGCTAATTAGCCGCGGCTGTCCCTTGCTTATCGACAGTCTGTTGTCACTCTTGCCCACTACCTCATGTCTTCTCCATGACTGACAGCACCGCGCCGCTGGCGGACAAGGATGCGCGTATTCTCGTCGTAGGTGGAGCTGGGACGATTGGCTCTTCGACGGCCCTCCATCTCCTCCGCCGCGGGTACTCCAACGTGCGCATCCTCGACGTGTATCCCTCGCCATCCGGCAACTCGGCAGGCAACGATTTAAACAAGGTAAGCACAAACGTGCGGACCATGAAAGCTGACAATCAGATCTGCGGTAACGATCGTGGCCTCGGAATCTGGGGCGATATCAGCGATGAAGCTTGGGAAGGGTGGACGCACGATCCGGTGTTCCAGCCGTACTGTCACTCCGTTGGCAAGGTATGTTGGCCTACCGCTTCGCACCTGTCTAACCACCCAGCTTGACCTTGCCTGCGGAGACACGCCTCGTGCCGCCCAGCTGCGCCGCAAATACAATCTCCTGCAATCGTTGGGCCGCAAGGACGTCGAATGGCTATCGGACGGTGACGCTATAAAGCGCAAGGCCGGTCATCTTGCGGATGCGAACATAGAGGTGAGCTTAGGAGCGTGGCGGATGAGCTGACAGCAGACATGGAACGGCCTGTGGTGTGGTGAGGGAGGATGGGTAGCTGCCCATGACGCGCTTGATTCTGTCGGCCGAGAGCTCGCATCCCTCGGTATCAAGACTGCATTTGGACCCAGCGGCACTTTTGTCAGTCTGCTACTCTCTGAAGATGGAAAGACGTGCACAGGTGTCAAGGCTGCAGACGGTACAGAGTGGCCGGCAGACCTCGTCGTCTTTGCTGCGGGTGCATGGTCGCCGGTACTCCTTGATCTCCAAGGACAGTGTGAGAGCAAGGTAAGACATCACTGAGCCCTGTGGAAGCTGACATCAGGCCTGGATATACGCCCATATTCAGCTCACCCCCGAGGAAGCAGAGCAGCTCAAGGGGATCCCGACCATGTACAACGACGAGTACGGCTTCTTCATGGAGCCAAGCGCCACCGGCTTGCTCAAGTTTTGCAACGAGTTTGCCGGCTACACCCATTACACGACTGCGACTCCATTCCCGCTCACTGAGCCAGTGCGTATCAGCGTACCTCGGAGCCACGCCGCGCACCCCACCGACACCATTCCGACCGAGTCTCTCGAGGATATCAAACGGCTCATAGCCAAGACCATATCGTGGCTCTCGGGAAGACCGCTCATCAACCAGGCGCTCTGCTGGTGTACGGACACCCCCGATGCGCAGTGGTTGCTGTGCGAAGACCCCCGGTGGAAGGGCCTTGTGCTGGCGACCGGCGATTCGGGGCACTCGTTCAAAACTCTCCCTGTGGCAGGAAAGCAAGTCGTGGATCTCATCGAAGGTGTCCTAGCGCCAGAACGCAAGCACGCTTGGCGCTGGCGGCCTGGACATGGTGACCCGAACGGTACGGGTCGTGGAGGTCCAAGGCCCAAGGACCTAGCAGATGTCCCAGGATGGAAGCATGATTGATGGGATGAACAATGGTGCACTCTTTGAACTCCGCACACGAAACAACAGACGTCATCCCCTTCGCACCACTTTTGGGGATTTGGTGGGAAATGATGGCGCCTGAGTTTTCATCATCACTTTGCCACTGACTCATTTCCATTTCGCTCACATGTCTCGCGGATTGGAGCCTTCCGAGGCAGCAGAGGCAACTGTGGAAGCGTTTCTCCAGGAACTCATTCGCCGCTGTGGTGGCGTCAAGCATTTCCTAGTGCTCCAGAGGTCCCGCGACCTGTCAATGGAGGAAATTATCCTCATCACCAGAGCACTGGCGACAGTTATGCCAGACGCCATGGGGGACCCCACATTTGAGACCGTGAAGCTGGAGCGACCCCTCACGTATAACCGTCTTGAGGGCACGATTATGAACATGCTTGAGCGCTGGGAAATGAGCGGGCAGCATCCAGTTCAGAGGCCATCAACACCACAGTCTATGGGGACGGTGAGACTGGGATACCGCACGGGCTGACATCCCAGGTACTAAACGAAGTCAGATCCGATAGCCCCCGCCCGCTCAGCAGAACCTTCTCCTGCGACTCTGGTCAGAATCAGACGAACAGGTGGACCTCGGCAATCCCCGGAGCCCCCGCGTTGTCAGATTTCCTCGCCAAGCTTCCATCTCGCCGTCTGTCGCTGTCTTCCAGAGCTCGTCGGGGAAGTGACACTTCAGTAAAAGCTGTTGTGGATAGCGAAGGGGCTATAAGTGCACACACAATATGGAGCCCCTGCGTTTCGCTCTTACACCCCAGCACCACCCTCGATTCTCAAGCCACCGCCGTCACCCCCGAAGAAGCCAGGCTACCGCCGCTCCGAATCGTTCGATACCGTGCGCCGGTCCAATGGAGCCACTCAGGCGCTTCCCACAACTCCCGACGGGTCGACAGACGATGGGACACGGCGACGTCCACTTCGAAGGGCCAGCACCTTCACGTTTCTCCCGACCGAGTTGCATTTGTGGAAGGCACCGCCTGCACCAGTTTATGAGGATGACGATGTTGCGGATCATACAAGATACGCCAGTTTCCGCTCCGACACATTGGAGAGCCACGCAAGTGACCTGGAACGCCTGCACCAGCACTTTGAGCCCACCGCAGAGAGTCCAGCAGGCACTTCCGTCTTCTCGGCCATCCATGGTGCCGCGTTTGGTTCCTCCAGTCGCGTTCGGCGGACTTCGCGGGCCCCGCTTTCTGGCCTTGATGGCCTGCCTCCAGACATTCCCGGTGCTCAAATCCTCGATGAAGCGCGACGTAATAGCAGACAACCCCATGTTCCATAGATTACCAGCAGGAAACATGTACCAGTGTGGCCAGTGACTGCACCGACATTGCACCGTAGATCCACCGTATGCAGGCTGTTCGGGGTCATAATGTGCCGAAGGAGTCGCCCCCCGCGGAAACTAGCCGACGGCATCCCCCGCTCGGGCCGGCGCAATGTTGATGACACGGTCTCCAACTTCCAACCACAGACGCGCCTTGCGCAGGCTCTGCAACGCCACCCGTGCGCAAATAGACGTGGTCGACGTACTTGACAGCCCTCTACTACAGCTGGCGTTACTCCATCCGCTCCCTTTCCATCTCCTTTCACAAGCAGACACTTTCTGTCCTTGTTATCATGGCCAACCCCTACCAGGACTGCGCGATCCTCCTCGTATGTCACTGAGCTTGCTAGCTTTTTCGAATCCGCAAGATCTTGCTGACTTTGCAGGGAGACTCTATCACCCAGGAGTCGGGCGTCTCTTTCAACCTCCAGTCGCGTTTTAGCAGTATGTGACTCCCAAACTTGGTTCCGGTATCTCTTGAGCCATGTCGTGCTGACTCAACAGATGCCTACCGTCGCACGATTGACATTCTGAACCGTGGTTATGGCGGATACAACACTGCTTGGTGAGCAACTATCTTACTCTCATTCACTCTCAGCCCATGATTAGGCTGACAATGACAGGACTCGCCCCCTCTTCGACACCATCTTCGCCAAGAAGGAGGCGGCCTCTATCACTTCGACTGTGCGCCTGGTGACGATCTGGTTTGGTGAGTGATGACGCGCAATGACTGAGGTGACATTGCGGCCTGGATAGTCCCCGCTGTGGTTGATTCACCTGTGGAACGAGAGAACTGACGGGAAGGCGCCAACGACGCTGTTATCCCCAGCGCCAGGCAACACGTGTCGCTGGCCGACTATGAAGCCAACTTGAGGTTCTTCCTCGAGGGCCTTACCTCACCCGAGTCGCCGTACGCTGCGGCCCACGCCAAGGGCCTGAACATTGTCCTTGTTACCCCACCCCCTCTCCTCCTCAGCTTGATGGTCAACTACGCTCCCGAACGCGAGGTGGCTCTCACCAAAACTTACGCCGATGTGGTGGTCAAGCTTGCTGCCGAATACAAGACCAAGGAGACGGAGAACGGTAACTGGCGTATCGGCCTCATCGACATGTGGAGCGCTACTATCAATGCCGCTGGTGGTGAGGGCGAGGGGTTGGCAAAGTACCTTAGGTGAGTTGGAGTGAAAAGAACCGCTCGAGGCTGGTCGCTGGTTTCTCAACCTCGTACTCCTCCCGATATCCCTTGCGCTCGACGTGTCTCCAGACCTCGTCTAAGGCCTCGGCATAATCTCTCGGTTTTTGTGGGGGTAACGTGGGGTTTACCATGTCCACAGACCATGAAGCAGAGAGCAAAAAGTGGGGGTGACTGCGGACTGGAGACCCACGTGTGGCGAGATGTGGTCGCGTGCGCTCGTGGCGTCGTCGTCGAGGGTCACTGAGGGGCTCTATTTTGGGAGAACTGGTGCCCCTCATTGCCATCTGTTCAACGCCGTCTACGTCGATGGTGTTCGTCGGCAGTCACGTTTCCCCTGTCATCCGCACTGCACAGGACTCCGATCGACGGGTACCATGTGGGAAGTCGGCTCCGTCGTCTAAACCTGGTGTCTCTAGGTGTCGCCGGACTTTGGGTCGTTGGATATCACCGCCGCAGCGAGATCTCGCGGAGATACCACAAAGGCACCGGCAGACGCAGCAAATTCCGTGACCGCCAAGTGCGATGGATACTGCTGACACCACTGCAGTGACGGCCTCCACATGACCAGTGAAGGCTATGGCGTCTTTTGGGAGGAATACACCAAGCTTGTCAAGAACGAGTTCAAGGGCCGTGGCCTGGACTGGGAGGATCCGACTGACCTGCCTGAGCGTATGCCCTCGTGAGTAACCTACTAGATACTGCACCCTCATCTGCAGTACTCCGGGCTCCATGCTCTTACTTTCATTCCCTGGTTATGTGCACCTTGGGGCCGGCGCTGACGTCTGACAGTTGGGATTTGGTGGATGCGAAGAACCCCAGTACCGTGGTGGACCAGCTTGCCCTTCCTCCTATTCGCTCGTAAACGAACGCTACTGCCGACGTTCAAAATAGCTGGCCGCGAGAAATGCACCATCGTCCTGGTCCCCCGAACATGTCGGCCCACATGGCGCACCAAACACTCGCTGGCAAGCGGAAGTGTTCCAAGTGGATCGTTCTGATTGTGCCAGTTGGCGGCAGCCGGGTATTTTTGTTCCACGGCCGTGTGCCTGGCACGAGGCCGCCTGTCGGCTGTGGCCGATTGACCGATTTTGTTTTATTCTTGACTACAGGGTCAGCCAGGTTTGTGTGGCAGACAAACTTACGAGATCCACCTGAAGCTTGCGTCGGCTGTCTCTCAAACAGTGAACATGCCAGTACAGTAAAGGACTTGTCATGCTGCGAGATGTTCGACGGCCCTCGTGTGGACCTGGTCAGGTCCAGCATCACATGTGGTCGCCTTATTTTTAATGACGCAGCCCACCGGAACAGCTCTCAACAAGGATCACGACACGGTAGACCCTCAAGACGCCGGACTGGTGTCCAACCACATCTCGGATCTTGAGTGTGCCCCATGTGATGTCTGCTGCTGCGCATCCATTCCCCTTGGCGGACAAGTTCGGTGGAGTAACTCACCCTCTGTGGCATTGTGGCTCTATGGCTCTGTGGTTGGCTCCGTGGCTCTTCGGCTCTGTGGGGCCGTTTGTTGGCAAGATTTGTGTACTGTGTCCATGAGGAACCACTGTATGGACGAGATACGGTCTGAGCCGCGCACTCCTCCCTGCTGCCCCCACCCGTCTGCCCACCCGTCTGCAGCCACCCCCACTGACCCAGCTCAACTGGCGCAAGTGCTCTTAAAGTCTAGCAAAGACGAGAGTCGAGTCTCCCCACCATCGACAATTTACCCCAACTCTCATCACACTCCATGTCCGCACTAGTCGCCCCAGGCGAGTTCCTTGGTCCTGACGGTATCGACCCTCGCCAGGAAATGACGGACAACTACGAGCACCATGTCGTCGAGCACACCAATGACCCCAACGCTTCCTTTGACCGTGCGTGGTATCGCATAAGCCCCCCACCCCCATGCTCACACTTGCAGGTGACACCAACTCGATGCCACTCGAGGTCTACATGCACTACGCAGCCATCGAGCGTGCTCGCGAGGACGCAGACCCTCGCCCCATTCCCGACGCACCTTGGACTGTGCTCATCAAGACCCTGACCGGTCGCAAGAGCAAGATTGTTCACCCCCACGAGCCTCAGCCTCATCAGATCCAGTACACACCCAGCCAGGAGGAGAAGCGCGAGCCTGGCGAGGTCACTGTTGGTGCTCCGGACAACCTAGACCTTACTGGCGAGAAGGAGACTGCGTACCGTGTCCTTCGTGTGGCTTCGTGGCAGATTGTCTTTTACCTCATCACCACCGACATTCTTGGCTTCTCATCGTCTCCCGCCGCCTTCCTTCAGCTTGGTTTTGGCCCGGGCGTTCTCGTCTACACGTTCTTCTACGTCCTCGCCTTCCTCAGTGGTCAGATCCTCTGGCGCATGTACCTCAGCATGGACTCGGAGCAGTACCCCGTTACCTGCTACGCGGACCTGGGTGAGCGTACCTTTGGTCGCTTTGTCCGTCACGTCTTCAACGTCTTCCAGTCGCTGCAGCTTCTGTTCAACGTTGCCATTCTCATCATTGCCAACGGCCAGACCCTGGCATCAATGATCGAGTGGAAGTTTTGCTTCATCGCGCTCAACATCTTCTGGATGCTTGCGGGCATGGTTGTGGGGCAGATCCGCACCCTGCGTTCGTTTGCTTGGTTTACCAACATGAACATTTGGCTGAACATTATCGTCATGGTTCTCACGATGGTCGGTATTTCCAAATATCTCCCTGTGCCTTCGCAGTCAAACCACACCGACCTGTCTCAACCCATCCAGACTTCTGGTTGGATTCCGGCCACGACGAGCGGCTGGTACGCGCAAGTTGTGGGTGTCCAGTACGCCGTCTTTGCCTACGGCGGCGCCATGGTCTTTACAGAGTTCATGGCCGAAATGCGCCGCCCTCGCGACTTCTGGAAGGCGGCGTTCCTGGCTCAGCTCTTCTGCTACCTCACCTACATGCTGTTTGGTCTGTACTGCTACGCGAAGCAGGGCCAGTACACCTCCATCCTTCCCAACCTCGACTTCCAGAACACCACCCTGTCTCTGGTCACGAACGTTATCGGCCTCGTGTCGACGGGCGTTGCGACAGTGCTGTACGCCAACATTGGAATCAAGGTGTTCTACCACAACGTCCTGCGCGCGTATCTCAAGTTTCCCGACTTCAACTCCAAGAAGGGCATGTTCGTCTGGCCATGGCTCGTCATTGCGTACTGGGCGTTTGCCTGGGTGATCGGAAGCGCGATCCCGTCCATCTCGTCGCTCGTCACCCTCATTGGCGCGGCCTGCATTCTCCAGTTCACCTACACGTTCCCGCCAATCCTCCTGCTTGGCTTTTGGATGCAAAAGGACGCCATCAAGGGCGACCGCCCCTGGGAGCCTGGAATGGAGCCGTGGTCAAACCGCATCGACACCTGGCGCGACAGCTCCCGCTGGAAGCGCGGGTTCCGCAAGTACTGGTACGTCAAGGCCTGCCTGTTCCTGCTCTTCCTGTGCGCGGTTGTCCTGGCCATTATTGGTATCTACGCCGGTATCAAGCAGGCCATCGAGTCGTACGCGTCCGGCGCAACCACCGCATTCTCTTGCGTGGCTCCGGGCCAGCCCGTTGGCAACTCGACTAGCAGTTAAGTGCACGGTAGAAAGTAGGGTTTCAGGGGAGGGTGCGTTGTTTAGGTAGAAGGATGCAGTGGTGTGGTCAAGCCCGTGTTCACCACCGGTTACCTCGAGGAGAAAATACATGAAATTCATGACAATTATTGCAAGACACTCTGCCACGTATTTGCCAATTCCCAGAGCAACAGAAGGAGTCGTTGACACGATATGCATGAGAGGATGCGCTATGCAGGTTGAGGAGTTTTGTTGTCTCTCGGTGAAAATGACGTCGGTCATGTCCGGACCGGTCGTCCGGCGCCGGATACCGGACTTCTCACCCAACATTCGGCGCCGAATGCCGTTGGGCTTTATAAACGACGGCCCACAGTTGCGGTCCAACTCAATTACCAACTCCTACACCATGCTCGGCGCACGCATAGCCCTTCTGGTGGGCCTGGTGCCCGCTGTGTGGGCTCTGGGCGAGCCGCGAGTCGTCACGTTTGACGACGAGGCCGCCGTTTCTTCGACTGTTCAGACCGTGTTCGACGTTCCGTCAAGAAACAACTTTATCATCGGGTCGCGCAAGAGAGGGTACGCGGCTCCCCTGCTTCTCGAATCGAATGACAACCAAGCAGTCCACCTTGCGGCCAGGACGTGGGCCGAGGACGTCTACCGTGTCGTCGGGGTGTATCCGGAGCTCTACAACGACACTCTACCTGCCGAGGTCCACAGCGCCGTCATCGTTGGCACGGTCGACAGCCAGCTCGTCCAGTCCCTAGACTTCACCACCGATACACTCAAGGGCAAGTGGGAGGCGTATCAGACCTCTGTGGTGGACTCGCCCATGGCCGGTTTGTCCGAGGCCCTCGTGGTGACTGGAAGTGATCGCGTAGGTGCCACCCGTGTCGTTTGAAGGCTGACATTAGCGCGGCACAATCTACGCCCTGTACACCATCTCGGAGCAGATGGGCGTTTCTCCATGGCACTACTGGTCTGACGTCCCCATTCGGGGCCAGGAACATGTTGCCTTCAAACGCGGCGCAGTGCTGGCGCACGGCGAGCCGACGGTCAAGTATCGCGGCATCTTCATCAACGACGAGCACCCGGCGCTGTGGGGGTGGGCGCAGCAGGCCTTCAGCCGCGAGTTGTGGGAGCCCGCGTTCCAGACCGACTTTTATACCCACTGGTTTGAGATGATGCTTCGCCTGAAGGCAAACTATGCCTGGCCGGCCATGTACATTTCGGCCTTTAGGGTGGACGGCCTGGACGTCAGTGCTGGCCTGCCTGCCGACCCTATTCCGGGACCCAACCTCGTCCTGGCCAACGCGATGGGTATTGTCATGGGTGCATCGCACCACGAGCCGATGGACCGCAACAAGCCCGAATGGGACGCGTACGGTAAAGGCGCCTGGGACTGGACCAACAACGAGACCATCAGCGAGTTTTGGAGGTACGGCGCCGAGAGGTCCAAGGACATGGACGTGCTGTACACCATGGGCATGCGCGGCGACGGCGACATGCCTCTCACAGGTGCGAGCCTGGAGCTGGTTCAGAGTGAGTCTCTTTTTGGGAAAGGGGACGCTGCATTGAGTGCTTACGAAAAAGACATTACCAGGCACCAGCTGGACATCTTGCGCGACGTGCACGGCGAGAAGACGGACATTCCCAAGATGTGGGCAATGTACAAGGAGGTGGCAGAGTACTTTGTCGATGGGGTGAGCTTTGGGTCGTCGTCCCTGTCCGCCAGCTGACACTGCAGCTTGAAATTCCCGAGGACATTAGCATCCTCTTCGCCGACGACAACTTTGGTAACATCATGAGCGTGCTCCCCGTTGGAAAGGAGCATGCGGCAGGAGCGGGCATCTACTACCATGTTGACTGTGAGTTGATAGCGCAAGGAGGTGTTTGCTGACGTTTAGACGTCGGGTACCCCCGAGCTTATAAGTGGATCAACACCATTAACCTTGCGAAAAGTGCGTCACAGAGTGATGGAGGCAAACACTGACCGGGGAGCTTGGGAGCAGATGAACATTGCGCAGTCGTTCAACACGACTGCCATCTGGATGCTCAACATTGGTTCGCTCAAGCCACTCGAGGTGCCGACTGAACACTTCCTTGCGCTGGCGTACGACTTTGACGCGTGGCCACTCAACTCTGTGGACACCTTCCTGCGTGCTTGGGCCGCGCGCGACTTTGGCGAGGAGGTCGCCGACGAAGTGGCGGACATCATGGGCACGTACTCGCTGTACGCTGGCCGGCGCAAGCCCGAGCTGCTCAACTCGACGCTCTACTCGCTCATCAACTTTGGCGAGGCCGAGCGCGTGCTCGACGAGTGGGAGACACTCACTGCGCGTGCGCAGGCCGTGTACGATGCCCTCGACACGAGCGCCCAGCCGGCCTTCTACCAGCTCGTGCTCATGCTCTGCCAGATGCAGACCAACATTAACCGGCTGTACATTTCCGTCTCGCGGTCCAACCACTATGCGTGGCAGGGACGTACGCTTGCCAACACGTTTTCGTACGACGCCCTAGACGCGTTCTACGCCGACGCCAACTTGACCGAGACGTTCCACAGCCTGCTGGACCGCAAGTGGGACCACATGCTCGACCAGGCCCATATCAGCTGGGACGCGCATCTCGAGCACGACCGCGACTTTCTCCCGCCCATCAGCTTTGTCAACCCTGCCACGCCCGTGCGCGGTGGGATTCCGCTCACAGAGCTGTCCATCCCGCACACGTACCACACGCGCGTGACGGTCGAGAACAGCTACGGCGCGTGGCCCGGGTGGACGCTGTGGAACTGCGATGGCGAGGGCAAGTGTCCCGACCCCACGCTGTGGGCCATGGACTGGTACGGTGCGCCGCGCCGCTGGATCGACATTGGCAGCTGCGGCCCCAAGACGGTCCACTGGACAGCTACGCCGAGCCACGACTGGCTCACCGTGTCCCGGACGAGCGGGACGTTGACCTCGGATGCCAAGAACGACGTGCGCCTGTACGTGTCGGTCGACTGGGACGCGGCGCCAAATCCCGGCTCCGAGCTGGTGCAGATCGAGGGCCACGTCCTCGTCCAGTCGTCGGACGGCGCCAACGTCACCATCACTGTCCCCGTGAACATTGCCCCCGCCGTCGCCGAGGAGTTTACGGGCTTTGTCGAGGGAGACGGATACGTCGTGATGGAGGCCGCGCACCACACGCGCCACACGGCCACTGCCGCGCACGCCCTCGAGGAGGTCAAGGGGTACGGACGCTACCTGTCCGGCGTGTCGATGTATCCCGTCGACAACACAAACTACACGGTCGGCACGGGCCCCGTGGTCGAGTACGACTTCTGGACACACGGCGACTCGGTGCACGCCAACGGCACTGCGCTCGTGACGGTGCAGATTGGGCCGACGCTCAATTTCCTGCTCGGCCGCGAACTGGCGTTTGGGTTCCAGTTTGACACGAGTGCGCCGGCAGAGATCCACCCGATCCCGACCGAACGCCTGGGACCACAGTACGAAAAGCCCGGCGCACCCGCGCTGTTCATGGGCGCCGTGCCCGTCGACTGGCCCGAGATTGTCAAGAGCGAGGTGCGCAACGTCTCCATCGAGGTGCACCAGCCGACGCTGCGCGAGGCGGGCAAGCACACGATCAAGCTGTTCGGCATGACCCCCGGCATTGTGTTTGAGCGCATCTGGGTAGACCTCGGGGGTATCGAGAAGAGGGGCTACAGCTACTTTGGCCCTCCCGAGAGTGTGCGTGTGTAGACACTTGTGTAGACGGGGGGAAATATGTCGCATGTTTATTTATGCAAATATTATTTTTTTGAAGAAAAAAATCCAATTAAAATCTCACGCCCTCTCTCTCCTCACTTCCTGCCTTCGAGCTCGTGGAGGACCTTCTCCTCCACCTTCTGCGCCTCGGCAGCGATGGCATCGTCCGAGACGCCGTCGCGCATGACGACCTCCTTGTGGGGCTCGACGGTGTTGTGCGCCTGGCCGAGGTAAAACTCCTTTGTGAGGAGACCGGCGATGAGCGCGAGCATCGAGGTGATGAGCGCGCCAATGTACAGGCCGCGCAGGGACTCTGTGTATGCCCTGTTGATGAGGTCGTGGGGCTCGGCGGCGCGCGCGACGAGGATGGACCCGAAAATCTCGGCGCGCTCCGTCGCGTTAAAGTACTCGCCGACATACTTTTCGAGGTGCAGCGGCACCTGCTTGTTCCACACGGCGCCCGAGATGGCTGACGCAATGGACCCGCCGAGCGACGTCCACAGCGACAGGACGGCCATGGCCAGCGCCATGTCGGCGTGGGCGACCGAGCCCTGCGATGCCACCTGCGTGGAGATGACGGAAATCGCGCCGCCGAGCGAGCACAGGATACGCGCAAACACGAGGGTCACGTCCTTTTGGTTTCCGTTGACGGCGAGGAAGTTGATGCCCTCGCCCACCACGCGGATGGCGAGGCCCGTGAGCTGGAGCGCCTTGTAGCGGTGGGTGTAGCGCTGGATGAGGCCCGCAAACACGGCAAAACCGCACAGGCCCACAGTCATAATGTTGCTAAAGTAGGTGTAGTTCTTGTCCGACCACTCGGGCTTGATGATGTACACCCACGACAGGTAGTATGTGTCGGTCAGGTAGCCGGAGAAGTAGTACAAAAAGTCGATGGCAATGCAGCAGAGCTGGGGGGGTTGTGAGCTGGGGGTACACTGGCAGGCGCAGCTTACGAAAGTGCGGTTCATGACGCGACGGGGCATGATGGGGTATGCGGAGAAGCGCCACTCCCAGACGCAGAACGCGGCAAAGAGGAAACCACCAACGGCATACATGGCGATGAGCGAGGCTGGAGCGTTAGGATACGTGCAGAAAAGGAGACCCACGGTTGGCGTAGCCGCCGACGGCCGTCGTGCTGAGGGTAGCGGGGGCAAGGAGACACGCAAACGAAAAGCCCAGGAGGAGCAGACCAAACGCGTCCATGTGGATGGCGTAGTGAAGAATGACCTGGAGCACGGTACGGCGGGGAGGCTCGATGCCCTCGAGGACGTGGCGACGCGCGTACGACGACGAGGCGAGGGAGAGAGCTAACAGTCAGCTTTGGGGACAGGCTTGAGGTTTCCAAACTCTCACCTCCGAGCTTCTTGGCGCGGTGGTCGCCCCAGAACAGGACCAGGAGCGACGGCGCAATGCACACGGGCACGAGAATACAGAACATGCCGTACTGCCGGTTGTCAGCTGCACAATCCCCCTTGGACAACTCACGCCCCAGCGCCATCCGTTCTCCGAGTACGCGCTGATACCGTCCGTGATGTATCCGGCGACAAACGCGTTCAGCACCCACGGCAGCGAGTAGGCGCCCTGCACGGCACCGCGCCACTGCAGGCTGGTAATGTCGGCAATGAGGATGCCCGTGACCTGGTTGATACCCGTGTTGCCGAGGGTGTACAGGACCTGGCCGGCGACGACGGAGTCGACGTTCTTGCTAGCGGCGGTGATGATGAAGCCCAGGGTGTAGAAGAAGACCGAGATGGTGAGCGCCATGGGGCGCGAGAGGAGGTCGGCAATCTGGCGCATGAGCTTGGTGACTACCACACGCAGCAACCTACCTTGGCGATGAACGGCTGCGCCACGGCGGCCATGATCTGTGTCACGACAGCAATGGTGGCGACGATGGTGTGCAGCGAGTATGAGGAGGTGGCAAAGGCCGAGTCTGAGGCGTCAGCATGGCCGGCCAGGAGCAGCAGCTCTCACATGTGTAGGTCGTGCTCTGGCTCAGCGTAAAGACGTAGCAGACGACTCCAATGGAGCTGTAAACGTCAGCAAAAGCAAAGAGCCCCCCCGTTGCGGATACCTACCCCCACAGAAGCCACAGCTTCCATCCCTTGCCGAACACAATGTCTGGTTGGGGGTTAGCCGCCGATCGGAACACATGAATACCCACAGAGAGCTTCGATCTTGGTCACGCCAATATCCTGCTCGAGGCCCAGGCTCTCGGGGCTGTCGGGACGTGGGGCCTCGACGTCGCTCCTGTCCTTTTCGGGCTCGAGCTGGTTGGCCTCGGACGCGAGCGAGGTCGCGCCTGGCCCTGCGGCAGTTGACATTTCGAGAGAGGCGCGGTTCATGGCGCTGACAGCTCGGGTGGTGGGTCGATGTGTTTTTTGGTGGGGGGGGGCTGTTAGGGAGAGAGACGGTCACACCAGACACCGCCTGGCCACCTTATAGCTACCCGGGATTGCGCCCGGGACTGCCGGGGGTTGGGAGCTGGGAGGGTATATGGTATCACGATGAGGCAGCGTTGCGGATTTGCAACCCCCCGCGCGGCCCTTGCAGAGCGAGAGGGTGGGTGGAGGCGTCAGCAAACGAGGCCTGGGAGGGCCCGAAATTATCAGATAAACGGTGAGATCGGGCTCCTCGGCCGACTGTCGCCACCAACCCTGGACGTCCCAAGCTGTTTCAACGTCTTGTGCAACAAAACTGGCGCACCTTACGCAGCTCTGAGCTTGCCCCCTGGCACCCAGCTGACAATGGGTGGAATGCCAAGTATAGACGGCGTCCACGGCAGGGCTCGTTTTTCTTCCTGCCCCTGAGGCTTGGGTCCGTACATGTGGTGGTACATATGTTTTTTTTTTCGGTGGTGCCTTGCGTGGAAGATCTCGAAAGAGCCATTTGACCGCCGACTCGTCAACCTCGCTACTGTGATCAAAGTATCAAAATGAGTTGCCGAGGCCAATGTCAAATGCGGGTGGTGGAACGGGTGCACACTGGCAGACACGAGCCAGTGGCCAGTGGGCCACGTTCATGGTTGCACTGCGTCGCCCGAAACGACCCGTACGCCAGCAGTCAGTCGGGGGGTCGCTCGCTCTCCGTGACGGATTTTGCTTACGACAGACAGCTACAGAAGACAACGTCGCGGAGGCGTTCCTCGTGCGGGCGATAATCGCAGCCAAGCATGTAGCAAGCATGTCTCGCCGGCGCGTTGGTTGGCCCAAGGCCTTGGCCTTAGGCACCCACCCACACACGCGCGCTCCCTCTCCGGGATATCGCCTCCGAACGACCCGCGGTCCCCGGGTCCCCGACGCCCCGGCTTCGGCACAACCGAGGTGATAACGTATAGGCCAGGATGAGGTGCTCCCTGTGTCCCCTTCGCACCTGACCAACGGCCGACTTTCGAACTGATTTTGCATACATGTGTTGTGCTTCTCGACTGCGCTGTGCGCCTCGGCCGTGCACTTAGAGTTTCGGCGCGGTTCGCGGCAGCTCGACGATCTGGTCCACGCCAGGGTACTCTGGGAGGTTGAGATTGTACTTTATAGCCAGGTCACTGAGTGTGTGCAAGTCAGCGTTGCCCCCATACACTTGCAAGATACCTACTCGGGCACAAAGCGGCCGCCCAGCCAGTGCCGGCCAGTGTACGCCTGCACGCCCTCCTTTGGCGCCGTCAGACTGATGAGTACGGCCGGGTCAATCGTCTCCACCGTCTGGCTCTTGCCCGCGGCGTCGGGCGACGTGAACAGCGGCTGCCGGCCAGCTTCCACGTTCCACCCGGAGGGAATGTCGACGGACACGATGGGTGCGTGCGTCGCTGCCAGCGCGTTCAGGACGCGGTCGAACGGAGCGCGGACCGGGGGTTGGAATGAGAAACCTGTGGAATGCGGGTCAGATGGGGCAGTCTGTATGCATCTGCGCCTCCTACCAAAGATGGCATCCAGGACGACGTCGGTCGCGGCAATGGCAGCATCAAACTCGTCCGCGCCGGCCACCACGGGGATGCCGAGGTTCCGAGCCTGTTGGAGGAGGCGCTGGTAGATGTCCTTGCCTCCGGGCTTGGGGTAGTAGATGGTCGGCGTGTAGCGGAAGTGATGCAAGTGACGCGCTGCGACGAGGCCGTCGCCGCCCTGGGTAAAGTGTGAGCTGCGTCTCGCGGACGAGACTGTGGGAATGGCAATGGCAATGGAACCAACCTGGTTTCCCGGTCCACAGCACACGAGGACGCGTTTGTGCGTCGTGTTAGGGTAGCTCTTGGCCAGCGCCTGGGCACAACTCAGGCCTGCGAGCTCCATGAGCTGGGTGCAAAGGTCAGTCGGCGACAGACGGGGTGGTGTCCCCTTGTGAGCTCACTTGGTCCAGCGAGAACGCGCCGGCGGCCGACATGAGCTCCTCGTCGATGTGCTGTGCGAGCTTTTGGCCAATGTATCTGATGGACATGGTGAGGGCGGTGAACGAGGTGGAGTGTGTGACCGTGTGAGCAGCAGACGGCAACAACAATGGGCCTGCCAGAAAACGCGCTCGTCCCCGACAGCCATTGAGGTGACGATGATGTCACCAGGAGGAAACAGATCACGTGACTGAGATGGGTGGGTTGGCGGAGATCTCCTTTATCTCCGTGTATTATGTTCCCAGGCACGACATATATTCACGTTTGTGGCCTCGGGGATCGGATGCCGACGTGCAGCCCGAACCCTTGGATGCAGCAGAGAGGGTTTGTTTGGGAGACCTGCAGAGCACATGCCGAGAGCATCTCGTGCGCTCGTGGGGGGTCCGGTCGCCGGGGGGGACGAGAAGAAGGGGCCAGCCGGCCAAGACCGTCGGCCACGAGTGAGAATAGACTTGTGCTCCTTCTCGTTGCCCCGCACGACATACAGAGATTAGCAACCCGTGAGGCCGTTTCTAATAAAGCGATCTAATGCTTATTCCTGTCCGTCCCTCCAAAGGCCTCGGCGCCGGTATCCGTCAGGGATCGCTGCTGCCGAGCACTGTACGGCAGTGTCCAGCGCCTGTCGCGTCTGTCGCCACCGTGTGCTGTCCACTAGGCCACTACCCGAGTCAAGCGACAGACACGCACCGTCAACCTTTGTCGAGTCGCATCGGTGACCGGGCGCGACTCTGGCTGCTGTGCGCGCGCCGTTTTGGCTCTCGGCGGATCGGCGGCGAGGTTGCTGCGCAGCCGTGCCGGGCCAACACGCGTCGGGACGCTACATGTGGTCCCCAACACCTCACACAGCACACAGTCCGGAAGCGAGCGAGCGAGCGATGGAATTCTTTGCATGCCGAGGTTGTTGCGCATAGGTCGCCGAGCCACGACCCCACAGGGAGCTTCCAGATCTCACACAATATAAGCCCGTCGGTCTTGGCCCCTTTTGAGGAATGCAAACCATCTTTATTACGCCAGACAACTGCGCGACAAGAGACACCAACCACCACACTCCCCTTTCACCACCACCACCACCGCGTCTCACCATGGCCACCGGAGAGACACCCCCCGCCGTCCCGGCCCTCGCTGCCGAGACGAGCTCCACCGCAGGCGTCAACCAGCCCAGCGCTGCGTCCAGCAACCCCGCGTCCATCAACGACACGCCCTCGGTCCACTCGAGCGACGGCAGCAAGTCGGGTGGCGCCCCCGAGCCCCCCAAGATGCCCAAATGGCGCTTCTGGGCCATCTTCCTGTCGCTCCTCATGTGCGTCTTCCTCTTCGCCCTCGACCAGCTCATCGTCGCCACCGCCATCCCCAAGATCACCATCCAGTTCAACGCGCTGTCCCAGCTGCCCTGGCTGGCCTCTGGCTTTTTGTGAGTCGAGCACGGGTTCCGAGTCGACCGAGCGAGCGGCGACTTTTGCATCGTCGGTGTTGGGTCTTTTTCTTTTTTTGGCGCTGACACTGTCCTTATTATCCTTAATGTCCCTAAATTCCCCTACATTCCTAAATTCCTAAATGGCCCGTTCCGTTCCTGAAAATCCCCCCTAATCGTCAACAACCACAACAACAAAACCTCCTAATTCAAAAACACATGAATAGCCTCCCGCTCTTCGCGCTCAACCTCATCTACGCCCAGTGCCTCGAAATCTTCCCGTCCAAGCATGTCATCATGTTCGCAGTGTTCATCTTCGAGGTCGGATCGCTCCTGTGCGGCGTCGCGCCCAACATGGTCGCCCTGATCTTTGGCCGTGCGGTTGCTGGTGCTGGCGCTGCTGGAATGTGAGTGTGGCGGAGGCTGTGGCTCCACTACGGTCTGAAGACCTCCAGCTGACTTTTTTCTCTCCAGCTTCTCAGGCGGCATGGTGGTCATTGCCGAGCTTACGTCGCTTCACAACCGCGCGCAGTACCTCGCTCTCTTTGGCGTGGTGTTTGCCATCGCCTCGGTCGTCGGTCCCCTCGTGGGCGGTGCTTTTTCCGACCACGTCTCGTGGAGGTGGTGCTTGTGAGTTTCAGCCGGGAGTCGTCTGTGCACACCGCCGTCACGATCGCTGACACACCCTCCCCCCCTCCAGCTACATCAACCTCCCCCTCGGCGGCATTGCGCTCGTTTCGCTGGGCGTGTTCCAGCCCTCGCTCCCGCCCATGGGCCGTAGGCGCAACTACCAGGGCTACAGCAAGTACATGCTCCACCAGTTCATCCGGTGCGACTGGGTGGGCGCTGCGATTGCCATGGCGTGGGCCGTGTGCTTTATCCTCGCGCTGCAATGGGGCGGCGTTGACCATGCGTGGAACTCGGGGTCGGTGATTGCGTGCCTCGTCATGGTCGGTGTCCTGCCGCCCATCTTCTTCGCTTGGGAGATGTTTGTCGGTCCCGAGCGCGCCATGTTCAAGCTCCGCCTGTTCGCGCGCCGCACCATTTTCGGCGCGGCCGTCTGCCTCGCGTTCCTGTTCGGCGTCATGATGATCGACGTCTACTACCTGTCCGTGGCGCTGCAGGCCGTGTACCGCTTCTCGGCGACGGCGGCCGGTGTGCGCCTCCTCCCGCTCATCATGAGCCAGGTGGTCGCGCTCATTGCCAGTGCGCGCATCATCCCCAAGCTGGGCAGGTACAAGTGGGTCATTGTCGCGGGCCCCTGTTTCCTCGCCCTCGGCTCGGGCCTCCTCTACACCATCAAGTACGGCACGCCCATTGCCAACCTGTACGGCTTCCAGGTCCTCATCGGTATCGGTGTCGGCATGTCCCTGCAGAACTGCATGCTCGCGATCCAGTTTGAGCTCAAGAAGGAGCCCCAGTTCATCTCGGCCGGCGTCGGCATCGGCACGTTTACGGGCTTTGCAGGCCGCATCATCGGCATCTCGCTTGCCGGCAGCGTGTTTGAGAACATGATCCAGGTCAACTTGCACAAGTATGTCCCGCAGCTGTCCGAGGCGCAGGTCATGGAGGTGGTCAACGACGCGGGAGCCGTCTACTCCATGATCCCCGAGGAATACCGCACCCAGACGCTCGTGGCGTACACCCAGACCCTGCGTCTCGTGTACATTATCGGCCTCCCGTTCGCCGTCTGCGGCATCGCCGCCGCGCTGCTCATCAAAAACTCCAAGATGCCCACCAAGGCCGAGGAGCTCGAGCGCAAGCGCGAGCGCGACGAAAAGGAGGCCGTCCTCGATGCCGAGCACGCAAAGGCCCAGGAGGCAGGTGCCGCCACGGACAACAACGGGTTGCGCTACGACCGCGAGGACAAGGTCGCCGACGTCGAGGCCGAGCCCAAGGCCGCCGACACGGGCCGCGCATAAGTTGAACCGTAGTGTGCTCCCCGCGTTTTAATTAGAGTGCACAAGTCGGTGGCGGGGCGTAGACACAGAGTCTACACTATATAGTTTATGTACATCTATTTTATTTTATTTTAGCTTTACAGGATATATGTTATACCTGTTTCCAGCGCTTGAGCAAGACTCTGGTGGGAATTCAATGTGTGCGCGTCACGCACCTAACAAATAAACCAACGCAACCGAGCAACCGAGCAACAGGTGTGTCCTATTTCCCTGCCTGGTTGTTCTGTTCCTAGTCCAAAGTGTCAACAACAATGCCATAAAGACGCACAAAGTTGATAGGGGGGGGCAGAAAGCAGACTCAAGGTTCATTATGTACCGTCATACTCTCCGCCCTCGCCTGATCGAGAGCACGGTACCTCGGCGCAGGAACGGCCTCTGTACCTCTGTCGCGCTGCGATGGGTAGACAGGCAGCCGTTGCTGGACTGGGCCAGCGTGCTTACGCGACGTGACGACGGGCGACGGGCGACGACGCGTAGCATGCGCGACTGCGAATATTGGGGACGGACACCGCCCATGTTCGTCATTGTGAATGGGGGGCTCGTCGATCGCGAGGGACCACATAAGAGTATAAGAGTATATCCGGGCAGGGGGGGGGGGGGGGGGGGGCTAGAACTCCTAGAAGCCCGGTAAAAGGCGAGATCGAATGGAAAAGGAAAAACGGTCAGACCGTCAGATCGCGTCAGAGCGTCAGAGCACAAGACACACGCCCAACTGCCGTAGATCCGCACGTCCACGGTGGGACATGGCACTGACACCAGCACTGGGACATATGGGTCATATGGGCTCGAGGCCCAGACGGCGCCGCCGTTCCACTGGCAACCCTTTCACGTGTCTCGTCATGTCTCATCTGACGAGACGGCATCGGGGAGAACGGGAGAGTGGGGTACAGTGTGTGGCGCCGGGAGAATTACAACACGCGCCTGGAGGCCTGGAGGGGCCCACAGCAAAAGGAGACGAGCAATGGGCAGTTTGGTTGGGGATGCAGCCCGCAGCTGTCCCCTGTATGCGCCGGCGCCGGCGGCGTGCACCTCTGGAATGACTTGTGAGGTGTGATATGAGTGTGTGCCCATATTTTTCAATACACAGTGTCGGAACGGACGGCCTGGACGGTGGGAGACGAGTTTTTCCTTCTTGACCCCCCACAGGCCACAGGGTGTGGTGGGACTTGTGAAGGGCCAGGCCCAGTGCGTTTCAGCGGCCATGAGAGAGTGGGTTGGGTGGGTGGGTGGAGTTTGCCGTGCGAATAGTACGTACACCCGACGCTGGCTGGCTGGCTGGGGAGAGAAAAGAAAGGGCGGCAATGCCGTAGCGTAATTGCTCCGCGCGCACCTGGTGACTCAGGACAGTCGCTCTCTGCTAGCGGGGCAGCGGGCAGGCGGGCAGAGAGGACCAAGGCCGGCGCGCGAACGAGAGCAGACGGATGAGACGTCGGTGGCATGGTGAGACAGCATGTGGTGTGTGTGATGGAGAGACGTGTGACCTGTGTGCAACAACCGAATTCCACAGTCCTTGCTTCCTTCCACACCCATACTCATCTTCCCTCTACATCAACTCGCCCTTTTCCGTCGTCGTCGTTGCTGCTGGCACCCTTTGTTGCTGGCCATTCCACGTCACCAGCCCCCCCTCCCGTGCCCCCCTGGTACTTGATCGCCAGTGTCTCCCTCCCTGAACAGAGGATACGGGCAGCTCGACACCAGCGACTCGTTTTTCTAGCGTGTCGTGTGGTCTGTGTTTGCATTCAGCACACAACACATTCCCATCCTCCCATCCTCGCCCATCCTCCAGCGTTTGGAACGGAGCAGCAAGACATACACACAAGGAGGACTCGATCAGGTTGTTCTGGCCCTCCCTCGTGTGCATATCCCGTCGATAACAACGATCCCATCAGACACAACATACACAGTCCCCCGTACACATTCGCCGCATCTCTCTCTCTTTCTCTTTCTTCTTCCCTCTCTCTCTCTCTCTCCATTCCACAGCAAGCACCCACCCCCTTTCTTCCTCTCCCCTCCCCTTCCCTCCAACTCGCACGACCAACAGTGCCCGTGCACTCTCAACCTCGACACTCCCCCCCGCTCCCTCGTTCCCTCCCAGCGACACCGTACATCCACGTACCCCTCCTCCACAGCGCTCCCCGCACGCCTGCGCAGCCGCCTTCCTCCCCCGTCTGTTCCAGCCTGCCAGACACCACGCCCGCTCGCGCGCGCGCATAAACGCCCACACAGACGCCTCATATCCATTGCCCCGTCTGTCGCATTCTCCAAAGTCTCCACCATCCACGCGCGCACGGTTACAGGACCCCCCCGTCTGGCCTCTGGATCAATCGTCTTCCTCTCCTCTCTCGTGTCCCCAGAGCCGCAAACTCTCTCGAGACCACCTGCTATAGCAATCACTGCCCCCCGCCCCTGCAGCTCTCTCGGATCCCCCCCCTCCCCCGCCCTCGCGTCTTCTTCTCTTCCCCGCCGGACGACAATGACCGCGATGAGCCCCGTCCGCAACCGCTTCGACTATGCATCAGCCATGCATCCGTGAGTCAAGCAGCATCTGACCGAAAGAGGACGCAGCGAGAGAGCGAGAGAGCGAGAGAGCCAGCCAGCCAGCCAGCCAGACAGCATGTGAGCCATAGGCACCCGTGTGGTCCCTTTGGACGCAAAAGGCGGCGGCCAGGACGCCGCGTAGAAGCCATTTTCGCGCGCCCAAGTGCGGCCGTGCTCTACCGCTCTGCGGGCTGCACACATCTGGAACACGGTCTGTACGCCGTGCCGCCGAGACCACCACACCCCCATGCCCCCGGCGCTAAAGTCCACCCGCCTACCCAAACAAACGCACCGGGAGGGGCGGGGCCAAGACCCATGGGCCATGGGCCATTTGGCCATTTTTGGGCCATTGAGCCCAGTGCCAGTAGCGCCGCGTGGGCTGGACACGATGGTTTGCATGGTTTGGCCGGCGCCGTACAGTGGCGCAGGTGCAGGCAGGTGCGGGGGTATCGTGCTGGCTGGCGGCGGCGGCGGCGGCGGTGGTGGTGATCCCTCTTGGCTCTCCTGCGTGTCTGTTTCTGTTTTGCCGTCGTGCGTGTCTCATCTCTCATCAACTGACACTTTGTTCTCTCCCTCTTCTTCTTTTCTCTTTTCTCCACGCCCCGCCCCACCACTCCCCTCCCTCTCTCCCCATCCATCCATCCATCCACCCCATCACCCACCTCGCCGTCATCCTCGCATCCCGCCTCCCCGCCCTGTTCGGACCCACCCGTGCACGCCCCCCGGACGCCGCCACCGGACGCCGCCTGCGCCATTCCCGCCCCCCTTCCCCAACCTACCCCCCTCCGCCTGTAACGCGCGACCGTCCCGGGCCCGTCTCACAACGTCGTCGTTGCGTTTGCGCCGTCGCTCTCCCCCAACTCGGTCTCTCCTGTCTCTGTGTCTCCCTCTCTCACTCTCACTCCTCTTTCCACCTCCATCCATCCACCCTCCCACGCATCCATCACACACCATGCAACACTCGGTGCCCGCACGTCATCGATCGTCCTCCACCCCGGACCGGTCCCCGCACTCGCCCATCTCGCCCAAACACTCGCGTCGCATCCCGTCACCACCACCCCTGTCGGCAACGTTTCCACGCGGCGCGCGCTCTCCCATCATCTCCCCCTCGGCACTCCACAGCACATCCTCCCTCCGCGACCCTCCCCCTAACGCTACCCCGCCCGGCGGTAGCCGCTCCCCCTCGGCGTCGGGCCCGCGCGACGACGACCGCGACGACCGCAGGAAGGGCAAGGGCCGTGAACGCGAACGCGATGAACCGTGAGTAAGAAAGAGACCACCCCGGGGGGACAGGCTGCCCAAGCACGCCGGTGATGGGGATGGCCAGTTCTCATACCGAGGACCGGCCTGGACCTCTGTCCTGATGGTGTTGGGAGGACACAGGTGTCATGCTTCTTCACCTCTTGTGTAACACAAATCCCAAACCCCAGCCCCTGCGCCGCCGCAATGTTGCTGACCTCTTCTCTTCGCTTCTCATGACCACATGTCCCCGCCGTCCACATTCCCTGCTGCCAACCACCCACCACCTGACCGGCCCATCCAGCATCGAGGACGACCTGCGCCCAGAAAAGCGAAGCAGGTTAGGCCGCACCGGCGGCGGCCGTCCTGGCAACGACTCGCCGTCCAAGCCTGTTAGCGGCCCGTCGCCGTCGTCCGAGACCGCGCCATCCAAGAGGGGCCCTCCCCAGCTCCCGCCAATCAAGCCTATTGGCTTTGCAGCGTCGCGTGAGGCGCGCCGCGAGGACGGCACGGCCGACCGCGCCATCCCGTCGCCTGTGGTCATGGGCTTTGACTTTAAGACCATTGACGAGGAGCAGCTCAAGACAGTGAGTGGAGGACAAGGTAGCTATGGCTGACACTGTCTCCAGGTTCGCGACACGATTAGCATCAAGGAGCAGCAACAGGCACTCATTGCCCAGCGACGAAAGGAGATGGCCGCTAGCCAGCCTACCACGCCGCGCGAGTTGACCTTTAAGGGATGGACGCCCAAGGACCCCGAGAAGCGCGGTGTCGGGGCGCGTCGCGAGAAGATCCGCGACAAGGTCGAGCGCATGAGCATTGTGACGACGTCAACCGACAAGGACGTTGTCCCCGGGTCCAAGAGCGCGCCGCTCAACCAAGGTCTGGCATCACAGCAGCAGTCGCCGCGTGAGCCTCCTTCTGGATCACAGACGGCGATGCCTCACAACATTCTTCCTCCGATGCACTACCCGAGCCACGGCCACGGCGGGCATGGCGGAGGCCACCACCTGGCCGACCTGCGGACTGCGCCCCTTAGCCACTCCCGGCGCCACCACGAGGAGAGTGCCTTTGCTAGGCAGCAACAGCCCTACTACCAGGCGCAACAGCAGGCGCAGCACCGCTCCGGCGCGTCGGGCTCGGCGTCGAACCAGTCTGCCAGCCGGTCGCAACAGCAGCAGCAGGACCCCCGGGGTGACCCTCGCTACCCTCCCGACCTTGGTCCGCGCTCCGCTCTGCCGCCTACGACTGCCGACCGTCGCAACTTTTCCGTTCCCAGCCTGCAGCAGCAGCACAGCAGCTCGCGGTACCCACTGTCACCGCACGCGCCGCCAGGCCCACCACCGCCTGGCCCGCCTCTGCCCGGTCCTGGTCCCGGTCCATCGTCTGCGCGCCCGTCCAACGGCGTGAGCGGCCACCGCGCCAACGGCTACTCTGTCAGTCCCTCGCCTCCCAACCATCTGCGCGAGCAGTTTCTGGCCCCCTTCAGCCAGCTGTACGACATGCTGTCGTCTGTCGACGGACTGCGGTACCAGCTGCAGGACATGATCCACCGGACGGAACAGGCGTACCAGAACCAGATGCAGGCCAACAACGAGTTCAAGTCGACAGCGGCCCAGGCAAGCTCGCTGCTCGGCACGCTGCAGCAGTCGGCCGACTCGCTCAAGGAAATGGTCCGGTACGAGGTGGACCGCTCGGCCGGCGCGGACCGCCGCGAGGTGGACGAGCTGCGCGACCGTGTGCGCTCGCTCGAGGACAGGCTCTCCCAGCGTTGAGACCCCAGGGTGTAGGTGTAGGTGTACCACACCCGCACGCTGGGTTTTTATCAGCTATAAGAGGACCTGTCCGGTTCGGTGTTTTGGGCCATGGGCAAGGACTAGGGACGGTACCGCGTGCGCCGGGCCGGAGTTGCGACCTTTACCTTTCTTTTTTTATCCTGTGTCGCTAGTTAGTGTCCCTTGCCTGTCCTTTTTTCGTTTCTCTGTTTTCCCAGCTTATCTCCCCTTGGTTTTTGCTGTGACTCCCCTTTTGCCATCAACGAAGCATGCGCTCTCTCCCTTTCCCCCCTCCTTCCCCCCCTTCTTTCTCGTCCGCCCCCTCTCCCCTCTGTACCACAAATAGTCTCTCTGTCTCTGGGTCATGTCAATGTTGCGCCGTTGCACCCCCAACTCCAAGCCCTCGTTCGGCGTGTGTCCCTACAGGGAGCAGAGATAGTGGCAAGAAGACGGTGGAGGAGGCAGTGGGTGGGGTCGGTGGACGGACGGGGTTGTGTGGTGGTTGTTGGGATTCAGGGGAATCACCTGGCAGACACAGGAACACACTGTCCGTCAGGACACACCCCCGTTGCAAAAATCCTCTCTGCCAGCGAGCGAGCGAGCGATTCGAGACTGTCCGCCATTGACGTCTCTGGCGCACGCATCAATTGGGACCAACACCGCACGTTGCTCTCTGGCTCTCTGGCTGTTGGCATGGCTTGCATGGCTGCATGGCTTGGGTGTGCTTCCTTGCAACATTTCGTGGCACAGACCATCAGGGGTATAGGGGGGTCGATGGCTTGGCGCGCAGGTGGGTAGGTCGAGAAGTGGGTTCTTGTACTCTTGTTCGATACCGTCATCTGAGCGAGCATGCATGCATCCACAGCACATTCATTCCCAGTGCAAGAGTGTGTGTGCAGTGTGCCAAGGTCATTTGCATGCATGACTGTCTGACACACTATCAGTTGATATTCGTGTTATTTTTTGGCATGTTGTTGCGTGCTCTCTGTGTTTCTTGGTTATCCGAGTCGCTGCCGCATGCGCGCATACATCACACTCCCCCAGGCACCCCAGAACGAACCGGTCGGGTCCTCGTTTTCCAATTCCCCTTTGGACGGACAGAGTGACCACCCACAAGTCGGTCCTCTCCCCTTCTCTCTCGTCTGTCTCTCATATGCAGTGAACAACCCCCCTCACATCCAACACATCCACATCCACATTTACTACCTCACATCCATCCACTACTGCCCTTCGCCCCAACCACGCTACTCGACGCTTTTCGCGGGCACGGCGTATATATCAATCCCCCCGGGCGAGATCTCTCTTCCCATATTTGACCACAGCCTCATCCCCCCAGCCACGGCCACAACCGATAGAGGCAGCGCCTTATCCACAACCCGCCAACTCCCCCCTTCCCCCCTCCCCCTCCCCCTCCCCTCCCCCATCCCCCGTCCCCCTCCCCCTCACCATGACATCCCCATTGCATTCCGTCAAAGTGTTCGACGAGACCGTGGCCGCAGACGACAACCCCTGCGCGGCGTCCTTCTCCGAGAACCACTTTGGCCTGCGTATCGGCGCAATCTTCATCATCCTGGTCACCTCGGTGATTGGAACGCTCCTGCCCATCGTCCTGCGCCAGAGCAACATTGTGCCCCGCGCAGCGTTTGAGTGAGTCACAGTGGGCGGCGGTCGTGATGGATGTCGTGACGGGTGTGTGATAATTGGCCGTCCCCTCCGGGCGAAACACATGTGCCACAGTCATCATATGACACAACCCACCTTTTTGTGTTTCCATCAAAAACACCTTTGCTGACGCATCAGTTTTGCAAAATACTTTGGCTCGGGCGTCATCATCGCCACGGCGTTCATCCACCTGCTGGCCCCTGCGTTCGAGGAGCTGGGGTCGGAATGCCTCTCGGGGACATGGACAGAATACAGCTGGGCGCCTGCGATCGCCATGATTGCCGTCTTCTTCATGTTCTTCGCCGAGGTCGCCGCGTACCGCACGGGCACGCAAAAGCTGATGCGCCTGGGTGTCGAGTACTCGTCGCACGCCGGCGACGAGACGGACGCGCACGCCCACTCGCACAACCACGACCCGCCGCTCGACATTGACACGTCGGCGCCCGAACACCCCGGTCACGTCCACCCATCGGGCATCCCGGCCGCGACGGCAAACGACGGCGTCGACCACCACATCCACCTCCCTGCCAACCCGCTCTCGCACACGTTGTCCCACTCGCACGCGCACACCCCGCACGCCCACGTCCAGGCCCAGGCCAAGGCCAACGGTCACGGGCACAGCCACGGACACGGACACGGACATGGCCACGGCCACGGCCACAAGCACGAGAAGCGCGACAAGGACCCCGAGTCGCTGTCCGACTCGAGCTCGCTGGGCCAGGGCCCGTCCGAGGCCGAGACGGCCGCGCAGCTCGTCGCCGTCGGCGTGCTCGAGTTTGGCGTCATCCTCCACTCGATCATCATCGGCCTGACCCTCGCCGTCAGTGACGAATTTATCATCCTGTTCATTGTCATCATCTTCCACCGTGAGTAGAAAGCAACGGAACCCGCCGTCATTTTTATGGGACGTACGCTGACACCCTTTGCAGAAATGTTCGAGGGCCTCGGTCTCGGCTCGCGTCTCGCGGGCCTCCAGCTGCCCGACCGCATGTGGTACGCGCGCTACGCCGCCGCGGTCCTGTACGCCATCTGCACGCCCATCGGCGTCGCTGTCGGCCTGGGAATCCGCTCGAGCTACAACGGCAACGGCCAGGCAGCCATGATCGTCACGGGTATCCTGGACGCGACGTCGGCCGGCATCCTGCTGTACACGGGCCTCGTCGAGCTGCTCGCCCACGAGATCCTGCTCAACCCGCGCATGATGAAGAGCAGCAACAAGAAGCTCGCGTACGTGTTCACGTGCATGAGCCTCGGCGCCGGCATCATGGCCCTGCTTGGCCGGTGGGCTTAGAAGAACACAGGCAGCACAGAGGCGCACAGACACAAGAGTAGTATAGTAGTAGTAGCAGCATCAGTACCCTCATTCCATACCCCCACCCCCATACAGCTCTCCCCAACCACCCATCCCCATCCCCACCCCCATTCAATCTGCCCAGCGCTAAGGCGCCGGGAATCATGTTAATATAGACTTTACTTGCATATGTATTCCATCGGAACAGAACAGCACGACGTGCACAGCTGCCAGAACGTCTCAGCGCGATCAGCGCAGCCTTCTACCACAAACAAGGACAATGAGAGCAATGTTCGCCAGACGGGCCACCACCGCATCTTCCGGGCCATGTACCCCGGCAATTCGCGGACCGCCGCGCCGGCGTCGTCCGTCGCGCGTCGTGTGTGTGTGTATCCTGTGGGCGTGTGATTTGACTACATTTTTGATGATTTTTTGGAAATTCGCGAGGACCCGAGCGGTCACGCGTCATGCGTCAAAACGAGCAAAAACGTGGGATGATGGATCAGGAGCGGTGGTGTCCTTGGCATGTCCTGGCATCCTGGCATCCTGGCAGCATCCTGTGTACCTGTGTGGCCCTGCGGTCGTGGCCGTGCCCCCCTCGGCGTCATCACTGCCAGCCTGTGGGTCTCTGACAGCAGGCTCCAAACAAAGTCACAGCAAAGTGACACGCACAAGCACGTCGCATATATTACCATTACGAAACAGCACCATGACATCCCCGCAGCCCACTATATCGGCCGCGACTTGCCCTCCTTCTCCATCTCGGCCAGGCCCACCGCGGCGACCTTGACAGCTTCTTCGCGCTTGGCGCGCCAGTCCGCACTGGCACGCGGCACGCCGTCGCGCGCGTCGGCGCGCAGCGTGCGCGCATAAAAGCCCGAGAACCGCCACCGGCCCGTCTTCTCGACGGCCGGCTCGTCGGCCACAAACTCGAACCCGTTGCGCATGAGGATGGCCGCCGACGCCGGGTTGTTGTACTCTATCCACGCGCACATTTTGCCCACCTTCATCCAGGGGACCACCCAGCCGGCGAGCACGCACGCGACGGCCTCGGTGGTGATCCCGCGCCCGCTGTACGCCGGGTCGAGCACGTACCCCATCTGCCACACCTGCGCCTCGGGGGCGAGCGCGAGCATGTCGGCGGGCGTGATGTCGCTGGCGCGCTTGTCGGGCATGTCCGGGTGCACGCCCTGGCTCTCGGTCATGGGCGCCATGTGGTAGTCGCCCACGACCTTGCCGGTCGATACGGACCGGAGCGTCTTGAATGGGAACGAGGCGATGTGCGCGTCGGCGCGCGCGGCGAGCGGCGTGGTCGCGGCGGCCGAGGCCGTGTCTGGCAGCGGCGCCGCGAGCGCGTCCACGAGCTGCGCGACGCTGGCCCTCATGAGCGGCTGTGTGCCCGCGACCCACTCGTCGACATAGGTCCGGTCCATCCTACCGTCGTCAGCGCTGCTGCTGGCCAATAACCGCGCACACTCACGGCCAGGGGAGGGTGTATAGCCGTTGTCCGATGGACTTGTGGTTGAACAGCGTCACCTGGGTAGGTCAGCTCGGTCAACACAGACGGGCCCAACTGCCCAGCTCGGGATCTCTTTCGCTCCTTCCCTCCTCCTCCCCACTCACATACTCGTCCTCGATACCGGCGCGGAACGGCGTCAGCCGCAGGTCGGGAAAACTGGGCAGCTGGAGGTACGGCTCCTCCCTCTCCGGGTCCCACCGGACACAGGTGGCCAGCGCATGCTGGTACTCTGGCGAGTCAAAGGCGGGCTTGGGCATGGCGTGTGCGATGCCAATACGGTAAAAGTGGATTAGAACAGCGGGGAGGGGAATGCGGCGAAGATATTAAGTTTCTCTGACCGCTCGATTGAGTCAGCTGGCACGTTGGTGTGTACAGAGCAACGTCGAGTCGGGGGAGAGATGCAATGTCGTTCTTGTCGACGCCGATGGGATGGCACCACATGGGCCCTCTCGCTCGTTAACGGGTTTGCGGTTTGTCGGATCCGTGCGGGTCCGGCGCTTATCGCGAGGCACGGTCCCGGGGTGTGCCACGTGCATTTGCTCCCGCTCACCCCCACCTCCGGAAACTGCGGCCACTGCCGCAAAATCGCTTAGCCACCCACACGCTCGCACCTCTCTCATGCATGCCGTTCGTGAGTACGCAGTGTGGAAAGAGAGACCTCCCAAAAAGTTGGAGATACGGCGAATCGAACGCCGGTTACAGACAGGTCTCAACAGATGTTGCGAAGTCTGTGTCTTACCACTAGACGATATCCCCGTTTGGAGATAGTGGGATGGAAAAAACTGCGCCAGCGTGGTTATATACTGGAGCTGAACAATTGGAGGAAAACCGTCATAATCGGAGAATGGCTTATAGACACCTGTAGGAGGTAGGCAAGGTGGTGTTGGACGAGTACGGAGTGCTGCGAGATGCGGGACACCGTGCTAGGCCAATCGGGTTGCTCAGGTCCCCCTCTCTGCCACATGAGAACAAATACCATAACAAAAGTCACACACAACCACTAACGGAGGCCGCTACTGCCCACGACCTACAGCTACGACGCGCTGCGCGCCACGGCAAGACGCTCTTCCAAGTCGCCCGGTCCGTGGAACCGCTTGCGCCCGTCGATGACCCACGTCGCGCCGCACAGCACGGCGACGATGCCGATCACGACAATGACATAGTTCATCGTCGAGCCCGCTACGGGGATGAACGGCGGGAAGATGAAGCACACGGTCGTGACGAGGAGGAAGGCCATGGCGATGATGTTGATGGGGCCTGGGTGTTCCTGTTAGTTGCAAGTACATACACGAGTGAGCTGGCTGTCTGCTGGACTCACGGCGCCACCGGCCCAGGCTCCAGCTCTGCTCGTAGCCCTCGTAAATGTCTCCACCGCGGACGATGAGGAATGCCACTTTGGTCGTCAGTTTAGTTTTTGCCAGTAGTGTGCAGAAACGGAAGCACCCACACCACTCACTGGGCACAATGTACGAGATCTGCAAGAGGACGACAGACGCCGACACGATGGCGTTGAGCGCGACGGACGAGCCCAGCGAGATACACCCAAACGCCAGGATCCAAAAGGCCACAAAGACGACGGCCCACAGGGGGCTCTTGAATGTCGGGTGGACGGCGCCGAGCCACGGGGAAGCGGGGCCCATGCCGCGGTCACGCGCAAATGACCACACCATGCGCGAGGCAATGGTCGTCAGGCCCTGGCCGGCAAAGAGCATCGAGCCGAGGTTGAACATGACCAAGCACGTGGCCTGGGGGTCAGTGGGGGGAGGGGGATAATCTTGGGGGGGGCGACTCACAGCCGTGCGCGAGGACGTGGCCTGGTGGTACACTGCCAGAACGGGGCCGGTGGTCGCGGTCATGACAGACTCGAGGTCCTGCGCGACAAACAGGTAGATGACGAGGAAGATCCAGGCCGTCGACGATCCGAGCAGGACGGACGTCATCCTGTGGAGAAAAGAGTCAGCACTGCACCCCCAGCCACCACACCCTTCCCACTTACATAACCTTTGGCGCGTTCTTGGACGGCTGCGGCATCTCCTCAATCATGTGGCTCACGGCCTCGAACCCCGTCAACCCGAAGAAGCTCTGCAGCAGGCCCAGCATGAACGCCATGCCGTCGGGCCAACCCGTCTCGTTGGTAAACGTCGTAAACACCTCTTCGCCCGAGTTGAAGTCGCCGCTCGAACAAGCCAGCAGCGTGATGGCGACGGTCACAAAGCCGATAAACCCCCACAGGCCCGCGATGCGGTCCACGAGCGGCAGGAGACGGACGGCAAACGCGTTGAGGAGGAACGACGAGAGCGTAAACGCCACGTAGAGGAGGAAGAACTGCCACGTCTGGATCTCAAACGATGGGTGCCACAGCGCAATAATGCTGGGGACAGGTTAGCTGGGGGAGTCTATACACTGTGAGAGTTGGCCTTACCCTGCAACGTAGTTGGCGCCCAGCTGAGATGCGGTGGCGGCCAGCGAGATCCACCCGGCGGTGGCCATCCAGCCAACGAAGAAGGAGAGGCTGCCACGGAAGGGCGCGGGCACAATGATGTCTGCACGTCAGTTGAAGCGTCCAACTCTACTCAGCTGCTCACAGGTCCAGTCGTATTGACCGCCAGACATCGGGAACGCGTTACACACCTCGGCACTGGGCGTCAGCACCTCGTCCATTCCGTGGACCCCGCTTACAATGATATACAGTTCATCATGGTACCGAACGCAGCGACCAGCAGGCCCCACACCACGGCCACGGGCCCGCCAGACGGCAGTGTGAGCTGCAACGACGCGGTCATTGCGTTCCACGAGTTGAGCATGGCGAATGCCAGACCGAGACACGACAGAAACGAGAAGTTGCGCTCCATCTCCACCTCGGTGCCGTACTCGTGCGCATGGCTCTCGCGCCGCTTGAGGTCCGTCCCCGCCGGCAGAGTCGAGACGCTCGCGGACCCGTGGCCGCCTTCCAGGTGCTTTTCTGTGTCGGTCATGAGTGGTGAGGGAGTGAGTGATAAGGAAAAAAGAGGACCTCCACGGCCGACACAGCACATGTTATTTATGTCGTGCGCCGGCGCTATCATCCCAGTCCGCCGGTACTCCGGCACACACACCTCTCCTCCCCGCACACCATCCTGCGCGGCTCCGGGATCCACCCCGCACGCGCCCCGACAGATACCTGTGGGGACCGTGAATGGTCGCCGCCGTGCCGCCGTCGCCCCTCGGCGTCGTCCGCGAATAGTCTGACCCGTATAGACACAACCGCGCTGGGACCACTGGTAGCCGACGGCAAAGGGATGATGTGAGGGTTTTGCGTTTCGCAGGCCCCCCAACCCCGAGATCTGCGCGCCAGGCTGAGCATATAACTGGAGCGGCGACACACCGACGCCGACGTTAAGCGCGCAGAACAACGTTCTGGCCGTTCTGGGCCGGGGAACATGTGACTTTGCGCGGCGCTTATCGGCTCGGCGGCGCGTATGAGCGCGCTTGTGTCCTGGCGCGCACTTGCGCGCTTGCACAGCGGAGATGCCGGTCCCCACGGGGTATCTGCCTATTCACGTCTCGGGGTCTCTCGGCATGCTACTGGCCTACTGGTGCTCTCGCATGTGGGCAGCGGATATGCGGATGGCTTTCGCTCGCTCGAGTTGATCCGGCAGAGCAACGCCGACTCGCTCGCCGCTCGCCTTTTTACCCTCTGCTATAAGTAATCAGCTCTGGCCGCAATCGCATCCTGCGATCCCACTCTTCCCCCTCTTCCCTACCCGTCTACCTCACCCAATCTCCCACACGATGCGCTCAGCACTGGCCGTATCTGTTCTCGCCCTTGCGGCATCTGTGACTGCCAAGCAGGAGCTCTGGCGTGAGTGATACTGTTGTTATCTCGAGAGGACCATCTGTCTGACGCGCTCGCAGAGGAAAAGTATGGCGGTACGCCCGACCTCCCGTTCTCTGGTGTTGCCGGGTTTGCGCGCCTGCCGCACGCGGTCTGCCTCGAGGAGCCTGGCAGGGGCTTTGATATCGCTGTTCTCGGCATGCCGTTTGACGTGAGTAGAGCGAGTGTATGAGCCTGCTGCAAACCCATGCGACAGCTGGACGGAGTGCACCCCGCTAATGCCCAGACGGCCGTCTCCTACCGCCCCGGAGCGCGCTTCGGCCCGCACGCGATCCGTACGGGCTCGCGCCGTGTTGGCCCCGCGAGGTCGTTCCTCTACCCATGGGGCTTCAGCATTGGCCAGGACTCGGAGCTGGACATTGTGAGTTGTACAACCTGTCCCTCAGCTGACCTCCAGATTGACTGCAACGACGTGCCCGTGTCGCCGTACGACAACGCACTCGCCATTGACGAGATGCAGGTGGCGTACCAGACGCTCATCAACCGCCCGACCACGTCCAAGAAGACAAAGTACACCTCGGGGCTGGCCAAGGACGGCGAGGAGCACCCGCGTATCCTCACGCTGGGCGGCGACCACACCATCGTGCTCCCCATCCTGGGCGCGCTGCATAGTGTGTATGGCCCCATCTCGGTGCTGCACTTTGACGCGCACCTGGACACTTGGAACGGAAACGAGCTCGGCGGCGCCCACACCGAGCAGCACAAGGTGGTGAGTTTGGATAGAAGCAGTGTACATGGTCGGTCTTATCTAACATGCCAGACCCACGGCACGTTCTTCTGGAAGGCCCACGAGCTGGGATACATCAACAACCGGACATCGGCCCACGCCGGTATCCGCACCCGCCTGTCTGTGAGTTTTCCCAGTGGACCTCTGGGACCTCGTTTCGCTGACACCCTGCCCAGTCGTTCAGCGACCTCCTCCACGACGAGGCTGTGGGCTTCCAGGTCTTCTCGACCGACGACATTGACGACATGGGTCCCGAGGGCGTCGCCGCGGCCATCAAGCGCCGTATCGGCGACACGCCGTGCTACCTCAGCTTTGACATTGACACCATCGACCCGTCCATGGCGCCTGCCAGTGAGTCACACCGCGACTTGTTTTTGCCTGGCACCCTCAAACTGACCCCCCCTTCCTCCTTTATAGCCGGCACACCCGAGTCTGGGGGCTGGAGCACGCGCGAGGTCAAGCGCATCATCCGCGGCCTGGCGGGACTGAACATTGTCGGCGCGGACATTGTCGAGGTGTCGCCTGCATACGACACCAACGCCGAGCTGACGGCCATGGCGGCTGCCGACCTGGCGCTCGAGTTCCTCGCGCTCATGATCGCGCCGGATGGGCCTGTACCGGCGTCCAAGAACGGCGAGCTGAACGCTGCCCTCCGTGCGCACACTGCCGCGGGGACCAAGGGACGTGTCAAGCTCGTGGACCAGACGGGTGCGCGGGACGAGCTGTAAGTAGTGTTAGCAGTATGTTGGTGTGTGTGGAGAGAGATGTTATTGTTGTGAATACGCAAACGAAAAGACACAGGCCACAGGATGGACAGGCCCAAAAAGGAGCACTGTCCCTTTGTTTCTACTTTGGAGTGACGCGCCTGGGCGCCTGTTTTCCCTGTATGGGGGAGAGACGGCCCGTGCGCGTGCAATATAACGCTCCAGCCAGCCACCGAGCGTCCGCCGCCGCCGCCGCCGCGGACGACGACAACGCCTCCGACGACGAAAGGAGGCCCGTGCTCACGTATGTGTCCCTTGTGGGAAGCACAACACAACACACACTGTCATCCTCGCCTTCCCCCAATATCTCATTGTCTCTACTCATCGACCCCATCCATCCACCTCCATCCACCTCCATCCACCCCACCACCCATGCCACCACTGCCATGTCCGTAGACTACCACACCCCACTACAGCAAGCCAAGCGGCCACTCCTCAGCCAGTCCACCCCCGGGGCAAAGACAGAGTCCGTCGCCAGCCCCCCCTCGGCGGCCCAGTTCCCCCTCTCCGTCGGCGGCGGTCCTGCCCTGCCATCCACCCGCGACAATGCCCAGATCGAGTGAGTCTCTCCCACGTGCACCGTGCACATCAAAGAAAGGTGGCAACGAAGCATCGCGCGTACCAGGTATCACCCTCGCCCTGGTGAACAGAAGGATGCCCTCTTCCCCACACCCCTTGGCCCTCATTGTCCACGACACAGCTCTCTTGTTGTGTTGACGTACACATTGCCCAAATTCCGCCACCTTGCCATCCACCCTCTCCATCCATCCACCCTCTCCCTTCTCCCGCTGACACCTCGTCTCCAGCGTCAATGCCCTCACGACCAAGTTGATGGACATCTTCCGCTCGTCATACAGCGACATTGGACCCGACATCTCTGGCCGCGAACAGCGCAACCTCGCAGGTGCACCACGACCATTCCCGCCAGCCAGCGCACTGGCATTCCGCAAACCACCGTTCGTTAGTGGCGTGCCCACACCCGATCCGCAACCACCCACCGTCGCCGGCGGTCGCTCGAGCCACAGCCAGCACTCGCAACCACGGTCGCCAGAGTCGACCAAGCAGAAGAAGCGGGACCACCGTCGCAGGCCGTCGGAATCGTACACGCTCATCCCCGACGACTCCATCAGCCAGGTCAACTTTAACCGCCGGCGGTCGCCAGACGACGACGACCAGTCCGAGCCTCGATACGTCCAGCCGCCCAGGAGGCTTGACACAATGCGGCCCCCGACAATCGCCCCCTCCGTGACCATCATGGGGCCGTCCGAGGAGAACACAAACTCAAAGGACGGCAGCCTCCCAGTCCCATCAGCGACGTCTGTGCCGAGGAGCGCCCAGAGGTCCGCCACTGTGCAGCCGGTGTACGACGAGGACCCGTTTGACAGTCCTGCCTCAGAGAGCCTGCCGGCGTCAGTGATCGCGAGGAACATTCGCTCCGCTCGGCAGGCAGTCGGCGAGCCGGCCGACCTGACACCGGCGTCGTGGGCGCGCCAGGTGGCCGAGTCAACCAAGATATCCAACGTGGGGTCCAGGTCCGCATCCAAGGTGGGCTCGACCAAGGCGAGGTCCAGCATGACCACCACATCACCGCCCCGGGCCCGGTCCACCCATAGTGCCGCCAGGTCGGCCAAGCCCAGCGAGGTGCCCTCGGAACGGTCGCCGCCGGCCGCCCCGCCACAGCAGCTCAAGACGGTCGGCGCACAGATGGCAGAACAGCGTGCAGAGCAGCGCGCAAAGTCGTTGATAGGAGCCTCCCACACACCTGCGGTGGCGGGGGCGTCTCGTGCCGCGTCGCGCGTTTCACAGGCTCCCCCGACGTCGGTCTCTCGTGCCCCAGCGTCACGCGTCTCGGCGGCGCCAGCACCCGCCTCGGCAGCACCAGCTTCGCAAGCCCCGTCACGAGTGGTGGCACACTCCCCGCAGCGGACCGCCTCGTACATTCCCTCACAAGCACCTGCGCCGGAATCACGGGCACCGAGGTCGGCCATGTCTCTGACGAGTCAAGTGAGGGAAGCCGTCACCGTCGCCGCGTCGCAGGTCTCCGAGTCGCGGGTTGCGAGCGAGGCTCCGCCGCATTCGTATGCTTCAAGAGTTCCGCTTCTCGAGCATCAGTATCGCCAGCAGACCCCAGCTCCAGCTCCTCAGGCAGGACTGGGTGTGCCCCAGAGCAGCAAGCGTGCAGCATCGACTCTCCGCGGCTCAGACGGCGTCAGCCTGCGGTCGCCGTCTGGAGCCTACCTCCCCGAAGACCAGATGTCCACCATGCCCGCGAGCATGGTTGCGTACGAAGCCCGAATGTACGTATCCCACACCTTGTTTAGATCCCCCCCCCCCCCCCCCGGCTAACAAGAGCAGGAAGGACCCGCTGCCACGGAGCATGAGCGCCATGAGGGAAGGCCACCAGGTCGACCATCTGGCGCTCGCCGAGCGTATCGAGAGCCTGCGCGTCTCCGAGCTGGACGGCGAGCGCAAGCTCGGCGCAGCGATAAAGAGCATGGAGTTCAAGGACGAGGCTGTAAGGGCGCTCAAGCTCCAGCTCGTCAGCGAGCGTCTGCGCAACCTGTCGCTGGAGCGTGGCGCCAAGCAGGACCAGGCCAAGGCCGACGCCTACAAGAGCGAGCTGCACATGGCCACCGACCGCCTCCGCAACGCCTTGGACCAGAACAAGATCAATGCCGACGAGTACAAGAAGACGGTCACTGCCCTTGAGGCTACCCGCGCCGCGTGAGTGAAGTGACCGCGGTTCATAAAACTAACCTGCAGTCTTCTCAACTATCGGTCCGAACTCAAGGTCCAGCAGGCCATGCAAAACGGTGTCAACAAAGGTCGCCAAGAGGCATTTGAGGAGGCCGAGCGCTGGATCGGGGCGTTCCCTTTACAGACAAACTTCCCCAAACCTTCCAAGAGGAGTAAGCGGCCACGCCAGCCACAGGCTCCCAGTGGCGCAACGACCGATTTCTACCAGCCACAGGAAACGACGTTCCCTTCCTCCTCGGCCGTGGAACCATCGCTCGCACAGCAGTACCAGCAACAGGTTCAGGCGCAGGGCGATACTCACGTGTATCCCCAGCTGCCCAACCCGGCAGACTACCGGCCAGCCCAGTACCAGGAGGCTCAGCCGTACCAAGGTGGGACCGCTCAAGAGTACTATGCTGCCGCGCAGCCAGCGCAACAGCAGTACCAGCCAGAGGCCGCCCAGCAGGAAAAGTACCTGTACCAACAGGTTCCTCCCGAGCAATCCGCTGCAGCGTACCCCCAGGGCCAGCAGCTTGCCGCACAGCAGAGCAGCATCCCCGGCGACTGGACGCAGTTCCGTGACCAGCCCACCACGTATGCCGAGTCACAGGCTGCGTACGCGCCTGCTTCTCAGCAGCAGCAGCAGCAACAAGCAGCCGTCTATCTTCAAGCCGGAGCCCCAGCGTCGACGCAACCGTACCCCACACCAGCCCCGACATCACAGGCCTACACCTATGCGCAGCAGCGATCTGCAGCCGCAGCGACTCCTGCGCCAGTTCGGGAAGTTGTCCTCGTGCAGCAGGAGGCACCTCCTCCGCCCGAGAAGGAGTATATCCTTGTGCAGCCACAGCAGACCCAGCCCACCACCCCGGCACCCGAGCGCGTGTACATTCCTGTCCCATCGACGCAGCGTGGCACCACTCCTGCGCCGACGGCACCTCCGTCACACCGCGAGGCCATGTTTGTCCGGCCCGTCAGCGAAGCGCCGCCTACACCTGCCCCAAAGGAGGTGGTTTACATGGAGGTCGTGCCCCGTCCAGTGTCGCCCGCACCGCCACCTCCCGCGCCAAAGGAAGTTGTCTATGTGGCTGTCGCTCAGCGTCCCATCTCCCCAGCTCCCCAGGTACCGAGTTCCGCAAGTGTGGCCATGCCTCAAGCCCACCCTGTGCCATATCAGCGCAGCAACGCCGGTACATTGGCACCTGCAATGATCGCCCTTCCATCGTCAGTGGCGCCGTCGCGTCCCATCTCCGCCACCGGTACCCAACCGTCGTCGCTGCGCGTGGCGCCTGCACCCGATCTCCCCAACTTCACCTTGATGCCTCAGGCTGGCACCACTCGCCCATCGTCTGCCGCACCGTCCGCGCGGTCTGCGAGGATTGCTGTCCCGGCTTACGTCGAGGACGCTCCGCCCACACCCGTGGACGAGAAACCATTACCGCCACCCAAGACGCCGTCTGTCCTCCACCGCCCTCCGGGATCACAGGCGTCGGCGGCGCAGCACTCGGTTCCTTCGCGAGGCCCGTCCACACACCCGGGCCACCGCCGTGTCGTGAGCCAGCCCATGCCGCCGACCATGCCGGCCCCGCCTACCCCACACGAGAGGGGTCCTCTCGCAACCATGTCCGAACACCCTATTCTTGGTATCCCGCGCGCCGAGGCGTACGAGAATGGTTACCCGGCCTTTACACCTAGTCGCCCAGGGACTGCCGAGCCCAGTTCCCAGGAGTGAGTTGATTCGTCTGTACCACAGAGCTAACTCCCAGCACATCTGCCACCAGTAACGCCCGATCTGTCGCCCGCAACCGCGTTGTGGCTGGTGCCCTGCGCAACGGGACTGACATTGGCGACGATCCGCTGGAGGACATTACCGAGGAGAATGCGTCAGCACTTGACGCTGCCAACATTGAGCCGCCCGCCAAGGCGCCCATTACTCGCCCTCCATCCTCGGTGCGCATCCAAGAGCCCGGCCGAGCGCCCTCGCGTCCGGGCCAGCCGATGGTTCGCTCGACGCCAGCTGCGCCAATCACCAACCAACAGTTTGACGCGTTTTTCAACAACAGCAACGGCAACATTCCTCGCGTGGCAAAGTCGATGCCACCGCCAAAGGGCGAGCCGCAGTACAGTGGCTCGCTGAGGTCGGCACACCCTCCTCATGGCCTGAGCATTCCCGGTCGGCTGGCAGGCAGCGGCGCACCCGGTCCTGGACACCGCAGGGCGCGGTCAGATTACAGCGGGAGGGACTATGGCTCTGAACGCCCGTTCTTGAGCCAGCCCCCGGGCAACCAGAATGGGCTCGGTCTCTCGGGCCTCGAGCGCCTCGACCAGGCCGACCTCGTGCACCACGAAACGGGAGACGGACCAGTAAGCTCACTATTACCCCGGCAAGCTGACACTTTTTCTCTCAGGTGTTCCTCCAACAACCTGTGGGTTCTTCGCACCCTTCCCGCCCTGCCACCTCCTTCTTCCAACGCTTAAAGTGGATGTAACAACTCATGCATGTTTTAGAACACTAGTCGCGTCAAGACCCCAAACGACTCGGCCAGCCGTGTTGGATCGTCGGCGGCCCCATCCATTATGGCGTCGGCCCGTGCGTTCTTGCGCCGCGGCGCCGACGTGGCGCACAGTGGTGCTGGTACTGGTACGGGTGGAGCAGGAAGTGCGGGGACGGCGCGCAGCAGGGCCACGAGCTGGTATCCGCCCACGCGCGAGCAAGAAGCACAAGCGCAATCAAGGAGCCGGGCGTCAAGGGCCGCCAGCGCCGCCGCCGCCGCCGCCGATTATAGGAACTCGAGTAGTACGCCCGCCGCCGTGCCCACCCCGGCACCGGCGCGGGGATCGCGCATGGTTCGCTCGGCGTCGCGGCACTCGTCGGGCGCAGGCGTCAACCTCGACGACGTCGCCTCGGCCGCCTACGTCTACCCGTCCAGCGCCGCGGCGCGGAGCGCGCTCTTGTCCGAATTCGACAGCAGCAGCGTCGGGGGAGGGTACCCTGCCGAAAAGATCCAGATCCGACACGACGCCGTGCCCCCCGAGCTCGCGGCAGCAGCAACGGCGGCGTATGGGCCGGGCGTGTGGGTGCCGAAACCCGCGGCATCGCACCATTCGAGCGCCGCGTCCGTGGTGAGTGTACCGGCGTTGAGCAGAGGAGAAAGGAGGAAAGGAGGAAGGGAGCTAACGAGGCCAGCAACGTCGAACGACGACGACGAAGACGACGACGACCCGCGCCCCGGCGTCGCGCGCGTCGCGAAGGCGCGCCACATCCATGTCCATGTCTGGTGCAGGTGGGGTGCTGAGTGATTGATTTGAGGCCAAAATGTTGTAGATCAGGTTCTCCTGGTGAGAAATGATTGATAAAATGTACGATACATCGAGAGGGAACAGTGAATTAGTATGCGATGGCTCGTCTGTATGGCGTTGGGCGTGTCGGCAGTGTACATGTATGTACAGTACGTGGACAACCTCGAAACCGAAACCTCTTGCCGAGGATTGACACTCACCGGTTGTGAAAGGCGTTATTGAAGAGCACCAGACGGTCGTGAGCCTGCCTGCCCGTCTTGGCGTCGACGTCACAGGTCCACAGTTGGTCCACTACTGTCATGACTGGGCCTTGCACGGCCGCGCATGGCCTGGCTGAGCGGGCAAGAGTACGAGAATAGACAGACAAGCCCCCGTACCGCCTATCAAGGCACCTCGACACCTCGTTGATACGCCGTCATGCTATCTCCCCGCCATCCCCCGTGACATGATTGGGCATGACAGGCACCGGTCGCACCACTTCGTTGCATCCCTGTTAAGCTTCCTGGCATCGCCTCGGTGTGGACACTGCTGATTATAGGTGGGGGGGGGGGGGGGGGTTGAGCAGCGCCGGTCTCCTTTGTCGCCATCCTCTACTGCCCCCCCCCCCACACTGACACTTGCTGCTGCTACCATGGTCAAGCTCCCCACCTCCTTCCTGGGTGTCCTGCTCCTCAGTCTCGGTGTTGACAGCGTCATCGCCGTGCCCGCGAACGGCACCCTGCCGGTCAACAACGTCACGGCCCCGGCCATCGAGTATCCCCTCAAGAACCCGCCCAAGATCACCGTGCCCAGCTCCAAGTCGTGGTGTGAGTCCCCCCCGCCCCAGGCCGACATGTCGGCATTGAAATGAGCTGTTTTCACGGTATATTAACCATGTCGATTTCTGTAGGGGTCCTGGACGACATGAACTTTACGACGACGGCGGGCGAGGTCGGGACGGCGCACAACAACGTCAACTGGACATGGACCAAGGACGCGTCCAACCCGCCGACGCTGGGCCTGGTGTGGTTTGTCCTCCGTAACGCCGACACGTCGGTCCTCGCATCCCCCACGGGCTTTGCTGGGCGTGAGTTGCGGGGAGTGTGGCACTGTTGCTGTTCGCCATCCATTGGAACAGACTGTGCACCGGCTACAGGCCGTGGCCGTGGCCGTGGACGTCTTTGCGCGCAGGTGTACTGACAAAGGTACCCAGTGTCCGACTTTCGCCAAGACGATGCCAATGGCCATGTCAACATTGGCTTCACCATGTACGTCTCCCTCTGAGCTTTGACTTGTCCTTGACTGGACCCACTGGAAGCTGGACTAGGGTTGACAGCCACACAGTAACGGGAGCGAGTTCCCGGCCGCACCAAACTACACGATCCAGTTTGTGCGCGAGAGTAACTGGTCTAGTATGTCCTCTCTCATCCCCATCACCACATCCGTCCTGACGCGCCCCCCTCTCCAGTGGTCTTTGCCGAGTCGGAGCAGTTCGAGATCAAGCCTGTAGGCAGCGCACTCCCGCCCGGTCTGCCCGCGCCGAGCAGCGCGCTCACACACACCAACGGCGTGGTTGCGAGTGTATGTGTGGCTGTTGGGCTGGCTGCTGCTGTTGCGGTGTTGGGGTAGAGCATCTCACGTCGCGCGATATGTGTTTGTACATGTATTCTGTTTTGAGCAGCAGCTGTGTTGCTGTGCTCGGCGTCAGCGTGTCGTGTTGTGCGCCAAGTAAGCGGGTGCTAGACTGGACAGGTGTAGAGTGGCTGGCTCTCTCGGTGCGCCGCCTCTGTGGACTGGTTGTAGCAACCCCCTACTGCTCTTGCTAACCAAGGTTAGTGGTGTTTGCCGGGTCTGAGCCATTGGATGGATACAGACAGCCGCTGGAAGCGCGGCATCAAGACTCAACCCACTGGTCGTCCACCGACGCGGCGCCACTGTCGGCTGGATGGTAGTCGCCACAGTCTCTGTGGGCATGGCAGTGTAGAGCCAATCGTTTCATTTGCTCTGTACCCACATCTGCCCTCCGGATCTGTGGTCCGTGCTGTTGGTGCTTGCTTCAGGGCTGATGGGCATTGCCTGGTCAGTTCATGGCCTCCACACTCCCGCGTTGCACGGCTCGACCAGCCTACCGGCTATGTTAGCCACCTCGAGTGCCGGTAGCACTACCGCCTGCGGCGCAGAACCCATCGACGAACGGGTGTCCGCAGGTGGCGTCTACTCTGGAGCGTGTATTTCCTCTCTAGGGAGGCCCACGGTGCGCACAAACGCGTAAAGCGACTACGCCTAGCGTGTGTTGTCGTACCGCGTCGAGGGCGACCGCGTGTGGCAGACATCGCGTCGCGAGCAAGCGGTTGAGTCGCGGCCATTGCCATTGCCATTGCATTGCCCCGCCCGTACCACTCTGGCATGCAGAACAGTAGTATAAACGCGCGGGAACGAGTTCGTGAGGTGCACCCCTTCCCTTCACATAGCACACTGTATACCACAGCTACCAGCGTCCGCGATGCTCTTCCCCACCTCGTCCCTCGTCGCCATCCTCGCCGCTGCTGCCGGCGCCAGTGCCCAGTCGGCTTCTTCTTCGACAGCCTCCGCGGCTGAGATCAGCTCGACGTCTGTGCCCGACAACAACATCACGTCGCCCCCAGTCACCTTGCCGCTCAAGAACGCGCCGTCGTTCTCCCAGCCCAACTCCAAAACGTGGTGTGAGTGGCCGCTCCAAGCCTCCGCCGACATGCAACTGCGGATCTCATTTACACACTGCGGATCCCAACTCCCCGATTGCGGGTTTCACTGACACTCTGCCACAGGGACGCTCGAGGACAGCGCCGTGTCGGGCGTCTCCAACACCCTCTCATGGAACTGGGGCAAGGACCAGGCCAACGGCGCGCTCGGTGTCGTGTGGCTCGTGCTTGCCAACACTAACAAGACGCTGTTGCCGAGCGACCGTGGCCTGATTGGCAGTACGTGGTTTGACCGTGCTGCTGCGGGAGACAGTCACTGACGTGATGTATGTAGCCGAGGACGCAAACGCCAAGGGCGAGCCAAAGGTCACCTTCCAGCTCCCACTGTAAGTCGACTTTCTCACGACGCTGTGGCATGCGCGCTGACTTTGCAGCCTGTCGTCGGACTACGCCGCCGCCAAGGACTACACCATCAAGATGGTCCGTGCCACCAACTGGTCGAGTGAGTTGAGCAACCCTGTTTTGGGGGGCCCATGCTGACTCCCAATCTAGTGGTGTTTGCAGAGTCCCAGCCGTTCGAGATCAAGGCTACCGGCAGCAAGGTCGCCAGCGGCGCGTCGACGCACGCTGGTGTCGTCGCGGGTGTGTGCGCGGGCCTCATGGTCGCGGCTGCCATGGCCATCTAGGGCGAGAAGGGGTGATGCGTCAAACGGGACATTCAAGTAGACGCCAGATGTATGCTTTATGGCGGTGTGTCGGGCGGCGGCACCGCCGGCCCGCATAGATCTCAGTTGCACACACACCCTTCGACCGGCGTGCTCGACTGGTACATTGTCAGCAGCGCGTCCCAGCGTCCCAGGGTCGAATGGTGGAATGGTGGCATATCCGCGACCACAGCACAGCCTGCCGACGCCACACAAAAAAGGACGGGCAAGCATAACCAAGTTACTCCTGCCAAGACGTCCCTGTCCTCCGCTGAGCATGCCGCATTCTGCACGCCGCACACTGATACACCTGGCGTCCAACCCGTCCTCATCACTGGTCCATAAAAGCAGCAGCAGCAGTGCGCATTGCGTTCTCATCTCTTCGACCCACACCTCACCATACTGACACCATGCTCTTCTCCTCTCTCGCCCTCATCCTCAGCCTCGCCGGTGCTTGTGCAGCACCCACTCCGGCCGATGCCACCTCAACCTCTGCCGCACCCAGCTCCACATCGGATTCCTGGGTGCCGCCCGTTAACAACAAGACGGCTCCAGCCGTTACGCTCCCACTGGCCAACCCGCCCGTGTTTGACAAGCCCAACGAGGACAACTGGCGTGAGTCCCTCCCCGGCACAAGCTTTGCTGATCCTTATGGTAGTGATTCTCGACACACCGGCCTCGACCACCTCTCCGGGCACGGGCACCACCATCTCCTGGTCGTGGGGCAAGGACCATGTCAACGGTTCTCTCGGCGCGGTGGCGCTGATCCTCACAAACGCCAACAAGTCGCTCCTGGCGGAAGACGCTCTTCGTGAGTTTGTCCACACCCTGATGACGGGGCCACTGCCCAATGTCAAGCTAACCCTCTAGTCATCATCACCGACGACTCCATGTCAAACACCTACGACAAGGACGTCCTCGTCGGCGTGCGCCTGTAAGTTTCTCCACCGCATCGTCGGAAGAGGGGCTCGAGCTGACTGGCGTACAGCAATTCCCCCACTTACGCCGTCGGCGCCAACTACACCATCAAGATGGTCCGCGACTCCAACCACTCCAGTGAGTCTATCGAGGAGCGGAGTCACTGGTAGTTCCAGTCTGACCGCCATCGCAGTGGTGTTCGCCGAGTCGAAGCTGTTCCCCATCAAGCCGGTCGGCCAAGTACCCGCCGCCAGCGGCGGCGCGGCCATGGCCCGTTCCGCCGGCCTCGCCACCGTGTGTGCGGCCTTGGTGGCGGCGGCCGCCGCCATGGTGGTCTAAACCCCAGCGCCATGGTCGTAGAACCGTAGAACCGTAGAAACGTATAATGCCACTAATGCCCCTTTATGATACTTGTCACATGTCCGAGACGTCCGTCCGTCTCTACACGCCGCGTGAGGTTGTTGGCGTCTAACCTGATTTCAACCACCACCGTGAAAGAAAGTGCGTTCTAATGTGGGTTTGGTGAGCATCTGCTGTACTCACGTGGTAAGTGTCTGTGTGCACAATGCAGTCAGCCCTAAAGCCTCTGTACACGCCATGCCTGTCGATCAACCTCTATCTTTGACCCGGTGTAGGTGAGGTGAGGTTGAATGGGACTGCTGCCAGTGCCACACCAGAAGTGCACCACAGCCCAATGGCCTGGAACCCACTTTGAAAAGGTGGGATGAGATGAAAACGTAACGTGAATCAGTCAGCAAGATAGTCGCCGTTGGCACACACGTTAATGTGCCCTGGAGAACCACGTATATTACCAAGCTGGCCGGGGTTCGAATCCAGGATGAGACAGGAACACCGACGACGTATATTACCAAGCTGGCCGGCGTTCGAATCCTGTGGGGGCTTATAACATAAAAACCACTGGCCGGTGGAAAAGCGACTAGCGACTATCTTATTGCGGTAGTCGCACACCGTATTACTACTTATTGCACGGTCTCCGTGCGTGTGGCCATGTGGTGTGCGCGGACGCGGATTTAACACAGATGTGCATGTGTGAGTTGTTTTGAATTGGTCGCGGATCGCGGATCGCTGATGATGAATGAGATGATGCTATCAGCCAGCCGCTGGCCGCTAGATCGGATCTGCGGCGGCGGGATTTGTTTACAAGGATCTTTATTTGGCGATCGCCACACACACCTGTACCGCGTGTTGTGCACCGCGCTGACACCGATGACGCACCGCGCACAACTAGTTCATCCGACGGCCCGCCTGTGCTCTCGCCGCCTCCGTCCGTGCCATAACCCGAATTAGACGGAGGCTTATCGGTAAAGTTTCTTGGCGGCATCGACTGCATTCGTTTGCCTCGTCGGAAAAGTTGGGATACAGCAGCTGTGGGATGCATGTGGGACAGGGTTGCTGAACGGAAAGTGTACGAGGGTGTGTGGCAGGGTACAACGACGTGTTGGGAATGTACGGATCCCGGATCGGTTGGCCGGACTTTTTGCGCAGTCATTTGGAGGCCGACCTTGCCCTTTTACGAAGGCGTTGGGTGCAAACGGTTCGCTATCGTGCAGCCAATCGCCATCCTCGGTCGGCTTCATCCCATACACGTCGGCAACGTGAGCGAGGAGCGAGCGGCGCCAGACCCGTTCGCTGCTGAACCGAGCCGGTGCGCGGTCCGAGTCGGCAAACAGCGACGTACGCCGAGACGGGGGATCGGGAAAGGTGGAGGGGGGGGCCTTGGAGGTAAAGGGGCGGCGATACGGCGGAGCGGGTATCAATTACCTTTGAGCAATATAGAGCAATCGTTTAGGAACGGAGGGCCGAAGCGCAATGCATGGGATCATGGGAGAAGAAGAAGGCAACAAAAAAAAAGGACAGAGACGGTGGCCTTCTGTGACTGTTGCGCGCTGTAGGCGGTGCTGGCGAGGCTGGCTGCGCAGTCGCTTGGTTGCGCTTGTTGTGCCATATGCACCTGTTCTCGGAGGCCCACGGGCAGCAACGGGGGGGTTGCACACGACAATGTCACGCAACGTACGACATGCATGCCTCCGGTGCAGCTGTGCCAAGGCCCAGCCGGTCTTATGGCCTCATGCCAAGACGGACGAGATGTGGTTCATACATGCCATGGCAATGTCTCGAGTGCACTGCTGTAGATTGCTCTCTCTCTCTCTCGTCTCTCTCTCCCATCGGTTCCAAGGGGGCAGACGGGGGCTTTGTGCAGGGAAAAACCCACTGTGGCGTCAAAAACGCCCAATGACTGGCCCCACCAATTGTCATGGCACCCGCGCTCTGCTGCCACGCCGGCCGGTACGCTGGGTACACTCCTTGCGCTGCCAGGCTCTGCAGTCCTGTCTCGGCCTCGGCCTGAGGCGCCGATCCGGGGCCTACGTGGGCTGCGACAGAGGAGACGAGAGGAGGGGAGAGCAGGAGAGAGCAGGAGAGAGCAGGAGACGAGTCTGAAATCAGAAATGAAAAGCCAGAGACAAATGGCCATGTCGGGGATCTACGCGTTTGTATCTGGTGAATAGGTGTTTGAGTGACGAGTGCCAGATGACGCTTGACGCTGCAACGCAGTGTCCGGCGGCCGGCTCGAGAGGAGGGGGCTAGGAGAGCCTGGGGGGTTTCGGGGGTGTGCGGCGACGTCAGTGGCCCAGTGGCCTCTCTCTGCGTTGTGTGTGTTTAGCGGGTGGATGAAGCAAGACTCTGTGCCAGATATGGGTTCCGATCGGCGCCGGTGGGTGGGCCGGGAGGGAGGGTGGGCAGAGACAGAGAGAGGCTAGAGCAAAACGAGCAGAGACAGAGACCCCCCGTCCAAAGTGCCTAATCGATGAGGTCGTTGGGCCGTCGTCGTCTCCGCGTCGCGGCCAAGCATGCGTGGGTCGCTTCTGGCTCGTCTGGAAAACAAACCCAACCCACATATCCACACCACAGCAAAAGAGGGAACTCGTCCCTTTCTCTTCCTTTCCACACCTCTCTTCCAACACAAGTCACCTGTACAAACACATCTCACCCGCAACGTTACAAGCACCATTGCTGGTCCCATTCAGCCTAACACCACCACCACCGCACCCTGGGTCTCACCCCTTTTGACACATCTTGCTGGCTGGCCCGGCTTTACGAACCGCAGCCACCCCTCCCCCGGAGACAACTGGAACATACATTGCATCTGCAAAGGGCGACTCACCTGCACAACCATCCCCTCTCTCTCACCTCACCCACTCCACATTCCACACACCACCCGGCTGGCCCGTACACCATCTGCCAAGGGGACTGAAAACGAGCTGGCATCGTCTACTCCACGCTCACCACCACCTCCAACCCCTCCATCAACACCTGTGCACCGCCGGGCCCCACAGCATTTCGTTGCACCAGTTCTTCCTGGTACCCCACCATCCAGGCGTGCCTTGACTTGGCGTACTTGCCTTTGCCTTCGCAACCTACTACCCCCCAAGTGGTGACCCCCCCACCCACCGTTCACCCCCTCCCCTCCCCTCCTCATCACCATACTCCACTCGCTACCCCGTTCACCATGCCGTCGCTGTTTGCTCGGAGGCGGCGTTTGTCCGACGCGAGTGGCCGCAGCAGCACCCGCAGCAGCCGCAATGGCCGGCCACCGGTCACCGCGGTCGACGTTGACCTTGAACCGCTCCCGCGAATGCCAGCAAAGTTCCGCCAGCTTCTCGAGTCGCATGGCAACACCACACCCCCGCCCAAGAGCGAGCCCACCAACACCACCAAGACAAAAAAGGACCGGCGTATGAGCATCTTTGCCTGGCGCTCGACGGTCGACCTCCGAAAACAGGCCGATGTCCAGGCCCAGGCGGACACCGACCGCGAGTCCATTCCTGCAACGACCCGTCCCCTAAAGATTCCTCATGAGATGCCCTCCCTGGGACTCAAGGAACCCTCCTCTCCACCAGACAGTGCTGTCATCACCCCGCCTACTGACGATGTGCCCCTCCCCGACGACGACCACTCGCTCCCAGTATTGGGGGGCGGCCATGTCCGAGGACAAACCGAGGTCCCTACTTCCACCATCCCCACATCCCCATCACCCCACACCCTGCCGCCGGCACCACAGTCCTTCCAGCCACAAGAAGAACGTCATGAACAGTCGACTGCAGCGGACGATTCGGCAAGTGTGGAGCTGGCAGAGAACGTGCCCACGTTCTCTAGCAGGTTCCGTTCAGATACTGTGTCTTCCCGGCCTGCCCTCAGTATCGACACTGCTCTCAGCCGCGACGTTGACGTATTCGCTTGTGCCACTGGCTCGACGCACTATGGTACACCAGAGGCCATGACGCCCGTCGGTGTGGCCTCGTCGACGTCAGCACACGAGGGCGCATTCTTGACTCCACTTCAGCATACACCGATGTGTACAACTGGGGAGGGTTTCAGCGTGATGAGTACGGCCGTCGAGCGCTCACGGAGCATGGACTTGGGCCGTCCCTCCACGGCCAAGCCCAGGCGTACGTCCACGTCGGGCATATCACGCGCCGCCGTCACGCCGAACATGAGCCCATTCGCCTCCCCTCGCAAGCTCTCGATGGTCTTGACGTCCCCGCCCATGCCACAGCCCATTGCCCACTTGCCTACACTCCAGCCATCGACACCTGGCAGTGCTGGGACGGCCGTGTGGGGCGCCCTCGCGCTGGAGGGAGGACCGAGATCACCTGCTCTCTCCCGTACGACGTCGCACGAAACCGGTGTAACCACTGCGTTCCCATTCTTTGGCCATGCTCCACTGTCGCAGACGACAAGCCGCCAGTTGACCGATTCCGAGATTGCAAAGGCGACCAAGGCGATGCCTGTCATGTTCCGTGTGGCGAGCCGTACCGAGCAACTGGACGAAGGGGGCGAGGCAGAGGAGCTGAACGATTCGGAGGAAGGCGGTTCGTCGGCAGCGTCGACGCCAATGGACACTGCCTCTATGGCTACATTGCGCAACAAGGGCAAGGGCGTCGCTCACATGGACCCACTGGTGGAAGGTATGTCGTTTGGCTTTCTGTTCGGGTCCAAGAGGCTGACGCGGTGACACAGAATCGCCTACGCGTGCCGGCAGTCGCGTCTCTACGCCAAAAGCCCCGATGTTTGGCGAGGCCGGTATTTTGGGACTCGATGTTCCACCTGCCAAGTGGCAAGGACTTTCAGACTCGGCAATTCCTGATGCTGGCCCCAGCTCCATGGGGGACTGTTACTTTGGCCACATCCCTGCATCATCGTCCAGCAACGCGCCGTCCTCTGTCCCAGAGTCCACTACTCCCGGTGTGGACATGGACGACTCGGACAGTGTCGCAGAGAGTAACGAGACCGAGGGCGACAGTAGTATCAACACTGGCGAGGGTGAGAATGACGAGGGTGAGAGTTGTTCTGCTCCACACACGACCTTGGCCACCCCCGCGACGCCCACTGCGTCCGGCGACCACCACCCCAGCCGCCCGCCGTTGTACAGCCACATTTCACACTCGACGAGCGACCTCCCCTCGCCGAATATCCACATACAGAAGCCACTCCTCGACACAGTCCCGGAGACGGCCTTGTCGCCGGTCCAACAACAATCAAAGGACTCGACGCTCAAGCGCAGGTTATCTGCAGGCGATGCCGACCCACCCCCACCCCTGTACGAGCCCATCAAGGACTATGTGCACGACGGACCCAAGCCCAAGCCTCGTGAGGAGGAGGGCCGCGAGGGACTCCCACCGTACTGGTGCGGCGTTCACATCGAGGGCACCCTCTCGCGCAAGATGGAGTTTACCCAGCCGGGCGTCCAGGCAAAGGACCGTGGATGGAAAAAGTACTACCTCGTCTTGCACGGTACTGCGCTGTTCGTCTACAAGTTTGACCCGTACAAGGTGCCCCTCCGCGCCGGCGAGCCATACATCACTTGCTCGGACCAGGAGGCCGAGAACTTCTTGCACGTCCACCCGGCGCCGGACCGCCGGTCGTCCACCCCAGTCCTCCCGGCCGGTTCCCTCGCTCGCCCCAGCGTCACTCCGCGCTCTAGTCTCGGCGCCGCTGCGACGGCTACTCGTCCCGAGAAGCAGATGCGCCGCAACACCATCAGCCTCGAAGGTCTGCGCGGCACTCCCCTCGGCCAGACCTTCCAGTCTCGCCGTGGCACCGTGGGCTCGCATACGCCCACTCGCCGCGAAGGCACACCGCCCGTCCCACCCATTCCCGAGGGCCCAGACTTCAAGGACCCAGAGCTGTTCAACAACGCGTCGCCGCGCAAAATGTCGACGTCCAACATGTCCGTCGCGTCCAGCACGGCGTCGGCCCCCATCGCGAGCCACATGCCATTTGCCCACAACATGCTTGTGCACAAGTACACGCTGCAAAACGCCGAGTCGGGCCTCGCGGCAGACTACAAGAAACGCCTGCACTGCGTGCGTATCCGCGCCGAGGGCCAGCAGTTTATGCTGCAAACCGACACGGCGCGCCAGTGCGTGCAGTGGATCGAGGCGTTCCAGGCCGCCACCAACGTCGCCACGGACCTGGACGTGCGTCCCATGCCCGTGCAGCAGACGCTGCCCCGTCGCCGTCGCCGTCGAGCGGCCGCCGCCGCGCGCCCTGTCGACCCCTCAGCCGCACCCACGAGCGACAACGCCAACCCGGCGTTCGAGGACACGCCCGAGGGCAACCTCGCGGCGGTGGAGGCCGCCGAGCGGTCCCAGGCCGAGGCGGATCACGAGCGCGACCGCATGCTCGCCGAGGATCAGGATGCCGAGACGCGCGACGCGAATAACAGAGTGTATTAAGAGAGAGAGAGAAGGAACGGAGAGAGGCGATATCAAAGACCGACATTTCAGTACCACCAACCAACATCATTTGTCATTATTGTAGCTAGCATCATGCACACGTTCCACGTTTCCGTGTCAAAGTCGGCGTCTTTGTCCAGAAACCGTACATCGGGATTGTGATTCGTCGCTGCTGATATCTCGTGTCTACAATACAAGCGTGTACGCTGAACCTGCCACTACTTGTTTTCCTAATTTTCACATCGTACGCCCGCGCGTGCCACCTAGAGGCGCTTGAGACGCGAGTTGGGCTTGAGGATCTTGTGCTTGTTGTGTCCCTCCTCGTTCCCAAAGAACAGGCTCCACGCGCCCCAACAGCCCAGCACGCCGTTCCCGAGCCCCAAGAGCACGGCCAAGGCGCCAAGCGGCGCGTTCCAGCCAAAGATCGCCGAGAAGCAGAACAGCGCCGACAGCACGCCAATGGCCGGGACGCGACACTTGGACACGGGGGTGTACGTCGGCACAATGACAAAGACGCACAGGGCCGCGAGGGCGAGCATGCCCATGCCCATCATGTGCAGCAGGAACGACTCGAGCGAGGTCAGCGAGTCATAGTGGCCGCGGTCGTAGCTCGGTACGGGCCCGCTGTTGAGCACGCCGAGGTGGCCGGTCTTGAGGGCGTGCGAGGGCGAGCCCGACTCGGAACCCTGCGCGAGGAAGAGGATGAACCGCGGGAGGACCAGGACGGGCAGGGCCATGAGTGTGAGCCTGGAGAACGTGTTAGCAAGGCGTGTGTGACGTGGAGGGCGGGCGGGTGGTTTGGTTTCGATGGCACTCGGGCGGTGCCGGCTGCAGTCGATGGGGCGTGGGAGTGAGATGTGGTGGGCTCTGGTCTCTCAGAGCACGTCGAGTACCGGCGACCACCGTCCTAGCACGAGCTCACCCCTCACCGATCCCACGCATCACGCAGCGCACCGACAATGCCGGATCGCACAGCCCGTTCTCCGTCTAGTCCCGTACTCACCATCCAGCAGCAGCCAGGCCAAACACGCTCGCAGCGTCCAGCGCGCCCTCGACAGGCCGCGTGGCCGCCTTGGCCATGTCCTCTGCTTGGCGGTATCCCCTGCCCAGCGATCCGGGGCTCGGGTCGCGCTGTGGGACCGCACGTCGTGGAGGCGGCGGGTACGGCGGCGGCGGCGAGGACGCCTTGGACGAGCCCATGGGCTGCAGTTCGACGGCGGCGGACATTGCTTTGTGTCGAGCGAACCGGGTAACCGGGTGCGGACTGCGCAGTGGTAGCGCGGGGAGGGCGGGGGTGGAAGAGCGGAGGAAGCGAGGTCCCGGTGGTCCGTTCCCGAGTGCAAGGGAGGAGGATGGGTGAAGGAGAGACGAGGTTGTTGTTGCCGGTGGCCAAAGGACTTGTGGGAAGTTTGAACCGAGGATCCAAGGACACGCTCTAAAGACAGACACGCATACGGGCTGACGCGTTGGAATGGCTCTGACGTCATGACCACGCGAGTTTAGTTTAAATAGCGGAGCCAAATAGTCGTAATGTTTAACTAAATCCAATTTCTATTGGGTCAGTAAGGTCCCGTGTCAACAGTCTTTGTCGCTGGGTGTCACTCCTTTTACACTGTGATGTCCGTTCTATCAACAGGCACACAGGAGGTATGGGTTACTCGTCCTATTGCCGCGCCAGGTGTACTTGCCATATTGATCAATAGTCTCCACTCGGAAGGGGTCGAAGGGGAGTGAGCAGCTTTTCTCCGACGCATGAAAAAAACACACTGCTGTTCGCCACGGTGTGCGCGGCGAAAAGTGTATGTGTTTTTCCAACCCAGTGGGGAGAGATCCAGAGACACCCCCTCTGCAGTACATCCCAACCGAGGCCACAACGAAAGCTCCGAACAGGATAGTGTACTAGTGTGCTGCCTTGAACACAGGCGAGATACAAAGGCGGACGAGCTGATCCCTGGCATCGGCGTCGCACGCCAGGCTGTCGCAGGCAGCAACATGAATCAGTTTTCGACGTCTTGCCCTTCTCTTGTGTGCCTGGCACTGAACACGACTCTTGTCTTGTTGGCACCCTTCCCTACCTATGGAGAGCATGCCCGTTCCGGCACAATGGTGCAAGCTGGTGCACCAGTCGAGAATAGTAAGACTTAGGACCGCAGTTACCAAGCTGAAGAGAACGCATAGTCTTGGCCAGTTGTTTTGCATGTGTACACTACACTGTGCGGCGCCGCCAACACCGTTCTTCGCCAATCCGATATCCGGGCGCATACGTCCACCCCAGATCCCCAGAACGCACGGGGTCACTGATACTGGCCAACTGACAGCATATGGTCGATATCAGCCAAGGCGTACCCTCCCCTCCCTGTGGGTCGCAGACGGCGGTCCTGAGGCGTCCCCGCTCTGTGGCCGACCTCGTGGGCGGTGGCCGAGACAGCCAGTACTACCTGCGTCCTAGTTCGCGTCAATGCCCCTATCTATCCCCGCAATCAGTCAGTGCGTGGGTGCGTTCTGTCCCCGCAGTCAGCCAGTGCGTGGAGCGAGTGGCACAAAGGTATTCCCTTCCAGCGACTGCGCCGGCGAAACGCCCGACGTGCAGTACGTATGCAACGAGACACACACACACACCCAAGAAACGAATCGACAAATTGTAGAGTACAACCAATATCCTGGGCCCGCAGGCACAAGGGAAAAAGGTACAGCGAGTGGAAGTTCTGATCTAGATGTAAAGAGTGTCTGTTGGCAAGGCGGGTCAGAGGTACACCCGACGATGCCAAGATGTGGACCCCGAAGGGTCTGATGGTGGCGGAAGACCAACGCAAAAGAGGTCTTCCAATGCGTTTTGCAAGAGGTAGTGCGAATCGTGGCGAAGAGACATGGTGGGCTGTTGATGCTGGGCGTGGTGATGTTTGCCTTGACTAACCCAGTCAGTCCATGTGTGCGGAAAGGGGCTTGAGAGGTCCACTATGCTGCACTCACATTACAAGGCGGCGAGGGCCGCAATCGTGGCGACGAGGGGGAGGACCCACTTGCCAAGACGGATTCCGGGAACCGCTGCACTGCGCTTCATGTACGGCTCGGCTGGGATCTCCATGTGCTCCTGGCCAATAACTTTTCCAATGTAGAAGTAAGTCGAGTAGCGGCACGACTGGATTGCGTTCTCGGCGCCCTCGTATGACTGGATGCCAGCGATGAGGTTGTCGACGTAAAACTTGAGCGAAGGGGTGACGCGGCAGAGCCACAGCAGCTCGTCGGTGGCATTGGCGGTTCCGGCCGTGGTCTGGAGAGGGAGCGAAATAATGGCGTCCTTGGTCATGACGGTGGCACCCATGGACTCGCAGGCGCGAACGGCACTCATGTTGCCGACGACCAGGCAGCCGTTCCACTCGCCATATGCCTCCCAGGCCTCAGTCAAGACTTCCTGCGAGAGAATGTTGGTCGAGATGGGCACGACAGCGTAGTCGGGGATGAGGGTGTCGGCCGTCATGCTGAAAAGGAGGGAGTCTGGAGGAGAATGAAGGTAAATGAAGTGAACGGTCGACGACGTGAAGAGAGAGTAGACAACAGCAAGTGAGAGGAATCGTGGGGACGCGCACACCGTGTGTGGCTCTTTAGCACACGCTAATGCGTCCACGCGCCACGCATGGACGTTGCAAAGTGTGCCCATAAGGCGGCCTCTGGGTGCCTCACTGTCGTGCGACTTGATCGGGCCAGGGCGATGGATAGGGAGTGAGGTGTGGGCGGTAGGTATTTGAGGCTTGGCTGCGGGGTAGTCCGATCGACCCTGTCCCACGAGCTCCGCCCCGAGCTATCCCCGGAAAGACTTCTTCCTTGTGGATGCCTGTAACCAGGAATGCATACGAGCCCGAGCGGAGGCTGCATGCAGTGCGCCCGAGTGAAGCCTGCAGACAACTCAGTGTGCATGGTTTTGTCGCGTCCAGATGGGTTGGGCTGCGTATGGTACACTCCGCCCGGAACAAACGGCAAAAAAAAACTCACTGAATCCGTTCGCAGCGGGGTAATTGTGGCGAATGTGGCGCCGGCTGCCACATGCACAGATATCCATCCCCCCAGCACTAACCAACATGTGTACGCTCTGGCCCTCGCTTGCCCCGGTACAAACGTCGTCGATACGAACACTCTTAACCGGCACTGCGCATGTGAGTGTACCAAAATGCTGGGCTAGAAACACTAGCTTCTGTATATCCTGTGCCGCCGTGTCGGTCTGGGTGCTCTTCCGGCGAATGCGACGCCCACAGGATGGTCAGTGCAGATAACCACAGGGTTCTATATAGGGAATGCCGAGGGAAAGGCAAGGGTCGCGACAGTCTGCAGCGGCTGGGCATGTGCAGACCGTCGCCGTGTGTCAGAGCGTCAGTACTGCCATTTGGTCGGCCACGGCGAGACGCCACCCCGAGGGCATGAGACAGTAGAGGTCGACCAGTTCAGGCGTGGAAGGACTTTGCCAAAAAGGGCTTTGCATAAAACTATTTGGATTGCCACGTACCAGGCACAGAGTATGACTAGTACAGGCTTTGCTTTCAACTATAACAATCGTTCGGGGGGGCTCGAAAGAGTGTGAGGACAAAACGTCCCAGCAACGGCGGAAAAGGGTACCGAGCCACAGTCTTCCGGGATTATACACAGCGACTGGAAATGTAGAGTAAAGACAGACAGTTCTTCTCGTCTTCTTTGTTTCATTCGTCAAACGAATCAAACATTGTCCATTTTAAACGAGGAGAGAACCAAAGATGGCCAGGACGGCCACGGCGTTGGGGACGGCGTTGGCAAAGGCCGAGCTCTTCTTGTCCGAAGCCGCGGCGGCGGTGGCGGCAGCGCTCGTAGTCGCAGCACCGTTGGGGTCGCAGGTGGTCTTCTGGAGGGTAAGGGCGAGCTTGATGTCGTTGGCTCCGCAAGTGGGGATGCACGAGGTGACAGAGTTGACAAAGTCGGAGCCACAGATGCACTTGGTGTCGCAGGCGTTTGCGCACTTGGCCGAAGTGAGGGCCTTGGCCTAGAAGGTGGAGGTCAGTATTGGAACGAAGAGCGAGAACAAAAGGACTTACCATGCAGCCCTGACCACAAGTGGAGAACTTGGAGAGGTCGGGACCCTTGCAGCCACCAGAGCCGCTGCCGCTGCCCGATCCAGATCCAGATCCAGATCCCGAACCGCTGCCGCTGGTCGAGTTTCCGCCGCCACCAGAGCAGGTGGTCTTCTGGAGAGAGAGCGCAGCGGTAACGTCAGAGGCAGGGCACTTGGCAATGCAGGTGGTGACGCTGCCGACAAAGGTAGAGCCACAGATACAGGTGTTGTCGCAAGCCGACTTGCACTTGGCCGTCGTCAGGCCGCCAGCAAGACACTGCTGACCACACGAGGTGAAGACCTTGAGGTCGGGGCCAGTGCATGTTCCGGTAGAGCCTCCACCGCTGCCGCCGCCGCTGCCACCACCGCTACCGCCGCCGCTGCCACCGCCGCCCGTGGCGCCAGAGCACTGCTTGGTCTGGAGGGCAAGCGCGGCAGTAATGTCGTTACCTCCGCATGCGGCGATGCATGGAGTGGCCGAACCAACGAACTTGCTGCCGCAGATGCACGCAGAGTCGCACTGGTCCTTGCAGCCGGCCGCAGTGAGAGCCTTGGCCTGAGGTCAATGTTAGTAAATGATCGCCCACGAAAGAGAAAATCGGAGAAATTGAGGCAAAAATGGAAATGCCACAGATCCGGGTTTGGTCAACTCACGAGACATGTCTGTCCACACGACGAGAGCGAGCTGAGGCTGGGGGGAGTGCAGGTTCCAGTACCGCCGCCGCCAGTGCCAGTACCGCCGCCGCCGGTTCCAGTGCCACCACCACCACCAGAGCACTGCTTCGTCTGGAGGGCAATGGCCGCAGTAATGTCGTTACCGCCGCACGCGGCGATGCATGGGGTAGCCGCACCGACAAACGCGCTGCCGCAGATGCACGCAGAGTCACACTGGTCCTTGCAGTTGGCCTTGGTGAGAGCAGTAGCGAGGCATCCCTGGCCACACGACGAAAGCGAGGAGAGGTCGGGAGGGCTGCAAGTGCCGCCGCCGCCGCCGGGCGAGGTGGTGGTAGTCGATCCATCCGTGGTGGTCTCGGTACCGCCACCACCACCAGGCGTAGTAGTACCACCGCCGCCGCCCGAACACTGCTTGTCCTACAATGTTGTCAGCTCCATTGCCCGAACATGGTCTATTCCAACAAGACTCACCTGGAGTGCAATGGCAGCAGTAATGTCGCCAGAGGGGCAGGTAACGAGGCAGGTGGAGGCAGCACCGACAAACGCGCTGCCGCAGATGCACGCAGAGTCGCACTGGTCCTTGCAGTTGGCCTTGGTGAGGGCGTTGGCGAGACATGCCTGGCCACATGAGGAAAGCGAAGAAAGGTCAGGACCAGTGCAGCTGCCACCACCACCCGAGGTGGTAGTCGGGACAGCAGACGAGGGCTCGACAGAAGTGGGGGGAGCAGACGAAGGCTCAGCCGAGGTAGGGGGAGCCGAAGTAGGGGGCGCGGAGGTGGGAGGGGCCGAAGTGGGAGGAGTGGTAGAAGTAGGAGGAGGGCCACTGCACATCGATTTCTAAGGACGAGGGTTAGCTATTTTATTCTCCGAACATTGGACCGGTCCAATGATCCATGAGCAGGTCCGAGACACGAACCTGGAGGTTGAGGGCGGCGGTCAGGTCATCAGCGGGGCACTTGAGAACACATGTGGCGACGACGCCAGAGAAGGCCCCGCTGCAAGTACAAGCAGTGTCCGAGGGGTCCTTGCATCCCTGGCTAGCCATGGCACCGGCCAAGCAGCACTGGAGACAGGCCGAGAGGGTAGCGATGGCGGGAGGGATCTGATAAGTGGGCGAAGGAGCGGAGCATCTGTGGATGTATCAGTATATGGTGTGGTGACTGCGGGGCTGCGGATGGGCGTAGTGGCAGCGGACTGCGGATGGGGGAGAGACAAACTCACTCCTGAGACTTGACCGTCTGGCTGAGGATCGCGCCGGCCACGAAGGCGAGGGCGGTGAACTTCATGGTGTTACGGATTTACTGAGGTGAAGAAGTTACCTTGGGGCCGAACAAACGAGAAACTGAGGGGATAACTTCCTTCTGGGTGAGACTCGTCGTGTGTATATATGCTATGCGAGAGGAGGGGGGAGAGGAGGGGGTCGTGGTTAGCCGGCTTTGGTGAAGGCCCCGAAAGCGGAACGTTGCTCAACTCAATGCGCCGCATGGGTCGATCCACTGCCACTTGACAGAGCCGGTTGTCTCAACCCAGTGGTCCAGTGACCGCGGATCGACGTATTGAGCTGGTCCCACAGGCAGGTGGGGGGAGCTATTGAGAGGCATAGGACTTAGCGCCTCAGCGTTGTGCACCACAACCGGTTGTCTCGCGGTGAGGAAGCCGGCTGTGACGATGGTAGCAACAGCTACGTCCTCGAGGTTGGAATAAACACTGTGACGTTGCAACAGACCTCCGCGCAACTGCCTGCCGGCGATGTCTTCAGCGGCGTTGGTTAGTGTGGTCCATGAGAGTTGCGGGGCTGACAATGTTGCGCAGCCACTTCGCAGTAAGCGATGTGCTCAAAGGGTGCGGTCGTCGACGAGGGTGCACGGTCCAAGCAAGCACAGCAAACGCTTGGTGCCCCATGTTGGCCCCATGCATCGTAGCACCCGGAGAACCAGGAGACGACTAGAAATTCGGGGTGGTGAGGGAGACCAGCTGCCCGTAATTCGGGCACTTTTACAGCATCATGTGAGCAGCGGAATGTCAGGGGCCTGCAGCGCCTATGAGAAAGTACCTGGCTAGCTTCAACGGCGCCGCAACGGAGTGCAGTCGAGCAGAGGCGCAGAGGCCTTTGCTCATACGATACGTCCTTGCGTTCGGCGGGTGTCTTGGCAGATCTGCTTTAGAGATGCTTGTCCAACGGTCCGGGCATGGTAGCAGCCGAAGAGGCACGTCCGTCGTACCTCCACAGGGTTGTCCCTCTCCAAACAAAGTGGCCGTCCATCTAATCCGTAATCCGCAACGGGGACTGTCTCGAGGGGAGCTGCCGTACGAACATCGCCTGCGGATATGTAAAGAACGCCGGTTGGGCCGGGGCTTGATTAAACCACTAAGATAGATCTAGACTGCATCTGGAAGTGGGTGGGTCCTTTTTTATCAAATCGGTTGCTGATCTTGGATAGGGAATCCCCCAGGAGGCCATCAGCCAGGAGCAGCCCAACCACCCAGAAACAATTATAGAGTTTGCGGGTGCGGAAATTAAGTTCACAAAGTCACGTCCCGGCTTGTTATTACAACCGGTTCAGCCAGAGCCCATGCGGGGGGTAAAATGGATGGGTGACGTCGATAGAACGTCCAATGTCCCAAATCGAAACGCTGTGTTGGAAGGAAGCCATCTAAACTGTCGGATCGGGAAGGCCGGCGCACCGTGGAGCCTCTGTCTGCTCGAGGGTCTACGTCACTGTTTATTGGCTGCAAGAGCATGCAGACACCCGGTGTGCCAATGTTTGCAGATGTCGGATATGGAGTATTTGGCCGCTTGTGGACGCCACCAGCGTGGGCACGGCGGTGCAGCACATGGCTAGGCTTCGACTGAGGCGTACGCCGTCAACATTGCTACTCACATGCCACTCTCATGAGTTGCCGCAACCGGCCCGTGATCGACAGGCTTTACCGACCGTCTGGCCGAGACAGCGCTCACGTGACCTCTGGCAAAAAGCTCCGATGCGGCACGCGACCGCCACGCGACTGCCACGCGACCACACTAACGATCGTCATCGCATCATTGAAACGCTCTGTGGGCCAACTCAAGAACACCGCGCGACGACCTTGAGCTATCCATCTCCAACGCGTCGAGCACCAACACAACACCGTATGGCGGCTCTCAGCGAGGAAATCCGAGGGCTGGCGCGTCCAGTGGACGACCGTGCTATTGCAGAGCAAGTGCGCCTCTACCTCGACACGACATATCCCGACCTCGCTGCGCTCACAGGCATCCCATCCTCATCTTCAACTGCAGGCCCCAGCCATCAGACCCGGCGGGGTCCCCCGCGGAGGACGCTCGACGAGGACATTGAATACTGGAAGAAGAAGGAGACAGACGCTCGTGAGCGCCGTGACGCTATCCAGGCTGCGCTGCCTGGCGCGATCGCAGAGGCGAGCGCCGCGCTGGAAGACGTCCTGTCGCGCGCGCAGCAGCTCAGCCTCCAGCGCTATGCGCTCAGCGACTCCATCGGCACTCTCCTCTCGGAACTGTCCAGCTCGGCGCCCCGGCCAGACGATGGAGACGGGGAGGAAGGCGCGGGACCGCAATCGCGCGCGCAGACGCTGCTCGAGGACTTGGAGGAGAAACATGCTGCTCTTGCTCGGTCCCAAGCGGCACTGGCGTGGGCCAGCGTGCTCGAACGTATCTTGAAGCAGAGGTGAGTCGCAGAATTGGCGACGACCCCATTCACTTACACTTGAAAAAAAGAGATACTACACTCGATCCGGCAAACCACAAGCCATCGCCGCTGGCGGCGCTCCCACACTATCGCGAGTTGCATTCTTCGGTCAAGGAGATGGAGCGGACCCTTCCACCTGGCATGGCGCTACTGAACTCGATCCGCTCCGTGCGCGACGACACGTGGACGCGTTTAAAGGCGGCTCTTGGCGACAAGCTTCTGGCGGCCGCCACGGCGCTCAAGTGGCCGCTGCGGATCGACTATGCGTCGGTCCCCGTCGGCGACCGACGTGTGTTTGAGCGTGCGTACACCGAGATGCTTCATCTCCAGACAGAAGGAGAGCGCATGGGCCTCGTGCCGTCCACTGCAGACTGGACCACGGGCGATGGCCTGTACCCGCTCCAAGTTCTCACGAGGCCCATTGAGCTCCGCTTCAAGTTTCATTTCCAAGGCTCGAGAAATACGAACCGCGTCGATAAGCCAGAGTGGGGGTTTGCCAACATTCAAGATGCGGTGTACGAGCACACCGCCTTTATCGCAGACTACCTGCAGCCTCTTACGGCCCAGGCGGGCTATGGTGCCGTCAACGTCAAGGTGAGTCGTCGTGCGCCCCCCCCCCCCCCCCCCCCCCGCCTTCTCCGTAGATCCATGGCCGTTGGGCCCAACGTGAAAAGAACGCTAACGGCCTGTAGTCGGAATTCACAATGCTGCTGTTCCCGATCCTGCTCAGGTTTCTGCGCACACGAATTCCGCACCTCCTCTCGCACCCGGCCCTCTTGGCTCACACGGTCTACCAGACTGTCCTGTTTGACGATGCTATGCGGGAGAATGGGTTCGAATTGGCACGCACTAGCATGTACCGCGGTTCGGCGACCTCGGCCTCGACCTCGGCCGCGTGGGAAGGGTTGGCCGGCGTCATTCTCCGAGAGCAGGACTGGTTCCAGCAGTGGCTGGCTGGCGAGAAAAAGTGTGCGTACTGGTCTTGTTTAGGTCCAAAAAAAACAAAGAGAAACACATTAGTGTTGATGGCTGAAATGGGTTACTGACATTGTCGCTCTAATCCAGTTGCGGAAACTTCGCTCAACGAGATCATCTCGTCCCCTGACGCGTGGACGATCTCGGATGCTCGAGATGCCGACGACGACAACAACGGCGACGACCAGGAAGATTCGGCCACACCCGCCACGGAGAGTGCTCGCCAGGTGCGTGCGCTCATCGAGCAAATCACCGACCGTTACTCGCCTCTGCCTGCGCTCGAGTACCGCGTGGCATTCCTGCGCACTGTCCAGCTGCCCCTCGTCGCTGCCTACCACTCGCGCGTGGACGGGTCGCTCGATGCGTTCGAGACGCTGTCGTCTGCGTTTGTGCGCGCCGTTCCCGGAGCGCTTGGTGCCGTCCAACGACAGGGGACCGACTCGCGGCTGTCCGGCACGGCCGGTCTGGAGCGCCTCATCAAGGCCCATGTGAGCGCCGACTGCCTCCTGGCGGCGCTGCGCGCGTGGTCCAACGATGCCTTCTTCGTCGTCATGTCCGCCGAGATGGCCGGCACAGACACGGCACCCTCGGCATGGGACACGACCGCGGACAAGTACATGTCCCTCCGCGCGCGCGCCGAGGACATGATGGTCCGCCTCATTTCCGCCGAAGTCGAGGCCGACCTCAAGCAGCACCTCACCAAGCGGTGGGACGTGGGTGTCGGCGCCGACGGCACCGACGACGCGCACGCCGGCGCCGACCCGTCCCTCGTCGCGGCGCTGACGTCGTTTGCCGCGCTCGTCAGCTCGCTGTCCCGCTGGCTGCCGCGCCCAGCTACGGCGCGCGTGTACCGCCGCGTGGCGGCGCACCTCGTCAACCACATTTCGCAGCGCGCAGTCTTTGCCGGCTGGTCAAAGTTCACAGCGGCCGGCGGCCGTGCGCTCGTGCACGAGGTGGATGACTGGCGGCAGGCTGCGTCGGGCGCGCTCAGCACGACCACGCCGCCCATCTCGGCCGACCCGCCATGGGCGCCGCTCGCGGCCATGGCGGCTGCGCTGGCCTTGCCTGCGTCGTCTGACGGGGGTGCGGGTACGGGAACGGTCACGGACGCACCGACGTTTGCCCAGGCCATGGCTGCTGCGTGGGGCGGGCCGTCGGCGCTGGAGAGCATCAAGGAGCGCGCAGGGCTCAAGGAGCTCGACGCCGAGCAGCTCCAGGCCGTGCTCCGCCGACGCGTCGAGTGCTGGAGGTAGACGCGGCCGAGGCCCGAGGCCCTCCCTGCTTATTTAATAAACAGTCATGCACATGCATCATATGCTCTACACCTCACACAAGGCTATAACACTACACTAGAACCGGCGACCGCCCATGGGACCGCCGCGGAAGCCGCCGGCAACGGGCGGCCGGCCGGCGATGGGGGCACGACCAACGGCGCCGCCCTGGGCCGCCTGTGCGAGCCCCGTGCCCGTAGGCCCAATGTTGGCGAACAGGCCCACAATGTCGTCGGGTCGGAAGAGGGGGCCGTCAAACGAGCGCGCCGGTGGGAGCGTGCCCATAAACCACGTCAGGGGCTTGGGCAGACCGCTCCGGTCGTACTGCTGGTAGTTGGGGACGGCCGCCGCTGGCGCTGCGGGGGGCACGATGGCGCGTGGGGGCACGACGGCACGGGGTGGGGGGATGGGCGACCGTTCACGGATCGGCGCCTGGAAACGGCCTGCCTGGTGGGCTGGGAGTTCGCGCGCAAACGGCCTGGGGCTGGCGGGACGAGCGCGCTTCATGTCGCCGCGAGCAGGCGAGCGGGGCGGCGAGCGGTCACGCTTGTGCGGGCTGGATGTGCGCGCCGCGCTGGGAGGGAAGGGCGGCATGGCGGGCACGGCGGCGCCGGCGGCACCAGCAGGAGCGGCCACGGCCTGCTGCCTAGGAGCAGTACGGCCACGACCAAAGCCGAGGTCACGGATGGCAATCTCGTCAATGCCGTGGTAAGTGTAGCGGGCGGCAAAACGCTTGAGCGCCGAGTCGTTGGGGAAGGTCTCGGCAAAGCGCGCCTCGAGCTTGTGGACGGCAGTCAGGTCGCCGTAAATGTACTCGAAGCGAGCCCAGGTCTCCCACAGAGGACGAGCCTTGTCGGCAGGAATCTTGATGGCCGAGCGCTCAAAGAGGGCACGAGCGTTCGAGTCGTCGTTGATCGAGAGAAGGAACTGGAGGTAGCTGGTGACAAAGTCGACGTCGTCTGAGAAGATCTTGAGACCCAGCTCGAAGATGCGGACCGCCACTGACGAATCCTTGTTCGAGTGGTACTCCATGAGCGCTGAAGCCTCAAAGATGTGCCAGGTGACGTTGGGCGACTTGCGAGCCTTGCCAAACACCAGACGGGCGGCCTTGAGACCCTCGGCACGACGGGCAAAGCGCATGTAGTATACCCACACGATGCCCGCAGCAGTCTTGCTGTTCTCAATGTCCTTGCCACGGCGCTCCTGGACCAGCTTGCCACGTTCCTCGCGCTCGCGCACGAGACGGGCATAGTCGCTCTCCTCGCCGTTCATGTCATTGTCGGCCTGGACCGGAATCTCCGGTCCACGGGCAACCTCAACCTCGGAAGCCACCTGGACCCGCATGTCCTCGGTCTCGGTGTTGAGCGAGTCGATGAGGGAAGTGTAGATGGAGTGGCAGTCGGCAAAGTTCTTCTGCTCCTCCTCAATCTCCGCGAGGGCAAAGGTAAGCAGGAAGCTCTTGGGGCAAGCAGCAACGCCACAGCGAAGGAACGCAGCGCCCTCTTCGGCACGGCCGCCGGCGAGGTGGTACGAGGCGGCATAGTGCCACAGCTCGGGGAAGTGGCGCATCTGTGCCATGCACTGCTTGAGGGCATAGCTCACGCGCATGACGACAAGGTTTGGGTCATCCATGCCCAGAGGGTTGCTCTCCTCCCACTTGATGTAGTTGCGCCAGCCGTTCGAGACACGGCGGTCGTCCTCGGAAAAGTCGGGCATGGGAGGGAGGGGAGGGTGCGGGAGAATGTCGGTCAGAGAGCGCATCTCGCGCAGGCCCGTACGCGCAGTCATGTACGCAGGTGAACGCTCAGCAAGGAACTTTTTGGCCTGGCGGAGAGTTAGTCTAGCACATGAAAACGTAAAAGTCAACTTACAGTCTGCTTGTTCTGTGCGCTTTCGAACGCATCATACGACTTCCACAGAGCTTCAACGTTGTTCAAGGGGATGGCCACTGCGCGCTGATACACCTTTCGGAGGTTGTCACTCTGCTGCTGGGTCTCCCACGGGTTCTTGGACTTGGTCTCGCCGAGGTACTGAATGTACTCGTGCCAGATCTCGCCACTCTCGCGGTCGATACCACACTCCTTCAGCGCGTACTCGTACGCCTGGGTGACGGTCGTATGGGCCTTTTCGCCATCGGGACCATCGCTGGGGTTCTGTCGCCTAATGTAATGCAAGTAGGCCTCTGCAAAGCGTCAGTTGGGGACGGCGAGATGAACACAACTCACTCCACAAGTTGACGTCAGCGGCCGCCATCAAGGCCGATGAGCTGCCCAAGGCGCGCGCAAAGAGTCCCTCTACCTGGGTAAAGTTTGACAATGCGAGTTCGAGGTTGATGAGGGACAGCATGGGCTGCGACTGCACAAGGTCAACACTAAAGGCCCGGAAACGGGGTCAGAAGTCTGAACTCACGGCTGTGGGGTTCTCCACGGCAAGAACCTCGTACCATGCGCGGGCATCCACAATCTCAGTCTTCTGAATCGCCCAGTTGAAGAGGGCCAGAGGCAAAGCCGAGTCGGAGGGTTCTGCAAGTTAGTCATGGGGTTGTCAGACTGACAGTGCTCACGTTGACGGTACTGGCGCACGAGGTCTGCCTTGGCCACCACACTGGGCGACTCCTCTGTCAACCCTTCAGGCAGGCCAACCTTGAGCTCGGCATCAGGATTGATAGGAGGAGGGATGTAACTGGGTCCAGCGATGGGCTGCTCTGGCTGCTCCATTTGCTGAGGGATGGCACGACCGTTGAGGTCAGGAGCCGGGGTGGACTCTTGAGATTGCTCTGCGATCGTCTCGGTCGCAGGGGGAACAATGGGTTCCTCGACTGATGGGGGTTCATCACTTGCGGCGGCGGTCTCCTCTTGAGGAATGTCTTGGGGCTCTTCGCTCGCCTGAGGCAGCTCAATGTCGACCTCGTCCTCATCGGCGGGCCTGGATGGGTCATATCCTCCTGCTGCCGGCGTATCATCACTCATGGGCATTGATGGATCGTAAGCCATAGGCTCGTCGTCGTCCATGGCCATTGAGGGGTCGTAACCCATGGGCTCAGGCTCCTGCTGCTGCTGCTGCCCCTCCTCCTCCTCATGGGCGGAAGCGATAGTCACGTCAGCGACAGGCTCCTCAGCAGCCTGAGGCTGCTCAGTCTCCACCACGTCCTGGATCTCGGAGTCATGGACCTGCTCGGCCTCTGCCGCCTCGACAGCCGAATGGTCCGGCGCGGCGTCGGGGACAACAAGGTCGGGATGCTCCTCAGCCATACTGAATGTTTTTGGCGCAAGGGGAAGGTAAAGTTATGCGGCGAAGGAAAATGGCAAGGGAGGGGGAAAGGATAGGATGCGGCGAGTCGAAAGTGGGGGGAGAGGGGGGGCAGCTGCGACGGGGATGGAGATCGTGTTCAGCAGAAGCTATCCATCTAGCCTGTGACTGGACGTTGGGAGGGGAAGAGGAAGGTAAAGAGAAGGTTCTTCAGGCTGATGACGATCAAGCACCAATCTCCTTGGGAGGCGGTCTCGCTCGCCTGATACTGGCTCCGGACGGGCGATCAAAGAGGGCGTAAATGACACGTATTATAAAAAAGTCACGTGATAGATGTCCTTTTACTTCAAGTCTCCCACGGATGCTCCCACAGCCAAAATGGCCCCCCCGGCCCCCCTTTTAGTGTGGCCCCCCCTCTCTCTCTCTTTTTCCAGGCCCGCGCGCCCAAAGGGACACACTCTGCCCCTCTCCCCTCCCTCTTCTGGCGCCGAACGGGTGGCGCACACCTGGGGGGGGGGGTGACATACGCCGAGGCTCTCGTCGCCATCGACCCAAGTGGCGGCTGCCACAACGGTGGCAACATGTCAGAGACTACCACTACACGGTATATACATTTACGTGGGCCGGGAACAGACAAGAAAGAGAGAGAGATAACATACAGACAGACAGAGAGCCACACAACCAGCGCAGACCACACGCTGAACGAGCACAGAGGTGTCCCTTGCGTTGGTGCCTGTTTCTCGCTGTTCCCTCGCTTCCCGTCACTCACCCACACAGCCCAGAGCGTGTCGCGCGTCCATGCTCCCCCCTGTCCGTCTCAGCTGCCTGCCTGTAGCTCACAAGAGTTCCCGCTGTGTATTTGACAGCGTAAAACTCACAGCAGCAGCGCCAGAGCACATGTTAACAACAACACCACCGCAACTCACAACAACTCCCTCTGCCGCCATACTGTACCCATCCTTCCCCATCCTTCACACCTCCACTTAGACCCCCCCCCCCGGTCCTTCTTCACCGTCTCCCTGCTGCCTGTCACCAAGGACCATGTTCACAACATCCTGCAGCTAGACCAAGGGCCCATCACACGCCTCTTCCGTCGGCACAGGCACCCCCTCTCTGCGTCCCCCAAAGGCCACGCCGCCCACACCCACACGCTCCCTTCGCCCACCGTTCCGCGCGTCCCATTCCTTCCTACACAGCTATACCTGTCTTTACACTTCACACACACCACACTCTCACTGTCTCTACGTAGATCTGCGACCAGAGCAGAGCCTCGACCGCGCATCGCAACACGCAGTGCCAGCGCGTGTCCAGCACAGGGACAGTCACCGCGCCGCCGCCTCCGCTCGCGGCCCCCCGTTCAACGCCGTCTGTCTCTGCGCCACGAGGAACCACACGCCCGTTTAACCTGTTTGCGGTTGCTCGTCACCTCACAGGCCCAACAGGACAGGCCCCACAGGCCCACACAGGTCCACAGCAGCCCTTCGCCGGACGCCTCCCTAACACGCCTCTGCTCAGCCCGCGGCGCTTCGTCGCCGCGCCTTCCGTCGTCTCCGCGCTTCTGGGCCACATTGCACGCACATCACATCACAGTTCTCGGCGTTCCACAGGTCCCATTTGAGGCTGCGCGCCGTTGTCGCATCTCACGCCCTCGCTTTCCACGACCATTTCTACCACCACCTGCGTTTCTCTTTTTCACCATCTCACTCTCTCTCTCTCCCTCGCCACCTCCCCGCGCCCCCCCTTCCCCTTCGTCTGTGTTTTCGTCCCCTCCTTTCCTCTCGACAACTGCACTTTAACAACACACCCTTTTCCAACCCTTTCTCGGCAACCACACCGATAGCGCTTCGCGAACTCGTTAGTTCGCGCACAGCGCAACCCAAAGCTCTACACCGCGTGCTCTACGTGCCCCCAGTCGCGTACGATGCCCGGCACGTTTGAGCTCCTCCGGCGCCATGCTGGCGGCCGGCGGCACGGCCTTGGCCACGCAGGGCCATTGCAGCAGCAACGACCGCCAGGCCAGCAACAAGGAGCAGGCCAGCGTGCCAAGGCAATCCTTTCGTTATCGGTTGTCTGGCGCATCGCGCGTATTATTTCATCCATCGTGCTCTTAGCGTTGGCGGCCACTTTCGACTCGCCACTGTACCCAGGGCACAAGCAAAATCAACCTTCAGATACATGTCGGCGACCAGAACTCTTCCAGTCGTGGCTCGCCGTGTCCATGGTCGTGCTCGTCTGCTACATTCTGTCGTCGGGCTGGACCAAAGCCCGCGAGACGTCAAGAGGTCGCCCACGTACGCCGCCGCCTGCTGACCTGGAGGCTGCCCGCCCACGCCCACTTCCACTTCCCGCGCCTCTGCAGCGTGTACGTTCTGCGCCGGACGCCGCCGCCGTGCCCCCACCCGCCGCCCAGTCACGCGCCATTCTCTCCCACTCTTCCCCTACTGTTCATCATCTTTACCAGGCACCATCCCTCTACCTTTCCAACTCGAGTCTATCAGCGGGGACACCAGGACCGTCGACTCCAGCGCTGTCTTCTCCCAACTCGCCCGAAGCCATGGTCTCGCCTTCAGCGCTCGCATCAACATACTCGCTCGGAAGTCTCGGTGTCTTGGCCAAGGTGCCAGAAGGCGAGCCCATGCAGCAGCTCCCAAGCCTCCCCGTCGGCTCTCTCCCTCCTGCACTCTTAAACGCCGCAGCCGCTGCTGCAACCACTGAGCCGCGTCCTCGCCCAGACTCGGCACTCATCCCAGACTCGCGTGCTCAGTCCCGGGCGGCATCCCGCGGACCATACCCGGCGCCATACCTTACCGCGCCTGAGCGCAACGCCGTTCGTCGCGCCGAGATTGCTCGCAAGGTCGACAAGGTCGCAGCGAGGGCGGACGCGCTCATGGTCCCACGCATCGTTCTCTTTGTGCTCGGAAACGTGCTCATCTTCCACCCGTGGCCATCCACCACGACGACATGTTACAACTCTGCCCCCTTGCTGTGGTGGGCAGTGTTTGTTGGCGTCATCGACGACTGGGTGCGCATTGTCGCTTCTAGCATCATTGGCGCCGTCTTCTTCACCGTCTACTTTATCTACCACGCCCTGTTGGCAGCGTATGACGTACGTCCATCAAGATCTAGGATTCGAGCACCGCTGACCATCGTTTTTGCAGACATTTGCTATCCGGATGGGCTGGCGGCCGCCCCGCCCTCCTACCAACACCCGGATGCCACAGCCTCTGGCGACTGCAGATCTCTTGCGGTGCAAGAAGGTTTGCTATGTCCCAGATCCCTCCGACCCGGCGTCGGACGATGGCCACAGCGTGCGCGAAGGCGAGGCAGTGGCACCGGATGAGATTGATCGTTCACGTCTGCCCCTCCCCGCCGTCGTGCTCCCAGCCCACCGCGCCGTCTGTGGTGTGTGCCAAGAGAACTTTGCCCCACCTCGCGAGGTCGCGCGCATCATGTACAAGGTGCCGGAGCTCCGGCAGCTGCCGTGCGACCATGTCTTCCACGAGTCATGCGTCGACGAGTGGCTCCTCAACCATTCAGACGCCTGCCCTTACTGCACGCAGAGCGTGCGTGAGGGCCTCCAAAAGCTTGAAGTCGCCAGGTCGGCAGCGGCGTCGCGCGTTTCGTTGCCGCAGCAGCCTACAGCCGCGGCTTCGCGTACTTCCCTCCACACTCCCGGCTCGCAGGCGTCTCTTGCCGCCACACGCCGCACGTCGCGCACTTCAAACCCAGCGGTCACCTCTCAGGCCTCACTCGGCCACTACCCCGCGGGCGCTCGCACTTCAGCACTCATGTCTCAAGCGTCCCTCGCGTCGCCATCGCCCGCCACGCGTGCTGCCTCGCGAATGTCGGTCCACAACCCGTCCATGTCGCAGGCTTCGCTCGCGCACTATCCGGCAACTGGCAGCCGAGTGTCCATCCAGTATCCTGCCGGCACACGCACGTCTATTCAAGTGCGCGCTGTTTCACGTGCGTCCATGCAGTCCAACCCCGCTGCGTCGCAAGTGTCCCTTGGCCACTATCCCACCGGGTCGCTGTCACAACTCGGATACCCGGGCAACTACCCACTGGGGTACCCGTCCGCTGCTGCTGCCTCAGCGTCACGCACCTCACTCGTGTACCAGCACCGGCAGTCGCGTGGGTCGTTTGGCGCGGCCGGCTCGTCGGCGTCGCTCGCATTCTACCCGCCGTCCACCACGCGCGTGTCGTTGAACGTGGCCAATGGCTCGACCACGTCGCTGTATCATCCCGCCGCCTCGTCGCATTCACTCACCACACCGTCCCGCGCCGCGAGCCGTACATCCCACACTCGCACCGTTTCGGCCACGCAGGGCGAGCTGGAGCTGTCGGCGCAGTCTACCACGTCGCTCGGCGTCGAGGGATCGCCCCTTATGCGCTCAGCATCGGCGTCCCGCGTGTCGCTCACTACGTGCCCGCCCGCGGCCGCATCCAGCGGATCCCTCGTCACCGTCCCGGCCGCCGTCTCGCGCGCCGCGCGCGCAAGTCTCGCCGAGAACCTTGCCGAGCAGGAACGCGAGGCCTTGCGCAACGCGGCCAAGGGCATCGCGCGCTAGGCGGTCGTGAACGCGTCAACGGCCCTCCGGTTTCCTTTTTTTTCGGCTTGCACGTCTCCTTTCCATTTTTTTTTGGTCAGCACATTCTCGACCACAAACACGTACCTCTTCCGGTATATCATGCCAGCATGCGCGCGTTTCTCGGTTGCTATAATAGTGCGCCGGGCGTGCTCACCCACCCCAAGCAACGTCCCACCCTCACTCCCACCCACACTCGCTCGCTCCATACACGACCCTTCCGCATCGTCGCACCTGCGCCCCGGGGCTTCCTCGAGGGGACCTCGAGGGCAACACACAACACATTGCCAATTGCCGTAGATACACGGCTACATCCCCTCCTTGCCGTTGTAACTCCCCCCTCCCCACCCCTCTCTTCCTTCTTTCCCTTTTTACCCAAGTTCTATCGCCCCACGTTACGTCCCCCACGCTACGCCCCCCCACGCCCCCACGTCACATGTTGTACCCGTGACAGACACGAATACACGAGTCAATGCATTGCAATTCTATAAATACAAGACATCCGGTGCGCTTTGTGTGGCGTGTGTGAGAGAGAGGCCTACGGGCAAGGTGGAGGTGAACTGACCGAGCGAGTGTGGCACAAAGCGAGTAAAAATGCGAAATTAAAGAGTGGGGGGGGGTTTGTTTTTCTAAAAAAATCTAGGTGGCACACCGGCCGTCTTCTCCATCCGCTCGTTCCTTTTCCGCGTCTGGCGGGTGTACGCTTTGCCTGTCTCTGCCCCAGCGCAGCGCACGTTGCCAGCTTCAGTGTCCCTGCCGATGAAGTTGTGCCCCGAGTTGCTTGCTGGATCTCTCTGAAGGACGGCTCGTCAAACATGACATGTGGCACAGAGAAACAGCAACTGTTTGAAGAGAGCACAGGGGATGCAGGGGGATGCGGGCGGGGTGACAAGTGCGTTTCTGGTGGCCAGCGCCCCGTCACATGCACGATGCTGCGTGCACCCGTGCGTAAGTGCGTGCGCGCGCGCAACGCGTTGCGATGGAGCCGGTTTGCAGGTCCCCGCTGGCACTGTTTCTGCGAGTTGCAACGTGTCACTGTCGTTGCCCATATCCTTTCTGTTGTCCCTTTGTTCACACACTCGTTCTTTGATCAATTCCACACCACAACGTACTGGTCGCGGCGTCCTCGTCGTCCGGCTCCTCGTTCACGTTCACCATGCCAGCTCCAAAGCATGCCTTGGACCGTGAGGAGGAGGAGGGAGACGATCATTCGAAACGTCGCCCGCCTGCCACCACCACAGCCGAAGTAGCCCGTCCTACCGCAACCGACTTGGAACAGGACATCGAGGAGGGCCTCCGTAACATTTCCAGGGAAAAGCACACGCCCTTGCGCAACCTTGTCTACCAAATGCTCAATTACAACTGGAATGCCCGCCATGCAAGCCGGGCGGAATTTTACAGGTCGGTGTGCCCCCCAGTGAGTTGGAGTGGAAGTAACCCACCGCGCCACCACCCAGTGGTCTCAATCAAACCGACCGTTGACGATGTACAGCGGCCAGACAATTCCCATAACGAGGAGATCCGGTCTCTAAAGCGCTTCTGTGCCACCCATTCGGATTTCTTTTGCCGCCTGGTACCCGGCTTTCGGAAGTGTCAACGCGTTCTGGGCCGGCTGCCCGACCACCTAACGCAAGAGCAGCCTTTTTTCACCCCACCCACTCACCAGGATCAACATCCCAACTCTCTGCCGCCCCAGAGCCAGAGTTCTGGCTGGGGGTTCCACGCTCCACTGGCCCACCGCTCATCACAGGAGGACCACTCCTCAAACCAACCCCACTGTGAACAAGGACCTTCCTCGAGGCCGGTGATGTCTGCCTCTCCCTTCCCGAGAGGGCCACGCCCGGCGGATCCGGTATCGTCGTCCAGTTTCACAGTTGGCGCCATGGCCCTGCGGCCGGATATGTCAACCACGACGTCCAGCGCCCCGCACCAAGGGCACCATGCTGTTGTTGAAACCGAGCCCGAATTCACCCACATCCCGACTACGACTGCTGTTGTCGCCGGCCCGCCGTCCATTGCGGCTGCCACCGACGGCCGTTCGTCGTTCCTCTCTTCGGTTAACACGTCTTCCCCCCCAGTGGCCGCTTTGGCAGAAGCCTCGCTGGGCCCCAGCTCACCCATGGGACAAACACTTCAACCAGCTTCTGCTAGCACCGAGCTGCAGCGCTTGCTGCACCAGCAGACGGCCAAGCTACGACAAAACAACATCAAAGGCCGGCGGACGGAAAGACGGAATAAACTGGTTAGGGCGTGGCATACAGAGTCTGCGGGCGAGCGGCGTCGCGCCCAGTCTGAGTAGCGGACGAGCCGTTCGTGGACGATGTTTACAATAATGAGATGCGATTACTGTGTACTTTCTGGAGTGTGCCACCCTGACTTGGCCATATCGACAGGCGACCGTTATCCCAGACATGGATCAGCACAGGGACCGAATTCATCGTTGCTCCGTCGGATCAGCTAGTGGAAAGGGCCTTGCACGTCAGCACAAAGCACGCCAGCGCGTCGTGTTTCAGCACCTGAGGCTTTTGCTAGCGGCTTTGCACTGACGCAGGCCGTTGGCGCCGTTAGGCCGTTTAAGAGTCGCCGGAGCCGTTGCATCCCCGCGGGTGGTAATGGAGCCTGCGGTCATAGACCGGCGATTGAGGCGAGTATGGAGCCCCCGGCCTCCCGTGACTTTGTCAGCTTCCGACGGAAGTGGGCTGTCGAGATGATATGCCCATCGCTGATCGAATGACTACATTGCCGTGTGGTCGCCATCGACAGGTTGGTTTGGCCGCACCCCCCGGTATATAAAGCTGCTGACGATGCACACCTCCTCTTGGCCCAGCTCTTACCGACCCCCATACAACCTCTTTATCCACGGCGCATAACCTTATGCGCCCCGAGTCTCGTCCCCGCACCCTGCTCCTCTTCGCCCTCGGCGTCCTCGCCGCTGCCATCTTGTTTCGTCTCGACATCCTTCGTTTTCTCGGTCTCGGACGCAAGTCCTTCTCGACGTCTTCCTCTGCCGCCGCCGCCGCAGCTTCCACCACGACCGCCGCCGCTTCCAAGTTCTCCGAGATGGCTGCTTCCGCTCAGCAAGACGAGGCCAAGGGCCAGGTCTATTTCCTCTCCCACGGCGTGAGTACTGACCCGTGGAGGAACGTTGGCGCGTGACCAGCCAGGACGATAAGATCAGACGCATGTTGTCAATACGTGATCCAGCTGCACCTCCCCTGGGCGTTGCTGGCCAGTCTGGATCTCCTACTGCCTGCTCCACCCCTTCTAACTTGACTTGGAACATGCACTGACAATGTACAGGGCCCGCCCACGATGTTCGACACCAACTCGGCTCCTTACAAGGCTTGGATCAAGTACGGCAAGGCCGTAGCTGACGCCAAGCCCAAGGGTCTCATTGTCGTCTCGGCACACTGGGAGAACCCCTCCAACTCGGACAGCGTTGTTGGTGAGTAGACAGCTGTGCAGGTAACTGGAGGTTTGAGCACCTGGAGCAGCAGCTCGTTTTTCATGCCACTAACCCCCACCAGTCAACGAGGACCAGACCAACCCGCTCGTGTACGACTTTTACGGCTTCCCGTCCGAGTACTACCAGCAGACCTTTGTGTCCCGGGGCAACAACCAGATGCTCTCGGACGTCAAGGACGCACTCAAGGGCTCAGACGTCCGCTTCTCGACCGCCAAGCGCGGCCTCGACCACGGCGTCTGGGTCCCCTTCAAGGTCGCGTTTGCAGGCCGTACCGACATTCCCATTATCCAGGTGTCGCTCCCCGGAGACTCGAACCCCATCTCGGCTGCCAAGCTCGGTCGCGCCCTTGCCCCGCTCCGTGAGCAAGGCTACGGCATCATGGGTACCGGCCAGGCGGTGCACAACCTCCGCGACTTCAGTGAGTGTTGTTATATCGAGAGAGCAGCTGTGGCAGTTACACCGGCGCTGGAGGTGTACACCCGCAGCTTGGCTCATCCATGCGCATTGGTGACCATTTGGTTGGACGCCGCTGCTCGCACGTGTGGCGTCCTTGTCCCTTTGCCTTGCCCTGTCGACAGTGACTACCTGACCAGAATAGTCCTCGTGTTGACACTTTTGCGCAGTGATGGGCCGCCAAGCGAGCTACGGCGACGTCTTCCTGAAGGCTGCCAGCGCCGCTGTCGCCGACCCCGACCCGGCCAACGCCACCATCAACCTCTTCCGCCACCCCCAGTACCGCAACGCCCACCCGAGCCCCGAGCACCTCCTTCCGCTCGTGGTCGCTGCCGCTGCCGTCGAGAAGGACGACAAGCTGCGTACCCTCTTTGTCGACCCCAACGGCGCCCTCGGATGGGGCATGTGGATGTGGAACCAGAAGCCCCAGGTCGAAGCGAGCGCAGAGACCGCCCCGGCAACTGAAGCGACCGCCTAGTGTGCGGGGCTGTAACAAAGCTGCCCTTGCTTGCCGTAGACTCTGCCCATGCATTCGCCATCATAGATAGTCACCTGCTGGCCTGCTGCACCCGAAGCCCAGCTCCAGGTTGCAGACCTCTCGCGCCGTGGACGGGACACGGCAAACGCGGCTTGTGCCGCATAGTCCTTGGAGCGGTATCGTCATACGGGGGGTGTGGGTTTGAGGACCAGCCTGCAGCTCTGCAGCCTGCCCTCTCGTTTATACCCCGCCGCCACCGACGCCTTCCGACAACGGCGAGCCCCGCAACGCCTAAAGTGGGTCGATTTAACCATAGATGGGAAGCCGTGCCAATCTACCATTTTCCATCTACCACACCATTCGCATTTCTTTCTACAGTAGGGTGACCAGCATACTCCGCATGTCTCTTGCGCACGCATGAAGTTCGGCAGGTACGTGTTGTCCCGAGGAGAGCAGCTGGGGAGAGAGAGAGCCCAACTGCAGGGCGCACAGTATCACACTACCAGCCCGCCCCCCCTGCCCGCACCCACGTTTCCAGTCTCCACGCACCATGCTCACATCTACCACAGGTATCTCGCGGAGAACGCGACGCCCGAGTGGAAGCGCGCATACATCGACTACCGCGCCGCCAAGAAGGCGATCAAGCGAGTCACAGAACGCTTGACCAAGGTTCCCGACCCGCCCACGACCGGCGGCCCCATTAATGCCCTTTCGCGCATTGCGACACGCACCAAGGGAGACCATGGCAAGGGCGACGGCAACGCATCGGACTCGAGCGAGGACGGTGACCATGGTCCGGCGTCCACCAAGATTCGCCGCACGTTCACGCTCGGCCAGGGGTCGGTGCGGTCCGTCGGGTCAGGCGGCGGCGGCGGCAGTGCTCCTGCCCCGGCTTCCGGTGGTGTGTCGGGCGGCACCAGCAACGTCCCGTCCCCTCGCCCCATCGCCGCCGGTATCTCTACGGGCACGGGAACAGTACTCGGCTCGTCATGGCGTAACAGTCCTTCGTCATTGACGCCTGCCTCGGCGCTTGGTCGTGTGAGTTTTTGTCTTGGCCTTGTCGACAGACACCGGACAGATGTGCCCGATATCCGAGACAATCGTGTTGAGAGAGAGTGTGTGTGATCCGTGGGACTGACAACGTGCTTTAGGGTCGGTCACCGTCATACGGTGCGATGGGTACCAGTCCTCGGCTGACTGAAGGTCGCGTGCACCCGCCGCCGCCGCTCGATTTGGGCGAACCCCATCTCGACGAAGCAGCCGAGGAGAACGAGCAAGAGGTCATCGAAGGCGAGTGGCCTGGTCCCAGTTCTGGCCCGGGCGCAGGGACTGGCTCAGCACCACCGGCAGACAGCACTGTCACCAGTTCCACCGTTGTCAGCCCCCTCTCGTCCAGCCCTGTCAGTCCAATGGGCTCGTCCTCAAAGCGTCACTCGAGCCTGCGCGATCCCAACCGCACACGTACCCGTGGCGCCAACGTCAACTTTTCGCCTCGCATCACATCCATTCCCGATGCCGACGACGGCAACGAGGCCGACAGGGACGAAGCGTCCGACCATGCCTCGCGAGGACATATCGGCGGTGTCCAGCCATGGCCAACGCAGGCGCCTCACACGCCCAGCGATGCGTCCATGACCCAGTCGCCGCCCAAGGACGGCGAACGTACACCGCATGCCGAGACCACGGATAATCGTCTGCCAGGCCCGGGATCGACTCCTAAGAAGTCACCAAAGCGCTCGCCGTCCATGTTCCGCTTCTCGCTCGTGTCCCCGCGCGTCCAGCCTAGTGCAGGACTGACCCAGGGCGGTGTTGCCGATGCACCCAGTGGAACTAGGAGTATCCGTGAGTGACAATGAACCGGAAACCGGCCGTGGCGGCTAACCACTCGCACAGACTCGCTCAAGCTCCCATCCCCTCGCCTCCAGCCGCGCACAGCACGCTCCTTTGACGAGCTGTACGAGAGCCTGCAGCCCGACGAGCAGGCCTTTTTCGACTTGCTCGACCACGAGCTCCTCAAGGTCGAGACGTTTTACCAGCAGCGAGAGAACGAGGCCGTGAAGCGCGGCCAGGAACTCCGCGACCAGCTGCGTGACCTCGCCGAGCACCGACGAGTCTTCCACGAGACGTTCCCCGCCGGTGTGCCCGAATGGGAAGTGGCTGTAGGCCATCTTTTGGGTGCCGGTACCACGTCTACCGCGGCGGCAGTGCCCAGGCCCATCCAGCGTCTTACCCGCCGTAGGCCAAACACCTCAGGTGTGACGAGCGACGAGGCAAGCAGCAGGGCAGCAACACCCCCAGGGAACCGCAACGGGTACGTCAATGGCAAGACCTATGGCACTGGAAATGGCACCCCGAACGGCAAGCATGTGGCCAACAAGAGCGACGAGGATGAATACCGAGAGATGGCACGCCAGTACGACCCGGAGCGATACCAAAAGTACAAAAAGGAGCTGCGTTCCGCCATGCTCGACTACTACCGTCACCTCGAGTTGATCAAAAATTATCGTATCCTCAACTTGACAGGTTTCCGCAAGGCCTTGAAAAAGTTTGAAAAGGCGACCAAGATCATCTGTCTCGAGCTGTATACCGAGGACCGGATCTCGCCTTGCTCGTTCTCGCGCGGCGAGACGATTGACAACCTCATCAAGCAGACCGAGAGCCTGTTCACGGAACACTTTGAGCACGGCGATGGCAAGAAGGCGCGCGACAAGCTGCGTGGACAGGACCAGAGCAACTCGCACTACTTTTCCGTCTTCCGCAGCGGTATCATGCTCGGCCTGGGCGTGCCGCCTGCCATCCTCGCGATTGTCAAGACGTTTGACCCCGAGACCCGCCAGGCGATTCCGGGCTATGCCGCCCTCGAGCAGATCTATGTCGGCCTGTACATCCCCGTCATCTTTGCCATGCTCTTCGAAGTCAACCTGATGGCATACGTCGCCGCGCGCATCAACTATGAGTTTGTCATGGAGCTCGACCGCCCGACTCTGGACTTTAGGAGCTACTTCGAGATCCCGGCCTTTTTCTTCATGACGCTCTCGTACTGCTTCTTCTTCTCGTTCTACCGGGTCGCCACGCACAGCGTCGCACCAACAACATGGCCGCTCGCATGGCTGGTGTTTGTGTGCGTCTTCTTCCTCAACCCGCTACCCATCTTCCGCCGACGATCGCGATACTGGTTCCTGCGCGTCCTCTTCCGTGTCATCACCCCCGGATACTCGCGAGTAGAGTTCATTGCATTCTTCATCGCCGACGAGCTCAACTCGCTGTCGTTCAGCATCCAGAACCTCATGTTCATCGGGTGCACTTACAGCCACCACTGGCCCGGCGCCGTGTACGATACCTGCGCATCGGGCAGGTCGTGGCCATACGCCCTCCTCGCGACTGTTCCGCCTCTCATCCGTCTCATCCAGTGTCTGAAGCGTTGGTACGACTCGAACCTCCAGATCCACTTGATCAACGCAGGCAAGTATGCGTCATCAATCATCCAGGCCGTCCTGTTCGTCTACTGGCGGTCGACAGGCAGTCCCCAGAACACGGGCGGCTTCGTCACCTGGGTCATCTTTGCGACCATTGCGAGCATCTATACGTGTTCGTGGGACTTTGTCGTCGACTGGTCGCTCCTCCGTCCCCACCACCACCTCCTCCGCCCCGACCTCGGCTACTCGCAAACGTGGGTCTACTATTTCGCCATGGTGACCAACTTCTTCGTCCGCTTCATCTGGGTCTGGTACCTGCCCAACATTACCGCGCATACACACATGCGCTCGTGGATCTTTGCAATGTGCGAAATGCTGCGTCGCTGGCAGTGGAACTTCTTCCGGTGAGTCCAAAACCATGTGTTGAGGCGGCCAAACGGCTGGGACAATGTCGCCCCCAAGTCCAACCGTCCCGACAACATCCTTGTGTCTGCTCAGTTCTAACATCTACAGAGTGGAAACAGAACACCTTGGAAACGCAGACGCATACAGAGTGACGAGGGAGGTGGTATTGCCGTACCGACGAGACGAAGACGACGACCTCGACGAATACGCGAAAGGAAAGCCGACGAGCGGCGGCCTGTCAACGCTGCGTCCTGCGGTGACGGAAACGTGGCGCCGTATCCGTGTGCGCCTCGTTGGGCATACCACGACGGGACGTGTTCCTGGTACGCTGAACGTGGGGCCCATGGGGCACGCCCCGCAGCGCGAGTACGAAGCGCGGCGAATCGGCGACTGGGCGACGAGGAACAGCGACGACTCGAGTACCGCCGTGTAGGGACAACGTCTGGCGCTACGCATTCTAGAGGGCTCTACCTGCCGCTATCTATTCTATCTATTTCATTAATTTCAATCTGTCTGTATGCAAGGAGAGGCATTTGAGACTTGGAGACTTGGCTTGGGCTGCGTCCGTGACCCGACTGAAATGTGTAAAGCTGCTCGGCAGGCATCGTCGCTGGAAAAACGTCGGTCACATAAAAAACGCAATCCGAAGGGGTGGTCAAAGGCCACAGCGGTGTCGACAATGGTCATGGTTTCGTTTGAAGGTCCTGCGGACGTCTGTGTAGGGAGAGAACTCGCTTTCTCCATCGGCATCGTTGACACATTAGTACTGTCTAGTCGCTGATTGAACAAACTGCTTGTCCTCTTCTATTTCTGTTTATTTTTACTTTCCACCAACTGTTGTATGTACTGTACACGTCACGTTTGCATAGGTACCGTACGCACACATGTCATTCACTCGCTCCTCATGCGACTAAACACTAAAAGCTACCATCCCACTCAAAACTCAAAAAATCTGTTTATACATGTTTCCGGCAGTGTGGTGCTACCAGAAGTCATCGGCGTCACCACCACGCGACTTGCCAGCGGCAGTCGCCTGGCGCTGGTAAAACTCGGCCACCTGCTCCGAGCTCGTGGCCTCGTCGGCATTCTTGTCCTCGCGCACCTTGATGAAGCGCGGGAAGCGGAGAGAGATACCGCGCGACTCAACCTGTTGGCGTCAGTTTAGAAACATCGACCACAACTCACGATACCGTGCGCGGCACTGTACACTGGCGAGAGTGACAGGTCGGCAGTGAGGACCTCCCACACGACCTTGGGCTCGAACCAGACATCAGGCTTGGCGCCGCCGATCTCAATGTCTCCGCGGGCCGTCTGGAGTTCGAGGGGATGCAGTTCGTCGTAAAAGGCCTTGAGCTGCTCCTCGCTGAAACCAGTACCGATCTTGCAAATCGTCTGGTAGTTTTCCGAGTCGGGGTCGTAGCACGCGAGGAGGAAGGCACCGTACCAGTTGGTACGCTTGCCCTTGCCGTAGTATGCGCCGACAACAACAAGGTCGAGGCTGTCACCCACACCCGAGAGATAGTCCTTCTTGAGCTTGAGCCAGTTGATACTGCGGCGAGAAGGTTCATACGTCGAGGCCCCCGTGGCGAGCATCTTGACCATGAGACCCTCGCAGCCGTCCTTGACACTCTCCTCAAGGAAGGTCTGGATCTCCTCCGACGAGGTGGCATCAGAAGCCTTGGCGAAGCCGAATTCGCCCTCGACAGGCTTGAAGTGCTCGTGCAGGATGCGACGGCGTTCCCTAAGCTCGTGGTGAAGCATGCTCTGATTGTCAGTTTATACACCGTGGCTTCATGCGACTCACCTCGCCGTTCAGATACAGCACGTCAAACGCAAACAGGTGGACGCGGACGGTGATGTCCTCGGTGCGGACGTCCTTGCGCTTACGCCTGCTGAGGTCCTGGAAGGGAAGGAGCTTCTGGGTGGCCAGGTCGAACGCGACAGCCTCGCAGTCGATGACGAACGACTTGACACCATCTTGAATGCACTGAAATGTTAGGTCTGCTGCCTAACTGCAACTTACCCTAGGGATTTGCTCAACCAGGTCGGGGTACTTGGCACTCATGTTCTCAGAATTGCGGCTGAAAACTGCGATTTTGCCGTCGTCAAGCAGGTGAACCTGCGCACGCTCGCCATCATACTTGTACTCGCACGTAAATTCCTTGCCCTCAAAGCGGTCGAGGACCTCGCCAATAGCCTTGGTAGGCTTGGCAAGCATCGGCTTGAGGGGAACACCTGGATAGGTCAGCAATTGAGAGCGCCTGGAGACCTACCAGGCGTGAGCCTGCAGTTTGCGCGGAGATGGTCCACACCACCCTCCATGAGCGCGGGGACGATGATGTCGTAGGTGGGGAGTTCACTGTTGTGAGTTGACATCGCCAAAGGGGGCAGCTCACCTGTACACCGCCTTCACCGTTTCCGCGCCCTCCTCGAGCCTCTTGGTGAGGGCCTCAGGGGAGATTTTCTTGCCGTCTATTGTCAGCTGCGTCGCGACCATCAACCTACCGAGCTCCTTGAGCACCATGGCGTGAGCCAGGGCAACGACAAGCGTCTTGTCGGCAAGACCAATGCGCAGCTTGCCCTCCAGACTGCGAATGATGAACTTGGCCTCCATACCCTGGCAGGCGGACAAGAGCTTTTTGATGATTCCCACTTTGCGGGCTTGTGACTGAAGTCGTTAGCCACTACTAGGTGGACGGTTAACTCACAGAGTTGCCGGACACCTTCGCAATATCGGTAAGGTTCGAGAACACGTAGGGGACCGTCAGAGGCTTGGGCTTGAACATGGTCGGTTGGGTGTTGCGCGAGTTCTGTTGTGAGCAGGCGGCTGCACCGTAACGACTCACCATGGCAACCTTGCCAAGATCACCCTCCTTCCTCAAGTCCTCCTTGATCTTGTTGACGTTGCGGCCAGTGCCCTCAGCAATCGCCTTGATGAGGAGCGACTCGCCAATGCCGAGCTCAGTGCCTTCATAGTCGGGGCAAAGCTAGTATATGAGCTTGCGGAGGACATGGTGGAAACTCACGCGGTTAATGCAGAGGTAAACAACCTTGAGGAGATTGGAACTCTTGGCGTCGGTAGCAGTGTCACGCTCAGCAACCACGAGAAGGAACTGGGTGAGAATCTGGAGAATCTCAAGGCGTTTGGTGGTTGCCTCAATCTTCTCAAAAGTCGCGGTGAGGGCAGCATAGGGAACACTGTACGTCAGCCGCGGGCAGATGGACAAGTACTGACGCTTCGCCCTCCTTCCATCCCTTGTCGGCGACAGGGACGCTCTTGTAGTTCTTGGTGAAAATGGAAGCCAGCTTGGACGCGGCTTTTCCCTCCTGAGCGTCGAGCTCCTCGTCACTCAACTCGTCCTCGCCCTCCTCGTCGTTGTCGCCATGGACAATAAAGTCGTCATCGTCGTACTCTTCCTTGACCTCCTTCTTGACAGGCTTGGCAAAGATGGACGCAATGGGCTTGCCGTTAGAGGCCGGGTTGGCCTTTGGTGCAGGTTTTGACGACGACGACGCCTTCTGATCGTCGTCCTTTGGCTCCGCCTTGGCCTTCTTGGGAGACTCCTTCTTCATGAAAATGGACGCGACAGGTGCGTCGACCTTGGCCTTTTTGGCAGGAGGAGGGCTCACTGTGGAGTTAGTCAGAGCTCTCTGACCGAGACTGACCTCTGCTGTCGCCATTCTCGCTCTTGGTGTTGGAGGACGACGAGGCGTTGGTAGTGGGCGCTGGGGCGGCGTCCTCCTCGTCGTCAGACTCGATGATGCGCTTGACCTTCTTCTTGGGCGCCACCTTCACGGGACTGTCAATGTCTGTAAAAGTGTGAGCATGTGGCCTGAGTGGTTTGCAGGGCAGCTCACCAGACATGGTTTGGTTGAATGGGTGACAACTGTGGAACAACAGCACTAATGTTGACGCCAGGCGGATCGCGTCCTGGCGCAACTGGACGCGTCCGGAGTGGAGGTTAGTCAACCACAGGTCATCCCGTTTTTGGTTACGTAATACAATTATTACGCGGCATCATCCATCATCAATTCCAAGCGACCAACACCACTCTCCCCACCACCACACAACACACTGCGCACCCTCCTACCTTGAGCTCCCTCCCACATCCGCATCCACAACATCCCCCACCGACCGCACGCGTCAAAGAGGCGTGTTTTCGTTCGACCTCTTGGAACGCACGCCAACATTGCACCCGTCTGACAGACTTCCATTCCCCTCCAACCAAAAACCTTTGTCTTTGCAACCGCGATGCCGTCCACGCCGTCGCTGTCCCGCAGAGGCCTCCGCAATGAACGCCAGACCAACTCGCCATATTCGCGCCCCTCGAACACGCGAGAGTCGCGTTCGGGCAAGTCGTCGGCCCTTGCCTCCCCTTCCCGCAGCGTGAGCATTCCGTTCCGCTCCATTTCTTGCTCTGAGATTTGTCGATCATTGCTAACAGTTGGCGCAGGGCTTCCACCCACTTTCGTCGCTCTTTGGCATGGTCACAAGCTCGTGGCGCCGCAAGCGCGATGATGACAACATGTCCGTGTCTGGCTCTGAGGACGACTGGAACGGAACGGCACCAAACGGCATGGAGGGCCAAGATGTTTTCAATCTGGCTGCCGCGGCCGGTCGTACGGGTTCCGAGTTTGACACTCGCGCTGAGACCTGGCGCAAGGGCAAGGGCAAGTTGAGGGCTGGACTGTCTGTGAGTGATGGTGTCATTGTTGATCTCTTTGATGACTGGTGCTGACTGGCAGTCGTCGAAGTCCAACTGGGGACTTCTCGGCCTGAGCGGTGACGACACGATCCGTCCCTCCCCATCGATGCCCGCGCTTCGCACGGTTGCTCAACAGAGCACGAGCGGCTTCTCGTCTACTCTTTCCCCTCCCACGGCAACAACCAGCGCCTTGACACCACCGCCCAGGGGCGGTATTCTCCGTCGTGCCGCGTCCACCATTGCTCTGCAGAAGTTCATGCAGGAGAAGGGTGTTGAGCTCGGCCCCGACGACGCAGACGTGTTGGAGCACCTGGCCCGTGACCTTCGTGAGGTCCGTACCCAGTCCAGCCCCAATGTCGGTCTGGGTGGTTGGAGCGCCGGAATCACGGCTCCGAACGGTAACGGCAACGACGCCCACTTGACCCCCCTCAAACAGACCGCCTCTGCTCCTTCGGTGGGAACGCCTGGTTCCTCGTTCTCAGTTGGCTCCAACGCGCCCCTTCACCCTTCTCGTGCATCCACCTCTGGTCGCCAGGTCACCTACCTTGGTCCTGGCATGTCGCCCAGGCGTCTGGCACCGCGAAACAAGCCCACCATGAAGCCCCTCTTCGAGGGTATCGACAGGAAGGACGACGCCGGCAAGAAGCGCAAGGTCGACTCCGCCGAGAGCGAGGACAGTGGCAGCTCTTCATCTCCTTCCTCTGCGCCGGGAACAGCGGCCGCGGCTGCCATGGCAGCTGCCTTCAACAAGGGACGCATCGTGAGCGGCTCTTCGACTCGCCCGTCGCCATTAAACCAAAGCACGACTGTCGTTCCCTCCCCTGACCGTGTGCAGGCGGGCAAGCGCCGCGCCGCAGACATCATGAAGGAGGTCATCGACGCTGAGCTTGGACCCCGCAAGGCCACAAAGCCAAGCCTCGTCATTAGCGAGTACGACGAGCCCCGTCTTCCTTCAACGATGGCTCAGTCCAGCTCTCGCGTTGCCGCCACCCGTTCAAGCCTGCGCAAATCGTCCAGCGGCTCCAAGCTTGCGGCTCGCGCGTCGATGAGCGCGTCCCGTGGTGCTGCGGGACAGCTGGAGCGTTCGCGTGGATCCACACGAAAGCTCAGCGTGCTTGAGCTTGTCAGCGGTATCAACGCTTCCACCGAGGACGCCCCCGAGCCCGAGGCTGAGGACGCCGAGATGGATGAGGTGGCTGCTCCTCCGTCTGCATTCTCCTTCAAGCCTGCGGCGCCTGCGGCGCCGGCTCCGTCGCCCAAGCCTGTTACCAAGGTGCCCGAGCCCGAGGTGTTCAAGGCGCTCCCTGTGCCATCATTGTCACAGTCTACTCTTGGCCAGTCGACCTCAAAAGCGCCATCCAAGTCGCCCACCCCCGTTTCCACCGAGTCGGCCGCTGTGGACTCTATCGTTGCTGCCTCCAAACCCACTCCAGCACCAGCTTTCAACCCTCGTCCCGTCGGCCTTGGTCCCCCTCCTGCAGCGGCTGCCTCCTCGCTCGCCAACCGCGCCGGGAACCGTGCCGTGGCGACTGTGTCCCGTCGCGTCGACCCCAGTGCCATCTACCTCAGCGCCAAGGACTCGGCCCTCAACGTTGAAAAGGCCGCCCTTCCATTCTTCACCTTTACCCTCCCACCACAGACCAAGGGCCAGCCCAGCACCACGGTCAAGGAGGCTGCGCACTCGCGTCCCAAGGAGAGCTTCAACTTCACGATGAGCCAACCTGCTTTACCCTCCGCCTTGCTCTCGCCTCCCAGCTCGCATGTTTCCGTCACAACTCCTCTCCCCACTGTACCGGACGAGTCACCAGAGCCCATCAAGGTCGTCAAGCCTGCTGGCGAGTGGACTTGCAGCCTCTGCATGCTCCAGAATCCCGCATCGGCCACTGAAAAGTGCAGCATCTGCGAGGCGCCCAAGCCCGGCGCTGCGCCTGCTGTTGCGACAAAGCCCATCTCCATGCCCGCTCCTCCGTCGGTTCCCGCTGCCGGCGGATTCACCTTTGGTGGCAAGCCTGTTACTGCGCCGGCCACCACCACTCCTGCTCCCGGCGGGTTTACAGGCTTTGGCAAGCCCGCCGCTCCCAAGCCCGCCGCAGCGGGTGGCGCTGACTGGGATTGCGGCCTCTGCATGCTGAAAAACCCCGCCTCTGCCACCGAGAAGTGCTCAATCTGCGAGGCCCCACGCCCTGGTGCGACTCCCTCCGCTTCGTCAAAGCCTGCTGCCCCTCCTGCTCCTCCTTCGGTGCCCGCCGGTGGCTTTTCGTTTGGCGGCAGCTCGTCGTCGTCCTCAGCGGCCCCCAAGTCGAGCTTCATGTTTGGCAAACCCCCTGCTGCGGCCGGCGAATGGGAGTGCGACACCTGCATGCTCAAGAACCCCGCCACCGCGACCGAAAAGTGCACCGTCTGTGAGGCCCCCAAGCCCGGTGCCACGGTCTCCACCCCGGCTGCACCCAAGGGTGGCCTCCCTGCACCCCCCGCCGGCGGCTTTAGCTTTGGCGGCAAGCCCGTCGCGACTGCACCCCCCTCGGCCCCCTCTACCGGCCTCACCGGCTTCTCTTTCGGTGTCAAGCCTCCGGGCACCGCCGCTGCAGCTCCATCCTTTGGCGCCCCTCCTGCTGGTGGCTTCTCGTTCGGTGCCAAGCCCCCTACCACCGGCAGTTTCTCGTTTGGCGCGCCCGCCGCGCCTGCTCTCCTCGCCAAGCCCACTGGTGCGGCCGACGAGTGGACGTGTGACACCTGTATGCTCAAGAATCCCGCCACGGCGACGGAGAAGTGTACAATTTGTGAAACCCCCAAGCCCTAATGGCGTTACTCTCCTCTCGCCTTCAAAAGTCTATAGCATTGGCGTGGTGTCGTAGTCGTTCATGTATAGCGGATGACCATTACATCCGTGGTGATTGTGTATCTAGATGGAGAGCCACGCCTGCGCTTGGTGTCGATGGTCGATTACCGACGTGCAGTTGTTCTCGGTTGTGGATGTCAGTATCGGCGGAAGCCGCCGCCAACCGTGATGACGCACGTTATCTAGCGGGACCGTACACCAGCCAGAACAAACCGAAGGCAAACCCCCTGTTGCTAAGCCCACTCACTTTCACCCGCAGCCCAGCTGGGCCAGCCGCTCTGCTGTTCATCTTATGCGTCCTCGCTCACATTCTGAATCGGTGCGACTTCTGGACGCGCAGGACCCGCCCCTTGGCCCCTTGTCGTCGGGCATCATCGATGAGCCCAGCACCCTCGTCATGGTCGAACGAGCATTCTACACACATGGCGTGAGTAAAAGATCAAGGAGGCTACCAACACGTGCTGACGGTGGGCGGTAGCATGATGTGCAGATTACAGACATGAAAGGCGGTGTGGTGTGCAGTGTGCGTGGACCTGCCGGGATGACGTTGGGCGGGAAGCGAGGTGCGCTTTGGGAGGGACGACACGGAGCTCACTGCTGTCTGCTGACAGAACGACAGTCTTCTCAGATACCACTGGCGCGCCCGTCATGACCCTCTCGACCAACTCGAATCCCTACGCAAGGGTGTTCATCGGTACAGCGGGCGACACCACTGTCAAGGCGGCAGAGGGGCAGGAAGCTGGCACGCAACTGTTCACTGCCAAACGCAAGATGGGGGTAAAGCACCACATGGCCGTGGCATTCACCAATGCGGCCGACGGACAGCCGACAACGCTCGAGCTGCGCGGCGACGTGTTGGGGAACAAGGCTGCAGTGCTCACTGCCGACGGGAGGGAGACGGTCGCGCACTTTACCAGGACGTTGGACGGGATCCGCGAACCCAAAGTCATGACGGTGGGCCATTAAGAGGTGACGCAAGCCCTGTTGCTGACCTCTTTCACAGTACTATGTCGGCGTTGCGGCCGGCGTTGACCGCGTGCTCATGGCCGCGCTCTGCCTGGCGTTGGTGCAGGCCAAAGACGAGAGGCGCAACTTTGGTGCCCAGTAGGGTGTGTAGAACGAAGGGTCTCATAGTTCGCGACAGAGGAAGAGCACAGGTTCGCTGTCCCAAGGGAGACGGTGATAGCACTTATAACGGAGACAAGTAATGAAAGCAGATCATCCGTACACAGTCCATTTGTCAACAGCTGGCTCCATCTCCTCACTCCTCGGCCATCTTTAACGCTTCAGTTGCATTGTTACCTTGCTATGGCGCTCAAAGGTTTCCGTTGAGAATGCTGCCAGCCTTGAAAAGCGTGGTGATCCAGCAGACTGCGGTTAGCTACTATTCTTAGCCCCAGTCACTCACGCTGGCAGGCAACCCAGGTGCCAGAACGCAGGAGGCTCTTGGGCGTGTAGGTAGTGGTCGCGTACAAGTACACTGCGAGTCAGAGTGGCTCGATGCGAGCGTGAGTGCGTACCGTAGAGGAAGCGCAGTCCAAGGTACCCCAGTACCATCTTGTTCATGTAAGCCGCGGGCAGGCCGGCAACGTTACCAGCGACCTGGATGGCCGTCAGCACCACCCACACCCCTCATCCATCGTCCTTGCAACGCACCACGGACGCAGCAAAGATACCGAGCGACTCGATACAGTTGGTCTGGGCCGCCTCGAGGCGCTTGAGCTTTGCGATGTCGTCGGGCTTGTACTTGCCCGACTTTTCCATGTTGGCGACCGTGTCGCGCGGGCAGACATTGTCAAGAACGCCCAGCGAGGCCATCATGCCGCGCGAGCCGGCGCCCATGGCCTGAAGCCAGACGGCGGCGAGGAGCGGGTACGATGCGTTGTATCCCGGGCTGGCAAAGAGCGAAGCACTGACGACCAGTCAGCTAACCAAGGTTCCACTGCCACAGCTCACAAGGAGATCATGGTGAACAGTTCAAGTGGGAGGTCTGGGAGAGGGGCCCGAGGTGCTCACATGCACTGCTTAAGTACCCCTCTCAACGCCTCTCAGCGCCTCTCACGGTCCCCACGAGTTCCAAATCAGTTGGGTTGACGGTGTCTGGAGGATGATGGCGAGGTGACGTGCCTGTGACCTCACGGCATTCCCGGTGACTGCCGCGCCGAACGACAGTTTGACTCGGTAACAGGACGGCCGGGTACTGAGGTCGACCAGCCGCGGCGGCCCCCCAAGATGAACAATGCAACAATGTCAGCTGAGAATAGCTGTACGCCAGTGATCGGGATGGCAGACGGCGGGTTCCCAGTTAAGCAGTGGGCGGCATGGGCAGCCAGCTTCAGGCCAGAATCGGAGGGCTGAAGCAAGCGGCTCTTTATCGAGGTACGCTGGTAAAGAAGGAGAAATGGTCAGCACGCCGGTCATCGGCAGCGTCAGCCAACAAGTCGACTTCCTAGAAAGGAGATGCGAGGACGGGTGTGGATAATGCACCTGGGAAGGCTTGGTGTGTTGTTGTTGTCAGTTATCAACGTCAACAACAACAAGGCGAAAAATAGAGAACAGGGTGCGCCGACATATGTTGTCCACATATATGTCTCACACCACCCCACATGGTAAGCGTGTTGTCGCACTCCCTTGTTCTGAACCTGTTGCAGAAGCAGACCACCGAGTTTTCGCCAGGTGCAAGACGATGGGGGAGATACCACAGAGAGGATAGGTGCGATTAACATGGGACACCATTCGCGGCGGGTGCTGGCTGAAGGGGTGATCTGATCAGGCTATTTAGCCCCTTTGCTCCCGTACCCCGCACCCACCAGGGACCCGACGGACCCGGGGGAGCGGCTCAAGGATTGATGTCACCATCGACGGCCCGTATTTCATTGTTGCTCCTTGCCCATCCCCTTCGACTTTACATCTTTCTCTCTCGTCACTCGTTTTCTTCTTCCACGGCTCTGGCTTCAACGGCCTCCCTCCCCCCCTTTTAAATGTCCAAGAATATGCCATCGTCCACCATGGACCGGCGAGTGTCGGGCCCCAGTGCTCCAGGTGGCCTGCTGGGCCTGCCTGCCCGCCCGGCTCCAACAGAAAGTTCGCCTCTTCTTGGTCCGCCCACGGCCCCACCTCCTCCTCGTAAACACCACCACGGACTCATCGGTTTAGATCGTCCCGCGACAACTTGGAACGAGCTCCGCGTGCTGGTCCACTCCAGTATACCCCTCTCGGCTGGATTGATGCTCGAAAATGCGCTCAATACCATCAACATTCTTATTGTGGGCAGGCTTGGAAGCGCAGAGCTTGCGGTGGCCGGAAATTCGTCTCTTCTCATCATGGTCACTGGTGAGTAGTTGGGAACAAGTTTCCACTGGAGAGAGAACACAACGGCGGATAGTGCGCACCTGGAGGCCAGCAAATGGACAAGGACGCATGTGGCGGCTCCCAGTGGTCGTCCCACACAAACAAAACAACCGCTGACATCACAGGCTATCCCCTTCCCCTTGCTCTCGCTGCGGCTTTCACCACACTTTCGGCCCCATTATATGCCCAGCCAGAGGCCAGGTATCACATTGGCCACATTCTGCAGCGGACACTACTTCTGTCCCTCATTTCGGCCGCTTTCATCATGGTCTTCTGGTGGAACATTTCACCCATTCTTCTGGCTCTCAAGCAGCCCAAGGAGCTGGTGCATGGTATGAAGTAGTGAGTTGAACAGGGATCGCGTCACCGGGCGACATGGCACTGACGAACAGCTATCTCCGTGCCGCAACGCTCGTGCTCCCGGCTCTGGGTCTCGTCGAGTCTATGAAGGCGTACCTGCAAGTACAAGGCATCATGAGCCCCCCGCCTCTCATCCTCCTTGCTCTTCTCCCCTTCCACACTGGTCTTGCCATCTACCTCGTTCACTACACTTCCCTAGGCGCCCCTGGCGCCGCCATCGCCACGGCCACTACGCTCTGGGTCACCGGCATCCTCCTGGTGCTGTATGCGATGCGCACGCGTGCCGCCCAGTGCTGGGATGGGTTCACCCAGCGCGCTTGGGCAGACTGGGACGCCGTCCTCTGGCTTGCCGTTCCCGGTGCTCTGGTAAGTGTCTAGGACGAGCACTTGTTTAGTCCAAACCTAACACCCGCAGATGTTTGGTTCCGAGCTCTGGGCATTTGAAGTCATTGCTTTGCTGGCGGGTCGCCTCGGACACAATGCTGTCGCTGCCCAGGCGGTTATTTCGACTCTTGACAACCTTGTGGCCATGGTGTGAGTTCCACATGGGCACCTGGAGCTCTCGCTGACGGAACAGGCCATATGCCATTTCCATCGGTATCGCCAACCGCGTCGGCAACCTCCTTGGCTTTGGTCTGCGGGCCATCAAGCGAGCTCGTCGCGCCGTGCGTGCTGGCTTTGTTCTCGAGATCCTTGTCGCCGGATCCACTGGTCTTGTAGTCCTCATCTGGCGTGAGAAGATCGCCCTCATCTTTACAGACGACCGCGAGGTCGCCAAGGAGGCTGCCCAGGCTGCCATCTTCGTCGCGTCATACCAGCTGTTTGACGGTCTTCAAAACGTCGGCGCAGCATGCCTGCGCGCATTTGGTCGCCAGAACGTCGGCTCTGTCATCCACTTTATCGGATACTACGTCGTGGGTCTGCCTATTGGCGCATACCTCGGCCTCGGTCCCCCCCACTGGGGTCTCGCCGGCCTGTGGGCCGGTGCGGCCCTCGCGCTGGCGTGCACGTCGGCTGCCGAACTCCTGATCGCGTTCAACATCCACTGGGAGAACGAGGTGGAGCGCGTGCAGGCGCGCGAGACGGACGAGTCGTCAGACGAAGGAGAGGAGGACGAGTTTGAAGAGTAAATGAACATGACTGGTCTCGGGAGACACACAATGGGCCCACTACTGGATTGTTGTACAGTATTGCCCGCCTCTTGCAGACGGCACGGCACTTCATGCAAGCTCTGGCGCGCACACCTTTTGAATCTCCCCAAACTCGCCCGCCCCTCCCACACCGCCCATCACATTTTAACCATCCCAGTATCAAATTAACAAGCATGCATCCATTTTAGTCCACCCTGGTGTTCCCTGTGGCCTGTGGCCGAGCCAAGATGTCTGAATGGCCATGGCCCCAGCGGCGGCGGACTGTGGGTGCCTTCCAAGCAAAGTGGCGGCGGCGTGGGGGGGCACAGCCCAGCCATCCCTGCCCAGCCCATGTACGACGTACGAACACACAGCACTGTACATGTAAACTTGTCGTCGCCGCCTATACGTTCTCTCGCGTCTTCCGACTTGCTGTTTAGCGCGCTTGCTTGCGCGGCTCTGGGGGGCCCAAGAGGGGCTGCCGTACTGTGGCTTTTGACGAAGGAATGCACGGTGCAGAACAGGGCTGGGATGCTTGCCCATTTAACTCTGAGGGATCTGGGGGGAAAGCTAAAACAGAACATGGGCGGGTGGCGTCGACGCGTGCGTCGTCTGTGATGAGAAAAAGAGAGCGCAAATGAGATCAGCCTGCAAAGTGCCCCTTCCCATGCACACACGCACGGTGCACACGCACATGCATCTATACATCCTACACACACTCTCTCTCTCTCGTTGTGCTCAACTTGCATCTTTTCCCGTCATCTAAACCCCCATCTCTGCGTTCCCCGTACCGCCATTCCGGCATTCCACTACCCGTCGAGACGCGACGGAACGGGCTAGCGCGCATCTGCAGCATCTAACGTCCACTACCAGCCAGGACGCAACCGGGCCAGCCTCTCTCATACGACCAGGCGTCTATAACGACCAGCATCCAGTGTTTGCTGTACATGGCATCACCCACACTCTCATCACCTTTCCTCCTCCTTCGTTCTTGCTGCATCCATGCGCCTCATTCTGCCGAATCCCGTCGGCGGCCCGGTGACGATCGACACGAGCGTCCTCAGCGCCGGCTGGAACACTGTTCGTCATCGCCTCACGCCGCTCGCTCCCTCGGCCCGTCGTACACAACTGCGTCTCCTCCTCTTGGTCGGTCTCGTGGCCTTGGTCACATTCGTGCACCCCGCACCACCGTTCCCTCCCAGCTACTCGGCCGAATACAGGATCGAGCGAGACTTGCCCCAGCATGACCGGACTTTGCCGTTTCCAGAGGGCAAGAATGGCCGGTATATCAAGTACGTCTCTGAGCGTCTTCCTTCCTTGCCTTTTCTTTGCCACTGACGTTTTGACAGGTTTGACGTGCCTCAGGGGACTGGTGAGGAGCTCGTGGCGAATGCATGCTGACCCCAGGTTTCAACCACCACCTGCAGCGGGTCCTGTAAGTCGTCTCCATTCCACTGCGAGCCGCCACTGAGACAACAACACAGCCTGCAACACCACATTGCCGTCTTGAGCAACCGCTCCCTTGCATTCGAGCCAGTCGTCAAGGACGAGACCGTGAGCACCAACGGCATCTCGCCTCTCGGACACGTACTGACACCGTCACAGTGGCTGCCGTTTGAGCTTACACGCTGGCCGTGGCGCTCTGCGCGGATCCCGCTCTCGGCCTATGTCGGCAACGTGATCAACGGCTTTGAGCGGTTCTACAACACCCCTCGCGCCGTCAGTGCCGACTTTTACGCGTCTGTCTGCCCCAGATCCAAGCAGCATGTGATCACCGTCCGCAGCGCCGAGTATCCCGACGGCGACCTCGAGCTGTCCCTCGACGGCCAGTCCCGTATCACGCAGCTCCAGGTGGCGCTGTTGACGAGCGACAAGGGCTGTGTCCGTGTAAAGGGCGAGGTGTTTGACGATGCGTGAGTTGAAGACTACAAACTGTTCCAGTTTACTAACTGGTGCAGATACTTTGACTCTCAGGCGCCCATCGACATTGTCGACAAGCTCATCAAGTCGCCCGTCCTCCAGCACTTTACCTTTTCGCCCTCGGTGCTGGCCATTGTCAACAGCGTCATGAAGGCCATCGCCCCCGAGTCGCCGCTGTACAACCTCGACAACTACTTTCGCGCACACAGCACCTCGGCACCACGCACCTCGCAGTGGCGGCACGTCCTCGCCCTCCACCTTCGTCGCGGGGACGAGTGGGTCGCCACCTGCCACGAGAAGGGGATGCGTCGAGCGTGAGCTGGGAAAAGTGCCATGCCGAAGCTGACATCTCAGCCCGTTTGCCGGTTTCAACAAACTCCCACTGCTCCCAGGTAACGAAAACGTCCCTCCGGCCGAGGACATGGTCGAGGCCACCCGGTTGGGCCTGTACAATGCCAAGTGCCTTCCGGACGTGACCGCGATCATTGCGCGCGCGCGCCGCATGCGCAAAAACCACCCGCTCCTCCGCACCATCTACATCTTGACCGACGCGCCCGACGAGTGGATCGACGAGGTGCGCCGGTGGCTCGTCAGCGACGCATGGGATAACGTGTTTATCGGCCGCACTGACGTGTACGATGCGTGGCCGGACCGTGAGGTCGGCGTGGCAGTGGACATGGAGGTGGCGCGCCGCGCCGGCGTGTTTGTGGGCAACGGCGTGAGTGTGCCAGGCGGTGTCTCGTCTCCCAGGTTATACTCTTTACTAACGAGGCAGTTCTCCACCACGTCCTCGAACGTGGTCCTCTTGAGGCAGCGCGACGGCGTCCACCCAGACTTTACCCAGTTCTGGTAACCTGTTCAAACACGTATAGACACGAAAGGGAAAGGAAGACTGTGGGACGCAGGATGCGACCCGGCCGACAGAGTCAAGAAGTCAAGCAGCGAGGACAGTCCGGAGCAGTTGTTATGTGCCATAGGTAGAAGGACGCAAGCATATGGTGCGATGTATTTGTGTTGTGTATGGCACGGTACGACCTGGGGTCGGCAAGCGCGACCTCGAGGCAAGGACCAGTCTTATGGACAGGCAACTGGTACTGGCATCTTTGACTGCCCAACATGGGCATTGCGTGCTACAACGATACAATCCTGTGTTTGGAGAACTGGAGGCGCAGTATGACACAACTGTTTGCGGAGGGCGGGCTTGAGAACTTGGGACTTGGGAGACGGCATGAGAGGGACCGGTGTTGTCGCTCGGAGAACAACGAAGAGGAGAGAACGAAAGCGAAGGCAATATTATAAAACGAGAATGAGAAACTCAGTTGAACAGCCCAAAGGCGCCGGCTTGAGGCTGGGGAGTGTGCGTCGAGATTGGGCCTGACACCGAGTCAGACGCAGAGGTACTGGCCTGGCCGTTGTGGGGGGTGGCGGGCGAGGGGAAGGCCGCGCTGGGGGTTCTGCCACCGGTCGGGAAACGGCGCGGAGTGAGAGCTTCAACGGAGGTGCTGTTGGCTGTGCCAGACTGGGACGAGGAGCCGGTCTGGGTGTCTCCGCCACTCAGGGGCATGGAACTGAACGCATTGTCGCTTTGCATGTGCTGAGCTCTGAAGCTGTTAGCTGGGTCTCGTCCGAGGAGATGTAACTAACTCGGCCGCAAAAGGGCCCCAGCTGGTGCCGAACTCTACCAACTCCCCAAGCCAGTATGACTGGACCAATTGGTCGAGACCGTCAATGACTGGGTGGGTGTTAGGCTCAACTGCGTCAGGGACAGGAGTTGCAGAGTCGTTGTCGTTGGCGACATCGGGAACACCTTTGTTTGGAGTGGGACTGGTGACAATGACAGTGGGGGCCTCTGCCTCGAAGACGATGATGCTGCTCTCAGAACTGGTGTCGAGCATCTCTTCCCGGACAAACAAATCGTCGCTGCTGCTTCCGGACGACGACAGCGAGCTGGAGCTGGACAGGGACAGCAGTTCCACAAACTTGCGGGTCGCAGCTTCCTTTGAGGCTCGGCTCTGGGTGACCCTTGTAGGCGCCGACACCGATACAGCTGGAGGCATCCTGGGGGCTAGGTTGGGGTCGTCCTTGGGCTTCGGTGAGGGCTTCGCGGCAGCCTGCTTTGTCCTCGAGGACCGCGCTGAAGGCGGGCTGGCAGAGGTGGATGCCTTGGGTGCAGTTGTCTTGGTCTTGGGAGCAGTCGTCTTGGCCTTGGGAGCTGTCTTCTTTGGTGGTGCAGCGCCCTTTGTCGCCTTCTTCTTTGGAGGTGCAGCTGTCTTCTTCTTCGGCTCGGCAGCAGCGGCCTTCTTGGTCTTGTTGGTTACGCTCTTGGTAGGAGGGGCGGCGCTGGCGTCGGGAGGTAACGCGTCAAGAGCCTCGAGGTTGTCCTCAAACCACCTCATCGCCGCATCTACGGCCTGCTTATCGTGGTCCATCCTTGTATGGGAAGGTGGTGTGTGACGTAGGGAAGGGAGGGCGAGGGCTGTGGGAGCTGGTGGAGAGGAGGATCGAGAGGACGCGGCGAGTGGCGCGGTCGGTCTCCGGGTATGTTGTCGGTGGCCCCGGGATGCTCAGAAAGCACTGGATGGATGTGGAGTGCCGAGGAGGTGATGAGATGGAGTGAGAAAAGGTGGATAACAGGAAGAGAGGATGTGGTGGATGAGAGAAGGCGAGGAGGGAAGGCAGATCGGGCGCACTCACCCATGATCACCCAATTTCGTCATGTGTGTGTGCGTGTGGCGAGTCCAGTCAGCCGTTTGGGTCCCATTTTTGAAGTGAGCCGCGGTTTAGGGGAGACGCACAGATCCCGGCAGGCGCTGCAGTCCATCTATCCATGATCCTCCACACTGTGGTGCTTGCGGGGATATGCACAACTGTACATATTTGAGCATTCAATTGTAGCCAGCGCTTGCTCTGTCCATCAATCCATCAGAGAGGGAGGAGGGAGGGAAGGAGCCATGCGTCAAAGAGAAGGTAGTGGTACGAGAAACCCCCGTGCTTCCCATATGCTGATAACATGATCGGTTTAACACTGGATCCATATGCTGGGTTCTCTTGTGTACTGGTGTATGCCTGCACGCATGTATTGCCTCAAGACCGCGGTCCAGGGGAAGGGGGGGCAACCAGTTAACCGTTTGGCCCCGCGACTGTTAGCGTACCTATCCGCGGGGACTCTTCTGCGTCAGTGGGGCCTCTTCCTCAACCACTCTGGTCTGTGATTCTGTAAGAGGTTCTCCTTGATCTGATTGCGCTCCCATCAGTGGATCAATGCCCCTCCGGCAACGTCGGCGTGGCAGCGGCCTGGGGGACTCTGGGCAACGCGCCGTGTCGCCACACTCGCCTGTACCGTGCGGGGGCTAACCGACTATGCTTCCGTCATCGCCACTCGGTTGTTGACGCAAGCTGCCCGCTCTGGCCGCTTGGCCGCGTCGTGGTTACTTCATGACAACAACCATCCATCTTCTCACCGCCCATCCCCGAGCAATCGCAGCTCTAATGGACGACGACAGAGACTACCGCGACGGTACGTGTTTTCCTGGGGCAGTGACCAGTGACGGCAGACCACCCGCACGATGCTGATGCTTCCCAGACCGTCGCGACGAGGCGTCGGACCGTGGACGCCGGAGCCTGAGCCGGAGTGATGCCGGCGCGGACCGCGAGCACCGCGAGCATCGCGACAATGGCCACGGCCACAGCCGTAGGCGCGACGACGACCGCGATGATGACCGTGGACATGGCCGGGGCAGACATGAACGTCATGTGAGTGCTACTTGGTTGCTGAGAAAGGTGGATTGAACACGTCAAGCTGACGCGCCGCGCCTGCCCATTGCTCAACCGCAACTCTCCCCTCACACCATACGCACCTCCATGGATGTTCATACTACAGCACCGAGACGACCGCGACCGTTCACGTTCCCCACGCAAGCACCGTTCGCGTTCTCGCGACCGCTCTCGATCGCCCGAGCGTGAGAGATCGCGTCGTGACGAGGACGACCTGTACCGCCCCGACGACCGCCGAGACCGCGACCGCGACCGCGACCGCGACCGGGACCACGACCGAGACCGCGACCGCGACCGTGACCATGATCGCCGGCCCGACAGGCGGTCGAGCTTCTCCTCGCGCGGCCGCGGCGGCGGTGGAGGCAACGGCACCGGTGGAGGACCCATGAACGCAACACCGGAGGAGGCCGAGGCCCACGCGAGGGTCAGCAAGCGCGGCAACCGCCTCTACGTCGGCAACCTGTCTTACGACTGTACATACCGTGACCTCTCGCGGTTTATGAGTGGAGGTGCGTGGATGAGCTGGGATGGGAGCAGGGCGACGGGTGGGACTGGGAACGCCGGGAGGACGGCGCGGGCAACGGCAAGGGCGCAAAGGGAATGGGGACTGGTCAAGCCAAGGGCTAGGGCGCGTGGCCTGCGAGCCGGACGGCATGGAGACGGATGGCTCCATAGGAGCACGGGGACCTCGGTGCTGGCTAGATTAGCTGGACACGTTGATGATGGAGGAGTCCTATGTCGCCGCGAACCCGAGCCGAGCCAAACCGTCGAACCGAACCCCTCACACCCCCCTAACCACAGAGCAACGAGAACAATGTTGACAATCTAGCTGGCGGCGACGTCGTTTTCTCAGAAGTGCTGGTTACACCAGCTGGCATGTCCAAGGGCTGCGGGTGGGTTGACGAAGGTGCGCGTCCAACTGACCTCCCAGTATCGTCGAGTTTGCGACCAACGACCAAGCAAGGCGAGCCAAGGCTGAACTCGCCGACCGACCGTTCATGGGCCGATCTGTCTTTATCCGCGAGGACCGCGAGGAGACGGCGCGCTTCGGCGCCGCCTCTATCCCCGGCAAGATGGGCATTGCCACCGGCGAGGCTCGGACGTTCCTCGGCAACCCTGGTCCGGCCGGCAACCGCCACGTCTTTGTCGGCAACGTCCCCTTCCAGGCGTCGTGGCAGGACCTCAAGGACCTGATGCGCCAGGCCGGCGAGGTCATCCGCGCCGACGTCGGATCCACCGCCGATGGGAGGCCCAAAGGCAACGGCACTGTAGTCTTTGCCGACCCCGAGAGCGCGCGTGGCGCCATTCGTGAGCCCAGAACCCCCACCCCTGACCTGAGATTTTACTGACTCGTGGCAGAAATGTTTAACGGCTACGACTGGTTTGGCAACATTCTCGAAGTGCGCGAGGACCGGTTCGCCAACATGCCCTTCCGTGGCCGAGGCGGGTTCCGCGGTGCTCCTGCCTTTGCGCGCGGCGGCGGGTTCGGCATGCGCGGAGGTATGCGCGGCGGGTTTGGCGGCGGTGGATTCGGCGCTGGAATGGGTATGGGCGGCGGCATGGGGATGGGAGGAGGCATGGGGATGGGTATGAGCGGCGGCATGGGCGGCATGATGGGTGTGAACGGTGGCGGAGGCTACCACAACGGCGCTGCTGCCGCCGGCAACGGATATGGCTACGCTGTCGCCCAAGACACCGTCCCCGTCCCGGCTACCCCCAAGGGATCCGGCCTCAGACCCGAGCCGGCCGAGCCCAGCGCCCAGATCTGGGTGCGTAACGTGAGTGCAGATGTCTCGTGCCCTCAGTAGTCCATATCTGACAAAAACCCCAGTTGCCATGGTCGACGACAAACGAGGACCTCGTCGAGCTTTTCGAGACGGTCGGCAACGTCGTCCTCGCCGAGATCATCTACGAAGGCGACCGAAGCAAGGGAGAAGGAATTGTGCAGTTTACAGAAACGCAAGAGGCCCAGTCGGCCGGCGACAGGTTCATGGCTTACATGTACGGCAACCGACCCCTCGACGTCCAGTTTAACCCCAGCTGGCACGAGTTTGGCGCCGCCGCAGCTAGGGGCGGCCCGCCCGAGATTGCGGGCGAGTAAATGAGCGACGCAGAAGAGAGTGTGAGAGAGTAAAAAGAGGTGCTAGGTTATGTGCTATGTAGGCAGCGAGCGATGCAGACACGTGAGGCAGTTTTCTATCATGAAAGGCGTCTGTGACATGTCACGCTATGGTGGATTCTACAAAGTACGTGAACTGAAGGGCGGTGTCTACACGGTGTACTGGCGAGAATATTCGTAGCTGTTGGGGTTGTACTCCGTCTCGAGCCCCGAGTCGGAGAGAGTGATGGACTCGCTGACAGGAATGGACTGTGGCTGGCCGAAAGTGCCAGTGGAGTTGGCCGCGAGATGAGCCGCCGCGTCAAACTCGCGCGGGGACACGAGCGTTAGGTGGCTGGGGATAACGCCGACGTTCATGCGACGGGGGGTGCTGGCCAGCCAAGTGCCGTAAGGACTGGGAACATGGACAGGGATGGGTGCGTGGATGGGGCTTGGAGCGGGCTCTTGCTGGCGGCTGATGGCGAAGACGCCATTCTCGACGAGGGACGAGGTGGAACGCAGCGAGAAGAGCCAGTTGCTGATATAGTCGTGGCGGACGTCGGCTTCAGCGGCAATGCTGGTCGTGATACCGAGGAACTGTGCCATGCTTGACGGGACACACGCTGAGCCGCACCATATTTCAGTGGCGGTCTGATGGGTGTCAGCCTGCGCAAAGTAACTGCGATACCCACGTAGTCGTCACCCTCGCTGACCATCAAGAACAGGCGCCACACACTGCCAACGGCCTCCACACCGTACACGCGCTTGCAGAGCAGTGGGATGGGGAGGGAGTGCACGGGATCCGTTTCGTGCGCGAGACGGGCAAGGCGGACCACGAGACCGAGTCCGAGACGCATGGCAGTCAGGTTGTCGAGGTGGGCCTTGCCGAAATCGCCACAGAGAGGCTGGGTGGAGCAAAATACCCACGGAAACCACGGGGCAGAGGGTGCTGGGCGTCAGCTTGGGGGGGAGAGGTGTCAAGCTCACCGTCACCGAGGTTGACCACTAGGTCCTTTATACTCGCTGCATACAGCTGCACTTGCTTGCCAGGGTCGAACAGCAGCTTGGAGGACGGACCGGGGCTGACGGCGATTCGCAATGGGTCAAGACCAAACACGACGTCGGGGCGGGTTGACACCAGGCGGTCGAGGCCGAGGACCATCTTGACGCGGTCAGCAGTGACGCATGCGCCCCTGTTGTCAGCTAACGAGGGCAGAGCGCCAGCTCACATGTCACAAGCGGCATGGCGAGGTGCAGCAAGGTGGAGGAGGTAGTGCAGAATGCGGGCGTAGGCACCATCGCGCCTACGATCAAGGACGTGGATGACGGCCATCGAGTCGCGGGCTCCCGCGAGGAGCGGCGGGGCGAGTTCAGGTTGAGGGCCAAGGTTACTGAGAGGAGACACGGGAGGGATAGATGTACCGCGCGTGTATGTGCCAAGAGGTGAGAGGGGTGAGAGGGGTGCACCTCCCGACACTGGTGACAGGCTGAATGACTGCGGGCCATGGTGGGTGGCGGCCTCGGACTGGGGGTCAGCTGAAGCATACACCGTGAGAGGACAGACAGCTTGCGTACCCCTCCAAGAGCATCTTCCCAGTGCTGCAAGAGTTCTTTGGAAGCCAGAACAGACGAGGCGGCCTCGCGAACTCCCTGGCTCGCATACGGGAGGAGGACATCGCGGACGTTACCGTACGCCTCAAGCGTGGCGGCGTAGAGTTGCTGCTCGCGCAACGAGGTAGGAGGCGGGGAGGGCGCTGCGAGTGAAAGGAATGCTAGCTCCCCGAGCGACATGATGGGTGGATGTTGGGATTGAGGGATAGGGGGAGAAAGAGAAGAGGGGAGGTGAGGAAAAGGGAAGGTGGGGAAGACAAGTAACGGCGGAGGGAAGGCATCGGTGAGGTGTGCAACGGGCCTTCCCTCGTCAAGCTCAGTGTGCACCAGGCGAACAAACAACCACGATGCATGCGGTACCGAACACATCTCTGAACCAAGACGCAAACATTTCAGCCTCCACTCGGAGCTCCTCTCTCTGACTCTCTCTGTCTCGCGCTGCGCTGTCTCTCGCTCTCTCTCTCTCTCTCTCTTATCGTTAAAAACGTGTCCAAATCTAGACTTGACGGCTAGTGGTGGTGCTGCTTTGCTTGGTGGCGCTTGAGCGCGTCCTGCCTGGTAAAGTATTCGCCACAAGTCTTGCAACGGATCCTCGGCTTGTCCCTGATGGTCTTCCACAGCAGCGCCTTCTCCTCTGGCAGCTTGCCCTCGGCGACGAGGTCACCCTCACGGCGAGCGTGGCGTGCCATATGTCGTGGAATGTCATACTTGCGAGTGAAGACGTCGGGACAGCGCTGGTATGGGGGCAGCGGGTTGACATAGTCGCACTGGACGCCGCCGGCAATGTCGCCGCCCTTGGCGGAGGTCTCGCTCATGCGGCGAGCCTTGGGTGCGGCAGCTGCTGACTTGGGACCCTTCTTGGAGCCCGACGAGTTTGGCTTGTTGGTTGCTGGCGGGGCGGGCGGGACGGCGAGGGTTGAGCGCACGCGGGGCTTGCGGTTCTTGGCCTTGGGTTTGCGCACTCCTCGGACACCACCGGCACCGTGGTACTCGCTCTCACTTGCGCTCGCGGACTCGTACTCGGAATCGCCCTCGACGGCCTCGTCTCCTTCATGCGTGGCGGGGCGGAGACGTGCGTCGGGAGCCTCGAGCTGCATCTCGCTCTTCCTTCGCTTCTTTGGGGGTTCTGATCCCTGATCTTCGCGCGGCTGGCCATCGGCGCTGGGCGTACTCTCATAGCCGGGCGAATCGTAACCACCAGGGTTGGGGACGACCTCTCCTCGGCGCATGGGGCCAGAGGGGATACCGCTCTCGCGCCACTGTGCGACGGCCTCGGCGCCGGCCTTGCGCTTGGTCTGCGAGCTGTAACGCGTGCGCTCGTGGTGGGCGGCGGCGTGAGAAAGAAGGTCGAGGCCGGAAGCAGACGAGGACGATGGACTACCCTCACGGAGGCCACCGACAGTCTGGTCATCGTCGTCATTGTCCGGTGATCCCTCAGCGGACACACCCGCAATTGGTGTACCTCCCGTGGCCGTACCGGCGGACACAGGCGCACTCCCAGGAGCGACAAAGGCCTGCGTTGGGGTTCCCTGCGCACTTCCAGAGGGGAGGGGGACGCCGTTGCGTCGGCCTCCGGGCGAAGCCATCTTGCGACTGGTGGATGCGGGCGGGGGCATTTTGGGGGAACTTGCCGAGCGGTTGGGCTGCTGGTTGTTGTTGTTGTTATTGTTGTAAAAGTTGGGGTAAAAGGTCGAGGGGTACGATCCTGATGGGGTAGAGACCGAGTTGACCCACTGTACCGAAGCGAGATGCTCGGATTCTTCAGAGGACGTGCTGGATCCCGAGCTCACAAACGAGCGACCCGTAGCAATGTCACCGCGAGCACCGACCTCACCGGGACGGCGGACAAACGCGGCCATACTGCGTGGGAGCTCGTACGTGTTGCCCGAAGGGGGTGGGATGGGCATGCCGAGGCCTTGGGCCGAGACGACGGAGGCCGTGCCGTTGATGGAACGCACCGCCTCGTCCGTGAGAGCCAACTGTTTGGCGATTGCCGCATCGTCCATTGCAAGCTGTGTAATGTCGCGGTCGTCATCCGAGGACACGGGGTAGTTGGGGAATCCGTCTTGGTTGTACACAGACCCGAGGTTTGTGATGCCTGAGAGGGACAAGGATGATTCTGTCGACGTAGACCTGGCCTTGGACCAGCGGCTTGGGCGGCCGTGATGACGGGAGGCACCGTTTGCGCTCTCGCCCGTGCTCGTCTGTGAGTCAAGGGAGAGGGAGGAGGATGACTGCCAAAAGCTGTTGGCGCGAGTGGGGCCACTGTCGCTGTCCGAGAGCTTGGAGGGGGGTTCGGGGTCGCTAACCGTACGTTGGCGTTCGGCGGCTCCTGGGCCGTTCACGGGGGCCGGAGCACCCATCGACCCGATGGCATTGGGAGGAGCAGGGGCAGGCGCTCCTGGAGCACCTGCAGTGTCGGCCGCCGACTTGGGTTGCGCAGTGGCAACACCGGTGGCGGCCTGGGGGGCGGGATCATCGTCGCTCGACATGGTCGGGGTCGGCGAAGGCGCGGCGAGCCGGCGAGGAGGGAGGAGTAGGGGCTGGACGACGGCGTCGGGAGACAAGAGCCGGGGGCAAATGGTCTGCCAGCCCGCGAGAGCGGAGAACGGCGGCCAGACTGTCATGGGGTAAGCGATGGAGGAAGAGAAGGGAATGTCCATTGTTTTGGTTGGGTTCTGGTCTTGACACTTGCCTCAGAGAAGAAGGGTTCTTGGGGGGGAGACGCGGCGAAGGCTTCGGAGCGAAGGTCGCGCGATGAGCTTCTCGGCGTAATCCTTCTGCTGTGCTGAACACGTGAGAGGAGAAGGAGAATCCGCAATGGGGGTGGGGGATGGGGAGTGAAAGTGGGATGCGTTGTTGATGGATGGCAGAAGAAAGATGTAAGCAACGGGGCAGTAAAACGTCCCAGGCGCTGCCTGTGGACCCGACCGCCCACGCACATCGAGCCGCCGAGGTAGGTGGCGAATCGACAGTTGTGGGTGGCAAACTGGAGACCACGTGACCTCCCACGCCTACGAAGGGGCGGTGCCTATTTTTTTCCGATAGGCATGCAGCGGGCCAATAGGTGAGAGAAGCGCATCTTTGTGCGCAAGGTCTGTGGGTGGGTGGCGGCATATGCTTCTGTCTCTACTGCTAATCAATTGTACACTGCTATTGTTCTCCTGACTCGCCCCATTGGCTCCAGTCCGTTACCACCACACTCTTGACCGCGCGGCATTGGCAGCCACATCCTGTAGGGCAGACGTTGGTCGTGATCACCGCCTGACTGAACGCCGAAGACTCTCCGCCGTGATCTGTGTGGCGTTCGGTCCGCTCGGTGATGGCCGACTCGAGGGATGTACCGTGCAGACCAGCCGAATGGCGTCGAGTGATACCAGGAGGGGCAGGTGATGCCGGACGTGATGCCGACAGTGGAGCTGGTGGAAGCGGTTGATCTGCCGTGTGATATGTTTTGTCTGTCACGTTAGCGCTGCAGGCCATAGTAAAAAGCGCACTGTAATAGAGCTCAAGACAAGGAGCATGTCCGCCGTGTCGGCACTTGTTACAACCCTGCCAGAGTCCCTTCACCGGCTGCCGGCTGTCATGTCAGCTATGCTTCACGCAAAACTTCAGCTTACCAAACAGCACAAAGCTTTGCGGCTCGTCGACACTTTGTACACCACCAAAATGTCTTCCTGTCCGCAGTGTCATCCAACGAGCCCGTCGACTTGCCACACCTGGCACAGTGCAAGATGTGCGTGATGCCATCCTGCGTAGCAAGAGTCTGGGCCGAGAGAACGTTGGCGTACTTGCGCACATACGCGACGGGTATGGAGAGTTGGTATCGTTCCAACAAGTCTGGATAGTCAGCTAGCGTTTGGACCGAACAGCTCACCAATGTATGCCTCCAGGACACGTTCCGACTGTTTTCGCGGGAAATTCACCACCTTGCCACCGACGATAAGCACCGCTGTGGCAAGCTGCACTTCGCCATCATCGACATATGACCGCCACCAGTCGAGCAGCATGCCGCACCGTGAGGCACGGTACGTGTCCCACTGGTCTGGTGGGAACGACTCTTGTACGTGACGAGCAAGCGCGGCAGGCTGGAACCTGTCCTTGGTCGCTGCGACAATTGAACCCCGGCCGCTCCCAGCCGGCGACTGGAGGGCAGACGCGCGCCCTGCAAGTGCCACTCGGTCCATTCTCGGCGTGCCCGGCCGTGTGCTGTGTGGTGTTGAGCGCGAGGTGATGCCTCCGCGGTAGCCGTTGGCCCCTGAAGCAGACTCGAGCGCGGCCGCAATGCCGTAGGGGTCTGGATAGTCCATATCGTCCAGAGCTGGGGAGTCGTCTCGTGAAGGTGCGTCAAACGCGAGCTTCTTCGCCACCGTCCTACCCAACAGCGCTCCATAAGGGGAGGGATTGTAGTTGGACGAGTCGTTGCGTGTCATGGTGGGGCGGACGGCGGAGGGGTGGATAACAGGAGGTGGGATGAACGCCTTGAACTGTGACTTCAACAGTGGGGTCTGCGGCTCGTCGCTCTCCGAGGAGCCCACTGAGCTCGAGCTGTCATCGTGGATGAGGAGAGGGTGGAGTTTGGACACAACAATGCTCTCGTCAGACTCTTCAAGTGGGATTCCCGAAAAGCCGTAGATGGACGGGGCGTTACTCCGAGGCGCCTCGTCGTATCCGTGAGGTGAAGTTGCGTTGATGACAGGCACAGACGGGTTGGATGTCTGGTTAAAGACTCCCTCGTTGAAGATGCTTTCGTTCGGGCTGGCAAACTCCTCAACAATGCCCTGCAGACAGTCCCACACTCTTGCGTCGTCTTGACGCCCACATACTTCGGCAACCTGGCAGGTCAGATTCCAGCATGCGCAAGCGACCTACCTCGCGGTTCCAACGACACAATTTCTCAGCTGTATCGCCTTCGAAGCGATACTGCTGGGCCATGTAGACGAACTCCTCGTCATCATTATCTGGCAGCGGAACAGTGCCAACGGTTTGAAGGGGCTCGTACGGCCGGTCTGCTACACCCTTGCGTGGTCGGCCGCCAACTTGCCAGGAATTGAACTCGGGCTTGCTGGAATCGGTTAGCCAAGGATTCAGTTAACCATCTACTTACATGTCGTCAAAGGGAATCTCGCCCTGCTTGAACCGGTCAATGGCGTACGCCATTTCACCCTTTGCGCTCCAGGCAATGACCTGGCGTGGAATAGTGTCGAGCGGGTACGTCTTGGGTGCGACCTTGCTGTTCAAGTCGACCTGGACGAGTTCGCCCTTTTGATAACAGGCTACCAGCGAGTCCGAGTCGTCCCAGATGGCAGCGACGGCATTTCCTTCTATACCAGGCAACGCATATTTGGCGACATGGTGTCTCCTGACATCCCACACTTCCAGCGCCGAGTCGCTATCGTCGGGAACCGTGAGTTCTGTTGGGCGGTTGGGATCAGCCGCCATCGCGATGGGCTGGTCAAAGGGCACAACCACCAGCTCTGTGGCGTGCGATGGCCGCCAGTCGACACTTCGAATCTGGTATGCCGTGTGGAGCATGTGGGTCGGTGCCGCTCCCTTGTCCCAGGCATGGTCCATGTCCCAGATCTGTGTCCACGTCAGTCACTGGAGGCATTGCAGATGTGCTCGGTTGCTCACTTGGACGGTACGGTCACTTCCAGCACTCGCCAGCCATCCCTTGCCGGTCCCAAACGCGCCGTGTTCATCGCCTGCACCCTTCCACTTGAGATCAAGGACCGCCTTGGATCCGTGTGCACCCCACACTTTGCCGATAGGCTTGGACTGTATGCGGTAGTCGTAGCGGAACAGACCGCCGGCCTC